TTTTTTTTGAATTCTTGATCAGCTTTAGCTAATCTCATGTTGTGTTTGAATTCTGAATAAAAATTCATGATTAAAAAAATAATGAGATTAATTAGATTGATTTTAAAACGAGAAAGTAAAAAAAAATATTTAGAAATAATTTTTATTGTTAATTATTTATGTCTGCATCAAAGATCTTTTACTCACCATCACGTTCAAATGTGAATGTTTCAAATGTACAACCATATGGAGGTGATAGAGCACTTTCCCCAAGCAGAGCTAAAATATCACAGCTATCAGAAAAACTCTCCAATCTATAACATTAAATTGATGAAGATTAAGCTGTATGGTTTGTATACTAATAATTAGTTTAAAAAAGAAACATTTGAGAGCAAGATTAAAATTTTAGAAGACAGAGCAACTAAATAAGCTTAAGGAGATGATTCTAAGTTCAAGTTGTTGAAAGAACAACTCTAAAAGGTTGAGGAAGGTGCATAAAATGAGAAAATCATTAGAGAAGTATAGTTAAAACTAAAATTAGGCTGGAGATGAAAAATTAAGATCAAAAGATTTAAAGGCATTAGAAGGATTTTTGAATAAAGAATTATAATCAGAAAAAATAAATAGAAAAGATTTTGAAGGAAAAATAATTAAGAATACAGATGATAAGGTTTATAGCTTGAAGTTGGATTTGGCAAGATAGAAGAAATACAGAGAAGAGACAGAAGAGAAGAATGCTTAAGAGATTGGAGATCGTATTTTATAATTATAAGAGGAAGTAGAAGAAGAAAGAAGATAAAGGTATTATTAATATATATAAAATATAGAGAATAACAAAATCAAAATACTATTAAGAGATTAGGAGATTCAATTTTAAAATTGTAAGAGATCTTAACAACTGAGAAAAAATAAAGAGAATAGGCATAAGGATAAATGTTTAGAATGTTAGATGAAATGAATCACTATTTAAATAGTGAATTAACAAGTGAAAAGAATGAAAGAGAAGCTACAGAAGAGAGCTTGATTAATTTGATAGATCAAACTTGTAACAGAGTAGAAAATTCATTGAGAAAATGATATGACATGATCTTAATACATTTAATTTTAAATAATGTTCAATTCTCCAGTACCGGGATTAAAGGCAAAAAGAATATAAGTCTTTATTTGTTGCTTTATCCAATATGCAATGTTACATTCTTGTCGTTCCACTTGGAGTTTCACATCTGGTATATTGGCAAAACAAGATGATGATGATCATAAATATGATGACTAAAGAATAGATGACTTTGATAAGAGTTATTTGGCAGATGTTAATTTTGCATTTCTATTTACTTACGGTTCATCAATGTTATTGTAATCTACCAATTTATCACAGTTTAGGATAAGTTGGAGACAGAATAGGACCTAAGAGATTCATGTTATGTGGTACCTTTTTGACTGGAATTATATAATTTTTGATTGCAGGACTGTTTACAGTAGAGTAACATAATAGATGGATAATCCTAACTCTAATGATATTTAATGGAATAGCACAGGCTCCAGTTTGGCCAGGTTTAATGGCAATTATGAATAATTGGCAAAGCAAACCAAACAAAGTCATTATAATGGGATATTTCACTGCATGCACTAATATAGGCAATATATTAGGAGATTTATTTGCTGGCATTTTTATCGAACAATTTTAATTTAGTGTTATATCTCCCATATATGTAGCAGCAGCTGGAGTAACATTAATGTCTTTCATAAATATATTTGCCATACCAACAGATTCAGCAAAAGAATATATTTCTAAGTTTAGAAATCCAAATACTAAATCATTAGTTTATAAAGATGCACATGCTGAATATATGAGCAGAAGTGGATCTAGGACTGCTTCTGTAGTTTCCAATTAAGATTTGGATATTTCAAAAAGCAACATCGATCAATCTCTCCTAACTGTTGCTAGAAATACTGTTGGAGAACCTTAATTGTAACCAAAACGACCAAAGAAGGATAGCATTAATATGTTTTCTGCATGGAAATTACCTAATGTAGCACTCTATGCTTTTTCTTTTGGATGTATCAAAGCTGTATTCTATATACTGGCATTTTGGTTACCAAATTATTTAAGCGGACAAGAATTAAATGGAGTTGCATGGATTACATAAATGATAGAATGGGGAACTATTCCAGGATGCATTCTCATTTGGTAGCTCTGCTCTATATTTTAGCTACTCAGGAGTTTATTGGAATGTTAGAGCCAGTCTAATAGTTCCTATTCTTTGGTTAGGTACTGTTGTTATGATATGTATTGATTAACTCAGAAAAATCGAAAATCATAAACCTTACTTCTTATACTATTTATTAGTATTTCTAACAGGCCTTTTGATTGGAGGAGTCTATAATAATATATCTGGAGCTATTGTCATTGAACTAAGTAACATGAAAGAATTAAAAGGTTTTATTTCTTATTTCCCTTTAGGTAATAAAAAATCCACTGCTACTGTCACTTCTGTTGTTATGGGTTATGGTGCAACCTTTGCTGCTCTTAATTAATTGATTGTTCCACATCTAGGAGATAAAATATTTGAATATTGTGGATTAAATGCTGTTATTGCAGGAATGTTTCTCATTCCATTAATTATAACCGAATATAAAAGATTAAGACAAAATAAGAGTTAAGTGCAATAATTATGAAATATTGTTATTTTATATTTAACATCCCTTCACTTCTAGAATAGAATGCCATTTTCTATCTTTATTTTATTATTTCATTTACTTTATTAATAATAAATCATTCAACGTAATATTTATTTGATTTACATTAGTGTGGGAAAATGCTAAATCAGATGATGTAAAAAAATGATGATTGATGAAAATGAAAGATAATCATGGCAAAGAAATATCTTAGTAATCATATCTAATGATATCAATGATCGAAAAAAAATATGAAAAAAATATAGATCTATATTAAATTATAAAAATATGTTCCGTATTATTAATGTAAAATTAATAAGATGTAAAAGCTGAATCAATAAAATATCTTCATTAAATGTTTGGTTTAGAATATATACAAGTATTTCATATATTTTTGATTTTCGGTTAACAATTTACTTAGAAAGTAAAAACTTTGCTTGGATATCAATTGTTATTTGACAATTTTTTTTTTAATTGTTTTCTTAGTTAAATTGTATTCATTTTAATAACTGAGCAATAACCCCAAATCAATTTTTATGGAAAGGAACTCTAATAATAATTTCAGTTAATTTAGTCGATCCATCAAACATTTAAATAGCTGGATATATGTGTAAAATATTTTATAGGATTATATATATTGGTAGGTATAATAATATTTCAATTGGCATGAAAAAGTAAATTAATTTCTATAATAGATAAGATATCTACAACGTCAACTGTAGTTTCTGTTATTACTATATGAAGCTATGTATGTAGTAATTAATTAATTTTTCATTGTGAAGAATAATGTTAATTTAATATTGTGGTGTATTATCAATTATTCAAGGATCTTACATTGACATTTACACTTAAATATTCAAGAATCTCATAGGTCTATTTGAATTAGATTTTAATTTATAAGTAAAATTATGTATATTTAGAAGAGGTTTTTTTCTTATTATTGATTTTTTCCTTTAGGAAATTAAATCTTCACTTTAGAATAAAATAAAAAGTGTAGAAAAATAAGCAAAGTTTTAATTCATAAATAATTAGTTTTAATTTTTCAATAAAATAATTAAATACTCCAATTTATCATGATTGGATACCAAATCACTTAAATTATATAATTTAAAAAAACATCATTTTAATAGAGTTTAAGGAAGAAATGAAAAAAAAATAAATAAAAGAAATTTTATCTGACTAAATAATAATCACTGACTCTTCAAAGTCATTCTTTCTTTTAAGTATATTTTAATAATGGATTTTCTTATTTTTATTATGGAACATTCCTAAAATATAAAATTGATTAATACTGCTTAAAACGGGATGGCTTTATTTATGGAGAGGCTTAAAAATTATTTTATTGTTTTGTTTATGATAGTCCAATATTAGGAATACTATCAACACTGTCTGTTTTTCCAGTAAGTAAAGGGGAATTTGCTTATAATTAATTAGAAGAATCAATGTTCTTTTAATGTTTAATTTATTTAGTAGCTAAGGAACCAGGAGAAGATTAAGGTGAATTAATTAGTTAATTTTTTCTAAATGCATCAAATTTAGCTGATCTAGAGAATATGATAAATAATTTTACTCTTCATTTAAAGCGTTCATTCTCATACCTAAATCATTTTCTTCTCCTTCATCTATAAAGTCATGTTAATTATCTTCTAACATAATTTTGTTCATTTCTGCTAAATATTAATGTTATAAGCATTAATGTGCATTAATTCTTTTATTTGGATCTTTTTCTAACATTCTTTTTAATAAATCAATAGCAGTATTAGGAGCATTTTACAATTATTTTAAAGTATAATCAATAGTAGCTTCTCTATTTTATTTAACAACAGTTCCATAACTTTTACCAGGAAAAGCTGGTTTACCAGTTAATAATAAATAGAAGACTAAACCAAGACTATAAATATCACAAACAGAACTATAATGGGCTTTCATATCTTTTATGTTAATAACTTCAGGTGCAACATATCCTGGAGTTCCACATCGACAATATAAATAAACTGGTTCATTTACATGTGTAGCTAAACCAAAATCTGCAACAACTACTGTTTCCATTTTTCTATAAATTTATTATATAAAAATAGTACTTTTATTATTTAAATAATATATTCTCTAATTTTAAATCTCGATGCATAATTTCTTTTTCATGCATATGGCATAATCCTTATAGTACTCCTACTAAAATTTACTGTATTTGTTTTGTAGATAAAATAACTTTTTCTTTAATTAGATCATAAAGTGAACCGCCTTCTAATAACTCAAGTGCAACATAGAGTGAATTTTAAGTTTCATAAATTTCATACATTCTCATAAGATGATGATTATTTAATTTTCTCATAATTGTAAGTTCATTAACAATAGCCTCTTTTCCATGGTCTTCTGCATATGCAGCTTATTTAGAAAATGCTTTAATTGCCATCTATGTACCATCTTCTATTCGTTCTCCCAAATAAACCTAATATTAATGATATTAATTACAGAGGCAAAATTACCCTTTCCTATTTTTTTAAATACTCTAAAAAGATGATGAAATTACCATTAATTAATTCTAGATTAAAAAAATTCTCTCCATTATGTTATTACTTTATCATTTGCTGTTAATTTATAACTTGGCATTTGATCCTAACCATGATCTCTCATAAGAATCATTCCAATTATAGTACCCAATGAATCATCATCTTCATCTTTCTTTTATACAGGTGTTCTCATTATTTCAAATTTCGTTTCAAAATCTAACTTAAGAAACTTTTTTGGAGGATCATCAGGTTTCTATTGTTTAAATTCAATCTTATCATACTTTTGTAATTAGAATGAAATGATCATAAGCAGTCAAATATCTCAACTTTTTATTGGACTTTTAGAATTCAGATTTCAAAATGATCTTTTCATTTTTCCACTTCAAATCATTCGGAATAGCTGTCCAAAGTTTTTATTTCATCAATATAAATATTAAAATTTTCAACCAGTTTAATCATACTTTTTAATACAAAATCATTTAAATAAATTCTTCCATCTATACGCCACCTTATTCACCATTATTAACAACTTAAATTGCATTTTGCTAATTACTAATGATCCCTCCACCAGCTTCTATTAATTTTGTTATTTCTTCCCTGGTCATATTTGATTATAATTGAGGACTTAATTAAAATTTTTTATCTAAGAAAATCTTATTCGAGATTGAATTTCCTATCGATTTTAATATACTAAAATTATTAGTTTTCAGAATATATAAATACGGATTCTATACTTATCTTGTTGATAGACAATCTTTTATCCATTAAGAACTCACTATCAATTTACCTTAATTTAAAGCCAATAATAAATTAAAGGTTCTTTTATAAAAATCCATTACTAGTATATTATAATCATTTGGGTCTATCTCAATACCCAACTTATGAAGTTTATTTTAATCTTCTACACAAACAAAAGAATTAGAAAATTTGAGTTTATAAATCCCATTTAATTATTTGATCTAAATAGATTATATTTTATATACATAATTCTAAATAAAACAATAATATAGAGGTTTACTCTTCTTCTAAATATTAATGGAATTCTCAAAATACATCGATTCATTTACTACTTTTTTAACTATTTTTGGTTCGATTGTACATTTATTCTAATCTATTATTTAAATTTTTATTATTCGCTTTTTGCCATACTCAAAAGTAAATTATTCATCAAATGCAATTATTTCTTTCTTTCCTGTTGATAGATCTAGTTCATATTCTTTTCCTACAGATAATGTCTCTTTAAAACCAAATCCATTAATTCTATATATATTTATTATAGGCTAGATCCACAAATAATTTTCTTCCCTTTTAAGCTCGAAACAATCTGAAAGAGATATTTAAATTTAACAAGTCCCTGTATTTCCAACTGTTGTTATCCCCTATGGGATCTCATATTTTTTACCCTATAAAATCATTTGAATTGGTTTCATTACTTTATTAAAACTTTCGATTGTTTTCTATTATGAAGATAAATTATCATGATTAATATTTGTCAGAAAACAATCATATTTTTTAATATAAATAGATTTTTTTATATTTCTATTTCATTGAGTTTTTAGCATATTAGGGTGTTTTATTTTTTTTTTTTTTTTCTATAGGCAATATTTGTATAAACAATCATTTATCAACTCATTTACGACTTTTATGCAATAATATTCAACATTTGCTAAAAAATATGATAAACAATCTTCTTTTCCTTTTTGCTCTTTAATTATGCAACTCTTTTCACAATTTTGAAACTCTTGTTTTTCTTACAATTTTTTCAATTCTTACTCAACTTAAAATATTATAGTTATAATTACTTAAATTACTAGTTACAACTCCAATAATTGAAATGAAAATTATCCAGTGATTCATTTAAAATAAATATTATTTATATTATTATTCTCAAATAGTGTGGATGTGAAAAAATAATAAAGTAATTTTTTTATTTAAAACTATTTTACCTAATAAATATTTAGCATTATTTATAAACACTTAATATTTCCATAAATTTATAAATATTTAAATATTTTTACATAAAATTACATTTATATGTATAAATTATATTGCATTCATTATAAAAAAGGTGAATCTGGAATTAACATTTTAATTCTATTAAAAGTTTGTGATAATTGAACTTATTCGAAAGCACTAAACTCGTGCTTTTTTTTTGCACAAACTGAATGTATTTTTAATAATTCAATTTCAAATAATCGAACATAAATTATAAAAGACTTGGCTAACAACAATAAGTCTTACTTATCTAATAATTATGGATTAATTTTAGAAATGATATTATGAATAAATTCTTTATTATCTATTCTTAAGGCTGCAGCTCCTACTATGACTTAAACTAATTCTTTTTCTATTTAAGTTTATTTATTGATATTTACATTCAAAATCCTTTAAAGAAAAAACTTAAGATCTATGTGCTAATTCAATAAGAATTCTTATGGTTTTTTCCAAATTAATAGATCCATAATTTTTATTGTTAATTTTAGCAACAGCTAAAAACAATGAAATATATTCTGGGATGTTCAACTTTTCACTTTTGGCATGACAAATTCTTAACATTTATTTAACTAATTATTCTCCTTCTTATTATTCTAATTCTGTGCAAGAAAGTATCAAATCAATCACTTTTTAAATAGAAATATTTAAATTATGCTTTTATGTTGATTCAATTTTAGAAGTTAGTAAGTCAACCATATTTTTAATATACTCTGTATTTTAATGATTTGTTATTCTGATTAATTCCACTAATACATTTATAAATTAATCTTAAGTTAATAAATCTTATTGAAATTAATCAGATAATTAATCAAAAATAAGTCTAGAGTTTGTAAATGAACCTCTAGGTAAACTTTTTATTAATGTAATTAAATTGCCTGGAGTTTGTATGGTAATGTTTTATTGAGTTAGTTTTGAGATCTTTAATATTAAATCTGATTGATCTTTTAGAATATGAAATAAAGAGAATGCTAATGAAGGTAATGTCTCAGGAGGTATTTTTTCTAAGATTATTTCAGCTTATTATTTAATTATGAATTATTTTGAATCATTAAGGTTTAAATCACCCATTTCAATTTAATAAGTAGACAAAGCCCATAAAAATGCACAGAATTATTCTGGATCTAATCGGTTTATTTCCAATAAAATTTTAGATGTAATTTATTAAAATCTGTCTGTATGATTTTTCATTTACTCACCATAATCTTCATTTCGTAAACAACTTGTAAAATAGAGAAATAGACTCAACTCATTTGATGTAAATGGAGGTTGTGGATTTTATTCATCTAATTATTTAGCTATTTCTTTAGAGTAAAAATCAAACACTTAATCAATATCACTCATTTACATCAATTTAAATGATATCAATTATTCTCTCTCTTTAAAAACATCTTCTAAAATTTCTATGTTTTTGTTATAAAAATATTACACTCTTTTTATTTTAAAAATTGATCATAGTTTTCTTTCTAAGAATACAAAAGCTTTAATTTTTCAATGTCTTCATCTGATATTTCAAACTTTTCTTTGCAAAACCTATAAATAGGTATTTTATAGCTAATTCTCATTAATCTTGTGCAATATTTAATCATTATAAATTTTTATATTAAATATTATTCATAATTAAAATTTATCAATCTCTAGATTTAAGACATCTCAAAGATTTTAATTGAAAAATCATCAAAAGTACTTCTAATTTTGAAAAAATAAGATTATGTAGCAACCTATAATTAATCACTCATTAATCAAAAATTAATATTTATTCCACAAATCTTTATTAGTAGCTATATAAATAAAACTTTGTTGATTATAAATAATATTTTTTCTTATTATTTGATTGTTTTTATTATTAGGATTTTTCATTTTTCTTCAAATACTAAATTTTTACTGATCAATTTTTCTAATTAATATATAAATTCTGTTAATCTCTGATTTAATAGAAGGAATTGATAAAAATATTGAAACTGTGAAAAAAAATATTATTTTAATCATGGGTTCATGTAATTCAAAAAAGTAGAAAAGAATAATCTTGGATAAATAACATTAATCGACAACTTCTAATAGTGTAACTCCAATGAAACCAAAAAACATAACTTTAAATTTACAAAAAAACTAATTTGACGATTAAGAGGGTAAAGAAAAAGAAGAACTCAAAGATGAATAAAATATCTTCTCTCCACCAAAACTTTATTTTAATGGAAATCAAGTGAAATCTTAGAGAGAGAGTGTTATTGGGAGACCAAAAGTTTAGAGTATAAGACTGAACTAATCAAACCAAAAAAATTAAAAAATAGAAGTCTTTTTTGGGAGAAAGGTTCGTTATTCCCATTTTCATTTGTAAAAATGAAAGGGACTAGTAACATCTGAAGATTTTATATATTTTATTTTTACTCATTTATACTTTATAATCGATTTCATTTCTAGAAAACTCATTCGTGAATAATGCTGTTCTAGAATAATTTAATCGAAATCATAGTTGATGATTTAGATTAAATTATTCTAGAACAGCATTATAAATTTAATTCAGCAGAAAATCGTATGATTTTTATTTAAATGAAAATTTTTTTAGAGGAATTGCTATCCCATAATTTTACAATATTGATTAAATTATTATTAAATATTAACAGAAAATTTCTCGAAATAAGTTATCTTTTTGAATACTGATTTTTTCATTACTTATTATTCAAATATTAAAATTGAAATCAACAATTATGAATTAATAAAATAATAATGATAAAAATTTGCTGATTAATGAAAAAAGAGTTTTTAAAATTAAAGAAAATGATCTATATTTTTTAAAAATCTTAAATTTATAATAATCAAATATTAAAGTGAATTAAAAAATATATTACATTTGACTTTTGAAATTCGTATTCAAAAGTTCTATTTGAGATTTATGTTATTTATAAAAGTGAAGGCTGTAATTTAATGGCGATAAATATTTTTTGTATATATATAAGAAATGAATAAAATTTTCAAAGAAATTCTATCTAGATTTTGATTGGTATATGTATTAGAATGCAAAAGTTTGTAAGAGAAGTGAAAGAATAGAAGATAAATATGTGCCTAAATTGTTAAGTTCTTTTGAACAAATTGATAATTTAAATAATGAAAAAAAAAACATCAATAAGTTGTTTATTTTTGGTTTGCTTGGGTTGTCTTCTTATGATATAAAACTTTGTAGATGTAAATAATGATATGATATAATTTAAGGATGAAGAGACCAATTTACAAAGAATACAAGAACTCATAGGAGATGTATGTTTAGATGTTGGTATGTGGATGTTATATATATTAGATTATTAACCGTCATCAAGTTAAATATCAGAGGCAAAAAGATTAAGGGATGAGTTATTATCAACTAATAAAAGGATAGGAATTGAATATATTGCTGAAAATGATGGAGCAATATCATCTGAACAATAATAAGAGACAGTATAAGCAATTGGTAATATGCTACTACCTTGGGTGATTCTTTTCATAATATCATTTTTCACTTACATAACTTTGATTATATGTTGTAGTGATTGGTATGTTAAAAATTAAATTTAAAAGTTGTCCTTGTAGATGTTGTAGATGTACGCAAGCCTAAAAAATTGATGATATTAGAATATCCTTAGCATTTTCATTACTTTTTGGTGTTATTATCCTGGCATTCTGTATAGCAGGATTAATAATGAGTAGTGAGGTCGGCAACTCTATAAAATCGATTAGATGTGCTGGAATAATGATTTTTAGTGATATAAATGATGGAGTAACAGATAGCGACGATGATGAGATAAAAAGATGGAGAGGATTAGATTCTGTTATAAATAATATTACAACTATTTAAAATGGATTAGGTGGGTTTGTATCGGATACTTAAAAATAATTAGATTCAATTAATGCCAAGTAATTATAAGATTAATTCGCAGAACTATCTGAAGAAAATAAAAAGTAATTAAGTTTAAATAAATAAGACTTGAATCTATTCCTATAACCACCTATTATGGAACCAACAATATTCTTGGTTACATTTCAACAGGAAAAACAATTACTCCTTAAGATTTATAAGACGAGGTAAAATAAGTTAAAGTTCTACCCTAATCTGAGATATTTAAAAATATTTATGAGAACATTATCAAAGAAATAGCAAATATTAAAAATTATGGATAATAATTGGCTGATTAACAAGGAGATATATCTAATAGTTTAGAAGATACAAAATCATCAATCTAAAATACAAAACAAAATTTAGATAAGGCAGCAACAGATTTTCTTGATAATACAGAAAATCTAGATAATATAAGCAATCTTGCTTAACTTATTTTTTATATTATATATGGTGTTTTTGGATTGTTTTCTTTAATAATTACTGCCAGTTCTTCTTTTCTATGTTTTGGAAAAGGATTAAAATGTTTTAAATGTCTTTTAGTATGTTCATGCACTTTTAATTTCTTGTTTGTTTTAATTGGATTCATTTTAAGTGCTATTTTAGGAGTAACAAGTGGAGTATTTGCAGAAGGATGTGATTATTTTGATGTACTTTTAACAAATTAAACTAAATTTGAGAATTTAAATTATGCCGTCTAAGATAAAGAAATAAAAGATATAATGACTATATGTCTATTTTAAGATGGAGATATTCTTAATTATTATAAAGTTTATGATGATCTACGTTAAGCAATAGATTTAGATAATTCAATAAGTGAATTTGCTATACAATAACAAGAATTTGAAAGGCAATCAAAGGAGGGAGATGCAACTTTAAAAATTAATTCAGATTATATTGTATCATTTACGAAGTTTGAAAGAGTTGATGAAAAAGAATACACTCCTCCATCTGATTCTACAAATATTAAATATGTAATGAGAGAATAAATTAAAACTTGTAATAATAACAAAAAAAGTTCAGTACCTGATAAAATGTCATATTGTGATTCAACAGCTATTTAATATTAACCATTATCAGGAGGATAATTTTCTAATCCAAATAATTAACCTGTTTGTTTTTAATCAGCAATATTTTCAGTTGATTAAAATTTACTAAATTAATAAATTTCAGGTTGTGCTGAAATTTCAATTGTAAATTAATTTTATACAAATTAAAATACATAATGGAAGCCAGTATAAGAATAAGAGACATCTATTTTAAATAAACATAAATAAAATTAGGATGCATTAAGAGCTAAATTTAATGCTATAAATTAATATACATCAGCAGCCTCTAATTATTTAAAATCAATAACAGATAAAAATACAGGAGCATTATCAGGGGTTAATTGTAAATTTGTTTAAGTATTTTAATTAATATAATTCAATTAGGCATCTATTACCAGAGTTTAAAATGTGATGTGTGCTTAATCATTTAGATTATTTTATTATTTTTGGATCTTCTTTTCTATTATTTCCATATCTATGTGGCTCGCTGCAATAAGTATATTTAGAGTTAGTATTGGGTAAGATATTTTGTAACTTATTAGAATATACTATTTATCAAAAGTTGAAGCTTATCTATAAGGAGATTATGTTAATGGCCAATAAATGCAAACAAATATACCTATGGCTATACCACAATAAGATGTTACTGGGTAATAAGGATACGTTTATTAACCTGAAACTTAACCTATTGTATATGAAAATAAGCCATATCCATAAATATAATGATTGTTTTTTATTGCCATCATTCATATCAATTAAATAAATTAAAATTTTGAAATAATTACTTAAGTAATTTTTAATATCTTTAATTTTTAATAACATGCAAATAATTATATTAAGTAAAAAGAAGGATTAAATACTCAATATAAGGGGACAAATTTCTCAAAAGATAACGTTTTATAATGGATATTTGACTAGAGATCTAATTTTAGCTCTAACTCTAGAGTTACAATAAGTAAAATTTATCCTTCTTCAGCTTTTAATGTTTCTTTTTTTTAAGATTTCTTCAATGCATTCTATTAATTCACATTATCTATTCATAATTGATACACTAAGATACATAGATCAAATGCCCTTAGAAAAGATTAATAATAATATATTCTTAAATAATTTTAATATAAAAGGTCAAGACAAGATTGGTACTGTATCAACCTCTTATTTTGTTATTTTTGTTGGTTCTGTTGCTTACAAACTATATTATTATTCATCATCAGCTGGTCTTCTTGGTTTCCTTTCCTTTTTAGGTTTCTTTTAATCCGTAACAGGTTCATTTTCATCTTTCTTTTATTTAGATTACTAAATTAATTATGTGACTTTATGATACCTTAACTTTAGATGATTTAACTTTTCTTTTTGTTTTAAGTTTTTCTGGATCTTCTTCAAAATCTTTATTAAGAGAATCATTAAGATTTTACATTTTATGTTAATCTTCAATTCTTTAACAGATTTTTCTACACATATCAGACCAATTAGTTGTAAATGTTAATATTAAATATAATACAGCTAAAACAGCATTCACAATAGCAAATGCAAACCATATACCATAAACTTTTTGTCCTAATCCAAAATCATATGCAAAATAAACGACTAAAGGTATTCCAATTAAATAATATACAAGTAAAGTTGAATAAGTAACAAAATCTTTTCTTTCTATTCCTTTTAATATTCCAGTTAATGTTCCCTATAAACCATCAATAACAAAAAATCCAAAAACAAATATAGGATAAACTTCCATTATTAAATCTGTAATTTCTTATCTTCCAGCAGAATAGAATTCCGCCCAAGTTTCTCTTAGAAACGTTAATGCACCTAAGAATAATGTTGTAAATCCAATAAATAATAAGACTCCAACCCATGAATATCTTTTGGCTCTTTTAATATTCTTAGCTCCCATTTCATTGCCAACAAATGTCATTAATGCTAATGATAATGATATAGGAAATTTATAATAAAAATTAGATGTATTTGATAATGCCAATTAAGCATTCAATTAATCAGATCCAAATCCTACTGCTATAAAGTTTAATAAGAAGAAAACAAAATAATCTGCATAAATATGACCTATCATAGGTATAGATTATCTTAAAAAACTTGAGAATAATTTCTTTTCTTTTTTTCTCATAGTAAATTTAAATTTATAATCACTAAATACTTACTTTTTATATTTAGTTCCTAGAACTACTATTAAACAGAATATGCAATTCAAAACTTCTGTACAGATAATAGCCAATCCTGCTCCTGGAATACCTCCTCCAATATCTAAATAATCTATAAACAAATAACACCATAAAGTATGTAGAGCAGCTGTACCCAATTATATAAACATAAACACTGCAAATATCTAAATATCTATGTATAAATATCATACTTTATTTGCTATCATAAAACTTTTCATGCATTCATATAATATTGCAAATAATGTTGATGGTAATAAATAATATAAGTAAATTTATGAAGCATCTGCTGTTGCATCTCTATCTTCTTCATTAATTGTCTTAGCAACTATTGGCTTCATTAGAATCAGAATTACTATTGCATTTATTATATTCAAGTACTTGAAAATGGAATAAAGTACATCAAATGAATATATATAGTCAATGTAAAATAACTTTAAGCCAATTTAGGTTTCTTAGCCCCAAGAGCTTAAGCTGAATGTACATTCAATGATTAATTTGTACCTTTCATTCAATATTAATCAATACCTAAAGCCATTGGAATCAATAACACATTCACTGTTGTAAATGCTAATCCTAAACCTGCTACTGCATTAGGATCATTATGTGAAGCAATAAAATGTAAACTGATTCCAAATACAATATCTAAGCAAACATAACCAATCACTGTATAAAAAGTAGATGATAGCAAATCTGTAAACACATTTGATCCTAAATGATCAGGAGCCTTATTTGGGTTTTCTTTATTCAATATTGAACTCCCGTGAACTTAAGACATATATTTATAAATTGATATAAATTAAAAGTCATAAATAAAATACCATGATAAAATTAAATGAACTCAAAAAATTAAAAAATTATTTTTATCATCATTTAATTCTAATATAAGACTTAAACTTTTTTAACTCCAATATTAATTTGATATTTAATCTACACTCTCTTTCTATTCATATTAAAATAACATTATTCTTACTTCCTAATAACAATATTTTTAATCAATATCAGAATCATCTATGAATGGATATTTTATGATCATTCCTTTTTCTTAATTTTATTTTATTTCATTTAATATTTAATATTATTATTAATTAATGAATCCTGAAATTCAATAGAAATTAGAATTGTTTATAAGTTGTAGAGACTTAGCAAATATGGATATCTTTTCAAAAAGTGATCCTTATGTAGTGTTATAAATTCAAAAAAATAAAAAATGGTATGACTTTGGAAAAACTGAGATTATTTAAGATAATTTAAATCCAAATTTTACTAAAACTTTTATAATTGACTACTTTTTTGAATGTTAACAACCTCTAAAATTCATTGTAAATGATGATGATGGAAAAGGTTAATTTGATGTAAAAAAATAACAAAATAAAAGTTTATTGGCAGTGTTGAAACAACTTTAGGACGCATTGCAGGTTCTAGAGATCAAGTTTTAATTATTGATTTAACAAAAGGTTCTAAAAAGACCGGAAGTTTAATTGTTAAAGCAGAATAAGTGAGATTAATTAATTAGAAAATAAAAATGTAAATATGTAATATTTTATAAAATATTTATCTAGATGGAGAATAATTATCAAATACAAGATTTCTTCCATGGGAGACTACATGTCCATTTTTTAGATTGTTTAGAGAAAGTTAAGATAACAATTAAAATTTATAAATTTATGAAAGTGAGTAAATCAATAATTGTCTAAATCCTAAATGGAGAAGTTTGAATATTTCTTTTTAAAAATTTTGTAATGGAAATTTAGGAAAATCTCTCAGAATAGAAGTTTTGGATTATCGATCTCAAGGAAATCATTTATTAATTGGAATAACATAATTTAGTGTTGAAGAAATAAATAACAATAAAGAATGTAAAAAATAATTATTTGATAAAAATAATAACTTTGTAGGTTATGTAATTTTTAAAGAGGTATTTTTATTTAACTATTAAGTTCAAAATATTGGATCCCCCAACTTTTATAGATTATCTAGAAAGTGGAACATAAATTAATTTAATAGCTGCAATTGACTTTACAGGTTCAAATGGATCTCCAAATAGTAGTAATTCTTTACATTACATTGATAATTAATATGGGAAATTAAATTAATATTAATAGGCCTTACTTTCAGTAGGAGAGATTCTACTTAATTATTCTTATGATAAGAAAGTTCCTATATATGGATTTGGATGTAAACCCAATTTAAAGAAATTAAAATCTTCATAAACCTTACACTGTTTTCCATTAAATGGTAATCCTTAAGATCCAGAGGTTTTGGGCATAGAAGGTATAATGTAGACTTATAATTATGCATTAAAAAATGTATAATTTGATGGACCAACATATTTTAATCCCATTCTTTAAGAAGTTATCAAAATAGCTGAATTGAGTTAAGACATGGCAAAAGATTCATATTATGTATTATTTATATTAACAGATGGTGTAATACATGATATGACTGTAATTTATAAAAGTTATTTATTAATTTTAGCAAACCATTAATTCTATAGTAGCATCTTCTCATTTACCATTATCGATAATTATTGTAGGAGTGGGAGATGCAAACTTTGATAATATGAATATACTAGATGATGATAATGGAAATCTTAAAGATTCTAAAGGAAATCGATCATATAGAGATTTAGTGTAGTTTGTCCCATTTAATGAATTTAAGGATAATCCTGAACTTTTAGCTAAGAATGTATTATAAGAATTACCTGAATAAATTGTTGAATATATGCAATTAATTGAAAAACAACCTTGTAAATTTATTTTATATTTAAATAGAATTTAAAAAGTAAAATTAATTATAAACTCAAACTAATTATAATTTAAATTATATTTCTGATTCTAAAATCCAACAACTTAACCAATAAAACACTGATTTAATGAATTCACAGGAAAACTCATATTTAGCTAATTTTCCTTAAACTAATTAATCTTTGTGAGATTTATTTTTAAATTACGATATAATTTGATTAAATTATAATTATATGTATTATAAATTATGTTTACATATATAATCTATCATTTGAAAGAATTATACCATAAGGATTCGTAAATTTATATTTTAATAATTATATTTCTCTATCTTTTTTGACTTTTTCTTGATAAAAATCGCAACTAGAGAGCTATTTACAACTGTAAAATGAACACTTTCTAATTTACCTTACTGATTATTTTAATTGAAAATTACCTTAGTAGTTTTTAGATTAATTTAGTCAAATATTTATTAATTAAAATAAACTAGTAAAAATCAATAAATTAAAATAGAGTTAATAGCTCTATTAATTAAGACAAACTTCTAATGTCTTCAATGTTATAAGCGACATCTTGAACTCTCAACACTTGTATTACTTTTAAAATAAATTCAAAATAACAATTAAATGTTAAATAAATTTCTTTTAGTTTTCCAACAAAATAGAATAATTCTAGGCTCATAAAAGATATTCAGAGTCTTTATTTTTTTTAATCTTCAATAAAAGCATGTAGGAATTTTATTCTAAATGAGTAATTCAAATGACAATAAACTTATCTTTATGAAATGTCTCTCTAATCTTTTTTTTAAAGAAATTTAACTAACATTGCTTTTAGATGTCTCATAATTTAATAGATAAAAAAATAGTTTTCCTAAAATTTAGAATGCGCAAAATAATTTAAACTTATAATAATAATTAATAAATTTTTAATTAGATGATTATTTTTAAAAAGCGAGATGCAAATGTTCGAAATTCAAAAAAAAGATTTCTAACTATGAGAAAATACACAATGCAAAATATCAAATTAAATTAAAAAATTATTTTTTGAATTTATTCATAATGATGTAATAATTTTTTATTATGTTATTTTTCAATTATTGGTTCTCTTTGTATAATCTTTTTTGAACATAGAGTTATTGAAATTGTAATTAAAAATGAATGAATAGTAATACTGTTTTATTAAATTTTTCAGCATTTTAAGTAAGCTTGAGATTTTTCATTGTTTATTAAATAGTTAGAAAAAATTGATATAAATTAGACAAAAAATAATTGTTATAATATTCAGTTAATTATAGCATCAAATGAAATACTTATTTTTATATTTTTACAAAACTTTAGAGCATAATTTTGTTGCTCTTCTATTTGGTTAGCGTATTGTTTTTGGACTATCATTACTATCATAAGTATTTTTATTTAAATTCAAAGGAGATATTTCTTTATCATTTAGCTTTTTTGGAGAAATGCTCCTTGGAAAATAAGTTAAGTAAAAATTATTATTTTAATGGAGAATAGTTTAAGAGTTCAAGCTATTAGATTGAAAATTAGTATTCTTGTTGTTGAAAGTGCTTCTGCTAGATTTAGGCTATATTGCATAAATTTCTTCTGGAGTTGATGGAGGAGATATTTAAATAGGCTTCTAAAAAAGTATTTAAATTTCTTAATTTGACTATTTGGAAAGCTTATAAGATATTGAATATTTAATACATTTATCTTTTGCACTTTCATAGATATTCTGAAGAGAACAATAAAAAAATAATTAAATAATTCTAAGAAATTCTTTTAATATTTGTTTTCAAATTAAAAGTTTTTAGAATATTCAAAGATAATTTTGGAAGTCATAAGGGAAATGTTATATTTTAACTATCCACAAGAAAAGGCAAAAATGATAAAGGATAAATATATTTGTAGTTAATGTATATTGATAGAATATTAAACTTAGTTTTATACTTTCAAAATAGAGTATTAATGAGAGATTCTAGTTTTAAATTTTTATGTTGAAAAGACTTTATGTAGTGATTATAGATAATGATGAATACTATTAAAGGTTATTGTTATAAATAAATAAAATTACATAATTTTTTTTATTATGAGTAAAGACACAAAAATAATTAAACGAACTTAATTTACTCCTTAAGAGTCAGATATAAAAAATATAATTCCAAAATAAGGGAAATCAAAAGAAGAGATGAGAATCTTTCTATTTGAATTTTTTGGAATGGCTTTATTTGCTTATGGGTAAGAATGCAATTCTTAAAAGTAGAATAATATGTTCATAAGGATCAGATGAGTTTTTAGCCTTATTTTTCTTTGCTTCAGTGTGTTTAGCTGCACCATTTTCAGGAGCACATGTTAATCCTGCAGTTAGTTTAGCAATGCTTATTTCTAGAAGAATAAATTTTGGATAAGCAGTGTTATATTGGTTAGCATAATTTACAGGAGCTTTATGTGGGGCATGTTGTTGTTATTTAATATTGAATGAAGTTGATAGTCCTTAAGTAAAGAGTACAGAATACAGTTGGATATTATCAGATGTAAGTGGTGAAGCATTTGGAACATTCACATTTATTCTTTTTATTCTAATATAAACAGATTCAGAGACTACTTTGACTCCTGAAGGATAACCAATGACAACTTATGTTTTGGTAGCATTAGCTTTGTATTTCTCAAGAGGATTTACATTTCATTCTGGAGGTACAAATAACATAATGAATCAACTAAAGGTTGTTTGAATCCAGGAATGGCAGTCTCTTTGTAACTTTTTTAATCATTTTAAACTGGCGACAGATAGATAATGGAATTTCTATGGGTTTTTGTAGGAGGTCCATTAGGAGGAGGTTTTGGTGCGAGTGTATTTTTTGAACTCTTTTATAAAAAATAAATTAAGAGACTTTGAAATTATAAATAATTTTAATTTAATTATCTGTTAATTTTTACTAGAATTCAATCTCTTAGAATAAAAAATTATTTATTAAATCAAATTTAGATTTTATTCAATTCATAATAGATATATATACATACAAAGAAATAATAATTAATTTAATAATGTTTTTCAAAAATAATATCAATTAAATGTATTTTAACATAAATAATACACAATTTTAACAATTATCATAAAAATTATTTCAGATACTAAATTTAATCTTAGCTTCTTATGAATTCTTCGTAAATTATAAATTTAACATTACTACGTTTCCTTAACAATTTTTACATTCCTGTAAATTAAAATTATCCTTCACAATCTATCATTTCGTTTACAGATATGAATTAAAATGCAATTTTATTGTCAATTAGTAGATCTGATTAAAATAAGGGAAATATGACATTTTTTTATACTTGATGTCCTTATTTTATGAATAAATCAGCTACTTATTATACAACTTATTATGGTAAATACTTTTCAATGCCAATTTCGGTATTTCTCTAAGTAGCTTATTACCTCATTTGACTTAATAATAAATGCAATTCTCCTTACTAAAAATCAGATTTAATTCTTGCCAAAAGAAGCATATATTTCTATTCTATAAATTAAGGATCTATAAGAAGGATTAATTCTTCATAAATTTATTATCCAATATCAGATTTTGGTAGTGAATTAATTAGCATCATTAAGAAGCATTAACTAGTTTGATCCAATTCTTAAAGTTTTTTTGGATCTACTTTTTCTAAATCAGATGCCTCTAATTTATTAAAGTAAAACATGGCTTATAAATAAAACAGTACCCCTTATATGGATGGATTTTTTTATTTATTAAATTTAGAAACAAGTAAATCTAGATTATGATCTAAAGTATTTAACTGGATTAATAAAGGAAACAAGTATTAGGTATCTTAAATTTTATCTAATGTTTAAAGGAAAGCATCCTTATGTATATGTCCAATAGTTATTAAACTGTGGAAAATAATAATAAGACTTTTCTCAGAAAACATTTTATCGTAGTTTTATAAGAGATTGATTAATTTTTAATAAGGCACATGATTAGTTGATTTATAACTATATGGATATCTATTGAAAACAATTTGAAGTAGAATTACTTCATTAACTTTTCTAATTGGATACATCATTTTGATATCAATTTAACTTAGAGAAGAAATCGTCATAGCAATATCAAATTCATCTTATTCTTTTTTTCTATAAGTTAGAATTTCAACAAATCTTTTTTTGGTTTATTAAATAATATCGTGATTTCGATGTATATCTAATTATGATAAGAGTAATGAAAATTAAGCAAGATGTTTACATTCACAAGACTCAATTGCTGATTAAAAATATTTTGAATTGCTCTTCAATAAAGTAGATATCTACTTTTTATTCTCTATTTTTAGAAGTGTTGAAGATAATATAACTAGTGTATCTCGATCAATTTCTAGAATTGAATTAGGTTGAGATAATAATATTTATGTTAAATTATACACAACAACATCTAAACTTTAATCATTCATTAAAGGTCTTGATAAAAATGAAATGAAAGATTCAGCTTCATAAACACTTAAATTATTATTAATCCTATTTTTAATCATATTCTAAACTAAAAGATCTTAGAGTTAAAGGTTTTTAGATAATGGCAAAGAGTGGAAATTTCTCACAATCATTGAAAATTAAGAATTTGTAAACTGCTTAATTCTAGGTATTAGTTGAGTGGCTAGATTATTATACAAATGATAAGATAGTTTATCATATACTGTTTATATTGATTTAGGTTGTAAGAGACTTAATGCTAAAACTGTTTAGGCTAAAGTTTAATCATCATATTCAGATCTAGCTATATAATTCAATAAGGCTCTGTATCTATCATCACCTAAAAGGGCTAAATTATCTTTTTTCACAAGCACTAACTTTTGTAAAATAGATGATGCTATTTTAGGAGTGAATTAATCAGGTATTTAATCCATTGTAGAAACTAATCTCATCAAAATCTCAGGAGTACTTATATCATATCTAATATATCTAACACATTCTTCCTCAGTTAAATCTGAAAATTAAATCTATCCTCGTGTTCTCATCTAGAGTGAATTATTATAGAATTTATCCATCAAATAATTTTGATAATTTTATATAACATTTACACTAGATTAATGTTGAGAATATGTAATTAATGAATTATCTCTTTGTTATTACATGCCTATGTAAAATTACTTTACTGCATCCCAATCTATTAAACTTTTACTTGAATCAACTTTTGATTTTAATTCACTCACAAAATTATCTATTTGATTATTCTCAAGTTTTGGGATGTGAGTTTCTATTGTTTATTTTAAACTTGGATATTATACTAATAATTGACTTTTAATTAAGAATCCATATGGATTATTCACATTCTCTCTCATCTCTGTAATTCTTTAATTGTTTAATTCATTTAATGTATTTTTATATTATGAATGTTATGAATGCAACTCTAAATATTCACTCTCACCTTACTCTTGTAAATATGAAAGAGGAAGATGATTCTAAACTCGATTCTCTTCTTATCTAATCAATCGCAAACGTTCATTTTTTTAAAATAATAATTTTTCAAATTTCTTAACTTCTTCTGTCATAAATGCATTTTCTACCCATTTCAATTTTTTATCTTCTATTTCTTATCTTTCTATTCTATCAGCTTCCTTTTAGAATACTCGATCAATAGACTTTTTGTATTACTATTTAATATATTTATTGAGATTATGAGGCTTAGTAAAATGTTTGATTTCTTATTCTGTATCCTGTAAATCAATGTATTTTTTAGACATATCCTTAGTCTTCATTTTCTAGAATTGAGATTTGAACACTTTGGAATAATCTTTATCAACATCTCTAAGTATTTTTGAAATTCTTCTTCCTGTTGCAGTAAAACCATATTTAATTATCATTAAAATTAATATTACTTAATATTTACAACTTCAATTCTTGTCAATTTTTTAATCTATTTTTAGTGTTATAATATAGAAATATATAGATAAATTCAATAAAATTTGTATTTTAATGGTTAATTTTTGGTAGTGCCTGGAAAATATTGTTAATACTTTTAATTACTTCCATTTTTAGAAGTGTGAAATGATTACGATAGAATACGTTTATTTTATGGAGTAGTTTCATTATTGATATTTCCATAGAGAGTGAGATTGATATCCTTATCTTTTGATTTTTTTTAACTATAACTACTACTTGATTTTTTTTTTTCCATTTCTGGTTCAGATATATGATGTTATCGTTTGGTTTCTGTATTTTTAAAGAATACTTTTTAAGTGATTTATTCTGATTCTAAATATTTAATATGTTAAGATCTAATTTCTTTTGGTAATCCCTCTAAAATCCATTAATGCATTAAAGCATCAATAGGTTTCATTCTTTTTTGAGGATCCCAGTTGAAACAATTATCTAGAAAATCAATAAATAATTTGTCTTGGCATTTTAAGACCTATTATAAATCTTTAGATTTAGGGACCCTGATTTTGCCTCTCTTATTTTTATAGATCAAAGGTTGGTATGGAATAGAGGATGTAAAGAAATGTTTCTTCCTAGTAGCTTTCTAAAAAAAAGATTAGGATAAGTGAATACTTCTATTAGAGACTGATCAGGAACTCCTTTGACTTCCATTATGTAGGCAATTTATTCTTATTCATTTTCTCCAGGAAAGATGGGATAGCCTATATACAATTCTGCCATTATGCAACCAAAACTCCACATGTCAATTCCCATATCATATGGTATACCAAAAATGACTTCTGGAGCTCTGTAATATCTAGATTAGATATAACTATAGATCTTTTCATTTTCAAAGCAGCTGCTTCCAAAATCAATAATCTTGATTCCACTTTTATTTGGTTATTTAAGTAGAATATTTTCAGGCTTGAGATCACAATGAATAATCTTATGTTTGTATAAAAAATTGAGAGCATTTAGTATTTGAATAGCAAATCTACGAATAAGTTCAAGAGATAACCCTTGATAATTGTTATTTTTGATTAGCTCATATAGATTTAGAGACAATAATTCACATATGATGCACTAAGAGTATAAATTAAAATCTATACCACATGATTTCTAAATATAACAAAGTCTTTAATTTTGACAATATTTGTAATATTGTCTTCATCTTTATCTCTAATAAAAGATAATATATTCAATTCAACTAGAGCCTAACTCTAAAACTTCTTTTAATTTCTAATAACTTTAAGACATAGAACTTGTTGTCTCTTATGATCAAATACTTTAAATGCTTGTCCAAAACTGCCAGAACCCACATGTTCTAATAGTTCATATCTATAACCAATATGATCATGCAATGCATAGAGATATTCTCCTTAAGCATTGTCATATCCATCATTGTAATTACTTTATGATTATTAGATTTTCTTGGCATTTATTCCTATACAATAAATCTAATCATACATAATAAATAATACTCTTTTGAATGTCAGAATCTCTGTCTTTTCAAACTCTGTCAATGCATACCCATACTTAGATAAACAAACCTATGGGGTTAAAGGCAATTAACATTTATTCCATTCAAATTCACTTTTAGAAATACTAGTTTTTTTTGTTGTTAATTCTGAAATTGTTGTTTTCTCTTTTGACAATGTCCCTTATCTAATGATTACTCTTTCTGTAGAATCACTTGTTTTAGTATCTAATTTATTTTAACTTTCTCTTTTGTTATTCTACACAAAATAATTCAAGTTATTTGTATGCTTATTACTCATTTACGTTTGTTTCAATAACACTTCTTTTAAAGTTTCTATTGATGATCCTGTTTTAATAGAAGCAGTAACTTTGCATTTCTGTTATTGTTGTTCCTTACTTCCCACTCTTTTAGCTGAAAATAATCTCTTCCTAGGTGAACCTGATGGAGATGAGTGTTTATTAGTCATTGGATAACGCATTTTTATTTCAAATGAAATGTTATTTTATTAAGTAATCTTCCCTCTCATAAGTTGTTAAAAATTAAAATAATCATTTCTTTTTCTTTTACATCCCACTCTTTCCACACTATTTTGATTTTGTCTCACAAAATACTATATGCTTCTTAGCTGCTTCCACATTAAACTTTCTATTACAAAACTTGCACTACACCAATTCTTAAGCACTTTCCATTGCACCATTCAATTAAACCTACTCCTCCTTCGTCAATTTCTAACCTTTTGCCTATCTTATTATAGCCCTAAATGCTTCACTCTAAGCTTTCCATTTAGGTTTCTCATTTTTCACTTATTACTACTTCTACACTTATTATTTTAACCCCTACTTTTGTATTTGTTTCTTCATTCCTACACTCTTCCCTTATCCACTTTCCTCTTATTCTATTTATCTTTACTTTTGTGAATTAAACACTTTCCTCTTCTATTAGAACACTTTCTTACAAACCTATATTTAATCCTTATTCATTATTTACCTTTGAATGCTTCTCTAAAGCCTTTGCATTAAAAGATCTACCACATCCCTCTGTACATTTATAAAGTTTCTCCTCTACTACTTATTCTCCTTTTAAAGGTTACTATTATCTTGTTTTTTGTGCTTATTCCTATTTTTTATTCTAAACCAACTATTGCTTTCCTTATTATTGACCTCGCAATTATTAATCCTATTAAGTGTGTTTCACTTAATCTTATTAAACAGTCGCTTTTAATTATAATTAAGATGTTGTTGTTGCTGTCTTCGGTCTTAATTATTATTATTATTGATTATTTTCAGATTTTGGTTAATTATATTAAATTTAAAGCTTTGTTTATTATTTTTATTAAACACCAACCTATTATCTATTCTATTCACATTTTACAACATTTATTTAACTGGTAGGTATAAGTTCATTTTATTTAAATTAAGTTTGTTATTTTAATTAAGTGGGTTATTTTTCAAGTTAATAACCTTACTAATTAGCACTTTAAATATTCCTGCCAACTTAATTTGATTATGGAGACTTTCCTCTTTAAAGAATTTTTGGTATTGGTTTCTCATCTTAATTTTATATGCAAGATTTATTTTCCAATGTTTTCTTCTCAAAAGTTTATCTAATGGGGGATCTTGGTTGAGTTCTTTTTACTTAATCTTCTTATGTACGAGTTGGAACATTTGATAAATTTTGGAGGGGTTTTTAAGTTTTTGATCCATCTTCAATTCTAGGTGTTTGCGTTATTGGTGTTTGTAAATTGTTTTGTTTATTAAATAAATTGTATGAATTCTATGAATGATATGATGAGTTTACTTATTTAGGTTACTTAGACATATTTTTGTTAGTATTTTTGACGGTTTGAATAAATTAAAAACTATATTATTTCGTTAATAAAATAAACTTGGCTCAATAACTGTGGATTAATTAGATTCTATCAGCTGCTAGATTCCACCAGAAATAGATTCTCCACTTTTAACCTTTTAACTTGCTCTCTTTATCCAATCCATAGACAACTGTTCGTTTACCATCACAAATTTCAAAGTAGTTGCTATCAACATCAAGTTTAACAGCCAATAATTTAGGAGGCATCTAAACTATAGGATAAATAGAATTACTTTAAATACATTATTAAAATCTGTTCCTATCCTTACATTCAAACCTTCTCCATTTTGACTAAATAAATCTTTTCTATATCCCTATCCATATGGAGATTTGTCTTTATTATTATCTGATACAACTCCTACATAGAAATTTCCATTGGATCCAGCTCTCTTTTGATCAAATTCTTTAAATAAGATTATACAACCATGTTGGCCTTCGGTAAAGCTTATATCTGAATAAATAATTTAGGATTGTATTCCAGCTCCTGAACATTCTTTATAATCTGGAGCAAATTATTTAATTTATTTAGATTCATCTGCTTTTGAAGGAGTTAGAATCCATTGGATTTTTCCAAATTTATACTATATTATAATAATAATATGAAATACAGGCCACTATTAAATGCTAGTTTCTATTTATCCCCAATAGCTCTCTAAAGCCTATTTATTGGATGCTATCTGATTGAATCCAGGTTTTCCTGATTAGATTCCATTAAAGACTTTTCTCATATTGATGATTTATTCAGATCTTTTTTGTTCATTTAAATATTCATTGATTTTAGCACTAAGAAGATTGGGATCACTCTTTGCATTTTCTTTAATAAGTGTCTTGATTTTGGTAAGATCATAAATGGAATCATAATATTTCTTTAGATTTTCAATAGTTGGTGTTAAATCTAGCTTCTCTTCTAAAACATAATAGATTAAAGAAAATACCTTCTTTTTTTAGATCTTTCTTCTCATCCTTTTTTTCATCTTTTTTTGTATCTTTCTTGTCATCCTTCTTAGTTTCCTTTTTATCATCTTTCTTTGTTTCTTTCTTATCATCCTTTTTTTAATCTTTTTTCTCTGGCTCTTCTTATTTAAGTTTTTCCTCTTTAAGGAATTAAGTAGCATTAAGAGCTTCTACCAAGAGTTGTTTAACATTCTCAATTTATTCATTCATTTTGACTTTCATTTATACAAAGAAGTCTTCTATATCCTTTCTTTATTATTCGACACTCTAAAACAAGTTACATTCAACAATTACCTTGTATACAAGTAAGAAGTTCTTAATCTTCTCTCCTTCATCATCTGCTGGCCAATTATATACAGAATAAGCATTTCCTTCCATTACTTCATCCAAATCGCATAGTTTAAGTTTATTTACTAATTGCGATTTTGAGAAATCTACTCCACTTGCATCGCTTTAGCACTAAAAGCAGTATAATCTTTTATCAGCTTCTTTCTGAAGAGTAATGGATACAAACTTTTTTTTGTTATGATCAGCAATTGTACACCGTAGATCTTACATAAATATAATTAATAATATTAAAGGAAAAATGAAACAATTTAATCTCGAAATTTTCATTTGTTATTGTCTTTCATCAACAATTATGTGAATTCTTAGAAAGTCACCATTCCATCACCATTTGCGTCTAATTCTGAAAAAACATTATCCCATTAGTTCTCTTTCAAAGCCAATCCTCCAAATATTTCCTAAAGTTCGGCTTTGCTTATTGTACCATTGCCATCTTTATCAAATAATTTAAAAGCTTTTTCTAATTTCTCCTTAGCCATTAAATTCTATATTTCCGAATAGGCTACAATAAACTCTTTAGATTAATATATATCTATTTATACCTGTATATTCTATTGTTCCTGAAAAATCAGCATCAGAATATTTGAATATTTTGTTCACTATTTGATTACATTTTATTTCATCTTAATATAAGTTCATATAACCTAAATAATTTATTTTCTATTTACATTATATTAATTCCTCTTTACTCAATTATCCATCACCATTTTTATCAATAGCGCTAAATCCTTATATTAATTCATTTTTCTCTTTTGAAGTCATAATCTATGTAGAAATCAATTGTAAAATTGCTGAACTCAATTTACTATTATTCTAAAACTCATATCAACAACACTAATTACATGAAATTAAGAAAGATTTTCTAAATTTTTTGTATTAATTCTATCTTCTTTTTTGTAACATACAATCCAAGGATCTTTTAAAGCTTATTCTGCTGAAATTCTTTTGGAAGGATCAACAACCAATAGCTTTTAAATAAAAGATTTTGCATCTTAAGAAACAAGCTCCCATTCACAACCTAATTATCATTTATATCACAAAAATACCAGTAAAATCTACATACCCATTTTTAATATTCCTATATAAATCATCTATATTTGTTCCATTAAATGGAGGTTTTCCACTCATCATTATATACAATATAACTCCACATGACCATAAATCACATTTACTGTTATAATTTTAGTCAATAACTTCTGGAGCTATGAAATATGGTGTTCCAGTCTTTTATTTCAATTATGTATTAGAAATAATCTACTTTGCTGTTCCAAAATCAATAATTTTAATATTCTATTCTGTTGCTCTCTAATCGAATAATATGTTTTCTGGTTTTAAATCTCTATTAAATAATTTTATAATTTTACCTATGCACAATATTTCTCTAATGACAATAATTCACAGCTTTTAATATTTATTTCATATAATTTGCAGCAATTTTCTCGTTTAAATTTTTCTTTTATTAGATTTTATCAAATAACTCCCCTCCGCTTAAATATCTTGATTAAAGATCTCTATTTACTCAGTTATCAAGTAATAATATCGTTCATCTTAATAAAGCTCATAAATATTCACTATGTTTGGATGGTCAAGGTCTTTCAATATATTCACCTCTTAAATCATCTTTTCTCTTTAACTTACTAATATTTTATCTTTCGCAATTTATTTCATTGCACGAAGTATTTTTGTTGATTTCTACTTAACCAAACTCACTCTTCCAAAAGTTCCTATATATTATCTCGATAATCTTCTTACCTTCTCCTAAAGAAGATTCTATGTCGTAATATTCACAAATATCTCCACTTTTTAAGGACACAAAAATACTCGGAGCAACTTTAAAATTTGTTCTTTGTTTTTTAAAACTTTTATTAGATTTTATTGTTGAAGCTTCTTAAGGTTTATTTAAAGTTGTAAGACTTCCTCTATTTGAATTAACTTTTCTTTTTGGTTGACTATTACATGAACCCATTAGATCTTTATTAATTAATATTATCTAGTAAAATAATAATAAATCATTTTATTCTTTTTAAATTCCTAATATAATTTCTATATTATTAATGAAAACAAACTTAAATTTTAAGAAACTTAGAGTAAGAATAACATTTTTACACAAACATACTGTTTTATTGATTAAATTATTTACCAAATTATGAGTAATTTAATGTAAATATTTACTTAATTATTTCCTTGTATTATGCTTAATTAGACAAAACTAGATTTCGATTTCAATTGTTTTTCAATTTAGCAGAAAAATGTAACCAATATTTTATATTCCTTTTTCTTGACTTAATATTTTTAATTAATAAAATATAATTTATAAATCTTATACGATAAACTTAGCGTATAAAATGAATAATTAGAAAAGTGAAACAAAAATAAAGTAAATAGGACATTATACCTTTGATTTTAATAAAAAAATAGGATCTGGATATTCATCAAAAGTTTATTTGGGCGAAAATTTATAAAATAAATAAATAGTTGCTATTAAAGTAATTAGTTCTCAGACATACATATCTCCAATATAAAAATCCTTGCTAAAAAATGAAATATCCATTCTTTTGAGAATAGATCATCCACACTTATTGAAAGTATTTGAAGTAAGTCAAAGTGCAAATAATACATATATAGTAACTGAATATTGTAATGGAGGAAATTTAGAGTAGGAAATGAAAAAAACTGAATTTCCGCTCCCTAAAGTTTTGTCAATTTTAAAATAGATCTCATTAGGAATACAAGCTCTACATGATAAAAGTAACAAAAATAATTTTAATTTAGAAATTATTCATAGAGACATAAAACCAGCAAATATTCTAATACATGATAATGTATATAAATTAGCTGACTTTGGATTTGCCCTAATTGAAGATCAAATCGAAAGTATTATTAAAAGATTCAATGTTGGCACTCCATTATATATGGCTCCAGAAATTCTAAAAAATAATCAATATTCAGAAAAGAGTGATATTTGGGCATTAGGTATTATGGCATATGAGCTCATTTTTAATTGCATTCCTCCGTTTAAAGCTGATATTAAAATATTTCATGATGACATACTAAAGAAATGTCAAAAAATAGATACTAAATATCAAGCTATCATTTTAAAATTACTCTTTGGGATGTTATAAGTGGAATCTGATAATAGAGAGAACATTAATTAAATTCTAAACCATCTATCTTATGAAAAACCAGAAAAACCATAAAACTTATCCCCAAGAATCCCTTAGCCTTTTATTAAATTATCTTATAATTGTGTTCAATCAAATCTAAATTCTCCATTATCTACACCGAAATATTAAGAATAAACCATTTAGACTTAAAGAGTAAAATATCACAAAAAAGTTTAATCTCTCAATAAACCTTAAACCTAGGACTTAATAAATTTCTTACCCTTAAATAAGTTTTAAATGGTTCAAGACAAACTCAATTATGTATCTGATTTCAATAATACTTTAGAAGATCATCCTAAAACCCTTTCACAAACATCAGCCAAAAATAAAATTCATAAAAATAATGAATAAATAGGGTAATTTTCAACTGAATGCTCTTTCTCTGCTCTCAACAATAATAATAATAATAATAATAATAATAATAATAATTATTAATAAAATAATGTTAGATTTAAGATTTAATAGACTTAATTACCAGCAATTGTTCTTCCAACATACAATTTTTGTTTATTTTTAGAAAACATCATTAATAATATGGATTGTAAAACTGAACAAAAATAAAAATGCAATTTTCTATTTAGAAAATTATTAGCTATCAAGGCCAAAGCCTTCTATTCATTTGCACCTAAAACAATTAAAGAATCTTTGGGTTAATGGATTAATTAATTAAATACTTACTATGAAAAAGTTTAACATACGCTAAATTTCACTTTTGATAACACTTTTCAAATATTTTTCAACAATTAGTAAGAGGATTAAGGTAAATTATTGAGTATGTATTTAATAAGTCTTATGAGTTAAATAAAAGAATAAAATTCAGATTTCGAAATATTGATTGATATCTTATAAGAAAATGTGAAACATCAGAATGATCCTTTTCTATTTGCTAGAAAATGGGCACACAATCAATTATAATGAATTTTCTATTTCTTATGTTTTATTTTTGTCATATTATAGACATACTATAATACTCAAATTTATTTATTATATATTAATATGGGAACTTGTTAAAATTAAAAAAATACTAATAATCCTGTCAAGAAAATTGATTAGATAGATTTAAGTTCCTAATTTGGTACTCTAAGAGAATTGATGCATTTTTTTGATTAGATAAGTTTAGAACAATTAAATTTCCCAGATTTATCAGCATTTTTATCTAAACATATTAACAAAAATAGAATAGTAAAAGAAGGTAAAACTTGGGTAGCTATAAATGAGGTTAAAACTATTTTAAATAATAAAGCAGTTATTTTAATACGTAATTTTAATCAAGAAACTGATGCAGCCATCTAATTAATTTATCTTCTTAAATAACTTATAGAATTTTCTTTAGAAGTTTAAGAACTATAAACTAGTTTCAATGAAAATGCTATAGAACTTTTTCAATATTATTAAGCTCAATTAGTTTAAGTAAATTTTATTAGAATATCTATAGGTTTCAATTGAAGTTTTATTAGCAGTCAATACATTAACAAGAAAACAGGAATAATGGTGGAAGGATAAATATTTCAATTGGCGTAGCATTTACATTTAATCTATGTTTAAAATTAAATAACCAGAAATCGAAAAGATTGAACTAATTTAGCCATTTTATGAATTTATAGTTTTATTAAAATTATGTGCAAAACAAATTTGTAATCAACAACAATCACCAGATTTAATTGAAATAGATAGAAAGGCTCAATAAGAAGTCTTAGAATAATTTTATAATCAAATGAGAACTAGTTTTTAATAAAATTAATAAACATAATAAATTGATAGTATTAATTTGGAGCGACAAATAGCTTCAAAATCATTAGGATAAAGACTTTAACTTTATAATTTCTATATAAAAAAGAAAAACTATACTTCTTGATTCTATCAATTAATTTAGATATACTAAAATTTTCAATTATTCTTACAATTTTTAATTTAATAAATATCATTATAATGATAATATCATAAATTAGTTATTATGATAAATATAATCAACAATCACAAGATTATCTGTCGTTTAGATCACCTCCTTAAACATCTTAAGGTTTCACCTTCCCAATTTATATTATTTCAGCATCACCTGATTAATAATTGTTAAAAAGTGTAGAAGATTTTAATGGTATGACATCTTATTTCTATCCAAATATTTATTTAGTTGAGGAATATTGCTAATTTTGAACAAGTAGTCCCAAACATAAAAAATAATGTAAAATTTTACTTATACTTATTTAATCGAACAATTAATTCATTTTATCTTTGAATTCAGGATCATTATGATTTGTTTATATATGATAAGTTATTTCATATTTATCCTACAAATTCTAAACAGATTCATTAAAATCAACTTTTTGCAAGTCTGTTTTGTTCTAATAAGTTAAAATGGTTAATATACTCCTATTAAAACCATAATTATTTTTGTTCCAACCTAGAATATTAATTCTTCAATCCATTTATCTATATGTAATAAAGTTTCTTCATTTGAACAATCATAAATTAATAAAGCTGCTTTTGCTCTCTTATAATGGCTATATTCAATTATAAATAATAAATAAACCTTGAGACAATAGATCTATATTTTTCTTATCCAGCAGTATCCCAAATTGAAAATTTAATATTATTTCTAGAAAATGAATGATGCTAAACTCCAATTGTGGTTTCAGGTTATTAATTCATATCTAAGAAGCTTGATCTCATTCAGTAAAGTTACTTGTGCAGAATTGTTGTTTTGCCTACTCCACTGTCGCCAAGCAAGATAACTATTTAAGTGATTGAACTTACTTTTATTTTAAGACATTGTTAGAAATATTAAATTAAAATAATTGATTAATATTGTTTTTATTCTAATTAATTTATTTTTACAATCTAAATAAACATTTATTAACCTTTTATTTAATGAAAAACTATAAATAATGAAAGTATTTTATATAGATGATGAATAACAAACAATCTAGTTTTCTAAAATAAATGTAATAAACTTAGGTGAATTAATTCTATTTTTTATTTAAGAAGAAGATCCATTCAATTAAGATCATTTCTAAATATGATTATTAAGATATACAAAATATAAATGGTAAATAAAATAAAGAAGATAATTTCTAGATAGATAGATATATATATATACATAGAATATTCAAGAAATAAAAAGTTAATACTTAAAAAATATAATATTGAGTGTAATAATTTTAATTTATTATTATTAATGATAAAAGAAAATGATGAACAAATTAAAATTATGACTAATTTTTTGTAGAGCAAACTTTTCATCTAAAATATAAAAGGAGATTTGTAAAAGAATTAGAAAAAAATATCATCTTTGAATGTTTAAATAAAATACTTTTAATTATTTAATGAAGATTAAGAAGTAATTTAAGAATTTAATTGTAGTTAGTTAGAATATCTAATAATGCCTATAGTTGCGTGAATAAGGCATTGAAATTTATTTTAAGAGAGCGTGTTTAAAGTGAATCTTTGAAGCAATTTTGGAAATAGTTGTCAAATATAAATTATAATCTGAATTCCAACACATACTATTATGAAAATTTATAGAATATTGAGCATTTCCCATCTTATTTTAAAGAGATTATAAAAAAGGATGTTGTAAGAACAACTTAGGATAAAGAATAATAAATCAAATTGAGCAATGTGTTAAATGCATATAGTGTTCGTAATGCATAGATTGGATATTGTTAAGGATTTAATTATATAGCTTATTATTTTCTTCAGCATTTCAATGAAGAGGTTTAAATTTGATCTTATTTAAGGAAACCTTCTGGTTTTTATGTTTTTTATTTGAGACAATCTTACCACCGAATTATTATAATCATTTATATGGAGTTTAATGTGATGATTATATTATTAAAGATCTTCTATAATTCTTGAAACCTTAATTAATTAGCCATATGCAAAAATTGTAAGTTGAAACAAGTTTATTTACAATTTAATGGTTAGTTTGCTGTTTTACATTTCATAATCTATTGAGTGAAACAATAATAGATTTATTGTTACTTGATGGATCTAAAGCTTTAATTAAATGTGTTCTCACATATATTAATTTTCTAGAGCCAATCTTACTTAAATGTGAGGATATTGGTTCATTTATAATGTCATTTGAAAATTTTGTATAACAATATGAAGATAGAGGATAATTTGTTAAAGAATACAATAGAATTTATATTAATAATAAAATACTGGAATTTGTTAGATAAGATTATTCTAAAAAAATAGTTTCAATGATTTAATAAAGAAGCAATAAAAGTGCTTAATAGTTGGATACTTATATTTAAGATATTAAGAAAAAGTAATGTAATATATAATCTCCTATATGTTAATATATTGTGGAAACTTGGAGTAGGAATAAAAAACATTTTGATTTTATTATTATTAAAGAACAAGATATAAAAATTATCTAAGATTATGAATAAACGAAAAATAGGAAATCGCTATTAGATGCTAATGATTAAATGATATTAAGATAAGATCATATATGTTAATTAAAAGATGATAGTCTTTTAATAAGAGAGATCTAGTACTCTGATATACAATATATTGAATTAGTGAATATAAAATAAATTCAGAAAACAAATTAAGTGAGTAAGAGGGCTCGTAGTCCAATAAAAGAAATTCTTCTATTTCCATTAAAAGCTTTTAATTAGAAAGAGTAGGAATAGAAATTAAAAATGAATCCTTAAAAATACAAAATAGAAACCCGTCAATTCTAAAGATATGTAAAAAGTGTTCAATCTTAGCCATCACCTAATTCTTCATAACATAATCGAGCCAGATCTCCTTAATATAGAAGATCTTATCAACCTAAAGATATGAGTAATTCATAGCATGCAGAATCTACATAGAGAACATATAATGATGAACCACCAATTATTAGAGAATCAATAACAATATAATTTTTAACAGAATTATCCAAAAATAATGGATTAATTAATCTAGAATTTGAATATTAATGATTTTTGAGTAAAAAAATGATTTATTATAAAATCATACTTATTGATATAAACTATACTAAAAAATATTGTATAATTTATACCTAATCTATATTTGCATAATCCTACAGATATTATTACGATGAAATATTTTAGACTCTATAAGGAGAATTTTATTAACTGCTCTATAAAGAGAAGGTCGTTGGAGCTTTATTAAATATTAAAATCTTACTACAAAAGTTATTCTACACATCGGTTATTGCTAATTAGGGAGAATTGTTGTAGAACAATTATTTCTAATCGTAAAAATAAACTTCAAATTTAAAACAACACAATATACTTGGCTTTTATTTTTGGGTATAAAATTAGAACTGATTATATGATAAAACTTAAGGATTTTAATAAGTTGTTCCATTTTCTAAAAAGGGTAAAGTTTATTAAAAATTAGTCTCGTCCTAACATATTTTGATCATTTCTCTAAAATTTGTTACTGTTTATTAGAAAATATATAATACATAAATTAGGTAGATTGGCTAAGACATTTGTGAGCATGATTGATAAATAATCATACTTTTTATTAAACTCTAATTAGGTCTTATGAATATTCTATAAATTTAGCATTTTCATACTTGCAGAGTGATAAAATTTTATCTATTTGTTTATGTTGATTAATCCAAAGATTAAGCAATATTGTTTTACATTGTTTTATGACTCTCTTGAAGATCATAAAGCAATATTTTCATATTTTCATGTTCTTGTTTATAACAATCAAGTTCTTGATTTTATTCTCTTGCTTCTACTTTAAAATCTGTTTCTTCTTGATTTCTACGTCTAATATACTAAATCATATTTCTAGAGAGGTCAATTAATTATATTATACTTTTAACCCTTTCTAAACCATTTATGTCGAAATTCACTTTACCCATATTGATTTCGAGTCTTTTTAAAGTTATACATATTTAGTTATCTACTTAAACATTGTTTTTTTACCTTAAAAAGCTAGGATAATTTTTGTGTTTAAAGTAATTTGCTAAAACCTTAGATGATAATTCATGAGAATTATACACTATAAAAGCTGTCCCTTCTTTATTCCAAGATATCAGATCCGATATTGATTCATTCTTATTATGAAATATAGACTTAATACTTCTAATATCTCATAAGTTTTTATTAAAAATGAAGGCACATTCACTTTTAAGTGTGGATAGATAATTGGATCTAGATTTGACATATTATTTAATTTATAAGGAATTTTCAAGATTTTATTCCACTTAAATATCACAAATTAAGACTTAAAGATTTGCTTTCTAAGGACACTTAAAAATTGATTTATATATNTATTAACTGCTCTATAAAGAGAAGGTCGTTGGAGCTTTATTAAATATTAAAATCTTACTACAAAAGTTATTCTACACATCGGTTATTGCTAATTAGGGAGAATTGTTGTAGAACAATTATTTCTAATCGTAAAAATAAACTTCAAATTTAAAACAACACAATATACTTGGCTTTTATTTTTGGGTATAAAATTAGAACTGATTATATGATAAAACTTAAGGATTTTAATAAGTTGTTCCATTTTCTAAAAAGGGTAAAGTTTATTAAAAATTAGTCTCGTCCTAACATATTTTGATCATTTCTCTAAAATTTGTTACTGTTTATTAGAAAATATATAATACATAAATTAGGTAGATTGGCTAAGACATTTGTGAGCATGATTGATAAATAATCATACTTTTTATTAAACTCTAATTAGGTCTTATGAATATTCTATAAATTTAGCATTTTCATACTTGCAGAGTGATAAAATTTTATCTATTTGTTTATGTTGATTAATCCAAAGATTAAGCAATATTGTTTTACATTGTTTTATGACTCTCTTGAAGATCATAAAGCAATATTTTCATATTTTCATGTTCTTGTTTATAACAATCAAGTTCTTGATTTTATTCTCTTGCTTCTACTTTAAAATCTGTTTCTTCTTGATTTCTACGTCTAATATACTAAATCATATTTCTAGAGAGGTCAATTAATTATATTATACTTTTAACCCTTTCTAAACCATTTATGTCGAAATTCACTTTACCCATATTGATTTCGAGTCTTTTTAAAGTTATACATATTTAGTTATCTACTTAAACATTGTTTTTTTACCTTAAAAAGCTAGGATAATTTTTGTGTTTAAAGTAATTTGCTAAAACCTTAGATGATAATTCATGAGAATTATACACTATAAAAGCTGTCCCTTCTTTATTCCAAGATATCAGATCCGATATTGATTCATTCTTATTATGAAATATAGACTTAATACTTCTAATATCTCATAAGTTTTTATTAAAAATGAAGGCACATTCACTTTTAAGTGTGGATAGATAATTGGATCTAGATTTGACATATTATTTAATTTATAAGGAATTTTCAAGATTTTATTCCACTTAAATATCACAAATTAAGACTTAAAGATTTGCTTTCTAAGGACACTTAAAAATTGATTTATATATAATTAAATAAAAACGATATCTGTTGTAAATTATTATCATAATAAGAGTGTGTTTTTTATATTTCAATTTTTAAGATCTAAAATTGGCACACAATACTTATTTGGTGAGATAAATATTAATATTGAAATTAATTAAAATTGATAAAAATTAATAAAAATTATATCATAGGACGAGAATTGAATTTGCAGAAAAGAAGAGATTAAAATTGATAGAAATAACTAATTAATAAATAGAATGTTTAGAGGGATGTGAATAACAATAGAGTTTTGAAATTTGGAATATAAATAAATATATTAATATATTTTAAATTTGTCATAAAATGTATATAATAAATCATATTAACATTGCAAATACAGATATAATAATTACAATGTCATTAATTTCCCTTTATGCACTGCATATACCATCAGTATTTGTATCAAAACTAGCCCCAACTAATTATTATAAAAGAATAAATACGTGCAACTGTAAATTTTGAATCATTATTTTATTAGATGATACAGCTGACACAATACTTAAATGGTTTATCTAATTTGCTCAAATTTCTATTTGTGTAATCTAAGAGTTGATTGCTCCAACTAATAACTTTTTCTTTTGAATAAAGTAAAGTTGCTGGAATATTGTCACCTTCTTTTAATTAGAACACAGAATTAATTCCATCATCTATAGCTTTAGCTACTTCTTCTCCAATATATTCTCCTTTCTTAATTAATAGAAGTGTATATATACATCTGCACCACCATCATCGGCCATTTTAATTACTTATTATTATTATAATATAAAAAGTGTAAAAAACTAGTATTTATATTGCGAATACCCACTACTCTTATATTTATAAATTCAAATTCCTTGATCTTATTAAAATTAATAATTATTAATAATAACACAAATGGATAATAAAAAAATTTTTAAGCTTGGTATAGTTGGAAATTAGGGAGTTGGTAAGACTACATTAATCTTGAGAGTTGCAGAGAAAAAGTTTTATGAAAAAGTATCATGTGGAGTTTCTGTAGACTTTAGAACTGTTAAAGATTATAAAGTAAATGGTGAAAGTGTCAAACTTAATATTTTCGATATAGCTGGTTTAGCTAGAAATTCTGATTTAGCAATTTCATTCATAAAAGATGCTTCTGCTTTAGCTCTTGCCTTTAATTTGAGTGCTCTAGAATATTATAACGAAGATTTTAATCAAGGAGAAAATCTTGAATAATAAATAAAGCTTTGGACAGAAAAAATTTATAATAACTCTGCTCTTAATATACCTGTTTTAATTTTGGGATGTTAATTAGACAAAGTTCAAGAAAGAAAATAAATTTTAGAATCGGTAAATGATGAATTAGAAAGAGTATTGAAAGATTGTCATAAACTTAATATTGTAAAAAATAAAAAATAACAACTTATTTACTTTCCAACTTCTTCAAAAACAGAGGAAGGAATTGATGATTTCTTTTAAATTTGGGCTTAAGAAGCTTGTTAAATCTAAAAATAATATGGATCGAAATTGAGTAATGATTCTTTGATTAAGAAAAAGCCAAATGATAATGATTAATGTTGCTGAAAAAAATATATATATTTCATAAAATATTCAAATCAAAATAATTATATAAAAATCTCACAAGAAATAGAAATGCTTATAAAATTATGTTTATATTTGCGCTCTGTAATGAATCTATGCAGATTTATTTTAATGAATATTTAGAATTCAATAAAATTTAAAATAGAAAAATTACCATTTAAAATATTTATTTGTTATAATAATCTTTAAAAGAATATATTATTCATTGCTGTTATTTTCCATCAATCTTTTTCTGTATTCAAATCCTTATTAATAATAAGAATATCATCATCAAATTTTCAAAAATAAATCTCTTATATTTCATATTGGAATTCAAATCTATTTATATCTATTTATAATAGTTTAGTCTTATTTAATTTATTTCTAAAATACTTAATTTTTTTTAATAAGTCTTCTGTATTGAAAAGTAATTGCTAAATTTAAATTAGACTTAACATAACTTCGTTTTTTTCTAAAGTTACTAAATATATGTTCTGTAGAATAATATGTTTCAAAAACAAAATGTTAATTATGCAGAAGTAGAAGAGTCATCATTTTTGAATAAATGTCTTCAATTATTGATCTGTTGTTTTTACTTTAACATTGATGAATGAATAAACAATATTTTATATCTTATCAATTCCTTATTATTTATGCAAATCATTTTATTTTCTTTAAAATAATTAATTATAATATATGGACTATTTTTATTTCTTTTAGATCATCCCTTTGTCCATATAACTACAATTTTCAATTTGTTAGAGAACAAAGTTAAATAAAATTTTAATTAAATGAATATAATTTCTCCTTAAAAAATAAGGTAGATTAATTGTTATCAATCATCATCCTTGTCTTCTTTTTCAGCAAATATTTCAAAAGCTTTTTTAATTGATTCCATATTTATAGCAACTGGTGGTTGCAAATTATGCTCTCTAAAATAAAATCCAAGGGGTAATCCCATAAAGAATCCAACTGCTAAAAAAAACATATAATCTTATAATTAATATAAATTTAATTAATTCATTCAAATTTTCTTAATATATTGATAATACTACTATTGAATAATTATTCATTAGGAATGACAACTAAACTTAGTTTTAAAGATCTTATGTATTTATTGGACTTCTTTATCCAAAAATAGTGGAATATTATATATAAAATGAAATATAGTAATCCTGCAATGTAAATATAGAGTAACAAAATAATGAAATCAGAATATCTGATATCTGAAATATTTTTAGTAAGAAGTTCTAAAAATCTTACAAAACATAGATATGAATCTTTAAAGTGAGATAAAATTATTTGATGAAATTCAATGGTTCTATAAACATTATCTATTTCATTTTGATTTGGATTAAACTTAATATTATCAATTTCATATCCATAATTTTATTAATAAAAGCTTGCCTATTTGGCCATGATTCCTAAAATTCCACTCTTGAGATAATCTTAATCATTATCATATTCATAAAACTATCCATATTTATTAACAAATTCAATTTAAGAAATATTATAAAATTAACAAAATGGAATTTCAGCATAAAGTACTAAACATATATCTGAATCAATTAATTTTTTTAATGTACTAACATCATTAGTTGATGGTAAAGTTGAAATGACATCATTAAATAAAGATTTCATAGTTTCACTAAATGTATATTGCATTGAACTAAATAGTTCAATAATTTGACTACCATCATCAAATAAATTTATCTATTTTTCGGAAAATATTTTATTTTTAATAAAATTGTCATATATTTGAGGTTAAGATTTAATAATTAATCCACTAAATACTAAAATATCAACATTCACACTAAACTTAACATATTATGCTTCTAATTCTACCATTGGAGTCATTTATTCAGTTTAAGATAAATATAATATATATAATCCCCAAATAAAGCACAAATATATAACTAAGAAGACGATTATCTTTAATAATTAAAATTTAAATCTAATTCTTATATGTTTTATTCTAGAATTTAAATTAGAAGTTCTATTTGATTTATTTTGAATTAATCTCGCTTTGTATATATTATCATAATCATTTTAGAAGATGTAGGACCAAAAATTTATTCTTTTCCATGAATCTTCACCAGCAATATTTTTTAAGGATTATAAAAGATACTATATTTTAACAATTTCATTCATTATTTCTTATTCTTTTACTCTACCAACTAATAAGGTTATTGTTTAGTTTTAAATTTGAATTTTCAGACAAAAAATAAATTAAATGCAATATAGAATTAACATTATAAGTGAATTTGTAATAATAGAGATAAATTGATTTGTTTATTGTAAATCACGAGTTAATTCAAATTGCCTTTCTAATTAATCCATAATTTAAATTGTGATATTTCTCATATTTTTAACATTATATCTGAGAATAATCATAGCTTCTATATACTCTGTATTAATATCTTGATTTACCAAAATTTATTTAGTGAAAAAATTCATGTAATCTATAAATTAGGTTAGCTTTACTTCTTCATAGTGATATAATCCTTAAGATTAATTAATATATGGAATCTCCTCTTCAGTTTCAATTAAAGATGGATAAATTAATGATACATTACCTAACATATATTGATTAATTAAATCCATTTAATATTTATTTTAATTTTTTTAAAACTAACTAATATTTAAAATACTATAATTAGAACAAGTAGTAATCCAAGCTAAAGTTGCTGTTTTAGAATAATATCTGTTTAAATTCATAGGAACTTTCATATTTGTAGTTATGGTTTAAAAATCCTAATATCCAGAATATAGCTTTATACTATTAAATACGCATAAAAATAGATTAACTGTTACAGTTAACATACAAATAAAGATTATTGCTTTTATATTATTTGTATATCTGATTTTCTTTAAAAAAAGATTATTAAAATATGTATTAGTCCTACTTGATTATCTTGAAATACCACTAGATTAACTTTAATTTATGGCCATTTCCATTTCACTAATATTACGTTTTTAATTTTTAACACTTTATTGATGAGGTTGAATACTATCATTCTCTTTACAAAATTACAGTCTATTTGATTATGGAGGTGAAAAAAAATCTTCTTATTTTTCTTCAGAACTAGATTCAGAATTCATTCCTCCTGCAAAATCATTTAATTAACTTGAAATTTCAGGTTTAAGAAATATAACTCGTTTACTAGAATTACCATTAGTTTCTAATCTTATATTATCAGTAGTGTTTGTATTGGATTTGACTACTTAACAAACATTAATTTCTTCAAATTCAATTTAATTTTCAACTCTTTACATAAATTAACTTTAAATTTTTATTGATTATTTCATTTAAGATTCAAGATCTTTAAACACAGCTTCACTTCCTATCTTTTTATCATAATTTTTTCTATAATCTATAATTTCTAGTATATAAAAACCTTTTACTTTTTCATTCTAAATAGGATAATATTACAATTAAAATTTTATAAAATAAGTGACATATATGTCAAGCTACAAATAATCATAAAAATTACATTATTGTAGATAAATTTAATAGCACTCTTGGCAAATTCTTCATTTATTAAACTTCTATCGATTTCTGTAAACATTCTTCTTCTTAAGATTGTTTTTATATTATTATTTGTTAACTCAGAACAATTAGTATAACTAGATGCATATAAAGCAGGATCAGTAATTGTGTGTTTTGTAAACTTTTTAGCTTATCTTGAAAAATCTTCATGAAATTCCATTAGATTTTATATTATTATAAATTGAGTATCTTCTAAAAACTAAACAAGTTAATTGTGTTATTTCTGTTATTAATAATCTTATATAATATTAAAGATTTCAGGCATAAAATAATAAATATACATTTATTTAGTTAATGTTTCTTGGTCTATTTTATAAGCTTTGTGATTATCTCTTATTAGTATTTCATAAAATTATTAAGTTATTCCTTAAATGTGTCCTTGATCATCAAATATTATAAAATCTTATTACTTTTAACCTTAATACATCACTCCTTTTATAACAAAGTCATCTACAAAATTAAAATCATTTGAAAATTTTAATTATAAAGGCATTATAAAATAATCTTTATTCTTTCCAAAAACTGTTTTAAATTAAACAAAAAAAGAAGATTATCCTTTTTTTAAAAATTCTGTTAACATTTCATTATGTATACTGCTAATAAAATCAGGTATAATTTGATTAACTGATAATAATCCATTATATTCATTGCTTTTATGATATCCAAACAAACTTCCTATTTTTTATTTATTCTTATTCAGAATTTCACCTTATTTTTTTACTAGACTTACTGCAACCACTGATATTTTGTCAGTAATTAAAGCTAAAGAAGTTAATTCATTTTATTTAAGTGTTTATTCAAAATAATAGACAATTTAAATTTATTTTTCACATAAATAACTATTTAATTAATCATTCATTATTAATGAATAATATAATGATAAAATTCTGAGGTGATATATATTATTGATTAAACTAATAGTGATGTTATTAATGTCTTTTTCAAATATATTACCTAACTGTTTTCTAATTTAATCAATTAATTTTGCAAAATTAACCAACTTATGTTGTAAATCGTATATATTCTTGAATCCTCTTATTTGAGATTGCCAAATATCTAATTTTTTGTTTATTAATTGAGCTATTAATGGCATTAATTCTATTTCTTATTCTTCAAATTCAACCAAATCTTTAGATGTCAAATAAGTATATTTATTCCAATTTTATGTGATATTTGTATTATAAAGAACCTATTAAATTTCTCTTTCTATGTTTTTAGTAATATCAAGAACCATTAATTTAAAATACCAACTTTAAGTATGTCCATTAAATATCTGATATTATTTAATTTTCATCAAACTTAAGGAATATTATTTCTTTATAAATGCTATATAACTAATTTTATAAAGAAAGAGGGATTCTTCCTCATTTTAGAATATCTTTGATATTAAGCATTCTAGAATATTGGTATATACTTATGCCTTATTAAAATAAATAATTACTTAGCAGTTCTATTCGCAATATTTTTAATGCAAATTCATCACGTTACAACTTAAGAATGGTTGATAGATATTTACCTACTCTTTTTACTGTTCTTTGAGGAATAGAATAATTTTTAGGTAAAGTGACTATTAATCCTTAGAAATTGCTTAAGAAAAGAGATTAAAGCAATTATTATAGAGAAAAACTCGAAAAACCTATCGACTAACAAAGTATCCTAATACACTCAGGATTAATTAATAAATTATAACTGCTTATTCAAATTGTAGTGATGCATCCAATATCATCATTATTGTACATACAATCTTAATTGAATTTAAACAAAATTAAAATTGATTGTCACTCAAACTATAGGGAAAATAGTACAAAATATCAGCAACTTCTGAAATTGTCCACAATAAGGCACATATTAAAGTTATAATATACAGAGCATTAATATTATCAATATCATAAAAGTAAAATAAAATCGTCATAAACTTCATAATTTAAGAGAGCAAACCTATTATTGTTAGATCTCTACATAATATAGTTTAACTAAAGTAAGTATTTCTCATAAATAATAGACTTAAAAAAGATTGAATAAATATTATTATTATGGTAATAGTTCCTAACATTTATTCAAATAAATTATTTTCATATTTAAGTAATGTATGTGCTGTAATAGATATTTATAAATAACAGAAATATTATGGAAGTAATCCAATATAAATTAATATGACCTTTTTAACAATTGCAATTTAGTTTAAGTTAAAGCAACTTAGTATTAATGTGTAAATTAAGATTGCAAAACTTATAAAACTAGAAATATAACCTAAAAAGATCGGAATATTATCATAATCCAATAAAGATGCTTTTAATATCGTGATAAGCGAGGTCAAATGAAAACTATCAAGTTTATTCTTGTATGATGGCATAATAATTGAAAAATATTAAGTTAATTGTAATATCCGAAATATGATCATCTAACTTCTCTATTAATTAATCTAAAGTATTTCACCATTCAAAAGTTAACTAATTTACTATTACATTTTTTTTAACATCCTTTAAAGATTTGAAATTATTATTTGATCAAATATATAATAATTAAAAAAGTATTAAATTAAAAATGAAGTTTTTAGGAAGAACTAATTCATATGATGAAATAGAACAGCAGATTATTATTTTCATTTGAAATGAGTAATTACATATAATTATAATAGGAAAATTGATTATTTTAATTTAAACTTTAAATTGATCTTCATAAATTTATTTCTGCTATTGCATTATATATTTAGGATATTTAAGCAAACTCTTAAGGAGCAACATCCCCCATAAGTTATTTTAATTCATAACTAAAATTAATATTTGATATTTACTTTAAAATGACTCTTTATGATCTCTCGAATAATAATTTATAGCTCACCCACAGAACTGATTATATAAATATAAAAAATACTTTATATTGAATGACTGCAGCTTTTTTTTTATTAATAAAATTAAATTTATTCTGTTAGTAAATTAAATGTGTATTTAACTTTATGGTAATTATTGGAAACTAAATAACGATATTTAATTAAATTCTTGTTTTCATTCCATTCATGAATTAAAGATTAGCTACCTTGACTATATTAATTAATTTTATCTCTATTAAATAAATTTAATTCTATAGCCATTTCAGCAAAACGATCTAATGTAATCATTTTATCTTTTGTATTTTCATCAATGAAATCTGCAAAAGTAATAAATTAATTTAAAGCCTATGTTTTATTATATAAATCAGGATGAATTGCTTTATAAAGTGTTTTAAATTCAGAAAACTCAATTAATTAATTTCCATCAAGATCAGCAGCTTAAAATATCAATTGTAAAGAATCTTCACATTGCTTCTTTTTTGAAAAATATAGATTCAATATAGAGATCATTTCTGATTCAAATGATAATTCTTTTTTAAGTTTTAAAGAATTCAAATATGAGTTAATAGTACTTTATCCAAGAAAATTAGTCAAATATTCATGACAATATTCAGTCATCTAATCTTATTGAATAATCAAATCATTCTTCAGAAAATTAATTTCTTTAGAATTAAAATATTTAACAGTTTCAACTACCTATTTATATATTGCTTCATCCATTTCTCCATGCATATAACAAAGTCTAGCAATGAATTGCATTTTAGGTTGAGTTTCCATTTTACTACATATATATTAAAAAATTTATTTTATTTTTTTTTCTGCAACATTTTTAAAACCATATTTCTTTAAAAAATAATCATAAATACTAATATGAAGAGGAATCTTGTATCCTTCTGGATTTTTAGAAGCATCCAAAATAAGTGTATAAAATATTTTTTATAACTAAATAATAGGAATTATTGGAATTCTTACACTTTTTTTAGTAGGTGTTTTTGCTATTAATTCTTTCATTAATTAATTAGCAGCATCTGTGTTCTGACTATAAATACGTTTTACTTTTTTTTTATCTTGTTTGAGTTCACTTAATAAAGAAAGTCTCATCTGAATTGGTTTAGTTAATTTCTTTGTAGATTACCTTTATAATCCAAATTTTTAGATAAGATCCTTCACATTACTCAATCTATTTTCATCAACTTTTTGACTATCTAATTATAAGGATTATGTTATTTCAGATTTCTATTCAATTAATGAATTATCATCTTCAGGTTAAACAGATGTATCTAAATTAAATTCATCTTATTTTTCTTCAGTTTATAATTAAACATCATTTTCTTCTTGATCTTCAAGAATATTTAAATGTAAGACTTCATTATTTATTTAAAATGTTTAATTAATTTTATCTTTTTCATCAGATTTTATTGAGCTATTTTCATCATCCATTTCTACTTTTACTATATCAATTTCTTTAGATATTGCTTCCTTATTAAAGTCAAATGTATGTTTAAAATTTGGAGTTTTTCTGGATGGAGAAGCAAATTGTGGTGAACGTTTAGATGATAATTAATCTTAACTTATTGAATTGATTTTTTTTAATAATAAAGTTTAACCATGTTTTAAACTTTTAATGGTCAATTATTTTTCTTTTAGAATTTCTACAAAATCTTATGTAGCTTCTTTTAGATTTTATTCTAAATTTTAAGCAACTACTTTATGCTCTTTTATTTATAACATTTATTCTATATGTTTTTATTGAAATTCTTAATATTTATCATTAAGATTAGATAAATATGCTTATAATTCTTCAAAGGCTTTTTATTTGATTTTTGATTTATTAATAGTTTCAATAACAAAATCTTCTTAAGCTATTGAAATAGAAGTTGCACATCTTACTATTTGAATTGATTCTCGATATTCATCCTCTTTAACTTCATCATAAATAGCTTTTATTCCATAATTTATAAAATTATGAATAAAATCATTTAAAATGGGTATGCTACTAAAAATCATTTTATCTGTTTATATAGATCCTAAAGTAATTAATATTATGAAAATAAAATACTTTCATCAATGACAACATTTTAAATTAAATTGGATTTTCTTTGATATTTTTTTATCTTAATTAATTAAGAATCTTCCATATTATCAAATTCAAGTTAAAGCTAAGACAATGGAGTTTTACTTTATTCATCATCTAGAGTCTTAGCAATTTGTATTGGTGAAAGACTTTTATTTTTAAGATGAATTGGTATTACTGCTTTTTTTGTCATAATATGTGATACAATAGACTTTCCTTCTTAAATACTTTGTAAATGTTTAAGTTAGAAATTGGAAAAAGTAGGTTGTTGTATTTGAGTAGTTATTTCATTTGAATGATTTTAAAGATTTTAGAATTATTTTTAATCTTCTGTAATTTATTCAACTGTTTACTAAAGTAAAGAAATTTCTTCTTTTTATTTTTTAATTTTTTCCTCTAAGAAGTTATTTTTTTTTTCTAGAGCTTCTTTTTCAGTTTTAAGTTGTTACAATAATAATTATAAATGATTATAATCATCTAAAAAGTTCTTTTGGGATGAATTTATCTATTATTATTATTATTAATTTAAAAGGTTTTCTGAATAGGTTTTATTAATATTTGAAATTAATTGATCAATTAAAGCAATATAAGAATTCCAAACTTTTTCGAGTAAGCATCCACGTTCCTTACATTCTAATGAAACTTATCTAATGATCTCTTTTAGACAGGATGAATATATGAGAGCAATTTCTTCAGCTATAATTTGAGTATTGCAATTTTACAGCAAAACTGACTACTTTACTTTAGAAATCATAAAATCAAACCATTATTATAAATCAATGGCCATTTATCTATTGGGTAAAGTAGTAGAGAGTTAAATCTTATCACTTTATTATTGAATGATCTTCTTCAAATATGTTTGTAATTATGATGATTTAACATTTTTGAGAAGTGGATTTAAATCTAGAGTACCATCTTTAGAATCTAATTCTGTAAAATTGGTTTTGTAAGATGTCATACTCTAAGAATTTCTATACATGGTTCCATAGAAATTAGTTTTTAATCTTGATTAGGTCTTGGCTATAGGAAAACAATTACATATTCATGAAGCTTTGGATCATCAATTAAGGTACTTAATGAAGTTGGGATGACAGTTTTCTATTTCAAATACGACGTATCTTGATATCGGGTTATTCTTGTTTTAGTAAGGTTTAATGTCAAATTAGCAGAAGTACCACTTTATTTCATGGAAGTTGCATCTTGAACAGAGATTTATGAGTTATTTTTATTTGGTTAAGTATTTGTTGTAATAGGAAGTTGGGTAGAGTTTGGTAGTAATGGAAGTTGATTTTTATTAAGCATAATGATTTTTAATTGATATTATAGTTAGTCAGATCAACCTACAGTAACAGTTTTAGCAAGATTTCTAGGTTTATCAGGATCTATTCCTTAAAGATAACAGATTTCTAATGCCAATAATTGGAAGACAATTACACTGAGTAACCAGTTTAATTATTCGCCAATTTTTGGGATTAAAATCAAATGGTCAATTTTATTCATAGTATTAGATAAACTTTGGGCAGAATCAGTGATAACAATGGTTCTAGCATTTCTAGAATTAACTTCACTTAATGATAATTTCATATCTTATATGAATTCGTCTTCTAAAATAATTAATATTATTGCAGTTTCTTTATCCTTTGAAGAATCAATCAAAGCTAAAGGACCATGTTTCATTTCTCCAGAGGCAAAAGCTTCTGCATGGATATAAGTTAATTCTTTAATTTTTAGAGCTCCCTCCTTTGCTATAGCATAATTTGATCCTTTTCCTAATATAAATAAACTTTATTTATTTTATAATATTTTAGCTACTAATTTAACACCTGCTTAACATTCCACTATACCTTAACCAAATACCATTGGAAGCATCCTTAATTAATTTACATACTTCTCTCTTAAAGACTTCATCATAATGTTTTAAGCTAAATAATTATTCTTTTCTTTATAATAACTAAACCATAGACTAATTAATATTAGAGCTGTTGCTTATGAACTGAATGACTTTGATGCTGCTACAGCCACTTCTCTTCCAGAATTCAAATAAACACCACAATCCACATTCGTTGCTATTAATGATCCAACGACATTAACACTAAAATAATATAATATATAATATATACACTCCTATAGTTATTACTCCTTATTATTTACCAATATTTAAAACTCTAACTATATCTTTAGTTTCACCGGATTATGTTATGAATATTATTCCTACCTAACTCTAAGGTAAATCATAACTTTAAAATTCACTTGCTTCTATTGTCTAAACACTCTCGAATGTTCGGAAGTTTCGAAAAATTGGTAAAATACTTTACGCTGCATTAAAACTACTTCCACATCCTATTAATATTAGATGTTTTATCTCACAAAGCTCTTTTTCTTTCATATCCAAACCTCCAAGCTTTGCACAATCTGAAAAACCTGCTAATCTTGCCCCATTTCCTAAACATCTTAAAAGACTATTAGGTTGCTCATTTATTTCCATTTCAAAAAATGTCTGATAAGGCTGCTTAGGTTTTAAGTGGATTTATTCTATTTCTTAATTTTCATTAAAAATTAATCTATGTTTTATCTAATTGTATAATTAGTTTCTATTCTCTAATTACAATAGCATTACTTCACCATCTTATAATGCTATGTAATTTTATGTATATTTTTCAAAAGCTATCTTTTCACTTGCTACAAATATACTATTAGCTGCATATCCTACTAAAATAGGACTTCCTTATCTACATACAATCATTTATGCAGGGTTTTCTCTATCAATAACTGCTAAACCCCATTATCCTCTTAATCTGGTTAAAACTGTTTCAACAGCTTCTAGAAAATTTAACTTTAAAATTTCTAAGCCAATGAGTTGAGCAATTACCTCTGAGTCTGTTTCTGATGTAAATTAAATTCCTTATTTTATTAGTTCATCTTTTAATTCTACATAATTTTCTAATGTTCCATTATGTACTAATGCTATTCTTTTAGAAGTATCATAATGAGGATGAGCATTATTATCAGTTTTACTTCCACATGTTGCCCATCTTGTATGTCCTATTCCTACTTAACTTTATAGATGTTTCTATAATTCTTATTTCAATTTTATAAAACAATCTACTTTGTTTATTTAATCACTAGCATGCTTAGATATTATTAACTTTATATTATCAAATATTTTTACATTCTTAGATTTATTTATTGTACCTATTCCTGCAGAATCATAACCTCTATTTTATAATAATTACACTCCTTCAAAAATTATTTACTCTGCATTATCTTCAGTTGTTAACACACCAACTATTCCACAGCACTTTACATTGTAATTTACTAGACAACCTCCCAAACCAATAGCAAACAATTTTTTAAACATTTTATAATTCAATCAAAATTTCAAATACATTCATATATACTATAATTCATAAATAGATGTGTCACTGAATCAGGAAAAATATTATAATGAAATTTAATTAATCACAATTCATTCATAAAATCTAAACTATCATTAAAATTTCTAAATTTGATTGGTTTGTATAAGTTCTATCACACAAGAACTTGACTGATTATAATTTTATTTTATTTTCCTAACTTAAAATAAATAAAAATTTTAATATTAAATTTAACTTAATTATGAATAATAAATGATTTCATCTAATCATATTGCAGCTGATTTTGTAAAATTATTGAATATCTATAATTTAGAAATAATTATTAAGAAAATCATAAGCATAAGATTTTTTGAAAACATAATTTACTGTTCTTTAAACGAAATTAGTCAAGAAAATATTTAAAAAATTTTTTCTTTGAAGAATTAATTTTGAGAATTCTTTTTAGATGAAAAAGTGTCATTAAAATTTTGATGTTTTTATGATGAAGGACATTATATATTTGTAATATAATAATTTATTATTTACTTATTAGTACGAACTTTTTAAAACTTAGTTACTTTACTTAATTTTAGAAACTGAACAATATTTATTTAGAGTCACTATAAATACAATTGATTTGATTAATATCTTCATTAATATAAAATATTTAAATGGGAATGTGTGCTGCCTAAAAATAGTAAAAAACAACTAATGATGGTGATCTATAAAAGGTTGTTGCATAAGTTCGTCTTTCTTAAGATTGTGAGTCAATTTTGAAACAAAGAGCAAGTCAATCATCCCATTTAAATCCGTTTAAAAACCCGATATTAAGTAGAAGATTAAAAGAAATTCCAGTTTCGTCATAACCTATAACTCAAAGTGATTGATCTTTCTTATCATCTATTATATTTTTCATATATAATCTTGAAAATTATCAAAAATATTATTTTCTGTTTATTTGCTTAACTACTAATAATTATTCTTAAAATATTGGTTGGAATGTTTCATGAATATTTTAATCAAAGGAAATTTATTATTCACATTCTTAAAACCGATTTAAAATGATTATCAGAAGATAAATTATTTAATAAATTATAATGGGAGTCTGTCATGGAAGCACAAAAAGCAATAATGGATAGTTGAAACAGGTTATGGCCAAAGTTAGATAATCACAAGATATAGAAATTATATTAAAAGAGACAACAGAAACATATAATACATACAACCCATACAAAAACCCAATTCTTAATCGTCGTTTGAGAGAATAATCCACACCAACTTAATCAAACGTTCAATGAAGACTGACTTTTTATATTATTGTTCATTTTTGTTACACTTAAATTTGTAAAAAATTAAAGACATTCGTTCTTCCCCAATTTTAGTTAAACATTAAAAATGTATAATGAAATTTCTTCAAATCAATAAAACTAATCTTTCTATCATACTTGGTTAACTTTTTATATTCAATCTTACAAAAATTGATAACCTAATGAGAAAGTGATAAAACAATATTGTGAAAAAAATCAATAATCCTTAAATTACATCATTAAATTTTTTATTCAATGATAAAAGAAAAGAAATTATTTACAAAAATATTCTCGTTTATTAAATATTAAGTATTTGTTAGATAAAAATCATCACTCTATATAAAAATGATGAGATCTCATTTTTGAATAATTCGAATAAATCAATAACGCTAAATTATAAATAAAAATTATAAATATAAATGAATTTTTTGGAAGATATTTTATTAAGAAATAGTTTTATACAAATATAAATTCGATTGTTAAAAGATTAAAAGAGATAAATGAATGCACCTGAAAATTAAAAAATAATTAACTTTTCAATATTTATATTATATCATTTTTCATCTTCCTCTTCAATTTAATCTGTATTGGCAAATTTACTATTTTTTTTTTCATTAGGACTTCCTGTTATATCTACACGATCAAATTCAGTAGTATTGAATTTTTACATAACTTTGCCATGTTGAGGTTCTTTGAATCCTTTAAATGCACAGTCTTATGTAACGAAAGATCCTTTTTCAACTTATTTTGTATTTTATAATGAGGGTGAGTCAGTTTAAAATTCTTGAGTTTAAAAATTCTTTCCTCCAGAAGAAAAAAATTATTTTTTTTAAGAGGAGGTTTATTAAAGTTTAAGATCATGATTTTGATTATGACTTTTTTCAAAAAATGATTCTAATAAACATGCACTAGCTGAAATTCTTTTTGTAGGGTCTTTTTCAAGCATTCTTTGAATTAAATTAATGATACTAGGATCTATTTTTTTCATTTATAATGGTGTCAAATCAATTTTACATTATTTATTTAACTTTAATACTAAATTAAATCCAACTCCTGGAAATAAATCTTTACCAGTTAATCTATAAATAAATAGATAAATTAATTACAATTTAAAGAAAATAACTCCAGCACTAAATACATCACATACTTTATCATATTTTTCTGATTTATCTACTAAATTTGCAATTTCTGGTGCAACATATCCAGGAGTACCACATTTTGGAAATAAATATCTAAAATTAAATAATTAATAGGTTACTTTTCTAAATTACAATAGGTTGCCAAACCAAAATCAACTATTTTTAAAGAATTAAGATCAGATTTTTTTTATAACATAATATTTTCTGGTTTAAGATCACGATGCATAATATTTTTATTATGCATATATTCTATTCCTGTTAGAATTTACTAAAAATTAATTTAAAAAAAAATGCTACCCACATAACATTACGCACTATATCTTCAGGAAAACCATTTTTGTGGCTATTTAATTCATCATGCAAACTCTTTCCTTCTAATAAATCCATAACCATATAAAAAGTATTGTCACCTTCATAAACTGCATGTAATTTAATAAATGAAGGATGATCTAAATCATTATTGATAGATATCTCTTAAAACATTGATTCCTTAAATTAATAAAATACAAATTATACAATTCCATTTTCTGTTTCATTCACATATGACTTATCAACACATTTCGCAGCATAATAAAGTTCTGAATTTTTATGTCTTACTAACAATACTCTAGAAGAAGCTCCTTTTCCTAAAGTTTAAAGAGGCGTGTAAAAATCTTATATTCTTTGGAAGATTATTTTATTTCTCAAATGCTCTTTTAATCTAGTTAAAGTCACATCATCACCACAAAAACTTGTTACTTTAGCAATTTATGATTCTCTTATTTGTTTAATCTTAAAATTTAATTGCTACAAATTACTTATTAAAACTTAAATGACACTATTTTATAATGTTTCTTCCCATTAACATTTTCTTCTTCAACTTCCCATTTGATGTGAGTTTACAATTAAATAGGTAAAATATATTTTGAGACCTTGGCATTCTCCTTTTATCTATTAAATTAATATTATACTTTATAGAGTTCAAGTTTGTTGTTATTTAATATTCCTTTATAATGTTTTATACCCTTTTATCCCTTTTTAAAACAATTGAATTCAAAAATTTATGGAGCTTCTAATTACATAATATTTTTAATTAATTTTATAAAATAATATTAAAATACTATATCAGATAATCAATTAATTAATCTCTCTTTAGTTTATTGTTCTTCTTTATAAAAATTACCTTTTTCTTCTTAACATTAATAAAATAAAAATTATTAATTCATAAATTATAAATATAACCTAATAATAATTAAAAATCATTAAATTATTTAGTATTTAAATGAAATTTTGTATAAAGAAATTTGATTGATAAATTTTAAATTTGTTTAAAAATGGCAGAATAGTAATAAGCGGATTATTTGAATCTTAAAGTGAAATCATAAGATGGAGAGGAAGTGTTTTTTAAAATTAAAAAGTAAACATAATTCAAGAAATTAATGGATGCATATTGTTCAAGGCAAAATGTACGATCAGTTAATTATTTTTTTAGTTACAAATTCAAAATGTTCGATTTTTATTTGATGGTGAAAGAATATTAGAAACATAAACTCCTGCTGATGTAATTTTGCTTAGCTTATATTTAGATTGGAATGGAAACAGGTGATGAAATCGATGTCGTAATAGAATAAGTTGGTGGCTTGATGTAATAATTGTGTTGAGTTAAAATAATAAAGTTATAATTCAATCGTTTTCAACCCTCATTCAATTAAATGTTTCTTTAATATCTCTAAGGTATGTTTGTAAAGATTAACAATTATTAAAAAGATCTATTGGAATAAGTGATTGTATTTATCTTGCTGTCTTAGATTCATAATAAAATCTTGCCTGTAAAGGAATCCAAACTAAAAAATACACAAACACTGAAATAACACAAAATATCATGAATAATAAAGTAAATTGCAATTACAGATCTGCGTAATGCTAATTTAAATAACTTTATAATTCCTTTAATAATTACATATGACAGACCCTAATAAATACCTTTTACATCTTTCTATTAGCATTTCCAATTCTTGTATTATAAATATTACATGTATAATTTTTTCTATGATGTTAACTGATATCAAAGGTTAAATTACTATAAATTGCATTTTTATCATAATATGAGTATTGTTGTAACATATTTTATGCATTTTCGAAAAAATTTGTTATTGCAACAGAGAGACCTTCTTACAAAATATCTTTATTAAAATTTAAACATGCTGTTGAATTCACAGATGGATCATTAGCCATAATAATTTCACATGGATTTTGTATGTATATATCATCAAAAACCTATTTATATTGATCTGATAAAATGAATTCATTTTTTTAATTCAATACATGAAGTTCAGCATCTAAAAGTTTAATATTTTCAATTTCCTATTGTAATTTTTAAATTGAATTCAATTCATTAAATAGTATGGCATTTTCATCATAAAGTAACTCTTTAATACTGTTATCAATTAATCTATATTGAGTTGGCATAAAAGATGTTAAATTTACTAGAGGAACTAAAGTATTTGTTTATTCAGTGATATTCTAAAATTAAATAATTAAATATTATTACAGTTGATGAAAAGTACAAGTAAGAAAAATAGGAAATGAGAAGTGCAAGAAAGAATATAAAATTTATTTGTATTTTTTGATAGTTATTTATTTGGAATACTGATCTTCTATTCTTAAATTTATTTGATTATCCTAAATAATAATCTTACTCATCCTATTCTTCGGATTCATCTTCTATTGATTCAATCTTAAATAAGAATAATTTATTACTTCATCATCTTTACTTAATTGCAACAATTATATGTAAAGTTAAAATGAATTGATCTTTTTTTTAACTAAACTTTCTTAAATCTCTAAAAATAAAGCAATAATCTCTTTTAAATATTTTTAATGAAAATAGATATATATTTAAAAAAATAATCCTATAAATACTAAACAACAGAGTTACAAAGTAAAAAATAAGTTTTCTTCAATAAATAAATCGTCTATTAAACTTAGAATATTTGAATAATAATAAGCTTGCGAGATTAATTAAGATTTAGGAATTGAATTAAGAGTATTATGAAGATAATAATGAAAGTCTTCATTTTAATCCACAAAACTTGTTATATTAGAATTATTAAGTGAAATGGCCTTAGATATCATTTATTATATAGCTTAAGTAAAAGTAAAATTTTGATATGAATTATCTTTTTTAAACATCTTCACATTTGATGATTAAAATTCATCTACTACATATTTATAATCATCATTAATATTAACATTTGCTGATGTTAATATATTATCAGCTTCTAATAAGACTTCTAATTCATTGTTTAATTCAACATAATTTATTGCCACATATCTTCCACCAGTTGATTTGATTGTATATTGTTCCAGATTCAAATAGCATCCTCTCAAATCTTATAAATTAGATTATATTTTCAAAATAGATGCAAATCTTTAATTAGAAACTGCTAAGAGACCAATTGCTGATTAAAATTAACTTTAAGTTGATATAATTACCAAGTACATTCCTACAGCAATTGCAAACATTAAGATCATTAAAGTATTAAGAATAATAATCAGTTTTTTAAGAATCGAAGAATAAGGAACATTTAAGAGATGATACATTAGATCTTCCTAATTTAATATTTTGATTTATTGAGGTTACTATTTTTATTCTTCAAGTTATAGTTTTTATGTTTTTTCCCTAATTTATTCTTCCTCTTCATCTTCTTAATCTAGATCTAAAATCTCTTTAATTTCTCCTTGAAATAATCTCATTGTTTTAATATCATAACCTAAACCTTATTTCAAATTAGTCATAGAAAATTATTTTTTACTAGGAAAACTTTACTGAGTGAACACACAAACTTTTGGTTCTTCCTATGGTTCACTATCATTTTTAATTGATTCATATTATGAAGTTGATTAACTAACTTATTCATCTATTATATTCTTATTTAATACATATATATGAATTTTAATCAATTGAATATTTAAATTAATAAGTTAATTTATTTCTTTTTATTAAATAATTCTCTTTAGGTAAAACAGTTTCATTTATTTATATTTTCAAATAGTATCCAAAAATTTAAGGGCGTTATTCTCCTTGAGAGAATGAATAATTTCTAGTTGATATTTCATATAATTATGCATAATAAAGTTAAGATACACATTAATCATTATATTTATCTTCAAAATCTGAACTTTTGCTAAGAGAATTTGTATGATTTTCAAAAACAATCAGATTCATCTTATTTATATAATCATCTTTATTAAACATCAAATATGGAAATAATTTTTAAATTGTTAGTTATCTAATTTATAACAAACGGATGTCTAGGTTAAGAATATTAATGCAACTCGCTGAAATGTTTTCTATTTTTCCATCTAAATTAAAAATTATATAAGCACAATTGTTATAACATATATCTTATCTCACCCTACAAAACTAAAAAACACCTTTATCAGTTGTAAATATTGAATTTGTACTAAAAGTTTAAAGAGTATATTTAGTTTTTGAAACTAAAAATTACGTTCTTTCTTAGGTTTCATACACTTGATCTTATCTTAATTAAGAAAAATAACTTTCAACAAAAACACTATGCAATTTTAAATATCTATGTTACATATAGGTTAATTTAATTACGTATTTTATAAGATTAGTTACAATGGTCTTCCAATAACATCTGTTTTGGAATATCCTAATAAAGAGTGGAAAGCCTAATTGATATTTTTAATTATTGTAGGTTAATTTGCTTTACCAAATAATTCCAAAACTACAACTGGATATGAATATGACGTTAATTCTTCTTAACTTTTTAAATATTAATGTTCTGATTATTGAGATTGCAATTTTTTTTTATTAACAATTTGAATACCTTTAGAACTATCTAAATTATGAACATATTTAGAAAATTTATCTATTAATCTATAGATTTATGGATCTAACGAATTACTTCTTTCAAGCTTAAACAATTATTTATTTAATAAATTAATAGTTCGAAGAATTAAATTTCCATATTTCTATAACTATGATAAATTTGGATTCTCATCCAATAAAGTATTCCAAAATGAAATTTTATAATACGCACATTCTTCAGACAATTATTTTATTTATTTATATTAATATTTTATGCTTCTATCTTTAGCTTAGATGTATTTAACTTAATCCATTGTAATTGTAGATTTTTAATAATTATCATCAATTATTTATCTCATCTTAAAGATTAAAAATTATTAATCAAAAGAAGGAAAACCCATTTCAGCTTTATTTACTTCATTTAGAGCTTTTTATCCTTACTCTTGTACTTCTAATAAAAAATATGAATAATGTAGTTTTAAATCAACATTGAGAGGATAAGTTTCAAGGCCAAGTAAATAAATCTAATTAATAATTTCTTTCAGTATAATTCTTTTATCTGTATATTTGAGATTATCTTTAAATTTCTTTGATAATTCAGCAGATGTTTTAATTGCGCATTTAGGATTTAAACAGGTTTATTTATGGACTTCCAAAAAACCTAATAAAAGAATCTCTTTATTTGTATCCTTCTCATAATCTTCACATAATTCAATCAAAAATTCAGAAAGTTAAATAATTTCCAAACTCGAAAGTTGTTGAATCATATTTGCTTTTATTAAATTTATAGTTTATCTTTCATCTTACAATAAAATAACCAATAGCATTGGCATAGTAACAATCCATGCTTTCATAGTATCTATAAGAACAAGATGTTCAAAAGTATATGCTGTTAAAAGCATAAAATTTGTATAAAAAACTAAACCGCTAATTGCTGACCAAAGTTTTTAAATATTCTTATTATAAAAAGGCTTTTTAAAATGAACTTTATAAAAGAATAAGAAACTTGTTCCAAATTGAATTAAAATCACAACTATAGAATATTTTGGTTATTCTATTATCGAGTATATTAACATTGATAATGATGCATATAGAAACATAAAAGTATAAGTAGATCCTTCTCTCTAAGAAAATGCGTTCTTTTTATTATTTTTAACCTCTATAAATAATTTGGATCCAATAATCACTATTAAGAACATGATCATTAATGAAAATATTACAATACATGCATGAATAATATAACTACCAGTCCAACATTCTTAATCTATTGTATACAACATTTTCAATTTTCCATTCTGATCTCTCTTACAAACTAAAAACTAAATTAATACATATAAATAGTACTCCTAATTGCAATCTCAAAATCTCTACAAATCCTACTGTCATTATAAATTTTAAACCAATACTTAATATTATAATCAGAAACTTGTTATTCAAGAATTGTTATTTAAAGATTGTTGCCAAAAATACTATTATTGCAATCAAGAGTATAACACTTATGGCACAATACATTCCAATTAAATATGTAGAAGTTTTCTGTTAGTTAAGCATTCTGATAATAGTAAAATACTACAAAAACTTTTGGATTTCCCCTGATAGAACCATATTATGCCATGCAAATTAAATCTATATTTAAAAAGGAAAATATATAAGCTGAAGAAACTAAATAAGAGATAACAAGAAAGTAGTTTATAAAGATTAGTTGTTTTGACCAATAATTTAATAAGCAATACTAGGATTACGAAAAATGCATACTTAAATAGTGATAGTTTGAATTAATCCCAAAGTGTTTATGAAAAGTCTTGTTGAGGACTCATATCAAATTGAATTTACTATTTTAATATTATGATAAAGCAATATATTTTAGAATTTCAAAACATTAAATTTTTATATTTAGATAATTATTATAATAAAAAAAATAATTAATGAATCATCTTCTGCTATTTCATAAATAATCTGATTACTCAAATAAATAAAGTAAACTATTTACTATTAAATGGATTCAATGATATAAAGAGTGATTAATATGATGATGATGGTATGTGCAAACTATATATCTATGTTAAGACAATAGAATAAATAAAAGCATAAATTCAGCTTATATAAGTATGACTTGATTTCAATTTCAATTTAAATTAATAATTAATAATAATTAATAGAGTTAAAACTGCAGATATCTTTTTAGATGTAGACGTATTTTAATATTCAGAAGAACTTTATTGAAAGCAAGTGTAGTTTTAAATTATTTAATATTCTCAAAATTATGTCACTCACAATTTTTAGATGTAGAAAATTCTAAAATATTCGAAAACTCATATAAATAATAAGTTACATTTAGATGCTTTCTTCAATTAATGATATTAGGTTTAATTATTCTAACCGAATAATTTAGATTCAATACAAAATTATTAGAAGAATTTTTAGGAGGTTCAGTAACTGCTTTTTAGGTTCTATCATCAATTATTTTATTTTTTAATGACTTCATTGAATTACACTAGGATTTGCATGATTGTACTAATATTTATACACATAAGTTGTAAATCAAAGAAACTATATTCTTATTTTTAGATATTAACAAAAAAAATTAAATCTATTTATGTTGAATGCTAGAATGTTTTAACGAGTTTCATATAAATATCGCTTAGCATAATTTAAATCAAACCTTGAATGACTCAGTTAATAACTAACATCTAAAACAATAATCAAGCTAAAGTTGCATTCTTTTTAACATATCACTCTTTTTTATTTCCTTTCAATTTGAATACTATTACTTATCACGGATCTATATGATAAACTCAAAATTTGAATAATGTTACCAATATTAAAATTTCAACAATAAGATGTCAAATAAAAAAAAATTATAAAAATTGAAATAAAATTTTAATTTAATTTATTATAAAAATATGAAGACTACGCGAATTGAACGCGCGACCCCTGGACCTGGAATCCAACGCTCTACCCCTGAGCTAAGCCTTCAATGATAATAGATTATAGGATATTTGATATATCTCAATTATTTTAGAGCAAAGTTGATGTCTCTTCTAATTACCATATATTTTTAAGTATATTTCTATTTGTGTTATATTTTTGAATATACACTATTAACATTCTTCCTGATCGAAGTAAATTTATATGATGATCTTGAATCAATTTATCACAAAAGCTCTGGATTCAAACTTGTTTAAGTAAAACATTCTGATTTGAAAGTAATAATATCATAAATGCAAATAACAATTTTTAAATAACTTAAGACTTTTGAAGAAAAATCTTAAAAAAGAGGTGAGAATTTGAAAGCCCCAACTCTTTTATTGTTTTTGAGAATGAATCAATCATGAGTAAACGAAATATAAGTTAAGTTAAGCAAACTTGTTAAAACAAAAAGATCCCTCTATTAACAATCACTGGAGAATCCTTGATAAATATAAGTTAATACTATAGTGGTAGGATTATAATATGGATAATTTATCTAATTGAGCCTAAGAATAATGTAGTTATGTATGTTAGATGTGAAGCTTAGAATTCTCCTAATAAAATTAAATCGAATCCTCATTGATAATGTTCCTTTACTTAACATTAGAGTTGTAAATATTATTTCACATGAAATTAAAGGTTTTCTTTGTTTAAAAAAATATTTAATCAACTTTGTTAAATTGATATAAACCTTCAATTTCCAAAATTTCTATATATAATATCATACTTTATTTTAATATTTTTCTGTTTAATATAAATTCATAATTCTAAAAATAGGATCAGAAGAAATTTATATTAAAAGTGTGAATATTCATGATTATATGGAGTTTAATTGTTACATAAATTAATGTAAAATTAATATCTACGCAAATAATTAGGTTTTACGTATTATAATGAGATAATTATAAAATTTCGTCATTAATTTATATATGATGATATAATTAGAATAAATAATGACGATATGACGTATTATTTAATGAAATCTCATAATAATCAATATTTGTAATCGGGCACAAATAAAGACTCATTAGATGCACCTGTTTATCCTCCTTGATATTTTCCTAATAGAGTTAATAAGGAAAGGATACCTAATTATGCTTCACTATTTGCTTTAGCTCTAATTAAGAAAGCCTTTTGAGCAGCATCCCAATTTTCTTATTTTCCAGCCCAAGTTTTGACAGCTGTATTTTGAAGAGCTCTTCCATATGAGAATGTTAAAGTCCATGGTTTTCTAACAGTAGTTAATTAATTCATAGCATTTAAGTTTAAAGATGCTTCTTCTTCAGATTATCCACCTGAAAGAAACTAATAGATAAATATAGAATTGTTACAGTAACACCAACAAGAGCAGAAGGTACTGTTCTACTTAAAGCTAAAGCTGTTCTATATCCAATTTCTTAAGATGTGATCTTGTTTCTATCAGGATTATTTGATCCAGCAGTAACCATATTAGGTTTAAGAAGACAACCTTCTAAGAATACATTGTTTTCATTTAATGCTTTGAAAACAGCAGCTAATACTTTTTCTGTGACTTTTTGACATATATCAATAGAATGATCTCCATCAGCTAAGATTTCTGGTTCAACTATTGGAACAAGTCCATTATCTTAACAAATTGCAGCATATCTTGCTAATCCCCACGCATTTTCTTTAATTGCTTATTAAGATGGTAATCCATTTCCAATCTTCAATACAGCTCTCCATTTAGCAAATCTACAACCAAGTTTATAATGTTCAGCTGCCATATTATTCAAACTATCTAATCCAAGAGTAGCAGATTCATCTTAAGTTCCTGGAATCACTCCTAATCCCTTGTCTACTTTTATACCAGCTACTATTCCTTTCTCTTTTAATAATTCTACAAAGTTCTTTCCATCCTTTGTAGTATGTTTTACCTATTAAATGTATCTTTATATTTTATACTGTCTCTGAAAATAATATCACACCACTAATGTAGTTTTCTATTCCACTTGATGTAAATAACAATTCTCTATATGCTCTTCTGTTCTCTTCATTATTTTCTACATTTATTGTAACAAACTTCTTTCCTATTGTACCTTATGACTAACTATCTTATTATAACTTACTTCATCTGCTGCCAAAATCCCTTTTCCTGCAGTACAGATCTTTTAAGCTGTCTCTGCTAACTCCTTTCTGTAGTCTACTTTTTATTACATTAAGATATTTTAAATTCAATTTATTTATTTAAATTTTATTTTCATTCATTCCTTTTCAATATTCAAAATTTAGGCTTCTAGAATCTACTCAATTAAAATGTTTTATATTTTTATACTCCTGTATTAAACATCTCTTCTATTATCTCTCCCATTACTATACAAAATTTAAATCCATCTAATGTCTATTATATTTCAATTACGTCCTGAACATGCACTCAATATTATTGTATTTTTGCATCTTGGATCAAAATCTATTGTAAAATTATGATCCCTTGTACTTGTATATACACAAGTTTATACTCGAGATACCGTGGCATCTTTTAATTCTGGCATATACTTCATCAAAAATCCTCTTATAATATTAGCAGATCCTTCTTCATTCTTAGTTTGATCATATAAATCAGGATGTTCCAATGATGGACCAAAATGATGCAATCCAATCTTTACTTCTCCATTCACTCTTGGAAATCCATATAATTCTTATGAATCATCCTCACTTAAGAAAACTGGCAAATCATCAAATCTTTTATTATCAGTTTTGAAAAATACAACCTACTATTTATATATTCCTATATCCAATGATGAATAAGTATTTTATAATCTCTTTAAACCCATTCCAAGTGATAAAATCAATTTTTTAGATCTAAATACTCCTAAATCTGTATAAACATGAATCTCATCATCCTTATATATATGATTTATATAACGACAATTATTTATTAGCTCTCCTCCTTTTGCTTTGCCTTAATTTATAAATATTTATATAGCTAATTCTGGTTTCACAAATCCTGCTGATTTATCAAAAAAGAATTGTTAATCTTAAGATGTCTTAATTGGAAATCTAGATTCCACTTCTTGATGTTTTAATTATTAGAGATTTGGATTATGAGATTATGTAAAATCTCTAAATTAATTATCTGTTTAATGTCCAAATAATATTCCTCCTGATTTCACATATACTTATTCACTTGTAGAATCTTATAATTGTGACCATAATTCAAGAGATCTTCTAGCAATATCGATATATTCTCCTGAATAACCCATTTCTCTTACAATTCTTGTCTCACCATTATGAGATCCTTTTGTATGAGGGGAAACATATTATTCGATTCCCAAGACTCTCATCTTGCCAGAGAAATGTGAGAAACAATTACTACCATGTGAACCTAATCCTACAATTATTAAGTCATATAATGTATCCATATATTTATTATATTTCAATTAAAATGGGACCTATTTGTTAAACCATGTAAATTTATGTAATTTACATCATAGAAATCCTGTTCTTAATTTATCTCTTCTTCTGAATTACATTTTTCTTAGTTCCTTGCACTTTATAATTCAGACGGTTAATTAAGTTTCTTAGAATAAGGACTAAAAATTAAGGCATCATTTATAGACAAAATATCATATTTTGAATTGACACTATTTAAATTACTTACGTTCAGTGTTTGCATTTAATATTAATACCCTTCATCAATTAAATACGTTTAACCTGATTCAGATAGTTTCATCGGTACTTTTATTCCAACCGAATGTACTTTTTAAATTTCACTTCTCCTTTTCATTGACATAATTATAAATTAAAACCGTGACATTTCATACAATAAATTTTTATAATTCAATTTACAAGCCATTTGAGAATGAATTTATTTCTAAAATTTCAAAAATCCAGACAATTCTACTTACAAACCATCAAATTTAACTGATTTAATTTTTCCACAAAAACTTTTTATAATGTCAAATCTTCTCATTTCAGGATAATATTATCTCATTATATCATCTAAAACAGATTATCTCATTTGTGATAAATTTAAAATAGTAATCAAATATTTGACAGAAAATAATATACTAATTATTGATCCAATTGCTGCAAATACTTCACTTATTGATGGATATCCAATTCGTACTGTATGATATTATTATTAAAAGAGTATCCAATATGATCCAAAAGTATCTGGAAGGTAATAAGTATCACAGTAACTTTTAGCTCCATATTAAATATAATTTAGCGAATCTGAAATATAATTATACTCTTTTATTTCTGATGAAAATAAGAAAGCTTAGTCTATCAAATATTGATTCATTTGATAATGTAATGTAATTTCTGAGCACAACTCGGCACCAGAATGGATAAAAATTGAATAGGTTCTAAAATATGATTGATGTGCAAATGTTGATGGATTGATTGTAGTAAATTCAAAATTTGCATATATCATATTTCCATATTAACTCAAATAATTTTTCTTAACTTCATCTGAAGCACACTTATATCCTTCAATTAAGTATTCTTCTTTACAAAGTGAAAAGAGTACTATGAATTGCCTATCCTTGTTAACAATTTAATTGATATCAAGCTTACTTTCTTATGTAAAATTAGTAGGCAAGGCTTGATATTCCCCTACATCAAGATCTAAAATCAAAGGCATAATAATTAACTCATCCCCTTTAAATGGATTTATTGCTGATTCACCATTATTATCATAAGCTATCACCTCAATATGATTGTTAATTTCACCAAATCTAAAATCCTCTTGAAATTTGTTTATATCATCGGCTACTTTTGGCAAAAGGGAACCACTCTACCATAAATATAAATAGTATGCACAATATAACAAACTCAATGAACCAATTATCAAAGAAATAACTCCTCCAATTATACTTGAATGATTGTAGTTAAAACCTTCTGATATGGCAGGAGAGTATGTTACACTAAAAAAATCAATACTCTTAAAATGATTTCCCACTTTTTTCATGATATTTAAAATTAATATAGATATAAGTATTTCTTCATATTAAATTAATAAGTATTTTTAAATATCCATATAATTAAATTGTTAACTATAAATCTTAAAAATTCTTTTTATATAATTTAATAATAGTTTCTCATTATTATATTATTAAGTTCAATCTAAGTTGAATTTATATTCTAGGCCTGCAATAAATTACACCTTTTAGTATTTTTGATTTTATCTAAGAAAATAAGCAATATTTTAATAAATTGCTCATCTAATTTAAATTTCTCGTTTTCATATATATTATTTTAGAAATTACGAAACTACAAGGAATTTAAAACAGAATAGTTAATAATTTGAGTATTAATTTTTCATGTATTAAGCAAGTTTCTCATTTATTTGAAAGAAATTATTGAAAGTTTTGATATTTTAAATTATTTAATTTTCTTTAGCTTAGACTAAAAAATTTAAAAACTATTAATTCTAGAAATTTTATAAAATTGACATAGAACTTTAAAACAAATTGAAATTAATTTTAGAGAATATATTTTTATACAATTTAAAAATTTCAATAGAAATAGAGATAACTAACTAAATATATTGATTATAAAATTTAACTTGAGCAATTAATTAGTTTTAATATGGATAATAATAATTTCAAAAATCATCAATTTGCCTATTTTTGGGTGAATTCGTTTACTTAATAAAATTAATGTCATAAAAGTCTTATTCCCTTTCAATCTCCTCGTTTTCATTACCATTATCAACATTATTAGTTGTTTAACCAATTTGAGTTTCTGACTATTATTATAGTTTTTTGAATTCCTAACTTAATATTAGAGCATCATTTATTGATAAAATATCATATTTGGTTTTAATTGTATTCATGTGTCTTAGATTAAGAGTTTTTTGTTGATTTTAAATTCCTTCTGAGATAACATAAGATTCTCCTGAATCTGATAATTTCATTGGGACTTTAATTCCTACACCATGAACTTTTTCAATTTCTTTCCGTCTTTTCATTGACATAATTATAAATTAAAACCGTGACATTTCATACAATAAATTTTTATAATTCAATTTACAAGCCATTTAAGAATGAATTTATTTTTAAAAAGCTACATAACTTGGTAATTCTACTTAAACACCATCAAATTTAACAGATTTAATTTTTCCCCAAAAATTTTTAATAATATGAAATCTTCTAATTTCAGGATAATATTATCTCATGATATCATCTAATACAGATTATCTCAATTATGATAAATTTAAAATGGTAATCAAATATTTGACAGAAAATAATATACTAATTATTGATCCAATTGCTGCAAATACTTCACTTATTGATGGATATCCAATTTAAACAGTTCTATACTATTATTAAAATAAAACCCAATAAAGGCCATAAGTATCTGGAATAAAGGTTTTATCACAATAACTCTTAGTACCAAATTATGGGTAATTAAGGGAGTTTGAAATATAGTTTTATTCTTCTATATTAGAGGAAAACAAGAAGGATTTATTTATTAGATAATGATTTAATTAATAATGTAATGTAATTTAAGAGCATAGTTCTGCATTTGAATGAACATAAATTGGATAAGTTCTAAGAAATTATTAAGGTTGAAATGTAGATGGATTAATGGTAGTAAATTCAATATTGGTATATAACATATTACCAGATTAATTAAAATATTTTGTTTAGACCTCTTGGGATGCACATTTGTAATTTCCAATTAAATAATCATCTTTACAAAGAGTAAAGATTATTATAAATTATTTATCTTTTCCCATAAGAATGTTGATATCAAGTAATTATTCATCTGTAATATTGCTAATAAGAGGTTCTAGATCACCAACATCAAGATCAATTATTAATGGCATTAAGATGATCTCATCACTTTTAAATGGATTGATTTTAGATACTCCATTGCTGTCATATGCTATCACTTACATTCTATTATTAATAAAACCAAAGTCAATTTCTTCAGAAAAATTGTTTATATCCTCTGTAACTTTTGGTAATAACTAATAACTCCACCAGAGATACATATAGTATATACAATAGATTAAGCTTAAAACACCAATAATCATTGAGATAATTCCTCCTATAACACTAGAATGGTTATAGTTTAGACCATCTGATATGGCAGGTGTGTATGTTACGCTGAAAAAGTCTAGATTTTTTAACTGATTTGAAATTTTCTTCATTTTTATTTTTTATTCTTTGGAATTTATTTCTAGTGTTAAATGTAAAGAATAATGCAATAATTAACATTTTATTAGTAAAACACAAATTAAAAATATGAGTCAATTTCGGTTCCAAATAGTAATTTATACTAATATAAGTCTTAATGTTGGAAGTATGCTCTTAAAATTCTGAAAAACGTCATTTAGGAATTGTTTTCCTTTGAAGATCAAATTATATAAAATAAAGAATTCATTAGGTATATAATCTTATTTATTCATTTTGCATTTTCTACCTAGATTTCTAATTTACATTTAAGAATTAATACTTTAATCTGTTTAAAAATGTCTAAGACTCTCTATATAAAGAATCATTAGTTTCTGTCAAAATCAAAGTTTAAGGAAATTAATCAAGTAGTTCATTAATGGCTTTCACAAAGGGATATCATTGAAACCTTTTAATCAAGCATTTCATTTATATGTATCAGATTTTACACTTAATTATAAAAAATAATAAGAATGCACCCTTAATATATGATAATATATTAATACTCATGATCTAGAGTAAAAAGTTGATGTATATTGAAATCTAGAAGAAAGTGAAACTAATCTATCTCCATGATTATAGTTATTTATAAAATAATCTATATATATAAACTTATACTTGTTAACTAAATTAATGAATCTTAATAACAGTTTTATAAATTTAAAAAGAGTGTTATAGTTAAGGCTTCAAATTCAAATTTTAATACCATTATTTTACATATTCTATTAATTTATAAAACAATAATAATTATTGAATTTTATCAATTTATGATTAAGGTAATAATAATGTTAATATTGTGTTTCTAATTGTATTTTACATATATTATATTCAAGATACCTAGGAATGATTATACATTATTTGTATTATATCTATGAACAATCATTTGCATTAACCATTTTCATCCATATATTGCATACTGTAAAGCCTAATTTTACTTTTGGATCTATGATTAATTTGTGTTCTTCCAACTAATCTTTTATTTTAGCCAACATTAAACACACTTTCTTAAATTATGAATTATGTCTCTGTATATTTTAGTTTCTGTTTCAGATTTCTCTTACATATTATCTGAACTTATTAAATTTGTAAGCATTATCAATTCTAATCAATAAATTGTGTCATCATATTCTTTGATTCTTCATCATATTAAAAATTAGACCTATAAAAGTATTTGCATCTAAATATTTATTATGAAAATTAATTTTTCTATTTTATATTATATAATATTATAGGAGTTAAAAGAGAAATGATGAAGCAGATAAAATATTCATTAAGAATTGATTTTTATTTTAAGTAAATATATCATTTTATTCTTGAAATTAATAAAACTTTTAAAATTGAAATAAGAAATGTTTGAATTATGATGAATTCTATAATATTAATACCATCCGTAATTTGTCTATCATATATATTTATATAAAATATAATGGCTCAATAAATTGATCTTGATAATGAGAATTAACTCCCTTTAAATACTAATGGTTTCACAGATTCAGCTGTTATCACTTGTTTCCATTGTGATTAAATTGGAGAAACAAAATTAATATATCAAAGAGGAATGTGGACATATTTAATGTGTATATTAATGCAATGCATATGTGGGTTCATTTTTTGTATTATTCCAAAGGCCTTTAGGGTCGGTTGTCTTGTTTATGAATGACTGCAAAGATATTTATCATATCTGTAGAAACTGTAAATAAGTGGTTGGAATTACTGAAAAACAAATTAAATTTTAATGAACTTAAAGATTTTATACAAATTTATATACCCAAAATTTTGTGAATTCTTCATAACCTATGTTTAATATCAACTGATAGAAATGAAGAACTAATTATTACTTAATTTTTCAAACTTTAACAAATTATTATTTTTTTTACCATATTAATCATTTTATCTCATTAACATCTCAATATTGAGATAATTTTACTCATATCTCATTAGTTTTTAATATATTAAATATGAAAGATATGAATGAAAAATAAAAAAGGTTAATTTTATATAATCTGATTCCCTCATTTTAATCTAAGTTATTGAGCTATTTCTGTAAGAAGTTTTGTAAATATTTTTGTTTTTTCTAAAGAAATTGTATACACTGTCGAATTTTTACTTCTATAGATACTTTTACTTTATTTGGTATTTTAAAATATATTTTTTCCTTTTACTAATTTTTAGCGATATCAAGAAGAAGAGGATTTACACTAATTGTTTCTTTAACTGATATTTTTACGATTATTTTTTAATATTCCTTAATTTTTTGGTTTTAATGTCAATTTTATTTTTGCACTCTGTTTCAAAATAAAGGATAGAAGATCAAGTTTTATTGTTTATTTTTGACAAACTTAACTGAAATTCAATATTTTTAACTCTCTTATTTCTTTCTAAACTTAAAACTAAATATCTTTATCATTTTTCTATATCATTATAAATACAATTTTTAGTCATAAAAATATTATTCTATGTATTTACTCCCCTTACAAATTTCTATTTATTGGACAATTATTTTTAATCACATTGCTCTGTATTAAAATACAACTAAATTAATGATAACACTTTCTTATATTAAAAAGAATCCATTTTTATCTCATAATCATGTAATAGTAAAATCCACCCTTAAAAAATAAAGATTATTATTTATAACTGGAAAAATGAAAGAAAAATTCGTGCTCACAAATTATGTCATTGCAGATTCTATCATTTTAAGAATATCTAAATTATTAATATCAAAATTCTAATATCCTCATTTTGTATATTGTTATAGAGAAATTTTAAATATATTTTGAAAAAGTTCTCCTTATTTGTTATTTGGAGAATATCATTAAATTATTTCATAGTTTTTAAATACTATTAATATCATGTTAATTTCAAATCAAGTCTTAACTATAAGATTTTAAACACTTTTTTTTCAAATTGAAAGAAATAGCATCATCAATACAGTTTTCTTTCAATATAATATTTTTCAATCACAGAAAGTAACTTATTTTTAATCAAAAATTTCCTGTTTAAATTTAATTATGAGTTTAGATTTTGGTTCTGAATTTGTCTGTAATGAATATTAAATATGAACCTCATTTATATAAATTCTATAAATTTTAAGTTTATCATAAATTAAAAAAAAAAGATTACAACAAAATAAACATAAATTAATTATATAAATAATTCAGTTGAGAACATTTTATTTTAATTTTTATACTTAAGAACACTTTTTTTGAATAGTAAATTCATGGTTTAACGAAATGAAAAAGTAATTTTTTTTATATTGCTCTACAATACTGATAAGAATGATAATTCTGATGTTGAAAAATCAAAATAAACTTTTTTGATATCCTTCTCGAATAGTAAATACTGAATATATTAATTATCAAAAATCTAAATAATCCTAACAATTCTTTTATTAAAAATATACCTCCATTACTTCTTATCATAATTTTATTACTTCATTAATGAAAATTGATAAAATTTTAATTTTAAACATTTTAAAATTTAAAGCAATAAAAAATAATTTTTGATGTATCTTTTATAGTTTTTACTACGTCGAAAAGCCAATTAAATATTACGTAATTGATAAAAATTTTATTAAAAATATTATTTATGAATTCTATAAATATATTAAATCTCATCAAGTTATCCCTATAAAAGTTATAACAAACGATTTATAAAGATTAATAAATTTAAATAAAATGGGAAGTCAGATCCAAAAATCTAATATAAAAATTGTTAACCATCCTTCTAAAAAATTACAAAGACCTTAAGCAAAGGCAGTGTTTGAGGAAGTAAGAGTTAATGATCCTGGAGCACCTATTAACTCTTCTTTAATAGAACTCGATAATTGTTTTATTGATGATAATGTGCTTGGCTGTTAAGATTAGAACAAAACCATAAATAATTCTTCAAATTTTGAAGAAAACAAAAAAACTCAAGATTCAAATAATTTCCATATCTAACCACTTAAAGGTATATTAAAAAAGGAACCCAGCATTTCATAATCTCCTTCTCGATATTTTAACGAAGAAGCTAAATTTGTTAGATTTTAACTTACCCCTAAATATCTCTCAAAGCATAATTCTAGAGTTGTTAAAAGTGTTAAATCAATTAGAAAATCTAGGATAACAAGTCTATTATGAAACCCAGATTTATGTGTGATTGTATATTTTTCTTTGTATTATAATCATCAATTATAACTAAACAAATTTAGATTTATTTTTAAATTGTATCCACTTTGGTTATTCTTTCTAAATTTACATGATTACAGCATTTTTGAAAATGGGTATATAACTATTAATAATATGAAAACCATGTCAAAATAGCACGTAATAATTTATTTATTATTCAAATAATTTTAATTTATAATTATTTCGTCATTATAATTCACATCATCTTAAATATGTTATAGTTAGAAACTTTTATAACTATAATAAATAATTGATAAATAAGTAAAAAATGAATAAAAGACTTTTATTTTGAAATTAGTAAATAAAAAGTAGAAAGTTGATCAATCATTCCCAATCTTAATCAAATATAAGTTGATATAAATAACCAAAAAGTGAAAATAAAAAATCAATTATTAGTAATCATTATATCAATGAATAATTTCTTTTTCTGTTCTATACAATTTTATAGGTTCCCATTTTAATTTGCACCTTTTTCTTTACTTCTTCATCAATAGTTATTTAGAGTGTCTATCTTTATCTTCCTTAAGAAGTTTGTACTCTATTGATCACATCTCTTAATGGTAAAATTTCTGGTTCAAATGGCTATTGATAATCACAATTTCCTAAATTTATTAAAATATTCTAATACCTGATTTAAAATCAGTCATTCGTTTATATCTTGATAATCTATAATTAAATTTTTCAGCAGCAATTTTTGTAAAATCATTTAGATCAACTATTCTTTTATAATCTTCAATTTTAATAACTTGTGCAGTCTAAGATTTACAAAGAATCTAAAATTAAGAAATTAAACAATTAGAACATTCATAATCGTTAATAATTTCTCCTTTGCATACTTATCCAATGTCAATATAACTTTTATTCCATCTTTTTCTTATTAGAAATTCTCTATTATTTATTATAAAAAATGATACCCATCATAAATAATAAATAATGATTTAGAATATTCTTATTCATTCAAACAAGTTTAACCTAATTTATAATCTTCAATAACAAAGTTAAATTTGACATCTTTTACTTCTTTAAAAATAGGTAAATTGTATAAAAAGTCTAGTATTTTTTTTTTATAGTTATTTTTTGCCTTGTTTAACATTTCAAATTACTATTCATCAATAATTCTAAATGTACAATCACTTAAACATTTAATATTGTTTTGAATAACCCCTATAGGAATAAAGGAAATATTTTAGGATGTTTATCCATTTTGTAGAACCATGAAGAATTTATTATGATCTCCATATTTAAATATGATTTAGTCCTTAGGATACAACTGAATTTTAGAAATAAAATCATAGGATTGTACAATTTAAGGATCTAGAAAAATATTTTTGAGCCTAGTCTCATATTCGTTAAACATTTCTATTTATTATATAATTAAAACTTATTAATAATTATTTTTTTTTTATTACTATTGATTATTGATAATGAATATATAGTTATTAATTGATAATGTTTTAACTTAGAAGTGTTTAGACAATTTTTTAATTAATATTTATATATATCTATTAGTTTTTAATTTCTATGTTATAATATTAATATATATATGAAAGCTTATGAATTTGAAGTTGATAAATAAAGAAACATTTAAAGAGAAGAACTATTTATATTGACAATAGTTGAAAGGGTGTTAGCAGGACACTTACAATCAATATCATATGTAGATTAAGCTTAGTTTTGTGAATTATTAAGTAAAAGGTAAACTGAAAAAAAAGTGATTTAACCTTTGCACATTTAAATTTTAGGAACAGTTAAAAGAAATCTGATAAAAAATTAAACACCATTACTTGAGAAAAAAATACCTTATGAAATAAGAACTATAGTTTCATCATCAATAGATATTAGAAGGAACTACATTCACACATTTAGCAATAGAAATTTGAATAACAAAGAATAATAAACCACAGAAATAGATACTTAAATTATTGGATAATAATAACAAGAATTGAATAGAAATAATAACTTGAAATTAGATAAAACTTACAATAGTGGTCTTCCTAAGTATCATACAAATAGAAGTTAAAAATAGAATGATTCATCAGCTCGTTACATTAATCCATTTCAATTGAATAGTCCTAATAGTACATAAGCAGATAATATTATTAATTAATTGCCATCTCTAAAATAGTCAACAATCAATGAAAATTTTTAAGTTACTAAAAATGAGACTGCCATCATTAATATAGTAAGTTAAGATGGAGAAATAGAACAATAGGAAGATTTTATAATTAAAAATAATTAAAAGAATATTGATGAATTAAACACAAATGATAATAAAATAAATGATAAATTATATTATGAATCTTAATTGAACCAGAGTAATTAATAAATTATAAAAACTGAAAAGTAGGATAGTAATACTATATAATAATCATTATAATTATAAAGTAATTCTAGAAAATTATCATAAAACTTACCAATGGGAAGTGATTCTAGCAAAATGGATCTCAAAGAAAAGCTATAAAAATATTACAGCAATGATGAAGAATTCAAAACTTAAAGAAAACCTATGACTTAAAGTGATCGAATAAAAAATATCAGTTATGGAACTGATCCAAATACAAAAGATATAATAGGTGAAATTAATTAACAATAAATAATTTAAAGTGCTAAATTTTTGGATAATGATCAGAAATAAAATAAATTATAATAAAAATCATACTAGATTTAATTTTCATTTATTCCTGGTAAAACTTAAGAGATTATAATATCACATAATGACAATTTTTAGCAAAATCAATTAAGCCCAAAGAAAAGCTTAGAAGATCTATAACATCCATTAGGTAATTTTTTATCTCCTCCTTAATCAGCTAGATCTGTCATTTCTGCAAAATCAACTAAAACAAAACTCAAAACAATTTAATCAAATGATTAAAAATTGCTTGATCAATAAAATTTATAAGAATAATAATATGAAAATTCGATTTCCAAAGAAGATTCATAAATCTCATTGCTTGAATAATCATTACATTAAAATGTACAAAATCATCATTTACATTCAAATTAATTGAGACCAGCTACTACACATATTGAAGCATATAAATAATAAGATTATCCCTCATTTTAAACACATGATAATTTAGATTTAATGAAAAAATCTACTTAGAAACTTTTATAATAACAAACAAGTATTACATCTATCATGCGTGATGAAGATAACTTTTAAAGTAATCAAACTTTTATTTAATAAATTAATATCTAAGTTAATTAATGTGAACCAACTCAACCTACAAATAATATAATCATAGAAGAATCTATAGAAGGATCTCCTAATTTTAAAGTTTAAAATAATTAACATTCTACAGCTTCTTTTTCTTTACTAAAATTAGAAGATTAAAAATAATCACCTTCTTAAACTAATCTATAAGAAAAGTAACCATAATCTCCATAGAATGGATTAATTCCTTCTAATTCATACATTCCAACTTCTACCATGATACCTGGAACTTAATTATAATCAAAAATGCTTATTCCCATTAATAATACTTAAACCAGCAGCATTAAATATAAGAGGGCAAGTAATAAATCTAAATCTTAAATCAAAGATTCAATTTTATAATAACAAAGATCTGAAGATAGTTAACCTGAAAGTAAATTAACTATTGAATCTTCATAAGGTGATAAAACAAATAGATCTAAAATTGTAAAAAATACTAAATAATTAAAATTTCCAGCTGCTACAGTTGCATTAAATTTTGCAAGGAGAAAATCATCTAACTAAATTTCTCCTAAGGATGTAAGAATCTTTATTTAATCTTGTTTAGCCTAAAAAACTAGAATAATATGAAAAAGAAAAATAAAGATAAATTGAATACTAAAAACAAGTTGAAAAAATGAAATATGAAAGAGAGTTGATGGAATAATTCAAAATTCCAGATGATATGCCTTTATTATAAAAAAGAGCAATAATTGAATAATTAATGAAAGAATTAGAAATTAATAATGATTAGGATGTTAAATATTAAATAATGTTATGTATTATTATACTTAAATATTTATTAGATAAAGAAAGATAAGAATAAATTTAAAATGCTTCTAAATTTGAATTAGATTATAATAAAAATCTTTCAAATTGCTATGAAGAGATATCTCATATATCTGAAAATAAATTGAAATTATTAGCAAAAGATGCAGATTAATCTAAGATTTAATTTTTAAAATTTGAAGATCAAGTCTAAACAAATTTTCAAGGATAATCAAAATCCTTTACTTAAGATTTAAATTCACCAGTTAAAAAAAACTTAAAGTTTTTTAGTAAATTGGATCCAGTTGAAATTGACAATCAAATTAATAGAATGAAGGAATTTAAACAGGAAGCTGATATTATAAAATTCTTTTCTTCTTTTAATAGTAATTATGATAAAGAAGTACATATTTTATATATAAAAAGGTGAATTAATGTGATTTAGATTATCCTACTTAAAAAGATCGATACCTTTCTATGGATTTTCAAAGAGGATTCTTACCAAAAACAATTCATAGACGTAGAAAGTAAAAGAAGATAAGCACAAAAATAATTATTAATACGTATAGAATGGATCCAAAAAAAATAGATTAGGTTTTAGCTTAAACTGAAAAAATAAAATAAGTTGGATTATTTTTATTGTGATTATATGCTTTCTCTGAATTTTAGATTTATCTAAAAAAACCAATATGTGTAAAAAATAAAGTTATAATATTAATTAATTTTTGTATTATTTAATTATTAAAGATTTTGGAAGTCTATTTAAGTGAATTCAAATATGATAAAATCTTATTAATATACAAAAAAAATTTAATTATGAATACTAATTCTAATACGATAACTTATAAGTATCTGTAAAATATTAGAAAAATGGTTAAAAAAATTAGATTCATAAATTTTCGAATAATTTATTTAAGGAACAATCAATTACTCGGGAATTTATGTTTTTCATTTTATTGATTGTTTTCATTTGCTTATCAAGATCAGCATTAAATGCTTATTAAAAATTAAGTTTAGTTTCAAGCTTTTTTTATTCTGAATATAAATCGTCTAAAAAGTATTCGTAAACAGATTATAAAGATAAATCAGCAGATATACAGCTATCATTATCTTATTAGTTAGGCTTAATTTTCTATTATCCTAAGGGTTATCTTTTTCTATGATTTGATAGATTGCTCCTTCGAGTAGATTAAGATGATTTTGATGCTGAATAAAAATAAGTAAAATACCTTATTAATTGGAATATATGGATCTCCCATCAATACAGTTTTTTTCTCTTAAATAATTAAACAAATCTGCATCTTTTTAAGATAATATTGTTTGTTCTTAAGGATAATATTCAATATTTTTGAATTGATTAATATTTTTATCTCTTTTAAATTATTTCATAAATTTTTTATCTTTATCTCTAATAATGGATTTATTGTAATTTCTTAGAGTTTACTCATCTTATAATTATTTCATCAAATCGTTTGATTCATTAATAGTTTTAAGTTTTGAATAACTCAATGTCTCATGATCTTGTTCAATAGGATTCTTTGGTATAAATAGCATTTACATTTATTTAAATTTTTTGATATTGCTTGATAGCTGGATAGGTTTCTTTTCTTAAATAATATTTATGATTTGAGATTTTTTCTATTGTTCACAATTAGTTTGTAATTATTTTTTGAGAATCTTGGTTTCAATCATTTTTTATAGCTTTTTTAACTATGAATGAGCCAGATCTTCATTTTCTTTTTAGTTTTTAATGTAAATAGTTTTTCCTCTTTTCATTTTAGATTTTCTTGCACTAAAAGCAATAACATCATTTTATCGATTATTTTATTTAACTTAAGATTTAAGCATTTCACATGAATCGACTTCTCCATCTAAAAATTTCTTAAATCCTTTAGGAACTGGACTTCCAAGAATCAAAGGACTATATAAAAGCAATGGATCATCAACTCTACTTTTTTTTTTGTTTAGAGTTATAGGTATTTTCTTTAATGATGTGATTGGAGAAGGTATTTGATTAAATGTAATTTGTTATCGTATATTAAGTTTTGACTTAAATTATTCTGGAGTTAAAGAGAATTAAGGATTGGTCTTAAAAACAACTGTTTTTTTGTGTAATGATATTGGTGATTTAGTAATATTAGTCCATGTAGAGATCATTTTATTGAATAATAAAATTTATGTTTCTTCAATAAACACTTGATTAGCCATATAGTTAAATTGGGACTCCATTAAGTAGAAGGAATGCATCTCCTTGTGATATGATTCGACTTAACAGTCCATTTACTACATATAACATACATTAGAAAGATTAATTTAAGGGTCGTCAAAATATATAGAGTAATACTTAGCAATTGCATAATAAAACTATTAAGTTGACTTTACCATCTAAAATCAAATCTAAATAAAAAAGATTTTTGAGATAAGATGATCCATTAATTACTTATAGTCCAATAAATTAATTACGAAAACCACCTACAAATTTGTTTATTAAATATTTAGATGGAGAAATCAGTACTTAAGATTTAGTTTCTTAATCTGCATCAGACAATAGATTACCTAATCGTAAAGACAAGTTTAAGAATCAAGAAAATAAATTGAAAAAAATTAAAAATGCTAAACTTAATATCTTACAAAGGTTTCTATAAGATAAAATCAAAAAAAATAATTCTAAAGGTACAATCGATATTGATTTTAATTTATCCAAAACTAATATAGATCTTAATCAAACTAATGAATTAAGTATCAAATCTTCTAACTCCATCAAAAAACTTAAATAGTTGTAAATATTATTTTTTCCTAAAGTTGAATTACAAAAATCAGAAGAACCAGTATTCAATTATAAATAAGTTTTTAATTTGGAATCTGATTAACTTCTTTAAGATATTACAGATGAAAGAACTAGAGTCAATTAAGAAACATTTCATTAAGTTGGGAAAGAATTAATTATTAAACTTTAGTCTCGAAAAAATTAACACTAACCCTAATATATACCTATGGAAAAAGAAGTCTTAATCTCTAAAGATGTTTAATTGTATAAATATTTACATGATCCTTAAAAAAAAATTTAAATCTCTAATTCTAAAAAGACTGAAAATGAAAAAGTTGTCTTAGTCCGTTACAAAGGAACACAAAGAAAAATTGCAACTAAAAATTGTTTAAAAAATCAAAAAACTCCATATGATAATCCATATTAAATTGATGAACCTTATTCTTAAGAATCTTCATTAGAATCTGATCAACAATCCTACAACCTTTCATATTTGAGAATATAAGATTCAAAATTTTATGATTAATCCAATATAAATTCATTAACTCCTTAAAGAAGAGAAAATCTAACCTAAAGATAGTTTAACTATTTATAACCTATTAATAAAACTTAAAATCAAATCAAGTTTTAAAAATAATTCTAAAATCCTAGTGAAATTAAAGATTTACTAAAATAATAGTGATTCTTGTAATTAATTTATAACTTAATTTATTTATCATCTTTACTTTGAATTACTATCATTTTGTATTTATAAATATAAAAATATTCGTATGTTTCAACTTATTTATCTTAATAAATATAGTCTATATATTTAGTAGTAGTCTATCTTAAATTTTAGAATTATAAACTTTAAGATTGAAAAAAAATTCAAATTAAAATAAAAAAATCATAATTTAAGGTTTTTTTGATATAATTTACAAATCATAAAACCACTGAAGTTCAAGATAATTTTTATCATTTCAACATATAAAATTATTCTTTATAATGAAAAAATTAATTAGAAAATTCAAATTTTAGAAACCTTTTTAAGTGGTTCAAAATTAATTAAAAAATCTTACTTTTTAGTGCAACTAAAATTTATTTATAATAAAAGTTTTAAAGTTATAATGGAAAGCTCCATGAGATTTTTTAAGAAAAATGCTTTCAATATTAAATATTAAAACAAATAATATAATATTTCCATTTTTATGGTGTAAAATTTAAAATTTGATTTTTTTATCATAAATTATTAATGAGAAATTCAACATTAAATAAACTATCGGAGTAGAGATAATAAGGAAAGAATTCTTCAAATCTGTCAGATTTGACAGTCTAAGAATCTAGCAATTATCGTATGAGATTTACTCCTTTGAGCTCACCATCTGCAAGACATAAAGGAACAATCTTAGTGAAAAGTCATGAAACAATTGTACTAAATATGTTGTCATCCACCCATAGACAAATAGATTAACCTTTTAAAGTTTGTTAAGAATGTAATTCTGATTATGGGATTGTACATCAATATTGCAAATGTAAAGGAATCACATATCATGAAAAGTGCATTTAGGATACGGCTAGAAGAAATGCAAAAAAATAAAAAGAATAAGCATTTATTTGTAAAAATGAATGCTCTTATCCATTCCAAATAGAAGGATACTATATGTATGAAATGGTGTAGAATTAGGAGAAACATTAATCCTATTGGAAAGTGGCTCATTTTTTCGATAGTGATTGTCTTTCTTGTGTTACTTATCTTGGCTATTACTATTTTCGTACTTCGAGATAAATTGAATAATATACATGTAATCTCAATCGTGATTGCAAAAATTGTGCTGTTAATTTTGATTACTTTTTTGCTAAATAAGCTCAAGCTCAATTATTATAAATTATACTGGCATCTCAAACCTTCCTTGATTAATCGAAAACAAGGTACTCGTCATAAATAAATTGAACTATCAGATCTCTTGCCTTTTATTCTGTCTGATAGAGATTCAATTATTTATTCACCTGAAATTAAAGAAGAAGATTAAATTATTGAATAATGATTTAATGAAATTCTACTTATTATCAAATATTTAATTTATCTTCCAACATTTTTATTAATTTAGTTCATTCGAAGTTTTTACTAAATAAATTAAATTATTCCATCAAGCTATTTCAAAGTATATCATTTGAAAAAAATATATTGATAATTTTTAATAGCTAAATGTATAATCAAATTCAATTTAAAATTATATTTAGTTTAATTTTAATTGTTTAACCATCTATTAGTATCAAATAAAATCAAAAATTTATCAACTTTGCTTTTAAAAACAATAATTGATGAATAAGTTGTAAATATAGATGGATGGGTTTATCATACAAATACTATTATAATCAAATTAATAAAATTATGGTTAAAATAATATTAATAAGATAAATTCATCAACAATAAATTAATATTAGACAAAATCATTTAGATCTCAATTTAAGACTCTTTCTTGTTTAGAGGATAATCTCTTATTTAAAGTAAAAGAAAAATAAATTTAACAATTGTCAAAATCTATATGATTTTGATATTGTAAATTTATATGATTTAGAGAGAAAAAAGCTTTTATATTGGTTTGGGAAATATCAAAGAGCTTTCTAGATTAAAGTTCTGTTCATTATTACAATAAAATTGCAAGTTTTATATTGAAAAAAATTAAAAAAATTTACATAATTGATCCATAATTAATTTAAAAATTATTCAATTCAAACACATAAAAAAATTTTCCAAATAATAAAAACCTTTTAATCTTATTGATAAGCGAATATTGAATAAAAATATTAATTATTGAAAAATAACTATATTTAGACTATAAAATATATCTAAAAATGATACTTTTTTTAATTTTAATACAAGTACCATTTCAATATAAGTTTATAGTTCGGTTAACAATTAACTTCTATTTAAATTACAAGAAATAGGTCTGATGGATGAAAATTCTTTAAACTATAAATTTAAAGTATTTATTTAATTAACCTAGTATTTAGATTTAGATCATAAATATGAATATTTTAATTATTTTATAGGAAATATTGTAAAATCAAATCAATATAAAGATAGAAAATTTATCATTATTTTATAATTTAGAAAAGCCTTGTAAACATATGCAGATTTTTCTATGTGATTAATTTAATAAAAATATATATAATATCAGGCATCTAAGGAAGATTTTACACTCATGATATGTCATGGGGGTCACTGCGAAGTGAAAAGTCATCATTAATTAATTCATATTTTCTTTCTTTTTAATTTAAAAAATTATATAATTAAATAAATATGGGATTGTCTTGTGAATTGTTTATGATTGTTTTAAAAAATTATGAATTATAGTTTTAAGTTAATTTTAATAAGTTTTATTTGAAAATCCCTAAATATAATTATGTAATTTTGAATTAAGATTGATAAGAATAGAATATGAGGAGATGCTAATTTTAATTAAGTTTATTTTGAAAATAAAATGTATTGATTTTATATAAATAATACTTGCAAGACAGCTAATAGATTAAAGAGAATATGATATAAATAGTTTAATTTTATAAAGTGTATTCTGTCAAGAAATGAATATTTTGAAATAGATAATAACAATATAATTTATTTATGTGCACTTAATATTTCAAGCAACATTCAAATTAGATCTTGGTGCTTATTATTATGGTTAAGCTTATGGTGCTGGTTGATATTAAGGATATGATGGATATGATGGATATGATGGTTATTAGGGATATGATGGTACAACTCTTGATGAGACAATTGGTGCAGCATATTATGGTGCAGCATATTATGGTGCATATGTCACTGGAACAGATTAAACTGGTTAGACAACACTGACAGGTTATTGAACAACTTATTAAACAACTGGTTGTTAAACAACTTATTGAACAACTGGTTGTTAAACAACTTGTTATACTACTGGTTGAACTTATTGCTAAAATTAATTAAAACAATTTTTATACATGAACAACTTATTTTTCAACTGGATAATATTCAACTCTTTCTTAATATCTGTCAACTGGTACGTATTCTAATTTTATAATAATTACATACCTGTGTATTTTTCTTAGAAGACTTATGGAATATATTCAGTCTAATATTCAACTGCATAATAATCTGTAACTTTTCTTTCTCTTGGGACATATTAAACAACTTCTTATTCTTCATATTCCATAACAGCTTTTTGATAAGGAATATATTCAATTCTTGATTCTCCTTTAATAGTTGCCTTAAAATTTTGATTTGAATATTAATACATGGACTGATTATTAAACAACAGGTTAAGCGATGACAGATTATTACAAAACTGGTTAAGCAACAACTGGTTAAGCAACAACAGGTTAAGCAACAACAGGTTGAGCAACTGGTCTAGCAACACTATATGTTAATGGTGCAATAGGAGCAGGTGCATATTGTTGGGGAACATATGTGCTTACAGGAGCATATTAAGGAGCATATTATGGAGCATATTATGGAGCATATTATGGAGCAAATGTTGGAGCATATTATGGAGCTAATGTTGGAGCATATTATGGAGCAGGAGGGTATTATTATGGTTATGGTGCTTAATCTAATAATTTAGATGTCTGTGTTACTTTATGGTACAGGTGGTCTTTGTGACATTGAAGATAAAAGATTTTTGTTAATTTTATTTATATATCCTTAACATAAATTTTATTGCTTAAATATCATACATAAATAATTAAATAATTGCAATTACAAACTTTTACAAAATTATATTCCAATAAATTAAATTGAATTTCAAAGTATTTAAAATAACACTTAAACTTAAGTAATGAAGCAGATTTTTTAAAGTTTTCTATATAAGTTAATTTATCTAAAAATGTAGAGATAGTAATAATTCATTTTTGAATTATTATTATATAAGAGATGATATCTCAAACTGTAATATCTATATGATATCTCAATAAATCATTAATATAATTTAAGATTTGAAAACAAGAGATTAAGATTTAAGCAATTTATCAATATTTTATATGCTTGATTGATGTTTAAATAATTAAATAAGTTTTAATATTCTGAATTAAAAGAAAAGGTGCATCTTTAGAGAGAAGAGTGATAAGAATTTAAAGATGTTTAAATTTTGTAAAAGTATTGAAATTTAGAAAATAAGATCTAATAAATTATTTTTGAATAATTCTTATAGATTTATTTTTTTAACTTTTTAGTATATATGATGAGTTATAGTATTTTTTATATTTTTGATAGTTAATGCTAGTGATTAAGAGTGTTAGTAAATGTAATATAATAAGAATAAATGGATGAATTAAGAATTGTAGTAATAGTTGTGAAAATTAGATTTTAATCGAAATATTTGTCATAATAATAAAATGGATAAGTTTGAGACGATAGAGGGTAGATTGTTATATACTGTTTATTGGATGTATAAATAAAAGGAGATTAGTCAAGAATAGAGGGGAAGAATAAAAGGTAGAGAGTGGGTTTATGATGAGATTTGATAGTGTAGTGGGATCCTCAGATATAGGAGATTAGTAAGGATGGTTAGAGACTAAGACAGAACCTTCTCGAATTGGCATGTTCATACTCAGATAATGCAGACTCGAAATAAACCAAAGTGACGCCTCGAAGTCTGAATCGTTTGAATGTCAAGATTGGTCATAGTAACTTTAAGTTGACAAGTAAATCTTACAGTTCATTGTCTTCTCCTCTTGATCATCGCAAACCTTAATTCATATGAAAAACAATCATATAGTTTATCTTTCTAAATATTTATCAAAATTCAATAGTATATGAAGATTATCATCAATCATTTTTTTGATAAATCCAATCAAAATATCATATCTAATCATTATTTATTTACAATATGGATTTAGTAAATATGATCGATCTTCTTACCTTTATTGGTTTTTACAAAGTTAGAAGATCTTAAAAGGTTTTTCGCCATCAAAGATTTCTAAATACTCTTTAAACAGTGAATTCTTTTTTTTTAATGAATTGCCAAATTTGTTAGATTCTTTATTCACATGAATTTTGTTATTATGAATGATTTAATCAATTGTTATTTTATTAAAAACTTGCATTTAATCAAATTCAATTAATACTACTTGTGCGTTCCCAATATCATTAATTGCTAATACTGCAATTTTTGAACTACATCTTGAAATTCTTTAATCTTTAGTAACTACTTCCTACAAAAGACTAAAATGATGAAAAAATATGTAATATTAATCTGATTCTAAGGTTTCATTAAATATGAAATCTCTAAGTTCACAAATTACTTTTAAAATTAAACTTTTCTTATATATTCAAAAATATGATTATGCTTAGAAGGAATTAACTAAACTTTTGCATTAAATATGATCCAAAAAATGGATAATAGTTTAAAAATATTAATTCAACTTTTTAATTTTATTAACTCAGCATCATTTTCCTTCAAATGAATAAACAATATCTTAAGTCATTATTTCATTTTTAATAATGTCTTTAATTTTACATTATGATGATATGTTATTCTTTGAAATAAATCCAACAAAAATCGTCATCTATTTTGATTCTAACATGTTCTACGTTATTTTGTTGATTCTAAACAATTTCTTTAAGGATTTAATTTCTCCCAAGATACATTACTAACTATAAATTCAAATACTGAATTAGAACATTCAGTAACCTACAATTTTTTATTGAATTATCCCAACCTACAATAGATAAAATTTATTCTTTTAATATACTACAAATAATTCTGTTCTACCTTATTTAAGATGATCATCGTTTCCTTAACCTATATCACCAAACTGAAAAATTCTTAAATCTATAGTTAGTTATACTTATATCATATTTCAAATTTTAATTCTTAACATCGTTTCTTCCAACCAATCTTTATATTTATAACTAATCATTCATTTATCTTAATTCTCCTCATTTAAGTGATGAAATTCAATATAAAAATTATTTAAGCAAGAATATCTATACTATTTCCTAATTGTGTGTTCAATTAAGAACAATTAAATCTTTTTTTTTAATTTCTAATCGTATATCTTTTTAATATGATTTTAATTCTACTGCTTTTTTATGACCTTAATCTCATCGTCGTTTTAATTTCTACTCTTCTAAGCCAAATGAAGAACTTGAAGGAATATGTTTCCCTCTCATTTTATTTTGTATGATAGTAAAACAAACCCTTTTTATGTAATCACATATTTTAAATATTTTTGTTGCATTACAGAGAGAACCTCTTGAAAAAATATATTCTAACTCAAAGAACATTCTTTTCAAAATTAAATGTATCAAATAGAGGATGGATGTCTTATTTATTATAATTGAGACTAAATTTTCAACTTTTACATTTTGTGAAATAATTTTTATTGNTTCCCAATATCATTAATTGCTAATACTGCAATTTTTGAACTACATCTTGAAATTCTTTAATCTTTAGTAACTACTTCCTACAAAAGACTAAAATGATGAAAAAATATGTAATATTAATCTGATTCTAAGGTTTCATTAAATATGAAATCTCTAAGTTCACAAATTACTTTTAAAATTAAACTTTTCTTATATATTCAAAAATATGATTATGCTTAGAAGGAATTAACTAAACTTTTGCATTAAATATGATCCAAAAAATGGATAATAGTTTAAAAATATTAATTCAACTTTTTAATTTTATTAACTCAGCATCATTTTCCTTCAAATGAATAAACAATATCTTAAGTCATTATTTCATTTTTAATAATGTCTTTAATTTTACATTATGATGATATGTTATTCTTTGAAATAAATCCAACAAAAATCGTCATCTATTTTGATTCTAACATGTTCTACGTTATTTTGTTGATTCTAAACAATTTCTTTAAGGATTTAATTTCTCCCAAGATACATTACTAACTATAAATTCAAATACTGAATTAGAACATTCAGTAACCTACAATTTTTTATTGAATTATCCCAACCTACAATAGATAAAATTTATTCTTTTAATATACTACAAATAATTCTGTTCTACCTTATTTAAGATGATCATCGTTTCCTTAACCTATATCACCAAACTGAAAAATTCTTAAATCTATAGTTAGTTATACTTATATCATATTTCAAATTTTAATTCTTAACATCGTTTCTTCCAACCAATCTTTATATTTATAACTAATCATTCATTTATCTTAATTCTCCTCATTTAAGTGATGAAATTCAATATAAAAATTATTTAAGCAAGAATATCTATACTATTTCCTAATTGTGTGTTCAATTAAGAACAATTAAATCTTTTTTTTTAATTTCTAATCGTATATCTTTTTAATATGATTTTAATTCTACTGCTTTTTTATGACCTTAATCTCATCGTCGTTTTAATTTCTACTCTTCTAAGCCAAATGAAGAACTTGAAGGAATATGTTTCCCTCTCATTTTATTTTGTATGATAGTAAAACAAACCCTTTTTATGTAATCACATATTTTAAATATTTTTGTTGCATTACAGAGAGAACCTCTTGAAAAAATATATTCTAACTCAAAGAACATTCTTTTCAAAATTAAATGTATCAAATAGAGGATGGATGTCTTATTTATTATAATTGAGACTAAATTTTCAACTTTTACATTTTGTGAAATAATTTTTATTGTTAATTAATGTTTGGCTTTTCACCCATTGTACAGAAATCTTATCATAGCAACTCTTTTACTTATGAATAAGAAATGGATGATATGAGTTGTATTGTTGACAATGGGATTTCAGGTTCAATTTATTTGGGAAATATAGAATCAGCATGTAAGAATGAAATAAAAACATAATAATTTTAGCTAATCTAGAGAATCTAAAAAGACATAGAATCAATGGTGTTTTATCAATTTGTATGAATAAGATACCATATGAAGTGTAAACCTAACTATAAAATTATTAACACATTTATTTAGAGGATTGTGAATCTGAAAACATAAGTAGACATTTTGAAAGTAGTAATCAATTCATTGAAAAAGCCAGATAAAGTGGAAATGTATTGATTAACTGTATGGCTGGTATATCCAGATCAGCTACTCTCGTTGCAGCATATCTAATGAATAAAAATAAAATGAGCGCTTAAGATGCTTTAAGATTACTTGAAAGAAAAAGATGGTAAGTGTATCCAAATAATGGATTCTTAAGATAATTATAATAATATGAAAGAGTATTGCAATAATAAAATAATAAGAGTGATAATATAGAAATATCTACAATTAAAGATTCTTTGTTAAAAAGGTAAAATCCATTTTAATTATAAATTAGTAAATAATTTTAAACTCCTACTAAAGAAATCTCATTTATAAATAAATAAGAAGAAAAATAACAATATTCTGGTATGAAAACAAGACCTCTTGGTGACATTAAATATGAAAGCTACAAACGTAAATCTTTAGGATAAGAACTCTATGGTACTACAGAAACTTCTTCATTAAACTAATTATCTCACACAAATAATAGACCCAATTCAGCTATCAGAACATCTCCTGATTTAATAAGAAAAAAGAATTATTTATAAGATGCAAGTAGAATATTTATTTAATTGAGTTCTGTAGTTCATGGAAGCAAAAAAGATGGTTTAGCCAGTCTTGCATTATAATTAAATTCCTTTGATTGGTAGAATAGAAAATTAGATTTTGAAAACAAGTATGCCAAAATACAAACTCAATCTTCATGTAAAACATTTATGAATTAGAACAAACCATTCTAATAAAATCAATATTAAAGTAAATTGGATGAATTATTAAATACCTTTAACAAAAAGCCAATACTATGAGTGTTATGATTTTAGTATTTATCATTGTGCATAATGTTCTGATTAATGTTTAATAATTCTATTTAAAAGTACAATTTTGCTAAATTTATCAGCTTCACACAACCTTACTTAAGCATCTTTCTATTATTGAATAATTCTTTCTAATCTTCTACTCTATATCATTTAAACAGTTTTATTTTATTCTTTCCTATCATCTCCTCTGGTTATTTCATGTTAAGAATGAACTGAGAAGATCTTCTAGAATAAAGGTTTTATTTTCTAATCATTATCTTCTCGAATCTATTGTAATGCTTAAGTAGCTGTTGGTCTAAATTCTGGTACTTTATTTAATAATTTAAATATTAGACTCTACAACCTTTTTGAATATTTACTATTAATTGGTTTTGGACATTTATTCACTATATTATATCCCAATGAAATTACATTACTTCCACTAAAAGGAGGATCACCTTAACAAATAAAATAAAGAACACATCCCAATGCCCAAATATCAATCTTACTATCATAGGGTCTATTTCGTATTAATTCAGGAGCCAAATATAAAGGAGTTCCTACTTTTGTTGTTTAAAGTTATTGAGTCGATACTAAACTTTTGGACACTCCCAAATCACTTATTTTTAATACATTGTTTCTCATTAATATATTATTAGGTTTGATATCTCTATGCATTATTTTTTAAGAATGTAAATACTCAAGACCTTCTAACAATTAAGTTGTCCACAACCATACTTAATTCTCACCTGGAGATGGATTTCTACAAATATAATTATAAAGGTCATCTTCACAATATTCCATAAAGATATTCAACTTATCTCTTCTAAGTTAAGAATTATAGTATGACACTATATTTGGATGATTTAATGTATGCATAATCTAAGCTTCCCTATAAGCTTCATTCTGCTATTTCAAAGATAGATTCTTTAGTGAAATTTCCTTCAAAACTTATATTTGAGTTCCTAATTTCACCTTATAAATCACACCATAACTTCCCTTTCCTATTTAATCAATGATTTCGTAATCCATTTTAATTATTTCAAAATTTATTTACATTTTATAATATTTTATATTTTATTAGTTACTACATAGTATAAATAAAATCTAAAATCAAATTCAACAAAGATTAGAAATATTTCAATTATAAACTTTTTATGATATCAATATATTCGTGATATTCTTCTCTTATTAATTAATCTCTAACCTTATTCTAATTGAAGAGGATCTTTTGATTTTAGAAATATTTATTTGGATTTTAAGAAAACCTCTTATAAAAGATTAGATATAAGAATGATTAAATAATATCATTTTACAATGTCACAAATAATCAAAATAGATATTAAAATATCAAATAATAAACAATATGATCCAAAAAGTAAAATAAAGTTTTTCCTTATAAATGGAAATAAATTTTAGATGTTTAACTTCATTTAAATAATTTAAATTGGATAATTAGTTTTTTAATTTTTAATTTAAAATCAAAAATAATTTATCTTAAATAAAAAAAATTATTACATTTTGAGAAAAGATACTAGAACACATCCTTTAAGTATTATCATAAATATTTTTAGAAAATATATTAATATCTAAGATATTGATCAATAATTTAAATTGTTTTTATGTTCAAGTATAATTGTGAATTAACAGAAATTATCATTTTTAATTCCATATATTCTAGTCTTGTGGAATTAAAAGAAATCAACTAATTTAATATTGTATTCTATCAAATAGATATTTGTACAGTTATATAATAATTGATTATAAATGTTAAATCTTCACTGAAGTAAATAGTTTAAGAAATTAGAAGCATAACTAATAAGAGCCTTAGACAGATGATAATTTTGAAACTAGGAAGAGGATTGGAGTATAATATATAACAAAATTGATTTGTTAAATTTGAAAAAATTCATAGAATGTGGGGTAAATTTCATTCAATGAATTAAAATTAATGTATATATTAATTATTAAAAATGGATCGTTTAATCATCTTGTTAGCCATTCTTTTGATGGTAGGAAACAACTATGCATTTGATATTCCTCAAGCTCTTGAAGTTCCAATAGAATAGGAATTTTAATTAACATAAACCTAATTTAATTTGCTGTACAGTGTGTTTGCAATTCCTAATATAGGGTTGAGTATAGGGGGAGGGATAATGATAGATAATATGGGTGGGCGTTGGGGTGTATGAATATATTATATGGATTAGGTATTCACATTTAGCCTTTTATTGGGTCTTTCATAATTATTCATTTTTTTTGGTGGATGTTATCACAATTATTGCATGATGCTTTGTGGTAGGGCTATATTTGGTATTGCAAGTGATATTTTACATNTACATAGTATAAATAAAATCTAAAATCAAATTCAACAAAGATTAGAAATATTTCAATTATAAACTTTTTATGATATCAATATATTCGTGATATTCTTCTCTTATTAATTAATCTCTAACCTTATTCTAATTGAAGAGGATCTTTTGATTTTAGAAATATTTATTTGGATTTTAAGAAAACCTCTTATAAAAGATTAGATATAAGAATGATTAAATAATATCATTTTACAATGTCACAAATAATCAAAATAGATATTAAAATATCAAATAATAAACAATATGATCCAAAAAGTAAAATAAAGTTTTTCCTTATAAATGGAAATAAATTTTAGATGTTTAACTTCATTTAAATAATTTAAATTGGATAATTAGTTTTTTAATTTTTAATTTAAAATCAAAAATAATTTATCTTAAATAAAAAAAATTATTACATTTTGAGAAAAGATACTAGAACACATCCTTTAAGTATTATCATAAATATTTTTAGAAAATATATTAATATCTAAGATATTGATCAATAATTTAAATTGTTTTTATGTTCAAGTATAATTGTGAATTAACAGAAATTATCATTTTTAATTCCATATATTCTAGTCTTGTGGAATTAAAAGAAATCAACTAATTTAATATTGTATTCTATCAAATAGATATTTGTACAGTTATATAATAATTGATTATAAATGTTAAATCTTCACTGAAGTAAATAGTTTAAGAAATTAGAAGCATAACTAATAAGAGCCTTAGACAGATGATAATTTTGAAACTAGGAAGAGGATTGGAGTATAATATATAACAAAATTGATTTGTTAAATTTGAAAAAATTCATAGAATGTGGGGTAAATTTCATTCAATGAATTAAAATTAATGTATATATTAATTATTAAAAATGGATCGTTTAATCATCTTGTTAGCCATTCTTTTGATGGTAGGAAACAACTATGCATTTGATATTCCTCAAGCTCTTGAAGTTCCAATAGAATAGGAATTTTAATTAACATAAACCTAATTTAATTTGCTGTACAGTGTGTTTGCAATTCCTAATATAGGGTTGAGTATAGGGGGAGGGATAATGATAGATAATATGGGTGGGCGTTGGGGTGTATGAATATATTATATGGATTAGGTATTCACATTTAGCCTTTTATTGGGTCTTTCATAATTATTCATTTTTTTTGGTGGATGTTATCACAATTATTGCATGATGCTTTGTGGTAGGGCTATATTTGGTATTGCAAGTGATATTTTACATATTGCTGTGTTTAAAATGGTAGCATAGCGAATGCCAAAAGATATGGGAACTGCAATGGGATTGATATTAACAGTTCCTGAATTAGCAGCAGCTCTTAATTCGTTTTTATCACCTTATTTATTTGAGAAGACTAATTCATTAAAAATACCATTATTATTTGGATTATTCTTATGTTTTTTAGTATAAATTAAAATAATTTGAATAGTCTTTCTTATCGGGATTGGTGATGATATATGTGGATATGAAATATGAAAAAGTGGATACATAAAAATCAAATGAATAAATTTCAGTTTTTAATTGTATAAAAGTATTTCTAAAAGTTTAGTTAAATTGACGAAGCCTTTCGTAATAATGAGCATAATAACAACTTTAATGTTAGCATCATATGTGCCATTTTTAGATAATGCTAATAAGTTTTATCATGAACGTTTTGGATTTAGTATTATGAATGCTGGACAAATAGTTACTATAGGTTATGTTGTCGCAGGTAGAGTATAATTTATTATATAGCAATCACATCCCCAATAGTTGGAAGATTATCAGATAACTTTACAAACTATAGACCTTTTTTTATATTCATATCAACAATATTGGTTTTTATTTCCCATTTACAGTTTTATTATATTCCTTTTACAACTTCTCCTAATTATTATTCAATCTTTGGGTAAAAACCTATACTAATTATAGTTTGATTACATTAGGATTATCATATTCCTGTTTTTCAAGTATTTTAATGCCTGCTTTATAATCTACAGTTCCAGAAGATATGTTAGGTATTTTAAGAATATTATTGAAATTAGCTACTGCTTTAGGTTTATTAGGTATAATAGAGAATTTCTGTATGGCTGTTATTCCAATTATTTCTGGTTTTGTATATACAATTGGTGGTGGCATTGATCCTATGAAAAATGTGGATATAATCTATTTAATTTTGGCTGGTGTTGGGGTAATCCTATCAATTCATTTATTAATGGAAAACATTCTTTAACCATCAAAGACACATGCTAAATTACCCAACACTTTAGATATTTGAAAAAAATAAAATAAAATGATTATAGTAATTTATTCATATTATTTTTCTAAATTTCAATACATCTTTTCCTTCAAATAGTACTAACCTTTAAAATAAAATGTAAAATTATATAATATTCGAATTTCATTATTTTTTTTAATATTTCTTTGCTTTTTCCTCTTCTTTTTTTCTTTCTTCTTCATCTCTCTTTTTTTACTTTTCTCTTCTCATACGCTCTTTGTAAGTATACTCTTCATTATTTTTTCTTTACCAATCTTCAGAATGCCATACAGGTTTTGTATAAAAAGATTTCGGCTTATATGGCTTTGCTGGTTTTACTTTAACTATTCTTCCAAACAATTCACCTTCATCATAATTATCTATTGCAGATTCAGCATCTTCAATATCTTCATATTCTATAAATGCAAATCCTCTATTCTTTTCTTTTAATATTCATTATTTATACATGTTTCACTATCAATAGGCAGATCCACAGATTTAATTTCACCAAATGTTATAAATAGATGTTTAATTTATTCAACAGTTACATCTTCAGGAATTCCACCTAGATAGACAGTATTTGCTAATTCTTCTGACATTAATAAATATTTTAATAATAACAAAATCACTAATTCATAAACAACTTCTAACTCTTGCTATTGATTTTAAAAACACATCCTCATCATTTATATAATCCAATTCATTCAAAATTGTCACTAAATTAAAATGTTTTTCTAATCCAATCAGATCCTCATAATTCAATTAAGATGCTTACTAAGTTAAAATAAATACTGATATTCTGTAATAATTCCTTTATTATTTCAATGCAACATTCTCTCATTTTTATTGACTTATCCTTATGACATTATTCTAACACTTCTATTATTTAAAGGATTAATACTTAATTCATAATTTTATTTGTTTTATAAACTTAAGTAAACAAATGTTTATGATTATCAATAGGTTTTTGTTTTTAATATACTTATTTATATAAAATGGAAAACAATAGTGAAATACCATCTATGATAAAATCTAATTAGTAAACCAATAGACGATCCCTGAAGATTTCAGTAGTACATCCGACAGATGAATCCCTTACTAATGTTTAAGATGAGGAAAGATTTTTGTATGAGAAACGTTAATGGGAAATAAGTAATTAATCAGTTTCTTTGGAAAATATTCAGAAAGAGTAAATGGAAAAATATAAAGGGGAATGGAACTGGGGTGTTTTTATTGAATTTTTCTTATACCATTAGGTAACATATAGATTTTAGAATGTAGATTTTCTTCACAATATTAGGGCCATTTATGGTAATTTTATTTAGTGTATGGCCTGGTATGACATTAATGAAGAACATGAAATTTTATGGGAATTCAATGGCTTTTTATCTATAAACATTGTTATGGTTTGGATCTGTAATAGGAGGGTTGGGATATTTTTTATGGGATGAAAGTCTAATAACATTAACAGAAATATTATTTTTATGGTATGCATTAACAATTCGAAGTGTTGTAATAGCTGCAAAGTATGCTACATTTAGTAAGAGTGTAATAATGTTATACAAGAGTACATTACTACCAGAAGATGTCTTTTCATTTGATCTTATGATGGGAGAATGGAGAGAATAATCTCCAAAGATTCTGTTTTTAGAACCTTATCGTTCTCTCTAACGTTATTAATTTGAAATCTCTTTATTTAAGATGGATTTTATAGTGTAGCCACATTAAGAAACATAAGTTGCCATAGCTAAAGTTGATATCAATTTTTTTCGAGACACAGGAGTTAATTTAGATAATGATGAATACTCAGGTTTCAAACTATTTGGTTTCTTAGTAAATCATTATTAGACTAAGAATTCACCAAATACTCATTTATATATATGTGTATTAGAAGCTTTTATTCTTTCGACAACACCTGTTTGGTGGAGAATTGGTTAACTGTTAGATTCTGTTGAACCCTTAGATATGTTTAGAATGGGTATTGATTTTAATATAAATTAAGTCTTAAATATCCTCGCTTCTTTTATTGGATTCTGGGGTAGTAACATATTTTTTCATTAAGCCTTTTATGATTTTAATCGTAAATTCTTTTTACTCGAATAATTGTTACTGATTATCAAAGTTAGATAAGATCAAATAGAATAATTAAAATTACTGCCAACTATAAACTTCAATAATATAACTACTTGGTAAGCATGGTCAATGATGAGAGCAATATCATTCGATTATGGTTAAACTTATAATCTTAGAACTTAAGGCTTTTATTCTCTTTGTTTCTTAGGATTTATTGTACTAATATTCTTATCTTTATTTTTAATTCTAGACTTTATTCATCTAGACTTTTTTTAATTAATCCTACTAGGTGAATTAGCGATAATCATAGTTTGTTTTACTGCGTATTATCTATATTAAGGTGCTAAATTAAATACTTATTTGGATTAATGTGAAGTAGCTCTCCAAGATGTTAAATCTATCTATTAAGATCTCCTTAGAATGAAGGATGTTTATTTTGAACAGAATAAGGAACCCTAAAATTACATTCATAAGAAATTCAAATAACTTTTAAAAAACGAAAATTAAGTTGAAGAAGTCCTCAAATCTATCATTTAAGAGTTGGATGATAATATTAGAATTATCTAATATGACTCAAGAAATAACCCATTTAAACTTTATGGAATCAAAATTACTTTTAATTTACTAAAAAGTGCTGCAGTAGGACTCAGTACTCTCTATAGTTATTCACTTTAATAACGTTTTATGTAAACAGAATGATTTTCATATTTAATTATATGATAGATTCATTTTATACTTTTACCCTTTATTTTTATATTAATATAAATAAACCTTATAGAGATACATATTATATATTGAATTCATAAAGAAGTTCCCATTATCGGACCAACTATAACTAAAATCAGAACCAAACCAATCATGATTATACAGCACATTTTCTATTTTCAAATAAAGCATATACCTTTCTTGCAGCTTAATGAGCCTTTTTTGCTTTAGCTTACTAAGCCTCTCCTTTTTTAACATAATCTTTTGCTTTTATCATATTTTATTCAATATTATCAATCAATTCTCCTTGGTTCTTGACTAAAACTGCCATATCTGCAAAGAGTTAATACACCTATTAAACACTCTTAAAATATAATTATATATTTATACTCTCTCTAATTTAAGTATGTCTTAATATTTATCTTAGATATCTTGAACTGCATTTTATAATTAAATCGATGCTTATCCGTAGATTTTCTTTTGTAATAATTCTTATAATTTCTACATATCAAATAATTAATACATTTGGATCTTCACACAGTTCTTCAACTTATTCTTCATTTAGATTAGAATCTAAACAACCTGCTTATCTTTTTATTTTATTTCTCATGCTATTTTTGAAATCTAACTGAACTTTTTGGCTCTCTTATAATACAGTCTACGCTTTTAAATTTACTGCTCCCCAAATATCCATTTTCATTCTTGTTTCTGGTTCATTTGGTTCTTTTTCTTTAGCCTCTTCTACATCCTAAGCTATTTATTCCATTAATCTTTTCATTCTATCTTATTGCTGATTATTTTATTATATTATCTTATCCAATTTCATGCTTACATCTTTTATATTATTTAATTTATTAACCTTTTTCCGCATCTGTTTTAGTTGCACTTATATATTCCTTTTTTAGTTCTTCTATTTTAACAATATTAGATTTAATTGTTTCCAAAATTCTCTAAACTCCAACTACATTCACTTTAAATAGAGGCATCAATTCATCATTATTATCATTATCATTAATTACTATATTTTAATCTTCACTCTAAACATCATTTTCAATTTATTTTTGAATTGTATACTATGAACTTATTTTTAACTATAATTTTTACCCTGCTCCTTTTATTTCAAATAAACAATCTTCCATCTTATAATAATTATTAATATTTTCATTATTATTCAAATTAAATATATGTATAATTCTTAACAATACTGTCTCTTTCAATTTAAATATATTTCTGTTTTTTATATATATTTTTGATGGGTTATTAATGTATAAATAAATACTTTCTAACAATATATTAAAATTTATATATAAATAGTTAATTTGAAATATGAACGAGATTTTACTTAATTCTTAATCATCCAATTATTTGAGTGAAGAAATTATCAATAAAGCTGCCAAAGATCCAGAAGCCAGAAACAATATTATTAAATTCGAATAGTAAAAAATATATTAATTAAATAAGTAAATTGCTATCTGTCTATGCTCATAAATTTTCTATCATTTTATTGCCTAAAACTGATTAGATTACAGGTAAAATATTAAAAAATTAAATAGAATGGCATGGAATGATTAGTATTTCATATGGACTTTATGCTAAAGGAAAATTTAAATTTATATTAAACTTCCCTAAAACATTTCCAGAATCTATTCCTAAAATTAGATTTCTATGTCCACTATTCCATCCTTTAATTGATGAATACAATAATGTAGATGTTGACACACTTATTCCAAGATGGAAATATGGATAAGATTGTATGGTTTATAACTTATTAAACAAACTCTATGAAATGTTTATCGATGTAAGTTACTATGATTGTGTTACATCCTTTAACCCTAGAGCAGCATAATTATTTTCTAATGACATAAATTCATATGCTGAAGAAGTGAAAAAACAAATAGTCTATTCAGAATAATAGCTTTATGAAAACCAGGTTGATTTCGTTCTTAAAGTAAGTTGTTTAAATAATTTATTAGTTAAAAGAACCAACCTACAATACTTAAACAATTCTTTAAAAATTGTAGGATATCAACTCTTAAAAAAATTTATCATTTGAATAAAAGAAGAAGGATCTACTTAATTTCATATTGTAATAAAGTAAGGAAAACAAAATATCATAATGAATAATCAAGCTTTGTATTCTTCTATAAATTGTTGATTTAATTCTTTTTTTTAATCTTTAATTATAATTAATTAATATTCATATTTTTATAAAACCCACTTACATTGACTATTCTTCTTTTCCTTTCTTTTTAACTTGCTAAATGAACAGAAGAAGTATATTTTAATGAAGAAAACTAAAAATTTTATTTTAGGTTTTCTGACCTTGATTAGGCTAATATTTTAAGAATTCAAAAATATTTTTATATTACAATTTAGAAAAATATTCATGCATTTTAAAATTCAAGAATATTAGAACCAAACAGCTAAATAACTGGAGTCTGTTGAAAAATTGTGAGTATAGAAAATATTAAGGGATACTTGAAAATTTTTTCCTGCGAGTAATTTTAATTGAATTTGCTTTTTAGTATTACACAAAAGGCTTTGCATTCAACTATTATAATTGAAGTAAATTCTTTATTCACTAGTTCTACAACTTTTAATATAAATTTTATTATTTATATATGTAATTTTAATAGACTGCCATATTCAAGGAATTGTTGCAGGGAGAAAACAAAATACAAAAAAGCAATATGATACGTTAAGCAAAAATGCTGTCCTATAAACCAAGTTTAGAACCAAAAATACATTAAATTCATCGCAGTGTAGAAGAACCCGAATAAAATAAATAGAGACGTGGAATTGCTCTTCCAATTCTGATATCAAAAAAGCAGCAGTTTAATTTTGATTCTGATAAAGCAAAGGATATAGTCAAGAACTTTAATATTAAACTAATCTGCTAAAGAATGTGTTAAAATGAAAAAATCGACAGAAAACTATCTTAACACAATATCCGAAACACTTAATAACTAAATCTTACTTTTGGACGAAACTTTCGCATAAAAACAAGACCAATTCTCTCAAATTAAGATAATACTGCTGATCTTAGAGAATCTCAATCAGTTAGTAGAGTAATGTCTCACTAATAATAAAGATTAGTAAATAAACTATTTTAATGAAATATTATTAATAATATCATATCTATCTTTGTCAAATGTATACCTCTTATTTTAATTAGGTTTTTTACTTAAATCAAGATTGACTAATTTCATATTTAAATTCAATAATTTATATTTTTTAAATGTTTTTTATTTTAAAGAAAAACTATTATAAATATTTACAATAAATCAGCATTCTTTCAATTATTTCTATAATTAGAATACTATTGAATCTTGAGATGCTTTTTTTTCTATTGCTAATAAAAGATTCTATATGTTGATTCATTTATTTAAATATATTCATAAAAAATAAATGAGTTTAAAGAGAATTAAAATTGTTAAAATCTTTGATAGATCATAATTTAAAGGTTCATTACCATATCATGATGTTTATGATAAAATTAAATTAAAATTTTGAATTTTCTTCAAAAAAGAATTATTCTAAATTTAAGCCAACAGTCAGCTAGAAAAAATAAACGCTATTTGTTTCTTTTATATTATGCAAAGGTGTTAGAATTTTATTTAATAATTTTTCTATTTTAGAGGTAAGAATTTAGTAAGGCCGAAATATCAATTTAAAAAGATATTTGGTTAGAATGCTAATTTTCTATAGGTCAAAAGACCAAAGTACATTTCATTTAATAATTTATTAAAATTTTTATTTCATAAGATGAATATCAGTCAAGTTATATTTCTTTTCCAATGAAAACTAATCTTTTACTTTTATATTTCTATTTAGCGATAGTCATATATTCTTCTAATTTTTAGTCAATTTTATCAAAATCAAATTATTAATCAGGCACTTGTCCAATTTGTATTTAAGGATTATTAATTTAAATATCTTATAGGCTACAAAGTGGAGCAATTGGATATTAACCACCTCAATATTATTTATTATCTTACCATCTTATTTGTAAACGTTTTCAAATGGAAGAAACCAAAAATAAGAATAATTAAAAAACCAAGCTATGTTTGATAGTAATCCTCTATCAAACAAATTAATACTTTTTTGTGGTTTATTATTTTAAATACAACAATTACCATTGGAACCACCCCTCATTTATTCTAAAGTTGTTTAATTATTAATGATTAGTGATGTATGATAAAAAAATAAGAAACATAACATTGCACAAGTCGGATATAATACAAGACTTGTTAAACCCCAATAAATATAAAAGAAAGTTGATTGATGAGAAAAGAAACCTTGAGTACTTTAAAATAAAAATCTAAAATAAACCCAAGATGCATAGCTATATTATATTGCACCAATCTAAATATTTTAGAATTATTACTGTCATATACATTGTAAAAAGATAAAATGCTCTATGATTTCTTAAACCTACACAATTATGAATCCAAGGACAATGGTGATCCATTTTTAAAATGCATTTTCCACAAAGAGAACAATGATGTGTTCGAATTGGTTTCCATTTATTACATTCTTAACAGGAATTAGTATTTTTATAAAGAGGATCAATTCTTCTATTATCTTGTAATAGGATAGCCTTATCTATTGAGTAATTTTTTATTGTAATCGATTAGTAGTATGACCACATAGCCATTGAATAAACAAAGCATACTAAAAATCCATTTATTAGTTAAGTTTTAGAATCCATTTTCAATTCAAAATACTAATACTTTTCATAATTGATACAATTTATTCTAAAATCACACAATTAGTTGGCATTAATACTGTAAAAAATATTATAAAAGGTCCGGCTTAGTGTTTAAATTATGCTCGCTTTTTACGTCTATGATTGTGATCATTAGAAGGATTCATTTTATTGAAAATATTTATTTTTATTTTTAATTAAAAAACAAATACATGTCTTAGAACTCTAATACAAATGTAACTAAGGAGTCTATAAGTAATGAGGATTATTGCGAAGATATAAATGAATGTTTTATTCGTAATCTTGATATTCTTCTTATTTTGATACTAATTTACATAGGAATATTAGTTTTGATTTTCATTTATAGCTTACAAACAGGTTGGAAAGTTAAAAGGATGAAAAAAATTATAGTATTTAAAAGCCTTGAATTTAACAATAAAAAAAAAAATATATGATATCAATTTAATGTAGCTTCTATCCTATTATTTTAATAACAAATCTGTATTTATTTTATTTTAATCCTTTTATCAAATTGACAAAATTCTTAAAACAAAAGGAATTAAAGTTTAACAATTTAAAACATAATATAACTAAATTTTATTTTGAACCTTTCAATTTTATCAACTTTTTCTCTAAGTAAATTTAAAGTTTAAGTCTAAATAATATATAACATCAAAGTGAGTTGCACAATGTTGATTTTCTATAAATTATGATTATAATTTATTTTAGGAATTAAATGTTTTATTAAATTCAAGAATCCGAAATATGTATCAGAGACACAAGTGATTAAGCTTTTACTTTGTTACAAATTCTAATTTTGTATCTCTGAAACAATCTGAAGATAATTTAATAATTTAGGATAATAGAAACAAGTTCAAGTAATCTTCTCTACAATAAGAATTTCTTCCAGGTTTTTGTAATAATCTACTTTATAAATGAAATTTTAATGAAAAGATGAAAGTTAGAAGTAAAAATGTAAGGAAAATTGTAAAAGTACTAGTGATACCCTCCTATTTCTTTTCATATGATTAAATTAAATCCATCTAAATCAAATGGTTAACCTATTTGTTGAAATATGATTTTGCGAGAAATCAGTTAGGGATTTATGGAAATGAAAAAAGGTTAATTGTGGACTATTTTAGAAAAATTTTTAATTATTTTTGTCGGAAGAAAAGGAAAAAAAAAGGCCTTTTCATCTTATATTTTTCTTTTGATATTTAAAAGCTTATGGGATTGCTTATATTATTGGCTTTATAATTAGTAAAACATAAACTTTTTCCGGTAATAATAGTATAATAGATGTTTATATAATTTATATATATAGTAATAATTAGTGAAAAGATTTATCATCTATCATGATCTTATTTCTTTGGCATAAATTCAAAATTCTTCGATTGTAGGGTTCCAGGAAAATGTATTATTACTTAGGCTTTCTGAAATCAAAGAGAGTTTTTTGGCTTAAAATTAATATATAAAATACTTGAGGCATCTGTAGAAGAAGCAAAAAGCATTGATTGATTACTACTTAGAAGATCGAAATCATTTCTCTAATTATCAGCTAGATTGAATATCATAGACTTTAAATCAGGTAATAATATATAGTCTGAGTTTGATGAAATTTCAAGCTGGGTTTCTTCTTCAAAATGCTATTTTATTAATCCAATATTATTTTGGAAGTACGTTTTCATATTTGTAATAATATGAAAGTCCTACTTCAAATTCTTGTTAGAGTTGTTCATTTATGAAAAATATTAAATCTTTGTTTAAATTTATTAAAATCTTCAAACTCTTACAATATGTTTACAACATAATATAACTAATAAATAGTTAGTAAATAATTAGATATTAAAGATAATGAAAGGATGAGCATGTCAAATTAACCCAAATACTTAGACTTTAATTTATATATTTTTTCTAAAAATATAATAATTTATTTCTAGTGAATAAATATTGAGAAAAGTTTCTGAATTAATAAATGATTTAAATTTTAAAAGATTTCTGGCGTATTATTAATATTACAAAAGGAAAACATATATTGCTTTTTGAATATTATTGTTTCATCAATATTCTTCACTCCATCTTTCATTTCCACCTTCATTATATTAAAGCTAATTTCAATTTTTTTTTCTTAAGGAGGCCTTTTATTTTTTTGAAAGCGAAAAGTTCACAAAAGAATATGATAATTTAAAGTAAATGTATCTCATATTTTTTAAGTGTTATAATTTGGCTTTTCATCTGAGATATCCTATTAATTCAAATTTTAATTAATATCAATTTGGTTTCTTATGTATTCAGATTTTATTAATAATTTCTTTAACATTTGATTTTACAAAATTATATAAAAATACAACAAATATAATTTAAAAATCCTCTAAAAATTTTTTATCGACATATTTATTTATTAAATTCAAAATCTGAAATGTTGAATCTTCTCCTCAAAAAATTTAAAGAAATAAACTTTAAATTTTGATTATCATTAATATTTTTCTTATAGAGAAAGATCAATACAAATTTTTTTTAAATAATTATTTTATAAATAATGAAAGGAGCTCATTAAAAAGAGGAAGAGTTTCCTATAGGAAATATTTTTGAATCAATCTTTTTATTTTAATCGTTCTCTTTAATATTTACAAATTAAGATTTGTCTTCAGTTTATGTGTTTAATGTATCTATTGAACTAAAAAAACAAATCTACTATTCGAGTTCTTATTCAAGAGTTAGTTCGATATTTAACTAATCTTCACTATCTAAAGCAACATTCTATGATTCTCCTTAAGGAAACTTATAATAGAAACTTTAAATTTACTATTTAATTAGATATATAAGAAATATCTTTTTGTTCTGATATGTTATATTTATCAATAATGATTCTAATTTTGATGGTTTAATTAATAACTATTTAATTTTTTCTTATCCTAACAATAATACTAAGACTTGTTATATTCTAATTTTAAATAAAAAAATACTTTGATAATTCCTGCAGGATAGTTTTAAAATCTAATTTTTATTTTGCCAATTCTTGTAGTTTATTTAAAAGCTTCTACATTTTTTATTAATCACAAGATTTTTCTTAAAAGATATATTAGTAATTTTTCCATACCAATTTTTTTTTAATGATAAATTTTTGAAATCGCTATAGTACATTTATATTACTTCTGTATTAATATTTTATATACTCATTTACTAATTATACCAAGTTACTAAATAGGAAATAGTGAAAACCCAACTTATTATAGATCCTGTTCAGCAAGAATTTCTGAAATTTTAGGGTATTCATAGAGAGTCTCTGTTTTAATCTAGTCTAAGGTTAAGAATAAGATCATTGAGATGTCTTTATTAAAGTATTTTTTTGAGTATTCCGCATCAAATTCTTATATCAATTGATACAAATTGTAAAAAAAGGATTTTTTACCAGAATTTGGAAATAAATACCCATCATCTATTGAAACTAGGCTGCATTCAAGTTAAAAATTATAAAACATTAAACTATTTTGAAACATATTTAAAACATAAAACTTTGGAATTTTATCTGGCTATTTAGTTTTTATATTAAATTGTTCAATATAAATTTAGATCTAGAATTAATTTTATTATTCTTAATATTAATTATATATGGCTTCGTTGGCACAATACATACCGTCTTACAAGTTTTCTGAATTGCATCTCTTAAAAGAAATTTAATAGTCTTTTTAGTTTAATTATTAAGATTAGAGTGGAGATCCTACTAATTCAATATCATAAAGAACAATTTTATTAATAATTTTACCATCTTATGTAATTTCTTATTCAAAAACAATATTTTAAATTTCTATCTAAAATAAAGACTAAGAGATAAATACATTTAAAGGGTTTAGAATTAATGTTGGATAGTAAATTATTGAAGTTGGATTGAAAGGGTCGATTTGATTTTTCAGTTTTTAAAAGTAACATATTTCTAAGAATTTCCCTTTAGCTTAAATTGTTTCAGAATGATTAATTTATTTTGAGGTTGAAGTAACTTTAGGTAACTTATTATTATGTATCCAATCAATAAATTGATATAAAAAATATGATAAAGTAATTCCATATATAAGTAAGGTCATAATTCCACCAAAGACACTTTTTTTTGAAGAAATCGATCTTTAAAAAAGCACTTTTTCTTCAATTCCAAATTGATCTATAGATTGTAAAAAGCTAGACATTTATAAATAAATTATAGTAATATAAATTTATTTGAATAACTTTAGTAATTTTCAAGAAATTGAGGATGGCTATTTTTCTTAATGATTAAGTTTCAAATCAATTTGAGATCCAGCTTGAGGTAGAAGACTTTAATTAAATTCAACTTAGGTATATTGTGTATTCTCCTTCATCAATAATAATCCAATATGTGATTCTAAATCTTCTTCAGGTAAAAGATCATTCTAAATTATTAATTCTCCTTCTGATTATTCTTATTATCTTAAGTTATCATTCTATTATTCTTCAGGTTACTTAATAATTATTGTAAAAAATTACAATTTATATTTTACATTTTTTTGTTTATGGTATCTCATTTAATCCAAGTTTATCTAAAATAGATTCTAATTTATGATTTTATTGCAAACATTTTTTCATTTAATCAATACCTAAACATTCTTATAAGATTAGTTAAATTCTTAGAATATCAATAAAAAATACCTTGAGACTTCAAATTATAAATTAATATAGCTCATTTTCTAATCTGCTATTTAATGTAAACTTTCAATAAATGAATGAATCTTATTTATATCATAAATTTTTTCTTTAAGCTTTAATTAACTGATTTTTCCTAAGTAATTTGTTTTTATTCTAATATCAGAATAATCAGTATAAAACATTGAAATAACATCTTTTCTAGCATTTTGAGTGCAAATCATTTCATTATATTTAATAAAAATAAAGGATATTTATAAAATCCATGTAACAATTGATCCTGCATTAGCAAGAATTTCTGATATTTTAGGATATTCTATATAAATAACTGATTTAATTTAATCTATTGTGAAATAGGCAACAAAAACTGGTTTTTATCCATAAACTTTTTCACTTTGTAAGATATCATATGTATTAGTAAACATATTAAAATCAGAAAAAAAAATTTATTCATTAGAATTAGAAAATAGAAATCCATCATCAACATCTATTTAATTTGCCTGTAGATTAAATGAACAATATAGCATTTTATCTGAAGAAATATCTAAAGAGTAAAATTTTGGTATTTTAATAAGTGATTTTTATTTTGTGTCGTATTGTTGAATATAGATTTAAATTTCGAAAAAGTTCTATTATTCTTAAAATTTTTAAATAGTATCTTAATTGGCACATTAATACCCTTCTTCTAAGGTATTAGGGTTACAATATCCAAAAAGGATCTAATAATCTTAATAAATCATTTCTAAAGCCGTTGGAGGTGAACCAATAAAGTTAGGGTTTTCAATAATAAATTTATTAGTAATCTATCCAGTTTCTAAGGTTTAATGATCTAATCTACTTTTGAGTATTTAACTCTAGATTTATATATAATAGTACCTCATTTTTATTATTAGGTTAAGTTGTTAAGATTGGATAGAAAATCAAATTATTGGGATCAAATGGATCAATTTTGTTTTCATTTGAAGCAATGTGTGATATATGAGCAAATATACCTTCTATTTATACATTTTCAGCTTAAGAAATTTATTTTTGTAAAGATGTGATTTTTGGAAGTTTATTGTTTTACTACCAATCAATAAACTCATATAAAAAGTAAGCAAAACTTATTCCATATAGTGTCAAAGTAGCTACTCCTCCTATGGCACTTCTTTAAGTAGGATTTATAGCTGGAATAGAGAGCTTTTGTTCAATTCCAAATTAATCAATAGCTTTGAAGAAATTATACATATACAATAATATTAATACTACTCATAATGTAAAAATTGAGTTTTTTATAAAAATAATGATTAATTGAGAGTCTATAATATTAAGTATATATATATATTTTTTAATATTTTTTTTTCGTTAAATTATTATTTTTAAAAAATGGCTTCTCAAAAGAAAGAAACTAGATTATTCAATTTAACACCTAATAAGTCATAACAACTTTAGCAATCGACATTTTTTTAAAAAGGATTTGTTAGTTCTAATAATTTTCCATAAAAAATAGCTCCAAATTATTAATTTACTTATGAAAGTATGCCAAAAGTGAATTGTCATTATCATGTTGATTAATACATTACAATGTTTTGTAGATGTTAAACATGTTAAATGCCTTTATGTCCATAAGTATAGAATGATGTAAAAAATATAGTGCGTAAAGATCCATTCTTAAGAACATTAAGCATACAATACATATGGAGATTTCGATACTCTTGAGAATTGTTTAACAGAAGTTTATTAATCTGTTGCTGTAAATTGTAATAGATTTGTAGATGAAATGAGTTAATTAAATAAAGTAACAGCATTAAATGAAGGAATTAATTATTATATGGATAAAGTTAAATAAGCTAGATAATAATGTTACTAAGTAATTGATAACTTTTTTAATACTTTGGAAGCAGAATTAGCATAAGAAATAGAAGGAAATAGAGGTTTTATGACAAATTAATCTTAAAATTTTAGTAAATACTTGTAATCAAGATGGAAAACATTAATGAGTCTCTTAGAAAAACTTAATACAGATAGATGTGTCAAAACACTTGTAAAATATTATACAACTAATCTACCTTAAGAAAATGAAGAATACTATCATGAATCTAATTAATTTATGAAGTAATTTAATAAATGTGTTCCTGAAATTATATTAGATTAGAGTGCATTATATGAATTAAATATTGACTTAGCAAAGTTTGTATCTTTAAAAAAAGTACCAGTAATGAAATAAGTATCAAGAGCATACCCTTAATATCCTGTAAATGAACCAATTTAACCAATATATAATTCATTTAATCAAGTGCCTTAATAAAATTAAACTCTTATGCCTTTGACTAATACTGAACCACAAATGGAGGTTCCAAAATAATATCCAGTTAAATAAGGATCATTTAAATAAGATTAAAGTCGTCCTGTTTAATAATAAGAAAATACTTAAATTCATCCATATTTATTAACACCACCTAAAACAAGTAATTTTTATTAATGATGAATATATTTTAAAAATAATAATTATAATGTATACACACTATTGTTTGACAAAAATAACAATTAATTGATTCAAATAGATACTATTTAATAAAATAACATCAAAGATTATTACAGTTATTTTAATTAAAGCATTTAAGCAAATTCTCAAATATTCTTCTGTTAATGCTCTTTCAAAATTGTTTCTTTCTTTTATTTTGAAATATAATATATCACTTAAGTAATAAGGATACTTTTATTTTTAATAATAAACATTAAATTTTATTTGTTTTTTTCTAGTAAATATGATTCACACAAAAGATTAGAATATTGAATATGTGTATCATCTGAATAAGTATAAAACATAAACTAAATGAAATCATATAAATGCTCTATATTATTAATTAAATTACATTTATATTATTGGAAATCTTAAATTTAACTTGATAAATAAAAGATTATCACACAATATTTAATATTAAAATGATATATTATTATTATATAATAAGAATGAACCTTTTTTTCTATCAATATTTATTTATTTTTATATTTAACAATTCATAATCATAATAAATTTAAATTTTATAATCCTTCATATGTCTTTTATCTTAAAATTTCAATTTTGGATGCAAATATATTATTCTATTTTATTTTAGAATCAATTACATAATTATTCTCAAATAAATTTTCTAAGGTTTCAAATGATATATAAATTGGCAATATCAAAATGCATATGCTTAGAGTATCATTCAAAGCATCTAATTATTTATTTTTATTACCTAATCCAATGAATGATGAAATTGGAAATAATGTTTGCTTCAAAACATTAATGAGGAAAAAATGCATCAACCATCTACTCATTTTTTCTTTATTTTTTTATTCATAAGCTAATGCAGCCATCAAAATTGGAATCAAGTATCCAAATAATAGATGGAGAACAAATAAGATAAATTGCAATCCTTCTTAAATCATTTTAATATATTATTATTTTAATAATAAGAATGGAAACTCATAAAAAAAGGAGAGAATTGACTCCAGAATAAGTTTAATAAATCAAAGACGGATTCTAAATTCAAAGAGTTATAATGAAAGATTCTGAAACACAATAAGTTTATTGGGATTCCATCTCTGAAAATGTATCAAACATTAATAATTTAAAGATAACTCAAGATATTATTGATATAACTTTAGATCCCAAAATCATTATATCAAAAGCTGCTACTCGATCAATCTAATTTGCTACCAAAGAAAAACTTTAAGACTTAATCTTGGTTTAAGATGTATAAATAAGCTTATGTTATTTTTTAGGCTTATTTACATGGTAATAAAATTGAACATTTTGTATTCAAATTTGGCTTTGTTATGCCTGATACTGTTAATAATTGGGATTCTACTATTGTCAACAGACCTCCTGAACAAATGTTACCAAAAGAAATCTAATCAGGTAATTTGGTTATTGATATCTAAATGTTTGAATAGGATCATCTCATCTTTAATGTAAAAGTGAGAATATTTTATTCATGAATTTAAAAGTTAAAAATTAATCTACATTTTGTATTATATTATTATCAATCATCATTTTCAGCTTTTTTATTATCTTCTTTATCTTCCTCAATGTTAAAATCTTTTCTTTCAAAACCTATAGTCGATTCGTGAATGTTTAATTTTATACTTCTTATTCACAGATTAAATTCTCAATATCTAAACATATTTAACATTATATATACTCGGTCGAAATTATTCTATCTTAATTTAATCCTCCTCTTCAATTTCAAGTCTTTAAAGAATAACAAATTTTGCATTGTATCCTTCAAGATTTATACGGTTTAGGAGCAATCCTTCTGCAGGTGTTAAAATAATTCTTAATTAGTTTTTAAAAAATGTTTTATCAATATATGTATCTGGGAATTCTTCTTAAAATATTTATATAACAATTCCCATCATCTTTCTAATCTAATGATAGATAAAACTTTAATCATGAATCAAAAATTTAAAGAATTCTTTATCTTAATGTTTGAACAATTCATTGAATCAAAATTTTTTTCTTTTTACAATTACTATATTATTATAAATTTCCAAAATATAATTTAATTCAAATTATGGGTGAATTATTTAAAGGAATTATTGAAATAGGACTTATCTTTTTTTAATTCTATTGAATTATGACTAATATAAATTTTTGAGTAAACAATTTCAGAAAGTAGAATAATTAGAAATACTAATGAGATAGTATTGATAAAAAAATTGTAAAATAAAAAAGTGTAATATGTTTGTGAAATATGAATTATTTATAAAAGTTATTTACATCATTCTTAATCATTGTTTTAGATTAATAGATCTTATTATTGTATGATATTATCAATTTTTTGAATTTCCTAATCTTTAGGTTAAGGTTGTTTAAAATTTTAATATCTTTTATACCAACCAAATTTATCCTATTTGTTCACATGAGCTCTTAAATTATGTAATTAGATGACAATATCTAAATGTTCATCAAAAGTTTTGGCAGAAGCAAGTTTGGATCTTAAGTCTAGAGATATAAAAGAAGAGAAATACCAGTGTGAATTTATAAACCTGTGTAAAGAAGTTTAAATAAATGTGCTTTAATTTCAGCTAATCTAGCATTATATTATTTAGCAAGTTGCATATATTCAATTGCTAATTCATTAAGATCTTTGATTTGACCAGAGAAAAGTGCAGGATTTTCTAAAAGAGCTTCAGAAGACATAACAGCATCTACTTTAGTTTCTTATAGACATCTTTCAACATCAGACCATGTATAGATACCACCATTAGCAAAAACAGGAATTTATAGTAGTTATTTAATTTAAGCAATAATGTTCCAATCACATTAACCAACAAAATCTTTATTTTATTCTTTGGTTCTTCCATGAACTGTAAGAATGGAACATCCAGCTTATTAAATTTCTTTAGTAAAATCAAGAGTTCTTTTTGTATCTTTGAAGATTCTAATTTTACAAGTAACAGGAATATTAATATTTGATTTTAATTCTTTAACAATAGTTCTAGGTTTAAAGTTAAAATATATACAGAACAAGTTCTCTTTTTTCTAATAGATAAGCTCCATACAGACCTTTTCTAGCAATTCCTTAAGGACAACCAAGATTAATATCAATAGCATCACATTAATCTTAAATCATTAAAGCAGCTTTAATAAGAATTTAAGGATCATGACCACATAATTGAGCAAAAAGAGGTCTATCTTCAGGACAGGTAGTGAAGAATTCCTCTTTATATGTTTTAGATTCTGTCATAATTCTACTATGTAACATAGGAGTATATGCTAAAGTTGTTCCATATTTTCTAGTTAACATTCTAAAAGCTAGTTCACTTTAATCAACCATCGGAGCACCTAATATATATAGATTCAAATACAAATGAATTTAGGAGATCCTAAGTTTCTATAAAATTACCATGCTTATTCAATATGATGATCATCCATTAATATTATAATTTATAATATGGCCACTGAATTATTATAAGAGAATTATGAATTCAATGCTCCACCTAGAGTTGTTTAGAAAATGAAATATAGAGAGGAAAGAGATGCTTGCAACATTATGTGGGATAAAAGAGTAATCAGAGGAAATACATATTCAAGTGTTTTGAATAAATCTGAACCTATTACATAAACGACTATTAAGAGGATTCAACACACTAAAGTTATGACTGAAAAGAAAGAGGATGAAACTGTTCATGAAGAAGAAACCTAAACTGATCCAAATGTTGAAGAATTAACTGATAAACCACCTAGACATCTTAAAGAAACTCAAACAGAATTCATCATTGAAAAAATTGTACCAAGATTATACATGAAAGAAAAAACAGGAATAGATTAGGAAACTCAAGTTTGGGATGATGGAGAACTGTTCAATTTTGAATATGAAGCTGAACCTATATTATAAGTTTTAGTATTAAAAACTTTAGATCTAAGTCGTATGGAAGTATTATAAGAAGAAGAACTCAGAGAAATGAAAGAAAAGTAAGAACATTATTAAAAATTAAAGCAAATGGAAATGGCTGAATAAGATAGATTAGAGAAGAAAGAATAACAGTTATATAATGATAATATTAAATTAAAATAGCAATTCCATAATTCCAAATAAAGAGATATAAAAACTCATGAAAAATTAGTAAGTAGAGCTACAGCCAAAAAATATCTATCTAAATGTGTAGATCTAGCATTATAAAAATTAAATCTAAGTGGTTATTTCCGAGATCCAATTGAAATTTAATTGGTTTCTCATTATTTTCCATGGATTTATCAAGATGTTGCTACTGAATTATCAAATTCGAATAATATTCTTATATAATATACAGAAATGTTGGATAATATTGATGATAAAATGTTTTAATAACATACTTAAACTTTATCTGAAGAAAGAAAAAGAAGATAATCTATTTTGGATGAAAGAGAAAGATAAAGACTTGCAAAAGAAGAATCTGATAGATAAAGAAGAGAAAGAAGAAAAATTAGATTAGAAAAAGAAAGAAGACAAAAATTAAAAGAGACTATTTAAGAGTTATTGGTATCAAAAGGAGAAGAAAAAGAATGGTTTAATCTTATTTCTGATATCGATGGTTATTATTAAGGAACAAATACAATTGGTTATTTAGGAGGTATAATTGGTTAATTTGTGATCATTATTAATGCTCTACAATAAGTAGGAGAATCTATTGAAGATATATCTGAATTGATTTCTAATTCTATTGCTGCTTTACCAGAAGGTACAAATATTGAAATTGGATTAAGGGAATAAATAGATCAAAATTTAGCAGATATTGAACGTAACATTTATTATTTATATTTCTAGCTGAATTGACTCTAGCTAATCTACCAGAATAATTAACATAAGGTATAGAAAATGCTATTAGATCTAATATTGTTTATTCTTTATAATAACATTGGACATAATTTGAATTTCTTTAAAATGTTAATTCAATTATTGAATCAGTTATTAAAACTCTTTTTGAAAATAGACCAAAAATTAAATGGGCAAAAATTAAAAATTAGGTTGATTTTCAAAAGATTCCATGTCTAGTCAAATTGTAACCAGCTATGGAAACTTTAAGATTTCATCCTAAATCAGGAAAAACAAGAATTGAAAAATAAATTGAAGATGAAGCCACAGAAGAAGAAATTATTAATCCTTAAAATCTTGGAGAAGCTGTAGTTGATACTAAAGCTACTGCATTCATTCCTTAAGTATTTTTTATTTAAATTTTTATAGAATGAAGAAATTTAAACAGCAGTCATTCATAATGTAGCAGAATTTCATCTTAGAAATTTAATTGTATAATAAATTGGTGAATAAGATATTCCATGGTAGGTAAATTTCACTGAAAAATGTTAACAATTAGAAACCTAAATTATTGAGATCCTAAATCCTCAGCTACCTTAATTGGAAATTTAATAATATTGATTAAGAGCATATATAATTTGATATATTAATTTCTATAATTTTACAGTCTCCTTTTATAATAAAAATGCAAACTCTTAATAATTTAAATAATACCTTTTTTTTGATCCTTTCTTTTTCTTTGTTCCAAAATTTAATATTATATCTTTATACAATAATTTTATTTCATTATATACAATTTTATTCTTTTACAATTTCAAAAAAAAATTATTGATCCACAATAAGAACTTCATACTAAACAAGTAGAAACACACCAAAATGTTATCCATATCATAAATGAATCTAATTGATGGAGAAGAATTAAATTTAAAACAAACATTTGAAAAAATTCAATATAGCAATTTGTTTATATATTAGTTTGATTGGATAAATTGCACATAATATTCAATACTTAAAAATTTTACAGAATTCTAGCACAATCTTCTTATTTTTTAATAAAATTAAGTTACAATTATAAAGTTAATAATAGTTTTATTTTTTCAAATCCAAAAGTAATAAAATTCATATGCAATTATTATCGATTATAAAATCAAGAACAAAACCTACAACCTACATGGATAAAATAAAATTGATTTAATTAAAAGGAAATCAATGCTTATAATTATTGATAATTACTATGATAATTGAATAAAATAAATAATAAAACTAAAAAGAATTTAAAAAAATTTTCCCATAAATAAACCTATATTTTAATTAGTCACAATAAATAAATTAAATATAGACAATCATAGTTTAACTCCAAATATTTTGTATAATTTCTCAGAGTAATTCTTAATTGTTTTCTGTGTAAAAATATAGAAAAAGATGAAGGAATTTGATTTCAACATTATCTGCCTTTAAATCAGAAGAAATGTAAAAATAATTTAAAAGTTGACAAAACTCTTTAAAATGAAAAATTAGTTTACTAGAATCAACAGTAGAAGATAAGATGAAAACATTAAGGAGATTAAAATAAACATTAAACTTTTTCAAACATTATCTTTGATTTGATTTATACTCTATAAAACTTAAATTAAATAAATTAAAGAAAAATAATTCTATAAACTATTAAAAAATGGTTTAATAAATCCTCTTCAATCTTTTTAAAGTAATAAAAATTAAGAAAAAAAAGAATTTATAAACCATAAAGTTTAAGGTTTAGTATTTCAAATCGAACTTCATTAATAGAGTTCAACCATTTATGATTTTTTTATGTTTCTAACTTTTTTATCGAAACGTTAAGATATAGAAAAAGATGTTTTTATGTTATATTTAATATTCGATATGCAAATTTATTAAATTAGAATTTTTAAGATTTTATCTTCTATTTTAGATTTAAACAATTGAAAAATGAGCATAATCACTGAAAATATATAGCAATTTTTACAGAATTAAATTTATTGTCAAAATTTTGAGCATTTGAGAAATAAAATTTATTTACATATTTCATTTATAAAATATATGATGATGCATTTTTAGAAAAAATTTATAAGTTTTAGATAATTAAAGCTTTTGATAAGAGTTGTAAAAAGTATATATTAAATTGACAATAATAATTATAATTTAATATGGAAGTTTTAAATGAAAATAAAATTACTTTTTGATTAAAATGGTAACACTCGATGAACATAAATAATATTAAATCTTTAATCATTATTGTATAGTATTCGATATACATTAAAAGAAATATTGAGGTTGAGGAATCTAAAAATAGGGATATAGTAATTAAAACTGTGGGAAACAATTCACTGAACTAATTGGTTGGATGCTGCACAAATTGATTGGCATTAAATATTATTAGGTTGGACTTAAGGTTATTGATGGTGAATATTCTTATGATTAAACTGAAACGATTGTGTTGAGTTTTTCTTCAATTTTTGTTTAATTCAATTATTCTTTTTTTGGAATAATGTAATAGGGATTCTTTATGTTGAGATATTTATTTCGAAGGTATGAATAGAACCTGTTTTTAATACTGTTTTCTGATCTACCTTGAAGGTGTTTTTATATGACACTCCATTTACCTCCAACACTATTATAGATTTCAATTATCTTCTCATCTTCTTCTTTGTTCCAAGGTTCATTGTTCAATCCAGGATGTAATTAATTGAGATAGTGTTCACGTATTTATTTACCAGAACGATTAGGTAATAATCTGCTAATCTTGCTCCAATGGTAACCATATTCTTTCACTAAATTCTTTAGTTTATCATCCTCCTCTTAAGTCCATTATCTTCTTAATTTGAATCCTTTAATTCTTTTCCATCTCTAAGCACATTATGAAGGATTTCTTCCGCCAATTCTTCTGGCCACTTCAATCCAATCGAAACATTTGCTTTATCTCAAATCTTAAAGCAATTGATCTTCTTCAACACTCCAAGCTTTTCTTTAAGGTTGTATCAATTCAGAATTGAACATACTACAGATAAATTTATTTTTTTTTTACTTAATCAAAGAGATATTTCTCTATAAACTAAAAGAAATCAGTTATTTCAAAACTTTTTATTTTAATTCTTTATATATTCTGGCTACGTTACCGATGTTTATTACTGAATCTTGATGAACCAAGATATTTTTGATATCTTCTAAGTATGAATTAACTATATCTTTATATGAAATCATATTTTCAATTAAAGTAAATATTTTTGCATATTTTAAATAAAATTTCAGTATTCTATTTTAGGAGTTAATAATATTACTTTAATTAATAAATTAAATGAACTTTTAATACAGATGAGCAGAACCCCCTCCATTAATCGAACTCAACTAAAATTTTTTAAAATTTTATTATTAAAAAGAAACATAGATTCCAAATTGAACCAAATGTTGTGAATAATAAAATAATGATAATTATGTTTAAATAGTTAAACAAAAAAAGTTATAATGAGTTTTTATTTATGAATCTGAATAGAGTAATAGAATAGATGACTTAGATAGAATAGATATGACTAAATACTATTGATATAAGAGATGAGTAGTGTAGATTGGAACAATAAAAAATTTAGAAAAAAGTTCTTAAATTATCATTCATAAATTTGAAGTTATAAATGCTGAGTTTTTTAATTATAATAAATATAATAAATAATTCCTAATGTCGAATCAATATGTCATAGTGCCTCAAAATTACAGAAGCGATAGCATGGTTAGTATTTCACCAGCTGATAAGAGATACTTTGAGCAAGCTCAAGCAAAGTAAAAATCACCTCCATAGTAAATGATGTTTGGTGGATACTCACCATCTCCTAGTCTTCAAAAAACATTGAGCACATAATTATCTGAACAAAGTATTGATGAAGTATCTATGTTGTTAAATATTTATTAGTTTGGTAGGATGTAAAAAGATTCCGATACTGAGTTGGTTGTCCAGTATATACTCTAATTAAGAGATACAGAAAAAAGAGAGCAAGCATTATCAGAATTATCAAAAAAAAGAGAAAGCTTTCCTCATCTTGCACCACTCTTGTGGCATTCTGTTGGTACCATAGCTATATTGTAATATATTGATTTTTTAAATATTTTAGTCTATAAGAAATTGCAGTTGTATATCAACACTTACAACCTGCCTAGCTTACACCAGCTTAATCTTCAAGAATTTGTAGTGTTTTAGGATTGCTATAATGTTTGGCTCTACATGTTTAAACAAGATCTTGTTTCTTAAGAGGTAATCTTTAAATATTAAATATAGCTCATATTCCATTATTTTTGTATCCATTTCTAAATACCAGTAATAAGAGCAAAGCTTTTGAAAATTTAAGAGTCACTAGTTTAGGTGTCATAGGAGCTTTGGTTAAAGTATTCTTATTTTTAAATTTTAAAGGGTGATGATCCAGAAGCTATTAATTTTTTAATGCAAACTGAAATCATTCCACTTTGTTTGAGAATCATGAAGAAAGGATAAGAGTTATCTAGAACTGTTGCTACCTTTATTGTCTAAAAGATCCTTCTCGATGATAATGGTCTCAATTATATCTGTTAAACTCCTGAAAGATTTTTTGCTGTAAGTCAAGTCTTACAAACTATGATTGATGATTTACACCAATCCTAAAAAGATGATTAAAGACTATTGAGACATATTATTAGATGTTATTTAAGACTATCTGAAAACTAAAAGTAATTTTTCATTTTTATTGTAGAGCTGGAGAAGTCCTTAAAAAATATTTGCCATAAGTATTAAAAGATCCAACTCAATCTTTTATTAAAGATGAAGTTGTAAAAAAGTGGCATAATAATTTGCTTCAAAATCTTTCGATCAAATGATCTTAAAATATGTATCTAAATAAATTAAAATCTTTGCTAAAAGTTATATATCAATTACTTTTGCTAAGATATTGGTCTATGTTTAAGAAATTCCAAAATCTACTATCAAATTAATTTAATTTTATTAATAATCATTTTTTTGCTTCAAACTTTAAATTTCTCAATCAAATATGAAGTCCATTCAAATTATTATTCACCATATTCTTTTTTTTCAATCTTGCATTTCAACATTTCTAATGCTTCCAATTAGGCTTCAATAATTCTCTATTATTCAACATTATAAATTAGAGCGAAATAATCATGATAATTCAATTTTGGATCTGTAAGTTTTTCTGATTCACTTTTTAGCATTTCTTTGAAATGTTCATTATGATATGTCTTTATTAAATTTAAAGCCTAATCAATGATAGCACAATCATATTAATCATTAAATAAATATGATATCCCTTAATCATATGACCAGTTTAACACTTTGAAATACATTAATAGATCCTCGTTGATTCTAGTGTATCTGATTTTGAATTTCATAAACTTGGACAATTAGAAATACTATTTTTATAACTTATAAATATTTACATCAGCAATATCACTTGCAAAAGGTATGTGCTAAATATATTGTGATTTCACATCGACATAATCATACATATTGTATTCAAGTGTAAAACCATATCTCAATAAAAGTGATCTATTTGAAATGGTTCCATATGAAAAGTATGCTTAAGCACCTTTTTCAAATTCATCCTTGCTTGAACACTTTATAACAAAATTATCAAATTAATCTTCTTTCCAATCTTCTTTTGCTTCAAAAGGCTTCAAATTATCAGGAATTTCAACTTACAACATTTCCTACACATTTTCAATCGTTTAGGGTTATTCTGGAATTTCAAATTATTTTAATTAATAATTTTTGGCCCTAGTTTTGCCAATTTAGTATTATTATATATTTTACAAATAAAGTTCAGAGTTATCGAAAACTTATTAGAGAAAAGATGAAACTTAATCATAAGTCAAAATATCAGTTTCATACAATTTAATTAATTCCTAAATTTACTCAAGACTTTTTGATACAAAAATTATGGTAAAATTATCTCTTAAATTAAGATTCTCTTACAACCATCTCTTATTTTTTAGATATTAAATTTATAGATCAATTCTGTTATTACATTTCTCTTGAAATAGTTTCAATTTTTAAATAGCCTCAGGATCTAGAAAATCAACCTAATTTTAATACAAAGTTAATTCTTCTTCTATTTATTTGTATTTTGGAGTTTATTACTTATAATTTTTGATTTCATCTAAAATTTCAATTGGATATTAATAATCTTCTTAATCATATGAATCACTGTCTCCATCTGATTCATCTGATTCATTATATTCTTATTATTTATCATCTTAAGGTTTATTTATATTATTTTCTAAATATAAACCTTTGTATCTAACATCAGTATTTTCATGATTAAACATTTCACAAAATGGAACAAATGCAACTTATTCTAAAGTAGATCCAAAACATCTACTAACCAAATGAATAAAAATCCATTTGATATTTTCAAAACAATAAGTCTCTTTTTTAAAATATTAAGGATATTAGTCTAAAATATGCGTTAAAGTTTTTTAGATTAATAAAAAATCTTATAATTCTCTTTTAGCTTTTTAAACAAGTTTATCATCCTTTAATAATTTTAATTCTTCCTCTGACCAAAAGATTAAATAATCAATATCTCTTGGTAAATTAGAGATTAAATGATACCATTATGATTATCTAAAAGTTTAATTGATAATAAATACTTCCCTAATTAAGATTAATATAAAATGTAGGTGAGTAGAATTCTATCCTACCATCCTCCAGCACAATGTTAGCTGAAAAATTATGGAAAAGAATCAAAAATTTCTTGAATATCAGAAAAGTATGCAATTTTAGTGGTTAACATTAATTCTCTTGGAACTGATACAAGAATTGAATCCTTTTCAATTTTATCAACAGCTAAATATATTATATCAATAATGTTTACTTTATAATCCTAAATAAGATAAATTGTTCCTTGTTTTAAATTAAGCGATTCGTAAATTATTAATTTTCATACCTCTTTCTAATAAATAATCGACATATTCTTAGAATTCTTTCTATCCTTCTACTTATATTGCTGAAGGATCCATTTTGTAAATTCCTTTAATCTGTATTAAAATATGTATGTCATTAATACATTATGAAATAAAGTAGCAATCCTTTTACTAATTGATATAGTTTATTGCATAAAATTAATATTGTGATAATGATAAAATAATAAAATATCGATTAGATCTTGAAAATAGAAAAATTTAAAGAAAGTTAAGAGAAAAATTAAGAATAGATGATTAGTTTAAACAGGTATATAATATAGATATGAATAAATAATTTAATAATTTAATATATAATTAGTTCTAGCAGGATGTAGAATAATAAGAAGGCTAAAAGAACAAAATTGACAAAGGAATAAATAGATGTATTATAATAAGCATTTACATTATTTGATACTGATAAATCAGGATCAATAGATGAATCAGAATTAAGAAATGCAATGAAAGTAAATATATTGATTTAAAAAGTAAGGCACTTGGATTTAATGCTTCTAAAGAGGAAGTTTAAAAGATGGTTGAACAAATTGATAGAGATGGATCAGGTACAATAGAATTTTAAGAATTTGTTGAAATGATGAAAAAGAAGATGTTAGAAGATAAGAATGTTGAAGTAGAAATAGAGAAAGCATTTAATTATTTTGATGATGATAATGAAGTGATAAAAATAAAATAAAATATATAGGGTGCAATAGATTTAGAGAAATTAAGAAGAGTTGCAGCTGATTTAGGAGAAGAATGTGATGAATAAACATTAAAAGATATGATATATGCTGCAGATCTTGATTAAGATGGTAAAGTAAGTAAAGATGAATTCATGATGGTAATGAGGAAGATGAAATTGATATGATATATGCTGTAAAATTTCATCAAATACGATCTCCAGCAGCCATTTTCTAAGCAAGAGTTTCTTTAAGATCTCTCATATTAACATTAAGTAATCCAACCACTTCAGATACAATATTACGATCATTTGATCTTGATGTTCTTTTTTAAGTATAATCATATGCTGCTTATTAACATTCTTCTCTTCTATCATCTTTATTATATTCTTTTGATTCAAGTCTCAAATTCAAATCATCCATTTTCTTTTAATTCTCTGATAATCTATCTTTTAATGATTAAAGTTAAGCTTCTAATTCTCCTATTTCCTTATCATATATCTTAAAATCTGTATCCATGAATTTTTAATACTCACTATACCATCTAACTCTCTCCTCTTCAGCTTTTCTTTCCACCTACCAAATTTCATCTATTTATCTTATTAAAGATTCACTTAAATCTATTATATTTCTTAATACACCAATATTATTTCCATTCTTACTCATCTAAATCATAAAATCTATTATATTTTAAAAAGGTTTCCCTAATGATTTAAACTTACCAACACTTACTAAATGTTTTGTTACTTCTGCAAACACCTCTGGTTATACTTTTGTTTTCTCAGTCTATAATTCCATAAAGTTTGTTCTTAATTTTGAAGCATAAACTAATTTCACTTCTTCCAAAGTCTTTATTATCTTACCTACTTCTCCTCTCTTCTCTTCATATATTTTCTCTTAATATTCTCTTATCACATCTACTTCATTCATTCCTTTTCTCAAGTTCTTTCTCAATGCATTTTTATCGTTTAAAATCTTTTTCTTTGATCTATTCAATAATTTTATTTAACATACTCTATACTAGCCTTTAATTAATCTATTGCTCCTTAAATCTTTACTTTCTATCTCTTTATACCATCTATCTCATCATTCAAATTTTTCAGATCCTCATCGCATTTCTATTAAAACTCTCTATTTTCCTAATCTTCTTCTTTCTAATCTTTTTAATATTTATCTTCTAAATCTTATAAAGTATCTATTATTCTATAGTAGATAACCACTTTACCTATCTAAAGGCGTATTGGTTTATAATGCTAATTATGCTGTTGATAGTAATGTATGACCTAATTATGTTTATAGTAAACTCTCTATTTTTGAACCCAAATTTTTCTCACATTGAACTATCAACAAGGTTAACAATAATGTAAAAATAACTTTCATTTATAATAAATTATAAAACGACTTTTTCATTATGAATATTCATTAATTCATTCATTGTACTATCAATTGTTTTTATTTAGAGTAAAAATCATGCTTCTTTAAATATACTATAATAATCTCTTAATCTATTTCATCTCCTATACTCTCTATTATCAACATATTAGCATTGTATGATGCCAAACTTAATATTAATTTCTCCTCATTCCTTAGGTTATTGAAATGTGATCTCAAGATTTTTATAGATCGAATACTTTCTCTAATGTTGATACCTATATACATATATTTATTAAATTAATTGTTTTACTGGTTTCTTCAAAATAAATCTTTCAAAGACTTATAAGCTTTAATAAATTATTATTATTACTATACAATTAATTCTGAAACATTATCAAATAATATCATAAAATCCCTCTTCTAACATTTTTTTATATTCCTCTAATTCTTAATGTATAATTGTATTATTTTCATATTCATATAAACTTGTTTTAATAAGTTAGTTAAGTTCAATTAAAGAAATCTGGGTTACAATTTTCCATAATAAACACTTTTATTCCAAAATCCATTTACTTTAAATATTCTTATTAAAATCTTAAATTTATATATTTGAATACTTATTGAAAAGATTAAGTTCGAATACAAAATACTATAATTCTAATTTTTTTCATAGAGAGAAGCAAACTGTGCTTTCTTACAACTTTGATAAACTGAATAATAAAGACCAATAGAAGATATCCTAATTTACATTAATGTTGATCTTTTATTAAAACCTACTTTACTGAAACTAATAAATTTTAACATGTATAATTTTGTATAATTAATTTAACTCAAAACAACATTTCATAGCTATATCCCTTAGAAAATTTAGTTTATTTTGGTTGTTAAACTTAAATTAATGTCGGCCTTCCATGTGGACAATTCCATGGTGAAATTAATGTTGTTAAATTCTTTACTACATTTTCCATCTCTTTTGGTTATAAATCTTAACCTACCATTATTGATGTTCTGCAAGCTTAAGAAGCTAATTTTTGTTTTATTTATGGTATTTCAATTTGATCAATTTTTTTACCTTAACTCAACTAATCTAAAATTTAAAGGAAAGCATCACCCCCTAATTAAATATTACTATAACTTGGACAGGTTTTCAATTTAACACAATTTTCTGTTATTTCGACCTAATATTTAAATTTATCATTTATCTATTATTAATTATCTAATAAGAATTCTAATTGAAATCCTGATAATTTTAATATTATTGGTACAATTAATTGTGCTCTATTAAATTTTAATTAATTTATTAATCTTTCATAATTATATTTTTCATCACAAGCATGTTGATCAAGAACATATATTTTTTGTTACTGTTCACAAATAATAAATCCTTTATTAAATTAACCAATAATTTTTAAGTTATTAAAATCTTCCTTAATAAAATGGTTTTATTTTGATAGTTATTCAAATTCATCAGCTTCAAATAAGTCTTTATCTTGATTTTATTAAACTTCTTCATTTATTATTGATTATAATTTTTAATCATCCTATTAGGTAGTTGTTTACCTTTAATATTCTTATTATGTTTATTATTGTTATTATTATCCCTATTTATATTATATATCTTAAAATTGTTATGAATTCTAAGATTAATTTTATACATTTAATTATGTTGCAAAATTCTTAGAAGAGTTTAAATTCTTTAGTTGAGACAAAAAAGTGCTATTTCTTTTTTATACTTCTTTAGTTTGTAAAGGTGTAGAATCTTTTCTTTTTTCATTTTATACTATATTTTATTATGATAATGGTTTTTCTGTTTATTATTTTGCTGTTGCAACAATAAATTAGTCTAAATTTCCATCTCTTCCTATATACTTAAGTTTTTCTTTATTTTTTTCTAAAGTTTCATTGACAATTTATTCAATGTTTTCAATAATTAATTTTTCATTTTTCAAATATACATCTCTTTTATCAACACTGACATTAAAATCCGCATCATTTATCTGCTTTAAATTAATTTCTAATATAAAAAAAAAATTTCCATTTGGATTATGTTACCTGTAGATATCTCTCATAACTTATAAAATTTATTTAGGAGGGTTAATGGGTTTTTTATTAATATAACAATACCAAAAGGTTTTTCTGGTTTGACCTTTATAACTTCCGCTTTCAATACTTTTACTTAAGAAGCCATTTAATGTATAATCTTATTAAATCTTCTCAAAAGGTATTAAATCATTGGCTATAGAATCTCCTAAAACATTTATAATTCTTTATTTTATATTTTCATTTGCCTATCCACTATCTAAAATGAGCTTCTTCTTATTTTTCTTTAAATTATTTATTCAAATTATACTTCTTCTTCATTATAAATTTTAAATTCTATATTTGTATTGATGATAGTATATTCAGTCAATATATTAATAGCTTTATTGTATTCGACTTTATAATTCTTTTTAAATTCTTATGCTCGAACAGGAAGTGTATAAAATATATTTTCAACTCTAATTGATGTTCCAGTTTATCTTGCAATTTTAGTTGGCTCTTTTGGTATTTCCCATTTCCATCCTAATTCTTCATCTTTATGTTTAGAAATTATTGTCACATTTGATAGTGTTGCTATTGAATTTAAAGCTTCACCTCTAAATCCATGAGTATGTACGAACTAAATTATTCAAATATATATTACTTCCAAATCTTCAAAATTTTCAATCTTACTAGTGCCACCTCGAGTAGCTAGTTATTTCTAATTCAAAGTTGAAATTCCATTACCATTGTCAATTACTTCAAAACCTCCTTTACCATTATTCAAAAAATTCACTACTATTTAAGTAGCATGAGCATCTATCGAATTCTCAATTAATTCTTTTACAAAACTTGCTAAACTTTACAAAGTTGAAGATGTTGATATGTGTAAAATAGACTCTTAATTTAATTATTTGATCATAAAAATAAAATATAATTTTTTAAAGAAAATTTATTTTTAGAAAATACTTAATCATTAACTTTAATTCTAGCTATAATTTTCGAGTATATTTAATTTTATAGTAAATTAATTCTCACATAAGTAATATTAAATATTGTGCAATAAATCAAAAATTTTATAAATCTTAAATTTTGTACGAATGAACTATTCTTTAGGTTTTTTGATTAAGAGTATAATGATTTTAAATTTAATATAAATGTTCAATCAACTACTCGAATTTAGGAATTAAAAACTTTTAGTTTAAGCTCTAACGTTTAAAATTCATGAAACAGAATACATATAAAAAACTGGAGCTTTATATTAATACGGAAATAATGAGGATCTCTCTGTGACTGGACAATAATTTCTAGAATTCTACTTTTATGACTATATGATGCTTTAAGGGTGAATAGATTAATTTTATCAAGATTTCCAAGTTAACAAAGTCAATTAAAAAAACCAAGTGACATTATTTAACTTAGACAAAGATTGATCAATGATAAGTATCTTTCAGAGATCGCTCTTCTATTAAATCTATAAAATCTTTTATATGTAGGAAACTAAAAAATATTAAAGTATGTACAAAATTTAAATTTCATAGAACTAATCCTAAAGTATTATCAGAGTGCGTTAAATCAATTATAGCTGCATAATATTTTGATAAATAAAATGATCTTGAGGCTTTAAGAGATATTATTCATCCGGTTGTAGTACAACTACTGAACAAGTATCAATTATAATTTATATATAGAGGCGAGTAAATAAAACAGAACTATTGGAAATATAATCCAAAATCATCATTTTTAGAATATCTTAATTAATATAAAGGTGAATTAGAATTAAAGCCTAAATTAACTATAGAATGGAAAAAGGATGATGCACTTTTAAATTAAAATAAATCTTTGTATTAAATTACATTAGAATTAAATAATACCTTAAAAATATAGAAAACAGGAATAAATAAAAGAGATACAGAATAAAGTGTTTATTTATAGGCTTTGCTTTAATTAGGGAAATATAATATTAATCAAAATCATTAATAGAAATAGTAAATCATAAATACAGAAATTCCGTAAAATTTTATCGAATTTGAACTCTCAACTTCTTTAGATACAAATATCAATAATCAAGATTTATCTTTTCATAGTTTTTATAAGTAAGCAGAAAAACAAAAAGTAAATTTTGATTAATAATTTAACCTTTTGTTAGAATAAATGGCAAATTACTGAAAGTATAAAAGCATTTATTTTTCGATAATTTTTAGAATCTATTTATATTTTCATCAAATTTATAATATTATTTCAATACAAAAAATAATAAAGTAGTTAATCAAATCTTTAATCGAGTACTAATTAAAGATGAAGCTTAAAAGTTTGCGTGCTATTGTTTGTACGAATTTGATTATTATCTTTATTGTAAGATATAAAAAGGTATCACTTATTTAACACTGCTTGATGGTCTAGCAGAATTTGTAGCTTTAGTTTTTTTTTAACTCTATTAGGGATCATCATTAGCAGCTGAAATTGGTAGTTTTCCTGAAACAATTTCCTAAATTACTTATATTTTGTGCTTCTACAAATCAATTTATTATTTGAAATCATGATATTTCTATTAATCTTTTATATATTTACATTTTTTTCAAACTAATCGAATATATCAGAAGTTACAAAATTAAATTTTCTAACCCTTTTTCCATCAATGATATCATAAGCATCATCTGGTTTGATAGGTTCATTTATATCAACTATTTCACCTTCTTCATTTACCATTTATGTTGCTTTACATTCTATTTATCCTTTTTATATCATTTCTAGAATTTTTAATCTTTTATTCATTTTTTTTAATTTATTCAAAAAAAATTCTTTCCTTATCATATTATCAGATTTTCTGGTTGTCAATTAATCGAAAGCTTTTTTAATATTATTTTATTAATCTTAAACTAATTACTAATATTCTTCCTCCAATTTTTTAGCCTAATATAAAGGAAATTAAATACATGTTAAGATTTTGACTCCTGTAAATTTAAGTTCTTGAAATGTTGAAATTAAGCATATGTTGTCATTGCTGAATAAAATTAATCATCTTTTTCATATCGATCAGTTGCACTTCCACTACCCCAATTTACATTTTCATCATCGATACCTAATTTCTCTAAATATTTTTATAATTGCTATTCTAAATTTTATCTTTCTGTATCTTAATTAAATAATTTTAAATAACTCATATTTGATGTCACTTTCCCTTAACCTTTATTATGGAAACTACTCAATCTATAAGGCGACTGATTACTTTTAAGTATTGATTATCGGTTACTGAAGTTAATTTTTGCATTTTTTACATGTTTAGATTTTGATTTTATTCTTTCTAATTATAATTAGTATTTTGGAGAAACAGATGTGATTTATTTAATTTCTCTATTTTAGGTCTTTTATCTAAAATTTTATAAAATTTATTAAGCTTAATTTGCACTTTTTAGTAGCCATGATGCTGTAATAAATTGTTCTTATTATGATGCCTTTTATTCTTGATTATCATTTTATGTATATTCAAAATCAATTTTAAGCTGTTCATCTTAAATCAATTTCTCGCTTAAGTTTTTAATTTGTTATAATAGAATTTCTTTATCCAAATTGGTTTTTGATAAATCTTAAAATCTTTAAAATCTAAAAATCCATTTCTAATTCAATAATTCAAATAAACATTTTCTTTACTCTTTCTTCCAAATTCTTTTATCAAACTCCTATAAACTTATTCTATACAACAAAGTGTTATCCATAGAACATTTAACAGAAAATTATCTTTTATTAACTGAAAACAAACCGTCTTCTCCAAAGAACTCTCCTTATAGGAGTTTAGCTAAACAATATTACTTTTTTTATTTATTCTATTTATATATCTCCATTTCTCCTTTAGCAATAAAATAGCAGAATTCTATAGATTCATCATCTTCTTGATAAATATATGAGTTTTTTTGAACTAATGATTGTTCCATATGATAGCTGAAATATTTTATTTCTACATCTGAAAAAATTGAAAAAAAAGAAAGAGATTTAAGAAATTTTTATTTCTCATAAGTATCATTTGATCTTTAATTTGTATTAATCTCATTAAATATTTTAAAATCTAAACATGCAAATTCAGTAGGCCTTATAACTCTCACATGGCATTTTTTATTTTCCGATAAACCATAATCATTAAAAGACATTCCAAAAGTTAACTCTTGTTACATTGCGATAGAATTATTTTTTTGTTCCTCTTGCTCATTTTCATCATAATATGTAACAATAACTCTACCACTAAGTACTAAAAATACAGTTTTATGAGTATTAATAATAGTATTTTAAGAAACTTATTTGTAATACAAGTATCTACATATTTCCTTAACAAATTAATCGCTATATTTTGACTTTAATCTTTACACGTAATTGTAAACATAGATGAATTCATAAAGAGATTAAATATCTTAATCGTTTCTTGAGAATGGATCTTTTGTTAGCGCATCTTTGATTTAGCTAATATCATGTTAATAGGTGGATTTGTGTAAAAATTTTGCAATTGACAGAATATTGAATGCTTCTGAAAAAGCTGATGATGTACGCTTTTTCATAAATAATATAATATATTTAATTTTTTTTAATAAGAATATAAGGATAATCATTTATAAAAGTACTGCTTCTCAAAAAAAAAATACATTTCAACATATTCTTTTGATTGTTGTTTTCATTTAGACCTAATAATTCTTGAAAATGACAAGAAATTTTATCTTAACAATAAGTGAGCAGTTGCATTATCAATATAAAAAGAAATGAATTAAAAAAATATTTTTTAATGCTGTTCAGCAGTAATGATTAATTCTGAATTAAAATACAATCAGTGATTATGAATTAAGTTTTGTTCAGAATAGAGCTTAATATAGATTCCAAATTAAATTAAATTGATATTTAGGTTTTTTTTTAATAATCTGAAATTTGTTTATTTGGTTTAATGCTATTTCCTAAAATGAAAGATCTTTTTAATAAGATAATCAAAATAAAAGAGATTAATTTGATTTAATAATAATATAGAATTTATTTTAAAGTAGAAATTAAAACATTCGATAAAGAAATTTATCTAAAGAAATTTTCATTGATTTATTCGATGCATCATCCATCACTTGTTGAAAAATTAAGTTGAATTTGATAAGAATAATATTTTTCATAAATTTGTTAGAAATTTAAAATGATATATCAATTCATTAATCTATTTTCTTCTTTTTCTTATTTTTCATAAATACTCAACATCAAAGAATTAAAAAATTTTTCAAATGCTGGATGGATTGTCTGATTTCCTTCTTCAATGGAAGTATCATGGACAATTAAACTACTTAATGATTTAGCTTAAAATAATTAGAAATCCAAATTATACGCAATTTTGATTGTCCTTTAATTGCTTTGCCTGTTAAATGATGAGCAAAAACAACATTTTATGCTGCAGCAATACCAGCTTTTTTTGATATTTAATTTACCCACCATTCTAATTCTTATTCATGCTTGGGATTTTCTGCATTATATACACATATAACTCCTTAAGCATCCTTCATTATTGCAGGCCAACAAGAGTCAAATCTGTTTAAATTAAAATAAAAACTTTGTATCTCCACTCATATCCCACAGCTCTACAATAACTTTTTCTGATCCTGGTCTCTTTGGATTCTTAGGTGCTTCTTTTTCAAACTCCAAAATTCTTACTCCTGCTGTCGGTCTGTATCCATTTTATGAAATATCTTCTCTATCTGCTATATAATTTGCAAGTCTTGATTTTCCTGATTAAGCTGGCCCAATTAATAATATTTTTATTAAAGACCCTTTAAACATTTTTTTTTATTAATATTATAATTAAAAATTGATAATAAAATTTTAATCCAGAAATCGGTAAATCATCAGCTTCCATAGCAGTATTTTCTCATTAATCTTAAATCCTACTTCAAAAAAACATTATTTAAAATGATTGAAAAAAGCTTTTAAAAAAATTTATAATTTTCACAATGTTCTAATATTTTTATATACTCTTGAATAAAATTCATGTTGATTGATTTATTTCAAGTTTTTATAATGTTGTCAATGGATAGAGTTTTTCTAAATAAATACAGAATGTAAAATAAATGAGAATATAACTAAAATTTGAATCTTATTAAATTAATGAGATCAATACATTAAAAAACTAATATATGGAATATAAAAGATAATAAAGAGTTTTAGATTTATTTCTCAAAAATCATATAACACATAGCTTACTATGTGTTATATTTAGAAAGAATAGTGAATTAAATTATGCTATAATTTGAAAAAAATATATAGCTTATATCAATTTATATAAATAGGTAAATTTTTTGTTAATAAAAAGTATTAAATAAATTCTTTTTAATATTTAAAGAATATGAGAAATACAAATGTTATCAAAATTAAAATCTAACAGTTCTTTTGTAATACAAAGATTTTGCTTTTCCTTTTTTTTATTTTAAAATTCCATGATTTAATTGTTATTAATTTGTTGTTTTCATAGATCTAACAGATTTAATTTCATCTCTTATAGAGTCAAATGTGTTATTCTATTATTTTAAAGATAATTAAAGTGGAGATTGGCTATTATCAACACTTCTATTTGAGGAAAATGTGCCATTTCGTTTATAATCTCTTTCAGTTTAAATTAAACGTGTATTATATTCTTTAGCTCTACTTTCTCGATCAGAACGAACTAATTTTTACTTTTTAGGATTAAAAATTTATGACACATCTGCACCAAGGGATTTTAGTTAATTTTTGATCAATTATTTTTATTATTTAACACCCAAAGAGAAATTAGACTTGGAATTGTATATGCATTTAACTTTTAATTTTTAAGTTTTTTTTGTTTCTAAATCAAAATCATCATTTTCATCATTTGTTTCCTCTCTTCCTTATATTTAGCATATTTCATATATTGGTCTTTTTATTTAATTAGTATGACTGATTGGTTAAATGAAATTCAATTTGAATTATAATTCTCCTTCATTTTCTATTCTTTATTTTTTTAGACAGCTCTATCCCATTTTATAATTATTATTAAAAATAGAAATTGAAAAATTGCATAAAATAACTAATAACGATAAACTACAATTTCATCATCTGAAGAGAAAAGGTTATTAAAGTCTATTAATCTTAATTAAATAAATAATCTATCAGGAATATATTGAATTCGATTAGCGTTTTTCGGGTATCTTTTATTCAACATAAATATAAATGGAAATTGAGAAAATTTTCAACTTTTTTGCAGTCAACTAATGATGATGGAGATAAGCAAAGGAATCCTTCAATAAATTTATTTATTGAGACTTAGTACTATAATTATTGAAACTTGAAAACTGTTGGAAATCATTTAACCACTTTAGTTACAAAGGAGCATTTTTAAATTTAACTTCAAAACTTTTGAGAAAATTCTCTAACCAAAATTTGAGAACAAGAGATATAAATTATCTGATTAGAAACTATAATCTTTAAAACAAGTTTATTGCTAGGCATTCTAATATTTGATAAATTAAAAAACTAATATATTATTTAATTAAATATGGAATGAAAAGAATTTATTGCTAAAGAATATCCTAAAGTTAAAATAGTGATATTTGGAGATTTTTTAGAAAGAAAATATTTAAAAAGAATGAAATTAAGCATAAGCATAAAACCTTTTCCATTTAAATAATATAAGTTATTGCTCTTTCTGAAATAATAAAGAATGGTTAGAAAAAGCTTCTTTTTTAGATAATATTAAAGTGTTTTTTCTTAGATTGTGAGTTTTTATAATTTGGAAATAAAAAGAATATAAAAAATAATTTAAAAAATTAAGTTCAAGAAATGAGCGCTGTTTAATAATTCAATAAAATCAATTATATCGAATACGCTGATGTAGCTCAGTCGGCAGAGCGGTTGGCTGTTAACCAACAGGTCGAAGGTTCAAACCCTTCCATTAGCGCTTTTTTTTTCTTTTTCTATACCATTATATAATTTAATATAATATAATATAATATAATATAATTTACATTTATTTAAAAATAAAATATAGATTGTTGGTATAGATTTCTTATATATATAATCTACTAGTAATTTTAGTTAAGAATTAAGATTTTTTTAAATGTCTTTTGAATGTTTTTAACACGTTAAATTATAAAGAAAATTTTAACATGCGCCTATTTATTAGTAGTCTACGAAGGATTATATTTCATTTTTTTAAATAAAATTATTATGTCATTTAAATACTATTTCAACATAATTCATAGTCTTTCTCAATATTATTTTAAGTCTTATAATTTTAATATCTATAAATTTTATAATAGATAAATGTAGAAATACTTATTTTTCCATAGAAAAACTGTAATATTTGAATTTAGAATGTCAAAATATCCATCTCATAATACTAAATCTTAACATGAAAATTCTAATTATAAATTTCTAGTATATTTGGATGTTCTATAATAGAAATTGATTATGAATGAATTATTTTATATTTTCAAGAAAGATTATTATTTGTATATACGATTAATTATGATTACAAATGGTATTAATTTTTATAATTTATGAACCTGAAAATGCCTTCAATTCATAAACTTCATACTGATTCAAATTAAAACATTCCTCAACCTCATAATGATAATTTGAAAAGATAAGATATCTCACCATCAGAAAAATTTCCCTCATATTTATTTACTAATCATTCTTTTTAACCAACTCTAAAAATATAGGCTACTCAAAAAGCATCAATTTTTTGTCAAAGAAAAGAAACATTTTTAAATTCAAGTTATCGTGATATTTCTCAATGTGATATTTATGGAAGCCTATAAAAATATAAAATAGAAAAATAAGATGATAACCTAGCTCGATTTCGTGGTAGAAAAAAGTCTATAAAGTAGCATTAATCCCCTTACAATTTAAATTAACAATCTCCTACATCAATAAAAAATATTGAGAGCCAAAAAAAAATCCTTGAGAATGTAATAGATGATGTTAAATTAAATAATACCAAATTAAAAAAACTCGAAAAATCTCCTCTTGGTAAAAACGCTCCTGTTCACAATTTTTACTACCAAAAAGGTGTGAAATAACTGTAACCATTTTAGATTGAAAAGTCTGTAAAAGATTTAATGAGGCCATTTCATTAACAAAGGGAAAATTTGCTTTCTCCCATATAAACAGAGAGAAGCCTGATTTATCCTTAAAGACCATAAATTAAAAGGCCAAAAGAATTTTTAGATAAATTGAAAAATAGGTTATTGAAAAGGAAATAAACTATGTATTTACCATAATCATAGATTTAAGAAGATCCTATTTAAAGAAAACTTAAACATTTTTAAAAAAGCATATTCGAAAATTAATGCATACATACAATATACATTCGTCCTTCAGCAATAAGAATATAAAAATATAAAATTTAGGATCCAAAAAATGAGAATATTTTGAAAAGATGTTTGAGTTTTAGATGGTGGTGGTAAGAAGCAGATGAGACTGATGAAGATGTATAGTTTTTATGGACTAGTCAAGCTTCAAGTTCTTTTTTAAATAAATAAAGATCAAGACACATAAGTGATAAAATTGAATTTTAACCTTTTGAATAGATTTTAAAACTATGCGATAATGTTGAAGATTAAATGAAATTTGCTATTGAACAAAAACTCTGTTTGTTATCTCCTTTTATAAAAATACATAATCATGTAGATTTGATGAATCCATTTTGGACAAAAAAAAATTTGATTTATAGATTGAAAAAATACTGCACTTTAACAAATCAAAATTTTTGTGATTTCTGTCCATTTTCAATAATTGTTAATAATCTAGGAGAAGAATAATTGTATGAATTTATAAGAAACTATAAAACTTCTACTGATATATGGATTGTTTTGAAATGTGAGAATGAAGGTTAGAAATTTTAGGTTTGTGAAAATACAAAAAGTATTTTTAACTTTATTCACTAAGAATACTCAACTCCAAGTAGAAATTAATAAAGTTTTATAATTTAATAATACATAAGATCGTTTGTATATCAATAAATAAAATTAGATTTATGCTATTATTTAATGATAACTCAAATAAATGGAATAGTGAGAGCGTATTTATTTGAATAATTTTATGGTGAAAAATCATAAATAAATTTTTCACCATTTGAACATGAATTTAAATCTTAATAAAATCTAGATAATGATACAGAAAAGATATAGATGAAAACTATTATAGAATATTTTGATGATTGTAGAGTTGATTATGATTACAAAATCCTTCCTTAAATAAAAATAATTATATGTGAATATATTAGATCAGTGTTTACTCAAATGCCAGTTAAAGATCATAATTTTGAAGTATTCATTAAATAAGACTTAGTTACTTTAAGTAAAAATAGTGATTGATAATCAATATAAACCCTGGCTAATAGATGTTAAACCTAAAACCGAATTTAATTAAAGTTCAGATTACATAAAAGAATTTGTTTAATAGCTATTTGATAATACAATATAGCTTTCAGTGGATATCTTATTTCCTTCTCCTTCAATTTGGCCTAAAGAAAAAAAAAGGCTAATAGATGTCTATCCTGAATAAAATGACTTTGTAGTCATTTTTGACTCTAGAATGGACGGTCAAGGTTTAAAATCATTGTTTGAAGAAAAATAACCTGAAAGTAACAATGATGATGAATTTTGACTTGCAATTTTGTCATATTGAGATATTTAATACTAAAAGTAATCATTTTCTCAACATTATTAATTATCTAATATTACCATTGGCTAGACAAAACCTTACACTTTTTCCTGAATGAACACTAACACTTCTTTTTTGGTTCATATTGAACTCATCTTTAGAACTTTGATTTTTTAAAATTCCTTTCTTTAAAAAACTGCTGGTACTTTCTCTTCTTGAGGTTGTCTATGTACATTATGTTTCTCCATTATTTAATTTAGTTTGAGAACAGTTTTTAACTTATAATTTTTTTCCAGCAATTAATCTCAATTATGAGTCAATCTTAAGATCTTGTGGAAACTAATCTATAGTTCTAGATCTTAAATTTCTCTCTCCATCAAATACTAGTGATTTATTGTCTGTTACACTTGCTGCAAGTATTGTTTGGGTATGAATTGAAGATTTTTCTAGCTTTTAATAAAATACTTAATCTAAATAATTCTTTGTTTTTATTAAAATTTCATAATTTGCAAGCATTGATCTATGAGGAGGTGTTTCTAATTAATTTAAATCTTATTCAAAAGTGTTAACAAACTTAGGTAATTTTTGCATTAATTTTTATATAAATTTTAACATTTTATAAATCATACTATTCATATCAGACAGTAAATCATATGGAATCATTCCCGATTGAATTGTATTAATCTCTTAATCTATTTTACAATCCTGCAAAATTAATTATTGGGTTTCTACTATTAATTATTTAATTTTACCTATTTTGATAATAAATTTTTTAGTTTTGTTTCATCCCTTAAATTAAATCCTACCTACATATTTCAATAAAATATTGCATGACACTTTCTCTTGTATTGATATCATCATCGTTGTCATATGTTTGTTATAATAATTTTTAATATTCTAGTTTTATGCCAACCTAATTATCAGTAAAAATAGGATATTTGTATTTTAATTATGGATCCTTTTAAGACTCTAACTCTATNTGTTTAATAGCTATTTGATAATACAATATAGCTTTCAGTGGATATCTTATTTCCTTCTCCTTCAATTTGGCCTAAAGAAAAAAAAAGGCTAATAGATGTCTATCCTGAATAAAATGACTTTGTAGTCATTTTTGACTCTAGAATGGACGGTCAAGGTTTAAAATCATTGTTTGAAGAAAAATAACCTGAAAGTAACAATGATGATGAATTTTGACTTGCAATTTTGTCATATTGAGATATTTAATACTAAAAGTAATCATTTTCTCAACATTATTAATTATCTAATATTACCATTGGCTAGACAAAACCTTACACTTTTTCCTGAATGAACACTAACACTTCTTTTTTGGTTCATATTGAACTCATCTTTAGAACTTTGATTTTTTAAAATTCCTTTCTTTAAAAAACTGCTGGTACTTTCTCTTCTTGAGGTTGTCTATGTACATTATGTTTCTCCATTATTTAATTTAGTTTGAGAACAGTTTTTAACTTATAATTTTTTTCCAGCAATTAATCTCAATTATGAGTCAATCTTAAGATCTTGTGGAAACTAATCTATAGTTCTAGATCTTAAATTTCTCTCTCCATCAAATACTAGTGATTTATTGTCTGTTACACTTGCTGCAAGTATTGTTTGGGTATGAATTGAAGATTTTTCTAGCTTTTAATAAAATACTTAATCTAAATAATTCTTTGTTTTTATTAAAATTTCATAATTTGCAAGCATTGATCTATGAGGAGGTGTTTCTAATTAATTTAAATCTTATTCAAAAGTGTTAACAAACTTAGGTAATTTTTGCATTAATTTTTATATAAATTTTAACATTTTATAAATCATACTATTCATATCAGACAGTAAATCATATGGAATCATTCCCGATTGAATTGTATTAATCTCTTAATCTATTTTACAATCCTGCAAAATTAATTATTGGGTTTCTACTATTAATTATTTAATTTTACCTATTTTGATAATAAATTTTTTAGTTTTGTTTCATCCCTTAAATTAAATCCTACCTACATATTTCAATAAAATATTGCATGACACTTTCTCTTGTATTGATATCATCATCGTTGTCATATGTTTGTTATAATAATTTTTAATATTCTAGTTTTATGCCAACCTAATTATCAGTAAAAATAGGATATTTGTATTTTAATTATGGATCCTTTTAAGACTCTAACTCTATAAAGTTTAAAGGTCTTTTTTTTTAAGAGTTTGTCATGTGTTATTGTGATTATTAATACTAATTCAAACTTTATTTTATGGTCTTACATTTTCTTTGTTAATTGTCAGATTAAAAATTGGTAAATGAGAAACACTAGGAGGCTTTGGAAATGGCAACATTAATAAAGTAGTTTTTCTTCTCCCAGCTGAAAGTGATTATGACTTTGGAGGAGATATACTCATTGATGAGTAATTTGGCGCAAATTATATTTGAATTTAAAATATTTCGATTACAATCTTAAAATTAGTTCAGATATAAATTTGCTTTTTATTTTAAATTCATTCATTTATTTGTTTTTCTTTTTTTTCAAATTTTATTATTTCAAATTCTATTATTTATATAAAATGAATTATGTTTTATTTGTGCATAAAATTATTAATTTTAAAAAATCTACTTTAATGAGTTATTCACAACTCAGATTTAATTTATTATATTTATTTAATAATTCAGGGAAAGGATTATAAATGAATAAAATGTTATTAAAAAAAGATAGAAATTTGTTAATTTAAAAATATCAGCAATTTTTTCCAAAATTAAATAATCCTATTAAATAATAAATCTATTTCCATTTTGGTGAATCTATATATATTTAAAAGTTAAAAAACCTGAAAAATAGTTGAAACTTGAAAAATCATTAAAGTAAATATCTCAAATAGTGGACGTTTTTTTTTAAAAATAAAAATATTCTAATTGTCTTAAACAATTGGGATTATTTAAAAGAATTCTTACTTAATTTTAATAATAGAATTTATATAGAAAAAAAAAGAGAGAGTTTATAAAGAATAATTAAACATAATATAATTAATTTCTTATGTCTGAATATTTAGTAGAAGATTTGGAATGGTTGATTAAGGATAGAATGAATGTTAATAAATAGAGTAATAGAAGTTTAAATGAAATAAAGGAAAAAATATTGTATTACAATAAGGGATATATATAATATTCAAATGAAGAACCATAACAGAGAATTAATTAGGGCCAAGATGATACCACAGTGAATATAGAGAATTCTGTTTGGTAATATGGCTATCCAATTAAAAAAGCTGGTGTGCGTATTACAAATATTATAAAGAATTAAGTTCAAATTGGATGGACAGATTTCTAAAAAAATGAATTTAAATTTTCTTTCTAATTCAAAATGAAAGACAAAATAAATTATAATCCATGTATAGAAAAACAAAAGAAAGATAAAGAAAAAAAAAAATAACAACCACTAAGAGAACTTAATTGGGTGTTTTTGGTCAGATCAGAGAGTTAAATACAATAAATAAAATATAGAATATAAGAATAACAAGAATTAAAAATAGAAAAAGAAAAACAGAAAAGATGTGATGATTTTATTTCAAAATTTGATAGTGTAGAGATTGAAATCTATGATTCAGAAACTTTAGATAAATAACTAAAAGAATATAACATTGAAGATATGTATTTTGGTTACATATTTGAAAAATTAAAAAATCCTACCTTTCAAAATATTGTAGCTGCAGATCTAATGGCTCGCTCATATTATAGGTATTTAACTAAACAAAGTGACTATCAAATTAATAAACTTTAAAAAATTAAAGCCATCTTACAAAATAATTTTAAAAAATAAGTAGAAAATAATCCTAATCTTCAATAAAACAATACAGAATTTTATGATGTATAATAAATTGAAAAAACTCAATATAACTTTTAAAGATTGGAAAAAGCATATATATCTCATATACTGCTTCTTAATTCTTTGATGTATCACTTAAAATTTAGTATTAATCTTAATGTAGATTCATTACTAAAAGCATAATCTTTTTTTGAATGCTTAGAATTTAGTTCCATTCGAAATCAAACTAATGGAAGTTCGATGGGAAATGGAAAATAATTGAACTTCAAAATTTTTTAATAATAAGTTAAAGATTATATAGATTCTGAAAATAATGATATATCGAAATTACAATAATTTAAAAAGTATTGTTTAGAACTTTTTGGAGAGCCTAAGAGGAACCATTATTATGCTAAATTATTAGTTGATTGTTTTAAAAAGACTAAAAACTTAAAATAATTATAGAGAGCTATTGAAATTTATTAAAAGTATTTGTCTAATTAACATCCCTTATATAAGGAGGCATTAAAGCTAAAGGATTAAAAGCCTGAATAAATTTAATACAACTTAAATATAAATTAAAATAGGTAAATATAAGATTCTCTCCATTAGACAAAATAATTAAATGTGGAAAATACTTTAAATTAGCTATCATTGATTTCATTTCATGATACAAGTGTGTATATAATGAGAAATTTAAATAGTTAAAATTAATAAGATAATTAAATTTCTGAAGCTACATAGATGTAAATAATATTATTTTCTGACTCATAACAAAATTAACCACATCCCATCAATTAATCGCATCCCATCAACCAAATAAAACTATCTTAGACAGAAAATAAACGGCTTTAAGAGATATTAAAATAATCTTAATCAAGTGACAGCTATCTATTCTAATAAGCTTAAGTAAATGCTTAAAATGATAAACTCTCTGCTGCTATACTTTCTATTAATTAAATTGTAAACAAAGATAAGAGAGTATTAAAATTAGGATTTAAACTTGAAAAAGAACTAAAAGACAAAAAACAGAGTTCTTACGCTACTAAATTATTTTAGTATTACTTAATTAATGGCTATTAAGAATTAATAGATTTATAATGGATTGGAGAGATATTAGAACATACTTTTTAAATATATATTGAGAAATAGGATTCTTCTCTGAATGACTAGTTGTTGAAAAAAGTAATACCATATTTTAGATCACAAGAGTCAAAAACCGATAATAAAATAATTGTGAAGTACTTATTACAGGATTGCTAAAAAGAATAGATTCAAGATTTAGAAATATACTACAAATATTTAATTGAAAATTTAACCGATCAAAATCAATATTCTAAATAAGAAAGAACAATAGAAAAGCAATTAGATTAATTTTAGCTCATTTCAGAAAAATACTTCAAATCTTAGTAAACTAATTGAAAAAATATAATTAAATAGTTAAACTTCTATTTTATGAGTTTTTTATGAAATTTGAATCTTTCTAATATTTTTATTTATTTCTCCTAATTAAGAAATTCTTAATTTTAAGAGAAATTTTTTTCATTTATTTGTAATTTTTATATTAAATTAAGTTAAAAAAACATTTGATAAAATTAGTATTTTTTGCAACTATGAAAAATTGTAATTAAAAGTTAGTAATACTAAATTCGATTAAGTGATTTTATAATATTTAATTTTATATATTTTGGGAAGATGCAATTCAAAATAATAGAATAAACTTATTTATCATTATAGATTGATTAATTTCTTTAAATAATTTTATTTACATTAAAGAGTAATTTAACTATTCCAATCATTAAAGTCAATACCAATTATCTGATATTGTCCTTATATAAGATGTCTATTTATGTTTTTTAATTAGTACCTTATTGTCGTTTGATGATTTTGGCTGTATCCAATAATTTACTATTGAAGATTGGTGATAAAATGCATAGGACCATTGCAATTTAGTATAACATTATTTGGTAAAACAAAATCAACATCATAAATAATAATTCGTTTTTATTTTTCAAATTTGATTTTTAATGATTCAAGCCCAAAACTAACACTTAATTCCAAATTTGTTAATTTAGTGTCTTTAAAATCTAGTGGAATATTCAAAAAATTGAGATTAGAATATTCAAAATAATCCGCCTTTTGAAATCCAGTTTTTAAGTCAATAATTTTTCTGGCAATTCTATAATTTCGTTCTAACTTATGAAAATAAGTATGAAATGGATTATCTGTTGGACATTTAGTATTATAATAATTTTATTAAATGATTTCAGGATATAAATTGAAAATCATTTAACAAAGTCTATAATTAACAGATCCCAAATAATTTTAGTGGTTTTAATTCTTTTCGATTGTAAATATTTCTAAAAGTTTTTGAATTTATTAATATTCTGTAATTTTTTCACAATAAAGATTAGATTGTAATAGGAGGAAATTACTTTAATCAAAAAAATCCAGGAATTCAAAAGAATTATTTAATTAATCTATTAACTTGTGAAATATTTCATGATTTTGCATTTAAAGTTTTGAAAGACTATGAAGAATGTTTAATTTTTGTCTAATTGATATATTTGAAAAATTAGATTAAATGGCTTAACAAATTGAGAGCATTAGGGTTTAATCATAAATCAATAAATTGCCCAATCCGATTAGTAAAGATATTCTTTATTCTAGACTGATAGAAGATTAGATTGAACAATCTTGATTAAGTAATTCAATAACTCTAAACTTGGCAGAATCTCCAAAACTTTATCTCTCATTGCTATGACTTAAAAAGTTAATGGAATGAATCAATTCCGTTTGAGTACATTTAAGGAAATTATATCTCTTACTCAAATGTAAATAAAGGAGATGTTCTGAGAGGATTGAAAACTTTTTCATCAAATAAGCTCTACTAGTTAAGAATATTTAATTCATTTATATTATAATAATAATCACAATTCCTATTATTAATGCTAGATATCAATTCTTGAGAATCTCTCCTAAACAATTTCTTCATGATTTTCTAAATTAAATTATTCTAATCTGTCTTATTTAATTATATCAATAGCATCATCAAAGACTAAACAAATAAGTTGCTTATTGACAGTGAAATCATTTTCTCTAGGAGGTACATAACTAATGTAATTAATTCACAATAGTAATACCAATAATCTCTATATCTTTCAATTCCTTCACCATCATCTGAGATACAACTTTAAATTTCACCTTTGATGATGTAACCTCCAAACATAAATTCTACATTAGAATGAACATCAAATTTTTTGAATTATGTTTTAGATCTCAAAAACTAACCCAAACCTTTAACTTCCATTTAAGCTAAAGGGCCTGCTTATGATTCAAACAATTTTATTAGATATTCTAAATAAATAAATAAATTGAATATTTACCTATAGCATTAATGTATATTTTTTATTCAAATACTTGAGATTTCTACATTAATGATTTAAGCACATTTAAATTCAAAGAATGTAGAACAGTTTCAGATGCTGCTCTTGCTGTAGTCATACATTTACCATCTCCAATTAAATTAGCATAAGATAATAAAGAACCTAAACCTTTTTTCAAAATATGTGAACCAACTTCATCATTAACAGAACCCTTTTAAATTATATAAATGTTTTAACAAGTCATGCCTTTCTCATATATTATTTCATCTTATTAATACCTTTTTTCATATGTTGATTTAACAATAGTATTCAATTCTTCTTTAGGAACTCCTGTGAAAATTGGAAATTCCATTGCAAAAGCATCAAAAGTTGGAATTTACCAATCAAATGAATGATTTTCAAGTTCAACTAATCTAGAATCAATATTAGCTTTAAGAGAATTGAATTCTTTATCATCTACTAATCCATTTTTTTGATTCTCTTCTAAATGATATCTTTAATGCATCAGAACTGTATGTGATGCTCTCTTTGTTTGTATTGCTCTAATTACTTCAGGAAAAGTATCATTCAAACTACCTAAATAGATTTCTGCTTTATTAATCTCTCCTCTTAATTCATCCATTATTAATTTTACTGCAGCCTTATTCATAGGTATATGTTATTATAAGGTTAGCACTTCTTAGGAGCATGAAATAAATGTTGTAGTTACATCATAAACAAATCCTAAATGTTTTGTTATATATTATTAAGCATATCCACCTAAGAACGTCCATTCTTTGGCTTTAAAAAAGTATTTAATGCTACTAAAACTTGTGAAACTCTAGAATAATTATTCCCATATATTCAAAATTGAATTTGTATGATCAAGTGCAACATCACTTGATTCTACAAGCAATCTCACTGAATCTTCATCACATTATCCATGCTCGAATTTCGAATAATAAAGACCTTTAAGAATTGTTAGAACTCTATAACGAACTTCTCCAAATGTTTCTGAATCTGTTAATCCTTCATATGATATTCTGCTCATATTTCCTCCTTAAATTTATTTTATCTCTTTCTCCAAATTCATCACTTCCTGAAGGTATTCTTAAGATCCCACTAATGATTTCACTTAATTCCAATCAGCCATTACATAATGTTCATCTTCTTACAACTCTTTTATTGTGTCTTCTTAATTCACAATCATGTCAGTCAAATAACGTTTATATACTTTCTTTTTTATTACTGGATTTTCAATCATATTCAAATAATTTACTAAAGCTTTGCATGTTGTACCATTTACTAAATTTGTTAAAGCTGCCATTCCAGCAGTAAAAAAAACAGCTAAATGTCTAAATCTTGGAGGTAAATCAGAATCGCATCCTACCATTAATGATAATGTCAATCCTAAAGCACCTCTTAAACCACCATAAACAAATACAATCAATTCAGGTTATGAAATAGGATATCCATACTTTTTAAGTAAAGGCCAAAATGAAATCACCATAAGATATCTACAAATGATCATAAAAAAGTAAAAGAGTATCATTCTGAAATAATCAGACGTGTATATATATCTTTCTTCAATAACTTCCGTACCTACAATCATACCAACAAGCAAGAAAACTGTAGTATCACAAGCATATTAAACAAAACTCCAAACAGTATGAACAGCATGTTCACTTTCAGATCGTATTTTAGTTTTACCAAAGGCACTCCAAAATAATCCTAATGAAACAACTGCTAATAATCCACTAGTTTTGAAGAAACAAAATTCAGCCCAATAGAAAGTAAGATAAGTAAATACAAAAGTTAGCCATCCAACTTCAACATCATCTCCTACAATTCTTCTTGCCCATAAAGCTCCAAAGAAGCCAACAATAACTCCTAAAACAGGTCCAACAATAGAATTTCTAAAGAAATTTAATAGAACTCCTCCAAAAGTTACTCCACCACCAATACCTGCAGCTGCTTTAGATAATTTATTAAAGAAGATAAAAAAGACCATAGCTACTCCATCATTGAGTAATGCTTCACCTTCAATAAGATGATTGAAAGCAGCACTAGCTCCTAATTCTTTTAACAATGCTACAACAGCTACAGGATCAGTAGCTGAGAGAACTGAACCTAAAGTAAATGCCTAATACCAATTCATATCTTCATCGCTATAAAATAGGAATAATTTGAATACAATTCCTAAGAGTATGGCACCCTAAAATAAAATAGATTGATACCCAACCAACACCTGGTCCTGCTAAAAGTAAGATGTTGATCATCTAGTATTTGAATACATACCAATCACAATTAAATGCAGATTCAAAAAGCAAAACAGGAATAAAAACAAATACAATTAGATGTGGGTGCATATGACTTAAAATACTTGCACTTTCACCTAAATATCCAAGGGAACTTTATAGTAAACCAATTAATAATCCACAAGTTAATACCATAGGAGAATAAGGAAACCTATATGATAATCTAGTATACTTAGTCTTTTTATTGACTTCTCTTAAAATGAGTCCGAGAAGAATTCCTAAAGTAAGTAAGTATGCAACATTAGCAGATTCTTCCATCTTCTCTTCATCTCTAAACAAAGAATCTTAATGGATAGCATTTTCTCCTTCGGAATGAATATCTTCTTCTCCCATAAATTATTTATATTTATGTATCACTTTAATTAATAAATGTATAAATCATTTAATTTTTAAGAGTTTTCTAATTTCTTCAGCAGATAATGTTTCTTTTTTGACTAATTCAGTTGCTAACTCTTTAAGTTTATTTTCATTAGATTTCAATAAGGATTTAACTCTATTATATGATTCCTTGTTTTTATTAATTATAAAATACTTCTAAAATCTTTTTAACTTCCATATCAACCATATAATCAAATTAATCGCTAGTTTTTACTCTATCACTTTAAATAGAAATTAAAGAAACCTTATCATCCATTCCTAATTATTTAATAAACATATAAGCTAAATCAGTTGCCTTAGCTAAATCATTACTACATCCACTAGTAATATCATCTTTTCCTAAAAAGAGATCTTCAGCAGCTCTTCCACCCATAGCTACATCAATTGATGCTATAATTCCTTTTCTTGTATAATTTAATTAATCCTTTTCAGGTAACATAGCTGTCTATTAATAATATTATATATATATAATTACAAATCCTAAAGCTCCCCCTCGAGGTAATATTGTTACTTTATGTAATGGCATAGCTCCATCTGTTAATAAACTAATTAATGCATGTCCACCTTCATGATATGCTGTCATTAATTTTTCTTTTTCACTCACATGCATATTCTTTCTACCTATTCCCATTGATATTCTATCTATTGCAAATTCAAAATCTTCTGTTGATGCTATCTATCTCTCATTTTTAATTGCATTTAGAATTGCTACATTTACCATATTTTAAATATCAGCTCCACTAAATCCACTTGTTTATCTAGCCAAGTTTTAAGGTAATACTTTCTTCTCATCAAATTTTATCTTCTGTAAATAATATGAAAATATTTATTCTCTTCCTTTTACATCAGGTAATGGAACATGAACCATTTTATCAAATCTTCCTGGTCTTTTCAAAGCTGGATCTAAAACCTTACATTGGTAAATATTATTTACCTATTCAAAATTTGTTGCACCTATCACTATTACACTCTCTGTTTATTTAAATCCATCCATCTCTGTTAAAATCTAATTTATTGTATCTCTAGAAAATCCTGGATCTTATGCTCTTCTTCTTCCTCCTATACTATCTATTTCATCTATAAATATTATTGCTGGTGCTTTTGCTCTAGCTGCTTTAAATATTTCTCTTACTCTTGATGCTCCAACACCAACAAACATTTCATCAAATTCAGAACCTGATTTATAATAAAAAGCACATCCTGCTTCTCCAGCTAATGCCCTTGCTAATAGAGTTTTACCTGTTCCTGGAGGTCCAATCAATAAAATTCCTTTAGGTAGTTTTGCTCCTGAATCTGTATACTTTTTTGGATTCTTCAAAAATTCAACTATCTCTTCCAATTCCTCTTTAAATTCATCTATTCCCAAAACATCATTAAATCGAGTTGCTATGTTTCTTTCTTCTTAAACATTCTGATTATTTCGCAAAATATTATAAAATTTATCCATTTTCCCTACGCTTTAATCAGGAGTTTCCTTTTGTGCATTCTCATTCTTAGGTTTTGTTTAACTTGGCTGAAAATAGTAATATATTTGATATATTATTGCAGCTGTTATAAGTAATTGGATTACCCCTGGTAAAATCAACGATTTACGTTATTCAGAATACATGTTAGATTTCAGATTTGTTATTGCAATACCATATTGCTCTTACAATTGCTGATGTTATTTTGGAGAAGCAAATTCTCTAAAGTCATCTAAATCTCTATCATATTTGATACCTGTTTGCTTGAATATTTAAAGAGTGTCCTCATACATTTACATACGATTTAATTATCTCACATATTTGAATGCTTTGTCAGAATTTTGAGGATCTGATGAAAAATCTTTTTAAAGTAGACGTAATGTCTGTATATTTTATTGATTAACCAAGAAAGTTGAGTCAGGATGGATGAATGGGGAGAAATCAAATTAATGATCTGGAATATTAGCAGACTTCTTAATAAGATCATCTTTGTTCAATTAAAAGGGACTTTGCAGAAACTTGAATGTAGGTTCTTGATTATTATAAATTATGATTACTTCTAAATCTGAAAAGGGATTTATAAACAAATCCCCAAAGAAACTATATTTAAAATGATCATATTTACAGGTCCTTTCATTTAATAAAAAGCACAAATAAATTATAATTAATGAATCTCGATAGTGCAGCTGACTTTTGTCCTTAGTGTCATTTTATGTTAGAACTACCAGAAGTCCTTGATGTAATTGAATGCAATCGTTGTGGATATAAAGTATGAAATTTACTATATATATTAAGTGTTCAATAAGTGATTATCAACCTAAATACATTATTTCTACTATAAAAATGGAACCCAAATCATGGTTATCCAATCAACCTCAAGAGTCTAAACTCTAAGATCAATCACATAGAGCAATTATAGAATAAGTTTGTCCAAAATGTAGTCATGAAGAAGCCTACTTTTCCACAGCTCAATTAAGATCAGCTGATGAAGGTTCAACAGTATTTTATGAATGTGTTAAATGTCAATTCCGCTATCAATTAAATAATTGATTTAAAATGTTGTATATGTACAATATTAATTTATGTTCTAAAATTTATTATAAGAATTTGTACAAACTCAATTCACATTGAAACCAAAATTGTATCAAAGATGTGGTTTTGAAGCAAGATACTTCTTTAATTTTGGTGATCAATGTGATCCTCGACATTAATTACCAATCAGTATAGTAATATGGAGATTACCACCAGCAGAACAATTAAAATAAGCAAGTCACCCATAAAATGATATTATAACTTATGTTCTTAAAGGTTAATATAGACAAGATAAGTAAAACTGGAATTAATCAATTTAGCTCTATTTCTGAAAATCAAACAATAAAAGAAGGAGATGCTATTCAATATATATGTGGAAATGATAATTCCTACCATAGGGATAGTAATAACTCGTAAGATGTTTCAGAAATCTTATAAATATTCATTTAAAATAATGATATTGAAAAAATAGCTGTCAATAAATATATAAGCAAAACTATATGATAAGAAATGATAAACATTATGAGATGTGCATATTATAAGGTGATTCATTAATTGATAATACCAATTTCACTTTTCTCATAATCATAAATTTAGATGAGACTTAATTAAAAATAGAGGATCAAATAAGTTTACAAAAATATGAATGTTAATATTTCAATAAAGAAACTAAAATAAAAATTAGTGGTAACAAATATATTGTAATTAAATTGCTTTGATTTTTAATAAAATATAAAATCAATTTATTTATTTGAAATATTTCATTCTTATTATTCAGGTGGTTATGGAATTTTAACCATTTCCTTATTCTTTAAACAATACATTGCTATAAATTCAAGTGGATCTTTTGGTCTCTCTATATCAACCAATTATAAAGCAGGTAATAATAATGGTAGGATTGTTTTACGCAAATAATCAGCATCTGAACATTCCTCCAACAATTCCCATTCAGTCTTTTTTGGTATTTCAGTTTATTCTTCAGGGATTCCTTTTTCTATTCTTTCTATTTCTTCATTTCTGTTTCTCTCACATATTTCAATTTATTTGATGAAATAATCAGGATCCTTAATTACATCTAAAACATCCACATGTATTAAATATTTGTTCAAACACTTCTTTCTACTTAAATTTTCCAATGTTACACAATCTGTCACTTAAACTAAATTGTTTTCATTTCTTTTATTAAATATTATATTACTCTTGAATTCCATCATCAAAAAATATATGAAGTGTATCAGCATCTTATTAATCAACGTATAATTATTTGGCATTTGCTTCACTTGGTTATTCTTAATAAAATTAAAAATCATCAACATAACATAAAGCACAACTCTCTTTTAATGATTCAGTTATCTTCAATAACATTTATGTCTCATTGTATATTTAAACTTATTCTTCTTCTAATTCTTTTTCATATCCATCTTCTAATTGTTATTTATCTGTTCTTCTTAATGTTCCTGTTACCAATTATTTTTATTTTCTATAAACTAGGGCACATTATTTATCCAAAATGATATAATTTTTAGTTCCTTTCGATCCATCAAATTTTACTATTGGTGTATTATTTCTTCCACTAAAACATGGATGCTCTCCTAAACAAAATTTATTAAACTCTCTCAATATATTTTTAGGATCTGTTCCAAATGGACGAAACACTATAGCAAATTCTCTTTTCTATTTTTTCAAATTTATTATTGTCTTATAAAATGTTGGCAATAATTAATATTTATGGTCTGAAAATAAATTATTTAGCATATCTTTATCAGATAACAATTAAGTTAAATTTCTTTATTTAACCTCTTCTTCAGTCAAAAATCCTGCTTCCTCAGCTTATTACTTTAATTCTTCTATTACTGCTTTTGGTAATGTCTAAAATGTTTTAATTATTATCAAAACCATACAATTAATTTGACAATCCTATCATACTCAGGTTTCAATTTCATACATGGTTATCCTAATTTAACAAACTGAAAGAATAATTGCTTGCGTTATTCACTAATTCAATATTTTAAACATTCTTACATAGCACTTGTATTATATTCTTTAATATCCTCTGGATCTCCTTCATTTTTTAATGGAAACTATTAACATATATATTCTTTATATGAGATCATATCTTCACTCGGTCTAATTGGAGTGAAGTTATTTGTTAATAATTTCCACAAGACTGGTGATTTTTCATCTCTCTATTCTAATTTACCCCATGCATATCCAACTAGGATTTCTTATAACTTAAACTTAAAAAAAGATATAATACACATTCTTCTTTAGTTTGATTAGTATATTTAGAATCAGCCAAAAGTATAGTTTTATTCAAATCAAAATGAAGCACTAATTTTTTTTGCTGTTTCATAATTTAATTATTTATTATATAATTATATTTCATTTAAGTGTTTGAAACACAGACATTTTTTATTGTTTCTTTTTAAAAGAAAATTAATCGAGTACGCTTTTCTTTTTAGTGTTAAGAAGCCCTTTATTGGAGTTCATTCTATTTTACTCTTCTTCGTATTGAGCAATTAATCCCAAATAATATTGAGTACTATTTTACAATTCCTAATTAAATGTAATATTGTACTTCTTTAGGATCTGATCCAGAATTACGTTTTCTTTATAATTCTATCATGTAGAGACATGTTTTATATTTTGATTTTCTTTTATCATAAATAATTTTAACTTCAGAAGCAACAGTTGGAAATTCTTTAAGTAAATTTCTAAAGATATCATATGAACAAAAGAATCTAGATATTATTATGGAAATATACAAATTAGTAGGTTCTTTGGCAATAGCAAAATACTCTCTATTAATATCTTCGAATGCTTCAATTTCTCCAAAAAAGGATGCTTCTAAAAGTGTGATTAAAGTATATTTATCATGTGTAACAAAATTGACTTTTCCCTTTTCAATGAAATATATATCTGTAGGAGGATCATCCTATCTATAAATGATTTCTCCTGGATGAACTTCTAAGAAATTGAGATGAGGTAAAATTGTAGCTGTAAAGTTCTTATCAATTTTAAGTAATGAGACACTATCAATCAAATATTTATAACAAATCATTAATAATTCATTACGAATTTATGATGGAAGTTCTTAAATCAATTTTTTAGGATCAAGCGATGAATATACATTTTTGAGATAATTATTTCTATAATATTTATGTACTTTGCATTTTAAAGCATAAGGTAATTTAACTCTAACTGAGAAATCATTAAATAAATGCATTCTTCTCTCAAAATCTACCCATTTTTTATCAACATTCTCTAAAATAGAGGATAATTTTCCCAAAGTATATGAAAAGAATCCGGTTCCAAAAATCATCCAAATGATAGCAAATATTCTTTCTTCAATAGTTGTAGCTTTAATATCACCATAACCTACAGTAGTAAGAGTTTATAAACTCCATTCAAATGCAGCAATATATTAATTATAGAGAGTAGTATCCTAAAGGTTTGCTTAAGTAACCCAAGTATTTGTATCAAATTCATTAAATTTAGCAATGAAATACCAAAAACAAGCAACAAGATGATTAATCAATAAGATTTTACCCAAAAGAATTAATCCTTTAATAATACCTTCATTAATTCCTAAATAAGAGAGAATTCTTGCAGCCTAAGTTTTATTTTTGATATTTAAATTAGCTTTTGATATCTTTAATAAACGAACCAATCTATATAAACGTGGTAATCTAATCAATCTTAATAATTTATTATATCTAAGTGCAGTAGCATTTGTATTATCATCTAAAAAATAAGTAATTGGTAAGACAGCAATTAAATCTATTGTAAACCATCCATATAAATATTATTTGGCTATCATTCTATAATCATCAATAATCTTTTATTCTTCATCATAATAAGCACTAAAAAAGTTTATTATAATGTCTGCAAAAAACAAAACATCAAATATAATATCTACCCAAAACCAAAATCCATCTGTTCCAGAATCAATCTAATTATAATATATTAAATTAATACAAAACAAACTTTAAAGGGTGTAATGACTGCAGTTGCTAACAATAAAAATATCAATAACATATTCCAAACTGTTTTAAATTATTCATCAGGATAAAACATAAAGACTTTCTTTTCTTCTTAATTCGATTTAAAAACTTCATCCTCTATCAAATCCATATGTTCATCTTGTCTTATCGCTCCATAAATCTTCACCCTATTCTAAAATGATCTCATTATTCCAATAAAATAAGATGCCAGAAACACTCTTCTCCATATTGTAACTAATCTTTGTCTTTTCTCTGGACTTAACTTTCTATAAAATGCAAAGTTCTATAGAAAATCTAACTTCCTAAAGAACACATTAAAAACTGTGATTTATGGATTAATCATAATTATTCAATTAAAATAACTCAATCTTGTATTATAACTAAAATCGATAATCTAACAATGTATAATCAATTCTAATATGAACTTTATCTAACTCTTTACGCCATCTCTGGAGGTAACTTATTTGGAGGTCCTTATTTTGATCCAAACTCTTTTTAATGAGTTAAATAATCATTCTGATGATATCCTAATTAAAAATGATGTGTTCTTAAGTCCTATTAATCATATCAATTTTAAACTTACTCTTTTCATTTCTGCATCCATTTTACTTGGTTATCCATTAGGATTCTTAAATTATGCCTTTGCTACTGATTCTATTGTTTCTTCGTCATTTCCAAATTTAAAATGATGTTTTCTTAAATCAGCTTATACTTCCTCTTTTAATTTTCCAGGTTTTGAATGAAAATCTCTAAACCTTGCTTAAGCTTCACTCTAATAACTTAGTTTATCATTTCCAATCATAATATTTTTAGAATTGTCAACAATTGGATTTACTTTCTCACCTTTTTATCCATGAAATTGTTGATTATATGTACTTTTATAATGTTCTTAAATTGACGGTTTGACAACTTCATCTTTAAGATCAAAATTATTAGATTAAAATTATGGATTCTTTATTTATTCTTATTATCCTTTTCTATCTGAAAACTATGATCTATATGCTGTTTAATAATGAACTTCTTAATTATTTCCGACTTAAAAATGAGTTGCTCTTAAATCTTTTAATTAAGCCTCATTTAAAAAAGATTTATCCCCTTAAGTTCCTATATGTGAAGCCTTAGCTTAACTTGTATATTCAACTCTGTCTGTACCCATTGTAATATGAGTATTTCTAACTAATTGTTATGTCTTGTCTTGAAAATTATTGACTTATAATTATGGTTTACCATAAATAGCTTAATTTTAAGTTGTGTAACCGCTACCATCTCTTCCCATAACCAAATTAGTTTTCCTTAATTATACATTCATTTATGCCATTCTTTCTTTAGAATATCCTTATCCTAATAAAGTCTTATCATATTGTTTATTATGCACTGTATCGTACATAGAAGAATAATAATTATTATTATCACCAAAATCATGATGATGTTTACGCAAATCTGCATTATCAGCCTTTTTGAAATCATATTTGCCTTATTCTCCAAAATTCTATTCGTATTCAGTTGGTTTATTGAAATCATGAAAACCTAATTAAAAATGATGAGATCTCAAATCTTTCTTAGTTTCATCACTTAATTTAGCTATAGCTGTACTTTAAGGTCTTTAATAATCAGATTTTTATATTGACTCCAATTTTGGTTTATCATCTCCTAAATGAAAATGGTTTTATTGTAATTTTGGAACTTATATTGGTTACTATTATTCTAATTTTTAGTCTTTCTCTACTAAAGATGTCATTGGTCTCACTTTAGCTGTCTTCTACATTGGCATTGGTTGCTTAGCTACTGATTGATGATTTGTGTCTTAATCAAATCCGAAGTAAAAGTGAGCTTTTCTCAATTCTTAAACATGTTTTAATCTCTCAGCAGTTGCATTTGAACTCATGTTATTTATTATTTAATCTGTTATTCAAAGAATAATATTAAAATAAGTTATCTATAATCTTAAATATGTCAATTTTACACCTCTTATTAATTTGATACCTTTAACTGTACTTTACTTTAATTAAATTCTTCTAAACCTAATTATTATTCAAGTAAAATATATTATATTCAAATCCTATTCTTGTATTTCAGATTTCTATTTATTATTTCCATAAATAAATTGATTAATTGATTAATTCCTTCCAAGCAATAAGATATGAATTAAATCACAAATCATTAATCCTCAAATTTGTAAATCGCATTTCATCTAATCTAATATTTCTAGTTTACTTATTTAATTCTTGTTAGCACTTTTTCTTAGTTGATCTTATAATAGTTGGATATATTCATTAGATTATAATTTTAACATATTTCTCTATTACTCATTATTTCATTCTCCTGTTCTTTGCATTTTTTTCGTTAAAACTATACTATATAGTGTTTATATACTTTAACGTTGAGAATTATACTTATTTATCATTATTGAAATGATTTAAGAAAGGGTTCTTATAGATAATCCTAAAGATTGTTTTAGAGACATTCGGTGTATATTTTTTAGTTTCTCGTTGTGTTTTTTAATATGTGTCATCAATACTACATATTATGAATAACTAATAAATAAATAAATTAAGCAATATAAATGACATCATGAACTATAACATCAAATAGCAAATATCTCAAATATATCATTTATATTATAATGCTAAAAGTTATCTTGACATCTTGCATAATATTGGTAACTCTATCCTAGAAATCTATTCTAATTTTAAGACATGGAGCTCGTGATCCCGATGTCTGGACTGAATATGATAAACTTTATTTATGGACTGATCCAATTAATATTTTAACTCAAAAAGGGGTTGATTAATTAATTGAAGTAGGTAGATACTAATAAAGATAATCTATATTTGATTCACAAGGCAATTGCATTTATGAATTACTGGAGATATAATCTTCAAAAACAGCTAGATGTACTTCTTCAACTGTTTGTTTCATTATCGGATTATGTCCTAAAAACTACAAATAAATTCTACATAGATTTTTTAGTGAATATTATTCTTAAAGAGCCTTAAATCAGCGTAAATTTGAAGAGATTTTATCATCTGATTTCAAAGATCCCTTATCTCTTGATTATGACATCTTCGATAAGAGTGGAGATCTAATGTTTTTGGGTCATAAAACAGAATAATGTCCTAACCTAAAACCAATTAATAAAAATGTCTAAAATAGTAAAACATATAAAAATAAGGAAAAAGAATTTCTGCTAATGGATCAATTAAATGGAGTTTATGATATTATGGTTAAAGCATATCCAAGTTAATAAATTAAAAAAAGCTCTATCACTTTATCAGATATTGATGATATTTATGATGATACATTTTGCAATTAATTTTAGGGATTCCATTTTCCTAATCCCTCTTAATCTACAAGTACATATATGGAAGATGTTGTTAAATTTCTTAAATATTTTGGTAAAAATTCTGAAATGTTTTAACATTAAGCTGCACTTACCGAACCTTTTAAATGGATCATATCCTAATTTTACTCTCAAGAATCCTTAAGTATTTATGTAGGAACTGAATCCAATTAATTTGCTATGTTATCTGTTTTAATTGACGAACAATATCTCACTCCATTTGCATCAGAGTTAGAATTTATTATAAAAGGAAATATTGTTTTTATCTACTTCAATAAAGCTTAGCTCAAAACTAAAATTTGTGATAATGGCTATTATTGTACAATTGACTAGACAACCTAATTCATGTATCAATATATCGTCAACGATGTTAAATAACACTGTGGAATTTGAATTTAATTAATATTCTATTTTATATGATTAATCAATATAAATTATTATAAAATATAATTATCCCAAATGTTATTCAATTATAATATTAATCAATAAATTAAATAAAAATTTATGTTTGAAAAAACTATTTCCAAATAACCTTATCTTAATTAGTAGTTCCCATATTTTATAATGTTTTTTAGGCTATTTTTTCATAATCTAGCATTAATTTACAAGTTTTTTTTGACTTTTAATTTATATTCTATTTAATCGGTTCAATTGGCACATTTCTAATTACTCTTGTATGAAATAACTAATTAAAAATTTATAGACATTCAATGTAATTGTTATGATTTTATTATACTTTTTAAAAGTAAGAATCTAATCTTCCTATTAAAAATGTCATTAATTCTGCTGATATTATTGGAATTGCATCGATGTTTCCAAATTCTACGTATTGCTTATTATCCAAATTTATGAAAATAGCATTAGAAAATCTATTTATAACTCCTTGACTCTAAAGAGTAGAAAAATTCTAAGTATTAAAATAAAATTTACACATTCCAAACCTGTAATTATGGGTACAGGACTTCCTAAATATACAATATTTTCTAAAGGTAAATTACTAATTATTGGATGAATCCATGTAAATGGTTTTAGTAAATATTTTTAGCATAACAAACAAGCTGCAGTTGATAATTATGGTGATTTGCTTACAAAAACAATAGATTTCTCTATTAAACAACTAACAAAAATTTTGATTAAACTTTAAGAATTAAATTTTTTAAATAATTGGGGAATTCCCTAATATTTCAAATATTTATACCCATTAAATATTATCATTTTCATTTATTTTTATTTATTAATTATTAAGATTAATAAAATTAGGAGGATATTTCTAAGTTATTTATGATAATATTCTAAAACTTATTTAAGAAATATTCTTATCAAAGAAATTTGTATCTGCTAAGGAAATATTATTTGTTCTTGAATACAAACTAGTTCTCATGCATTTTAACTATGATAAAATAACAATAATAATTTGTTAATAAAAGTCTATTAAATATTTATTCGTAGAAAAACATATTGCTCTTTTGCTAAATTTAACTTGTTATGGGTTTAAAATTGTAAAATCTGTATAGCGATAACAGATATGATATTTTAGTTATTGTTACTCAGTTTATTTGGTAATGATTAGAAAGCAATTAGGAGAATCAATTGAATAATTTTAATTAATCATTAAATTGATATCTTCCAGACTAAATGATAAAGGAATAATTTTAGGTTTACATCCATCTGGGAATATGAATTTGGAAATTGACAATATATCTTATTGATTTTCTAATTTTGATTATTATAATATAAGTACTAGTTTAATTGTATGAATAAATTACTGATGGTTCATTAGAATATGGTTATTGTGATCCTAATCCTAATATGAAGAGATCATCAAATAATTATTAATGATTGTTTGGTAGAATATTCAAATTATCTGCTGTGACATTTTGAACATCAAATGAATCTAATACTTTTTGTTTTATGAATGATGTATTTTATCTTAATAATGAGATATTAAAATTATTGCTATCTTATAGAGGAGCTTTTAATTTAATTTTTTTGCCTGAACTCTAAAATTATTCTATTCTACTATCACTAATAGCAGGTTCTGAATTTTCATCTAAATTACAATCTTCATCAGAAGAGAGATTTTGAATAATAATTGATTATTTTTAGTTTTTAAGTAATAAAACTTCTTGTCTACTAAATTGTAATTACTATTCAAGTGCTTAAATATAACAATCCTTTTCATACAATAATTATAGTAATTGTCTTTAAGATAAATGATCCATATATAAACAAATATTTATTAAAATAACTCAAATTTAAATTGAAATACCATTAGTCGTTGGTTAATTATTTACAAACTAACCTTAATATATTGATATTATTCATACCTAAAAATAAATTCTTATTCTTCTTGAGATGACCAATACCACTTCTGAGATCATTATTAAAACTCCCTCTATAGACATCGTTTTTGGTGATTTCAATACCATAGCCTTGTTTTTTATCATTAGAAAAATAGCCAATAAATTTATATTCTTTTTTTTGAAAGCATAAACCAAGACCTTATTTTCCATGATTTGAATATTCTCCATAAAATAGAGAATCTTTAATTTGAATTGGTTAGAGCTAAATAATAATAAATAAATAATGTAAGTACATTAAGTAAATGAGAATAAGATAGCTTAGAATCTTTAGTGAGATTATTAGAAATATCTTATCCCAGGAATTTATCATCAAACCATTCTCCAATAAGATGTTGCTAATTAGAATAAATGAAAATGCCCATATGATGTTTTCGACCAAGCAACCAAAATCCTTCATAATAGTCTTTATTTTTGTAATACATACGACCAAAACCACATTATTTTCCAGCATACCATTATCCCTAATATGTTCCTTCTTCGACTTCTATTGGTCTCTCAATTCGACATTTATTATATATGATATAGAGAGTATTAGAAAGAGGATGTTAGTTTAAATTATTTTACAAAGTCTAAATTGGCAAAACAACATCCAAATCTTTCTTGGACTAACTGACAGTAACCACATTTTCCTACTGGGTATACTCATCTGTAATTTCCTATTATAAATTAGGAAGAGGTATTGATTAAAATTCTTCAAGGCAGACTCTAGTATCCTGAGATTCGCAATTACCCATTAGAGATTATAGAAAAATAGTAAATATTAAATAAAATATATTTTTTATCATTGTCTATGATCAATTTTGAGTAACTTACGTAAATAGGCTTAGTTATATAAAATGGAAAATTATTGACCTTAATTAAAGTATTTCGAGGAATCCTTTTATACTTCAGAAAATAATCTTGTTTGTTATAAAATATATATTATACATAGGATAAGTAGAAGGTGATGGAGATACTTTCTAAAAATTAATATGAGGATGTGGTTTATCTACTGAAGTTCTTTTGATTATATATTGATTGATTGGTTTATTAGATAAAATGTCATTTAATAAATATTATTAAGATTTTCTGACATTTTAAGGAAGTTTAGTAAGCAGAGTTTTCTTTTGCAATATTATTGAATGTTTAGGGGATGGGATTTTGGGAGGTGAATAGAGTAATTAAGAATTATTCTTTAAAAATAAGTGATTATTAATATCTTTTTAATCATTTTGATGATGAGCAGAATATGATCTTATTAATTTTCTTTTTGTTTATATACATATTTTGCGATCATTTTCCATTTAAAATTATAAAATAGAGTAAGATTTTAGTTTAATTAGATGATGAGATGATTCTCTTTATTTTTAAATTCTAATAGTTTTTGTCTATGTTTTAAGTAGAGTGTGATTAGAATTAGATTTCTTCTTATGTAATAAATTCATAAAAATATAATTATTAATTAGAATAATAAATAAATGTCTGAGACAAAATTTGTTGATGAAAATTCATTAATAGGGATAGCAGCATCATTTTGGTAATAATACTCAACAAAGACTCCTCAGAAATTGAAAATAATGGATGCATTTTCATTATATTGTTTTGTGCTTTTAATAATTTAATTATTTTATTGTGGATTAGTAGGTGATTTTCCAAGAAATTCATTTTTATCTGGAATATTTGCATCAGGAGGTGCATTAACAATAAATAGTATGAATATAGATAGATGATTAGTATGTTTAAGGAAATAATTGAATTCTGAAACAAGATATATGAGTATTTCAAATGAGAGAGCATTTTGGGAATATTTGGCAGCTATGATAGTGTTATTTTTGACAGTGATAAATTTTTTGGGTTGATTATGTTAAATTTCTAGTATTGAATGATATAGAATATCTATATATAAATATCATAAATCAATTTTATTTGGTATAAGATAATTAGGAACATTAGCAAAATAAGGAGGAATATTATATGTTCCAGGTCCAGGTGCAACATCATTTCTATCAGTAACTCTAGATTCTGATCCAAATCTAATGAAAAAAGAGATAAAATAGATACGGGAATTTAGGTCCTGGATTTGTTTGATTAAGTTAATAATGGTTAGGAGCAGGATTATCATTAATTTTATTTTTATCTCTGATTTCAGTTCCGACTCTACAAGATAAAGGTCTTGATTTAGTTTATGATATATTAGGATAATAATCTAAAGGTCCTGGTGTTCCATCAGGTAATCTATCAGTATATTTAGGTCTAAGTGTATAAGCTTTATTAGTTCCATCTCTACTAATATCATAAGATCCAGGTCCTGGAACTTCTTATTAATTAATAAGTGTTCTTTATTCTGATCCAATTTTATAACTGGGAGGTCTTCTTTTAGTAGCACTTTAAGATTAATAATGTCCAGGTCCAGGAGTAAAACGCGAATCAAAAACTTATCTTTATTTAGCAGTTCCAACTCTACCTCCAGGAATAGAACGTTTAGTAAAATCAGTAGAAGGATCATAATGTCCAGGACCTGGAGCATTTTCAGTATTAGTAGGTATTCTTTTAGAACTAATTGTTGTAGCTTTAAGATTCAAATGTGATTAATGCATATATTATCCAGGACCTGGAGTTTAAACTCTTTCAGTAAAAGTTGAATCTCTTTAAGCATTTCCAAATCTGTGATATGGTCCTGATGTTGAAGGACGAATATTATATTTACCAACACCTGGAATATATCCTTTTGTATCATAGAATCCTCCTCTATTTTAATTACCAATTCTAGATGCTGGCCTACTTAAAATAGTAGAATAATTAGTCTCATATGCAGCTGGACCTGGACCATTTTTTAGTTCTCTTAAATTATCATCAATTCCACCCAATTAGGGTTTATTACGCATACTATAACTTGAAGCACATTTCTATAAAGGTTTGAAATCTGGATTATATGCACCAGGACCAGCTAAAAACTATTATTATTCAATATTTACGAGTAATTCCCTTCCCTACTTCTATATGATTTCTAAATTTAGCACCCATTGAAAATTCAGGCTTTTTCCTTTTCTCAAAATCACATATATTAAATTACAATTGCCCTCTATAATTATTCATATTATCCTGGACCAGGTTAATATACCATCTACTATATTGTTCTATTAGCAGTTCCAATTCTAAATTTAACTGATTTATTTGTACTTCCAACTAGGAGGTCTTTAATTATGATAACGATCACCATTGTAGTTCTAATCATTCATATTTATTCATACCCCTACTCCAGGAGCTTATTCAACTTTTATTGGTGGTCTTTAATATGATGTTCCAAAAGAATAAGCAGCCATTTATTAATTATCTAATTAAATTATAATTATTCATTATCATTATCTTATTATTACATTTATTAATTATCTCAACATTTATATTCTTGCTTCTTTCTCTTAATGTTTAATTATCTTAAATTTTCAATCAAAATTAAGAATTCTCAAAATTCAATCAAATTTTAAACTATCTATTATCAATCTAATTTATCTCAAATTCTTTATATCTTTTTATCTTATTACAATATTTTGTTATCTAAATTTAATTCAAATAATAAATTGTTCCATCCCTTTTTGCATATCAATTTAAAATTATGAAGAAGTTTTTCTTAATTAAATTTTCATCATTGTGCAATATTAAGTAACATTCATATATGCAAATTCTCTTTCTCCAAAATAACATAACATCTTTTAATTTCTAATTCTTTCATGAATATTTATTTAGAAGTATTCATTTCGCTGTCTTTTGATGATGTGTCCACTATTTCTATATCAAATAAATCTAAATAAGTTAATATTTTATTTCTTATTTTATTATTCATTCATTTACAGAATATATAATTTATTACTGTCCTAATCCTATTCAGAACTTATTTTCTAGCAATTTCTTTCTAGTTTGATATAAATTAACCATATATCATGTATGGATCAACAACAATATACAAGAACTGCCAATATTGATTAAACTATTATTTTCAAATTAAACTTTCTTATTAATATATGGAACTCAATATTACTTAAAAGTTATAATACTTCTCAATAATGAAAAATTAATATATTAAATAGCTAATAATTAATCATAAATTCCCAATATGTATAAGCAACCCCAATAACCCACTCCTAGAAATGCAGCCAAATAAACTCCACTTAACACCCAAGAAATACTTTAAAGGCTTATGAAAAAAAATTCTAAGTCAAAAATGCAATTAATTGATATAGTAGATGATACAAAACTTGTTAAAAATGAAAAATATGTTTCTAAATCTCCTTGTTCAGGATGGTAGAGCTTTAGAAATTAAAGTTCTGAAAGAGCAATTCATAAAATAAGACACTAATCAAATGAGGATTTGTAAAAAACTTTAAAAAAACCATGTCATCTAAATCATGTAAGTTCAATGATTGGATTTTAATAAAAAGACTTTATTTAAAATGCCAATGCCTTTTTGAGAGAAAAAAATCTTGAAAATAAGCTGGATACTTTAACTCAATAGGTATCAAAATTAAGAGAAAAATCAGAATAATTAGAATTATAGAATAAATTACTGTTTGATAATTTATAAAAATATAAAAGTGAAGGCAATCAAGTAAATTTTGGGTTATCATGAAGGAAAGAAATGCTTTGCTTGAAAGGTTGGATCACATGATTGAAATGTAATAGAAATAAGAGGAGAATTTATAGCATATAAAGACTTTGTTTAGTGACAACTAGAGGAGAATTAAGACATAATAATCGTAACCGAAACAAAGGAGTTTTGGAAAATCTGCCTATATGGGATTTAATGTATGAAAAATGTTTATATTTAAATTATCTGTTAATAATTTATGAAATCCTCACAAATGCAACATAAAAGTTGGTTATAATTATAGAGATTTGAAGAGTATGAAATAAATAAAAAAAAATACCTTGAAAAGGAACAGGAATTAAAATTCAAAAGCTAAGATTAATATGTTCAATAGAAGTAAATTAATTGGATTGGAGACATACATGAAAGATAAACTTTAATATAGAAGGCAAAATGGAAGTGGATAGAGGAGCAAAAGAAAATATTAGATAAGAAAAGAGAAATGGATTAATTAGAAGGAGCTACATTTCATCCATAGATATTAAATAAAGATTAAAAAATAAGAACTCCTGATTAATTCTATAAAGATAATATAGACTATAAAAATAAAACTGTATTAATTTTAAATATTAAAAAATGTAGGAAAAATAAATATAGTAATTAATTAAGTAAAAGGAAGACTAAATTAATAACAGAAGTTGTTCTCCTAAAATAAATAAAAAATCTGTTTAAATGGTTGTGCAACCTTTTTATGACAGATTGAAAGAGAAATAGTTAGAGAGAGAATAGAATTTATTAAAAATTAAGAAGAGTATAACGCCTTCCTTTAGTCCATAAATATATTCTCGAAACTTTTAAAGTCGTCAAACATATCAATATGTTTAATAATTTGTAAATTTGAACTCAACCAAAAACAAAACATATGAAATTAATTTGGAAAATGTCAAAAATGATTATAAAACTTTTACATTTTTTGAGGACATACGAAGAATTTAAAATTCGCCTTCTGATTTAAATTAATCTTATAATGAGACTAAAAATTTACTTTTTTTAACTGAGAATAATTAAATTTTAAATACTGAATAGAGTTAATAATAGAGTACAACAAAAAAGTAGTAGAGATCGATGAGTCCTTTAAAATCAATCACATTAAAAACAACTTAAAAAAATTATTTTAAAAAATGATTTGTTGATTTTTTAATTATTCATACTAAATATCTGTTATATGATTATTTTAATAGTCTGGCTATATTTTATTGCAAGAATTCAATAATAAATTCAAATAGTATTGTATAAAGAATGAATTTATAAATAAATTTAATCTATAAAAAGTTAAAAGCCAAGATTGAAAATGGGAGCTTGTCACACCAAAAGGTCAAGAAGATAAAGTAATGAATGGAAGGTTAGTGAAAGACTCACTTCTGAAAGATTAGATTTCATATTTTAACGGTTGTCTCTATATTTAGAACTTGTTGGAGACACTCATTCATTAGGAGGATATTTGTAAGAGAAGATAAATGAATTGTTTGAGATAAAATAAAATTTTATCCTAGTTAAAGATCACTTACGCAAACTAGAATTACTTCATTAGGCATCAGAAGTAATTGAATACTTGTACGATGATAAACACTTCAGTTAAGCGTTCCCTATTTTAAGGGAAAGTTTGTATGAAATCACCCAATTGACATTAGTCACAGAGTGATTTATACTAAGCGTTTTTCAAATTTTCATTTTTTGTCATTCAATAATTTTTATTCATAAAATTTAAAGTCTTCTAAAGAAAACTTAAAGAAAAGTAATTATAATCTAAAAGAAAAAATAATAGTACTTTTGAGTTATTTATATTCAATATCATTCTATAAAAATAAAAAAGTAAAGAAAATAAAACGTGCCTCACAATAAATTAGAATTTTGTGAAAATAACAATATAAATCTACTTAAATAAATGGTTTAAAGAAGAAAATGAAGGAGTTTAAAGTATAGAGAGGAAATGATGAAGTTTAATCATTTTTGTTTAGAAAATTATTTTATTGATTAGTATATAATTGAATTATAATGTCTCAACCAGAAAATAAGTAACCGAAACCATTAAAGGAAGTTTTGGGATTGAAATATGTATTTGGTTTTAGAGGAGACATTAAAAACTCAATCTTGTAAGGGACATAGACAAATGTTTAGGAGAAATAGACAAAAACAAAATTCATATATCCAGCAGCAAATAATATAGTGATTTTTGATCCAATAGCAGATAAGAATAAATCATAGGAAATAATTCAAACAGTTTTAGGTAGTAAAGGTGTAACGTGTTTAAATATTTCTTTATCAAGAAGGTAGATTCAAAAATTAATTTAGGTATGTTGCATGGTCAGAAGAGAGTGATGCAGGAATAATAGTAATATTAGATTTAAATACACGAAAAACTAAAATATTAAGTACAACTGATTGCAAATCACGATATTATGTGAGTCTTGATTTTTCAAGGACAGAAGAATCTAAATATTTGGTAGCATTAAGTGCACCACCAGAATAAATGCTTATACATTGGGCATGGGATAAATCAAAGTGTTTAGGAAGCACAATAATAAATGCTAAAGGAGATTCCATTAAATTCCATTAAGTTTTTTATCATCCAAAAGAAGATGATTTTGTTTGTGTAATGGGTAATGGAGCTATTAAACCTTATAAATTGATTCCAGATAATCCTCCAAAACCAAAAGATTCACCTTTCTAAAAGAAGAAAGAAGTATTAATAAACATTATTTTATTAAGGAAACCCATTCAACCAATTTTCTTTCTTATTGTATTTTAAGTGATGGTAAAACAATGGTAGTAGGAACAGATAGAGGAGAAGTGTTATATTTTAATGAGAATTGTGAATTTAAATTAGTTCTTTCTCCTCTTTAGAATTAGAATTAATAGTCAATAGAAGGATTTCCTATAGAATGTATAGTGAAATATTCAAATGGATTTATTGTAGGTGGTAGTGATTGCACGATTTATATATATAGAAAACATGAAGGCGATTTGAAAAATCCTTATGTAAGAATAGATAAGAGAATTTAAAATAAATTTATAAACGTAAAGATAACAAGTTTATGCCTTACAAATTAAGAGGATAATCTTATATTTGGAATTGAATCTGGTTAAGTATTTAGCATTCCTTTTAGTGCAGATAGAGAAGTAGCAAATGAAGAGGAAATTAAATTTGATCATTTGATAGCACCATTTCATAGTGGACCAATTACAGGTTTAGATGTTTGTACAAGAAAGTCTTTAGTTGTTACAGTGTCAGATGATCGTTCTATTAGAATTTGGAATTTTAATGAATTAATATTGGAAGTGATGAAAGTATTTGATGAAACACCTTTAACTGTAGCAATTCATCCTTCTGGATTTCATTTAATAGTTTCATTTTCTGAAAAGATTACATTGTACAATTTATTTGAAAAAGATTTAAACTTTTTTAAAGATATTCATATAAAGAATTGTTAATAAATAAAATTTGCACATGGAGGTCATTTATTTGCAGTAGCTAATTAGAATTTAGTTTAAATATATTAATTCTACACAGGTGAGAATCCTTAAAATTATATATTTAAATAATCGACTGGTAATATTTCAACTATAGAATGGGATATAGATGATTTAGGATTTTATACTGGAAGTGATAATGGTTTTGTACTTTATTGGAGATTAGAAGATAATTAAAATAAATTATAATTGGCTATGATTTAATCTTAACCAATTGAATGTATTTGTACTCCAAAAACATATGCAAATATCGAATTGTAAAAAGTATATATAGCAGGTCCATATGATGGATAATATTGTATATATGAATCTCAACATCATACAAAAATTCATAAGGAAGCTACTGAAGGTACAAAGAAAGAAATTCCACTCTATCCAATACAAACTGGATGTAGAATAAGTAAGATGGCAATATTTAATAGTGAAAAGATTATGTTATTTGCTACTTGTTAATTAGCTAATTCAACTGAATTTACTTAGAAATAAAACATTAAGAATATGAAATTTGAACCTGGTGGTTTAAGATTTGCTAAATATCCTTTAGCTCCTGAAGAGATTGTTGAAATTTAACCACATATTAAAGGAGTTACTTAAATGAAAGTTTCTTATGATGACTCTTATGTATTTACTGCTTCATATGATAATTCATTGATTATTTATGATGTAAAAGATTAAAGTTCTAAAATTGAATTCAAAGATGGTGGACAAGCATATGGAGTTTAAGCTTATGCTGATGAATTCTTAATGTAAAGAGATTAGTATAAAAAGAAGATTGCTAAAATTGAAGATTTAAAATAAAAAATTAAAGAACATGATATTAATTAAAAGATTAAGTAGAATATGTATACTAAAGAAAAAGATGAACTTATTAGAAAATTAGAAGAATAAATTGATTAATTAGAAAAAAAAGAAAAAGCTAAAATTTAAGAATTAGAAAATGCTATTAATAAATTAGATAGTGATTTTAAAGATGAAAAGAAATAACTTCGTGAAAATCATGAAAAAAATAAAAAGACAACAGAAAATGATTTTAAATCAAAAATGGCATTAGAATCTTAAAGATTAGAAGAATTAACTAAAGAAAAATAGTTGAAACTTCTAGAATTCTAAAAGTATATTAAGGAATAAAAAGATAAGAGCACAGAAACTAAGAATGAGAAAAAAAGAGAATATGAAAAATAATTAAAAAAAGAATAAGAATTGTATGAATAATTATAAAAAGATAAAGAAGAAAATTAAAGAAGATTTATTGAGGAGAGAAATAAGTTAGAAGACGATGCAGAAAAGGAAATAGATAAGAAGAAAGAAATTAATGAGGCTGAAATGAAAAAATTATCTGATGAATTAGATAAAGCAGAATTAGAAAAAAGAACCAAAAAAACAGAATTTGATAATGTTTAATCTAATTTAGAATAAGCTAATTCTAAAGTTAAAGAAATTATGGAAGATATTGCATAAAATTAAGAATTAAATAGATAATATTAAAAAGAAAAGGAGAGTCATGATAAAGAAATCAAAGAAAGGGATAAAACAATATAAGATAAATAAAAACGTATTTATGAGTTAAAGAAAAAGACTTAGGAATTAGAAAAGTTTAAATTTGTATTAGATTATAAAATTAAAGAATTAAAAAGAGATATAGGACCAAGAGAGGAGGAAATTACAAAAATGAAAGAATAAATTACAAATATGAACACAGAAATATTACATTTTAAAAAGGTTAATGCTAATCTTGGATTGATTGTAACTGATTTAAACTTGAGATAGGCAGGTATGAAATAAGAGATAGAGAATTAATAATAAGTAATAGAGAGTAATTCTTAGTACATAAAGGCATTTGAATATGATATTTCTGAGACTCATGCACATTTAAATGTAAAAGATAAAAATAGTTATTTAGGATTTTAAGAGACTTAAATCTGATATGCTGAAGTTATTTAATAAATATGTATAAAGTGTAGTTTCAAAGAAGAAATTTGAGAATGTGGATGTATAAAAGGAGTTCATAAAAGAGAGAGCTCATTTAGAAACAACAAATAAAGGATTAAAGGAAAAGTTTTCAAAGAAATTAAGAGTTCATAAATAAGATAATAATAGAATTATGAGTTAGAATGTAGATTTGATTAGTGAGATTAATGATTTAAGAAGGGAGATAAAATTATTATAAGATGAAGAAGATTTGAAGTGTCGTTAAATTGAGTAGATGAATGATTAGCCAGAAGAGAGAGAACTTGATTAATAGATTGAGGATTAGGAAATAGAAATTAATTAAATAAGAGAGAAATTACAATTTCTAAAAGAGGCAGTTTAATAGAGAAGATTATAATAGAATATTAACTCTGATAGTGATCATTAGGAAAATGAATAAGAATGAATTATATTTTAGTATATAATTTTAATTTATAAACAAAAATTAATGATTATTAAAAGAGGTCTGAATTTTTCAAGACTCATAAAAGAAGCTTCTAAATTAATTCATGGTAGATAATATATTGATCATTATTGGTATTTGAAATCAAAGTATGATAATTTTATAACAATAGTCCAGAGTCACTTTAACCTATTATAGATAATGAAACCAAAATAAAAAATTCATTTTTTGAATAACCTTAAATAAAAGAAATATTTAATGATTATTATTAGGTATCTTATGGTAGAAAGGATGGAAGAACTCATGATATTCCTGAATTATATGATGAATATGAATATAATGGAAGATTTGCATATTTTGATACGGGAAATGATTATTAAATAATTGAGAGATCTTTAAAAGGAGGTGATAAAGAAGTAGTATTAGATTTAAGGAAAATATAATTTTTGAAATAGTATCATGCAACATTGAAATTAACAAAATTAAAGATATCAGATGATCATAAATTGATAGCCTTTGGGATTGATTTATTGAATAATGAAGATATAGTTTGGTTAATGAAATATATAGATGATGATAGAGTGTTTAGAACAAAGTTATTTGATTGTTTTGATGCAGCATTTACAAAAGATAATTAGTATTTAGTATATACTTAATATGATGATAAATTCAGACCTTATAGATTGATGTTACATAAATTGGGAACAACTTAAGAAGATGATGAGTTATTATTTGAAGAGAGGGATGAGTAGTTTTATTTAGATTTGTAATAAACAAAAGATGGAAAATATTTTGTTTTATTAAGTCAGACAAAGTAAAGTAATGAGGTGATTTTGATAGATCGTGATAATCCTAAGAAAATTCAAATACTATTTTCAAGAAATGAAAATGCAATAAATTTAGTTCATCATCATGAAGAACATGGATTATATATATTGACAAATAAGAATTCTTATGATTATAAAGTTTTAAAGTAAGAAGGAGATAAATTTGTAGATTTTTATTGTCCATAATAAGGAGAAGTGTTATAGGAAGTAGATTTATTTCACAAACATTTGGTGTTATATTTTACAAAGGAGAGTGAAAGTTTTATAAAAGTGATATCTTTAGAGGATAAAGAGATTTATAATTTATATATTCCTCCAACTTTAGTTTATACAGATCATTAAAAAAACAAAAAAAATCTATTAAGAAATATTTATGATAGAGTGATAAAAAATGATAAATCTTAATATTTTTTGAATAAGAAAGTTGAGAATGAAGTATTAGGATGTACAATAGAACCTGGGGTGAATCATAATTATAAGAGTGATATATTTTAGTTTCATTTGAGTACACCTTTAGTATATGATTAAGTCTATTAATACAACTTATAAAAAAAATAGTTATCAAAACTTTAGGATGCAAATCTTACAGGTAAAGTATTCAAAAGAGAAGAGTTTATTTGTACAAGATATTATGCTCCAAGTAAAGATGGAACAGAAATTCCAATAACTTTGGTACATCATAAAGGTTTATAAAAGAATAGATAAAATAAATTATTATTGCATTCATATGGTGCATATGGTGTTCCATAAGAAATACCATTTAATATAGTATATTTGAATGCATTAGAGAAAGGTTGGACATTAGCATATGCACATATAAGAGGTGGAAATGAGAGAGGAAAGGATTGGCATAGATAAGCAATATAAGAGAATAAAATAAGAAGTATAGAAGATTTACTTGGATGTGCAGCATATTTAATAACAGAAGGTTATACACATCCTTCATTATTATGTGGATTGGGAGCATCTGCAGGAGCTACAACTTTAGGAGCAGCTGTAAATATGAGACCTGATCTTTGGAAATGCGCTATTATGCTTTCACCTTTTTTAGATGTTTTAGGATCTTTATTAGATGAAAATCTACCATTAACTAAATCAGATTATTTAGAATTCGGTAATCCTAATGATAAAAAAATATTTGATACTATACTTAGTTATTCTCCGTATGAAAATTTAAAATCACAAGTTTATCCTGCTATTTATATTAGTGCTGGAACTGGCGATTTTAGAGCACCTTTATGGAATGTATTAAAATATACAGAAAAATTGAAATAAATTGCAGTTAAGTCTCAAAAAGTTGAAATCATAGGAGAGCATCCATTTATTATTGATATTAATGATGGTGGACATTATGGAGGTGCTGGAGTAATTATTTTATAATATTATTAAGGCTTAATCTGTTATTGAAGAACGTACTAGATATATGACATTTCTTGATTATTATGTTGGAATTGGTAATAAAGAAATTACTAAGAAAAATCTTACTTAAGATATTGATGACTCTATTTAATTAGCAGATGAAGAAGATAAAATTTAGAAATAATGAACAATAGTAATTTTATATATATATATAATATATGTATGTATATATATATAATATATAATATAATTTAAAATGAAAGTTTCATTATAAGATTTCGGCTATCATTAACCTAATGCACCGGAAATCAATACTCCTAGATCTCTTGAGGCTTGTAGAAGGGAAGGTATTTAACCTAATGAAATTGTTAAAATTCCATTTGAGGAGTTTCAAAAGAGATATAAAATGAAAAATCTTGATCATAAAGGAATTGATTAATTTTATAAACATTATGAAGAAAAAAGAGAAAAAAAATTTGAAGAACTTATTAAACAAAGACATATTGTTATAGAAGATGAAAAAACAGGTAATTTAATTTAATCTTAATTCAAGGTGTATGGAGTATTGAAGGATTATCTAAGAGTAAGGTTATATCAAAATATGGTTAATAAGAAACTTCATCTTTAGTTGAAAAAGAAAAATAATAATTAGAAAAAATTAAAAAGAAATAGTAAAAAGAAATTGAAGGAATGCTTGAATATGAATTAAAAATGTAAGAAATAAGATTAGAAAATGAAAAAAAATAAGCTGAAGAAATTGCTAAATAATAATAACGAGATCATGATTTATAAAAGAAAAGAGCTGAATAAGAAGAATTAAAAAAATAAAAGGAGTTAGAAAAATAATTAAAAAGAGAATAAGAAGAACAGTTATAAAGATAAAAATTAAAAGAAATGGAATTAAAAGATAAAGAAAGGTTAAAATTAGAAGAATTAAAATAAAAAGAAAGAGAAGAAGAAGCTAAATTAAAAGATGAAGAAAGAAAAGCTATTTAAGAAAAATTAAAAAAATAAAATGAAGAAAATTAAAAAATATAATAAGAATTGTTAGAAAAAAGAAAATAAGAAATGGAACTTAAAGCAGAATAAAGAAAAAAAGCATTAGAAGAATAAAAATTTTTTAAAAAATAAGAAGCTGAATAAGCTAGAATATAAAATGAAGAAAGAATTTAATAAGCTAAATAACGTAATGAAATTGAATTATAAAAATTAAAAGATGTATATTATTATTTAATATATAGGATTTTGATAGAAAATTAAAATTAAGTGAAATTAAACAAAAACAGTATGAAGAAGAAAAAAAAAAGAAGTTTGAACAATAAAGAAAAGAGGCTGAAAAACATACTGAATTGTTTTTAAAGGTAATTGAATAAAATAATCAAATGGAATAAGAAAAGAAAAATTTATATCTTAAAAAAATATAAGAAGCAGAAGAAAGAAGAAAATAAATTGAAGAAGAATTAGAAAAAGAAAAAGAATAAAAAAGATTATTAGAAAAAGACAAAGAATAATAAAGAAAATAGGTTTTATTATTAAATGAAGAGAATAATAAATAAAAAATAGAAGAATTAGTTAAAAAAATCAATGATAAAGAAGAAATATTAAATAAAATTTAAGATGAAAGAAATGAATAATTATAAGAGAGAAAGACTATGGATATTATGAAACGTTTTGATAAAAGAGAAAATGTAGAAAGAATTATGAGAAAATAAGAGTATGATAAATAAAAATTATAAGAAAAAATTGTTGAAAAAATGTAAAGAGCAGATAAACTCTCTGAAGATCTTGATTAATTATTATCATAAAGACATAACTTAAGAAGAGAAATTGAAAAATAGAAAAGAGAAATTATGATGAAATTTGAAAAAGTTAGAGAGGGTAAACTTCCTCCTTCTGAAATTTAGAAATAATTAGGTATTACAGAACCAGATGCTAAATCTAATAATTAAACAAATCCTTATCGTACTTTTTCATCTACTAGACCTAAAACTAATTAAGCAAAAGAAAGATAAGATAAATTAATCTCTGTTAGACCTGCTAAAATTTAATCTGCAAAACCTGAATCTATATAAATAAAAGACAAAATTAATCCTAAGCCAATATAGCCTATTATTGAATAGCAAGGTAAATAAATAATACAAATCTAGCCAATAAAACTACACCTAAATTTCACAAAAAAACTGATGTTAAAAAGAAGTTTGAACCAATTAGAGCAGAACCTCCAAGTCCTTAAATTCTTATCTATCTAAATAAAATGGTTTAAAAACATAATTAAGATATGATGAGAGTATTAATGGAGGAACATGCAAATGAAAATTTAAGAGATGAAAAATTAAATTAAGCTAAAGGAGAAGAAAAAGCTAAACTTGAAAAAGAATACGCTCTTGAAAGAGTAAAAGCTTAACTTAAAATTGAAAAGCTAAAATAAAACTAAGAATAAGAATAAAAATAATATAAACTTACTCATAGTATTTTTGAAAATGATATTATTAGATGAATTAACTTGTTTATGATTATATTCTAAAATATTTTAGATTGCTATTTTATTTTAATCCAAATTTAAGTATAAATTATATTTATATAAATCAAAATCATATATGTTATTTTTATAGTATTTATTTTTAGCCTGTAATCTGATAGATCATTTTTATATCCTATAATGTTAAAATATGAAATTTATTGAAATAATAAATGAAAAATAAAATTGAAAAAGCAACATCTTTTTGAGAAAAAGACTTATCAAAAAATAAAGGTTAAATCTTTGCTAAAAAATGATTAGATTAACTTATTAATATTTTTTTTGATTTTTAACTTTTATTCGACTATTTTCTTTAGTATTTTGTGACTTTAGGAGAAATTATTCATTTTTTTATAAATTTAACTAAAAATTCCATTAAGTATATGAGAATATTTTTTTATATTTTAATATAATTAATATACACATATAGATATATAATTATAATAATTTAAAAAATATTAAATAATTGATATTACAGATCATTTATTTTGACAAAAATAGTAAATATATTTATCAATATTTTTGTGTTAAATTGTGGAAATATTTAAAAAGATAAAAATATTTCATTAGGATTTTAGATCTGGCAACATAAATGAATTGAATTAAAGAGAGAAATAATAGTAAAACTTAGTTATTTTTAATTTAATTTATTTTTGTAATAGAATTATTTACAATAAAATTGTTTTAATCATAAAGAATTAAAAAATTTAAGATTATAAAAAAATAAATGAAATCTTAATTAATTAGAAAATTATATTGTTTTAATTAATATAAGTTAATTTAAAACAAAAAATATCAAATCATATGGGTTGTTCAAAAATTAAAAACTTAAAGTCATCAATATCTGATGATTTTTTTTAATCATTTGCTATGACTTTTCTAATCATATTCTTTTTCTTTTGATGCAACAAATTAATTTTTTCTTCAATTGTATTTGCACAAAGAAATCTAATTACATTAACTTATTTTTTTTATCCGATTCTATCAGCTCTTCCAATAGCTTAATCTTCAATGGCTGGCTAATAATAATATAATATATAATTACATTCCACCATGGATCAACTAGGAATACATGATTAGCCATAGTTAAATTTAATCCAGTAGATGTAGCTCTTAAAGATAAAATTAAAGCTGTAAAAGCAGGATGTTATTCAAATGATTAAATGACTTTATTTCTTTATTCAACAGACATAGCTCCTGTAACAACTTAACACCAAATTTCTTCTTCTTGAAATTTTTCTTCAAGTAACCTTATCATTTAAATCCATTATGTAAAGATTAAACATTTTTCTCTTTTGAGTTATACTTTTTTAGTTTCATTTACTACTGCTAACATTTTACTACTAGGACCCCACTTAGTTTGTTTGATTTCTTAAACTTCGTATGAATTACTCTATACACTCATAATATCTTTTAAGGTTAATCTTTTAGAACATGTTGGACATTCTCCAATAGTTTCAATTACTTCTTTAAAACAACTATAAGTTATATATAATTAATACTTATGACAATAAACATGTCCGCATATTGAAATATCAAATGTAGTTATTCCATCTTCAGAACAGAGTGTGCAATCATTTAAATTTCCTCGTTATATTAAATCAACTAACTATTATCTTTATTTATCAGATATATCTTAATCACCAGATTTTTATTTGGCAAAAAAGTTTTCTATGCAATATTTAATTTCATCAATAGAATTAGTATCCAAATTAATTCCTTTTAAAGCAATAGAGGGATGGTCACATGTCATCCTTAATTTATTTATGATTTGAAAAATATGAACAAATTATCTGCTTTTTTCAGAATTCAAATAGACTTTGAATAATTATTGTGTTCCTTCAAAAAACTTATCATAAAGTGCTCTTTCTTTATTTTCTAATTTAACCCAACATATAGATTCATTTATTTATAATGAATTTTGATTACTCAACTACTATTTGGTTCTTCTTAGAATAATTGGTTTTATTATTTCTCCTAAAATACATTATTATTCATCCTCATTTTCCTCTTTATTTATATAAGCATTCCACCAATAACTATTAAATATAAAAATGAATATTATACTATTCACCAAATGTTTCAACTCTTAGGAACGATAATAAACTAAATAGATCATCATGTTTATTTTATATTGGAGTACCTGTTAAACACCATCGACATTCACTCTTTAAAGCCATAGCACTTCTTGTTTATAAAGTATTTTTTGTTTTTATATTATGTGCTTCATCTAAGATAACTCTATAATATGTAAAATCAAATAAATTTGTTATTTTTCCTTAATTATTTTTCTTTGTTTTTGTTCCACATTCATAATCATTCTAACTTATTTCTATTGGTTCACCAAATAATTAAGACTTTTCAAATTTAGATGATTTTAAGTCAAAAATAGATTTAAATTCTTCACTTTAATCATTATTTTAACAAAAATCTTAAGAATCTAATTCTATTTCAAAACTATCATTTAAAATTTATGTATCATTAGAAATTTTTGATTCTTTCAATTCTTTCTATTCTTTCTATTCTTTAAATTCTTTTTATTCTTTCTATTCTTTAAATTCTTTAAATTCTTTTTATTCTTTCTATTCTTTAAATTCTTTCAATTCTTTAAATTCTTTTTATTCTTTAAATTCTTTTTATTCTTTAAATTCTTTCTATTCTTTAAATTCTTTCTATTCTTTCTATTCTTTCTATTCTTTTTATTCATGATCTGGTTTATTTCTTACTTTTTAATATATTTCAGTATCTTCCAGTCCATTTTCTTTTAACCAGTTAGAATAATTTTAGGCTACAACAGTATAGGTTGTTATAATAACATCATAATTAGAGAAAACAATTTTCTTATTTCTATTTGATATCTTATAAAATGTCAATACTTAAAGACTGTTAGGTATTGAATGTTTTTTAATTTCTGCTTCCCATTACAATAAGACAGATTTGGGAACAATTATTAAAGTAACTCTTCCTTTTTTTTAAGTTTATAAAATTAAAGCTAAAGTCATAATAGTTTTTCCCAATCCCATTTCATCTGCAAGTATTCCTCCTTTAGTAGAATTATAAGATTAAAATTCATCAGTGATTTTTCCAGTAAATGTATTCATATATAATTTTTTACCACTTTCTAATAAAACTTCTTCCCATAAAGGAGATAATTACCATTAACCTTTATCTTTTGCTTCAGAGTTCTTAGGATTAGGAATTAAACCTTCTCTCCATAACATCCATGTTAATGCTTATTTTTAATGTTATTTCAAATCACAAATCAAAGTTTTAGGTTTAGGATGTTCATATATTTCCTAATCTTTACTATTTAAAAAAGAATTAATTTCATTTTCATTTATTTCTTCAGAAAGTTTTAGTTTGCCCGTACAAAAGTCAATCATTTTTTAAACTTATTCTCTTCTATTTATTTCCAATTATTTTAATGCTTATTAATATTTTTAGCAATCACACAAATTTCCTGAAGAAATTTACAATTCAAAATATTCTTTATCTTTCTTATGATTTATTCCACCAACAATTACTTAAATAAAAGGATTTTAAGTCTCTTTATATAAAGAAGAATTCTCTGTATTCAGAGTAAGAAATGTCTTAATACTGAGTTGTTCAATATTATCTACTTTATATCTTAATTCATTAAGTTTATCAATACTTGGTTAATGACTATGAAATCCTTAACATAAAGATTGATATGTACAATTTAATTTAAGAAACAATAATTCAAAACAATATTTCTAATAGTTTTGTTATTTGTGTTCATTTACATGTTTAGTTGATGTAGAAATGAATTTCTATATTTCATGTAACAATGTAGTCATATATTTTTTAAAATAGACATTCTAATAAATAGGTACTTCTTATTGAATTGGATTAAATTGAGATTCTTCATTAGTATAATATTTATTTTTTGATAAAAAGAGACAAGAACTCTTAAAATCTTTAAGAGAATATAATTTATTAGAAAAAGCTGAATTCTACAATGAATTTCTATAGTATTCATTATTAGTAATAATTACTCTTGCAAAATCCTTAAAAGTTAAATCAATTCTTAGAGGTTATCCCATTTATAAAGAATGAAACTTTTCCAATTAAGTGAAGAATATCTTTACATACTTATCTGATTTAATCATTGCTGGAATAGTTCTTTATAGATTAAGTAAATCAAATAAAAGCAAAAGTGATAAACGAGAGAAATATTATAAATCTACATTTAAATCTTCTTCTGATTCTGCATATGAAAATCTTTCTCTATTTACAAAACCATCTTAAAATGCTTTCTAATTAAATTTGGATAGATCAAATTAATCATTTAATGCATTCTATTTTAAATAGACATCCAGTCTTATTTATCTAAGATTGTCTGAATATTTAAAATTTACTGTCTTTGCAATTACTTTAACATAATCGACTGTTAATAAAAACCACCAAATTTCATCATAACAATGAGAAATTCTTCCATGAATTTATAATGGTTAATAATGAATTTACTTTCCAATCTTTTTTTATTTCAAGACCAAAGTAGATTGTCTAAAATTCTTAGTTTTAGTAACTATGTAGGTTGATATATTTTCATTTTTTAATGAACAAATAGGAGTACTAAAATCAATTAATTGTGGACAAAGAAATGCTTTATCATTTAGATCTAATTCAATAAAGGAATTAGGTTCATATTAATAAGGTGCTAGTAAACTTCCTAAATAATACTTGGATTCTTTCTTCATCAATTAATAAAAATTTAAGGAGGGTAACACTAATTGTTTAGTATAAACATCATTATCCTGTTATTTTTTTTCTGTTTTACACAATAATAATAAATTGTCAACTATAATGATAAATATGAATTAAAGTAATTTGTATTATAATAATATTAATAATAATCATTCTGGTTCTTCTTCTTCAGATTCTTCTTCAATTAATCCAATATCATCTAAAAAAATGTTTAAATATATAATTTATACAATTAGGTTATGATTAAGTAATAAGTGGTCCATCTGTCATTTCATCAAATACTAATTCAAATTTATTTTCAAGATAATTTTCACAAACTATTTTTTTTGGATTATAAAAATTAGGAGGAGGAAAAATTGGATCTAAGGCAATTCTTCAATATTTATTATTATACTTGAATGCATTATCAAGCATTTACGGTATCAATTTTGATAATAAAGGACAACAAATTTCAATTGATGGATTAGTATTTGCTTCTATCATTTTAACATTAAATGCATCATCAATCATAAAATCTAATCCAAAAATTTCAAAAGTATTCTCTCTTTTATTTTAATCTATTTTACCATAAACTGCTTTAAATTATTCTGTTGCCATTTGCTAAACAATAGATAATATTAGAATTACTTTCATTTTAGCATATATTTTATTAAAATCTCCCCCAAGATTTTCAACATAAACAGAAAACTCTTCAAAACTAACTTTATTACCTTTTTCATATTTTCCGTAATCTTCTCCTTTCTTTTAAACAGCATCATTTGTTAGATGAATCATTTTATTAGTTAAATTTTTCATAGTGAATTCTTTACTAGATGTTCTAACATAACCTTCAGTATACCAATAACCTTTTTGATTTCCATTAATTGATACATACATACTATAACATCTTATATCAAATTTGCGTTTATTATATAATAAAGGTCTATCAATATATAATTAGACTATAAAAGTTTTATAACTTCCATTTTTATGCATTTCTCTAGAATTTAAAATTGATTATATTTCATTTAAATCTTCTGAAACCTTAATACCATTCCCTCTATTTGTAATTTCTCCAGGTTTTATAATCCAAATATTTCTACGTTTATTTTTTTCATCACTTTCCTAATTAATCATTTATTATCTTTCTTTATATGCTTCCATAAATTAATGATACTCAGGCCCATCTAAACTTTTTATATGATATGTAACTGGTAGATTTTCAAAAACATTTAAATTTTAAGATTCATAATATGCTTTCATATTATAAAACAAAGCTTTCTTATTTCCAAGATGAAAATTATTTTCTAAATGATTATGTGCCTTAACAGGTTCATTATATATAGAAAGTTTAGGTTTAATTGCTTAAGCTTATTCTAAAGTAAGTAATTTGGATTATCTTCCTTATGCATTAAGAATTGTACTATATTATCTTAATTCTGCATTTACTAGGAATTTACTCCATTAATTATTAATTTTTTGTATTGCTTCAATTTTCATTTATTCATTTTCACTTTATTCATCTTATTTAGAGAATCCTAAACTTATAGATCCTATTGTAGTTAATGATGATGAAGCACTTTAACAACTCATAGAATCATTTGGATTTCTATTTAATGCTTTCATATTTTCATGAATTGTATTAACTTTTAATTAAGTCCAAACAAAATGACAAGATTCTTATTCATCTTATATACTCCACCACCATCTACTTTTTATAATCTATCTAACCAACATTCCATTATTACCTTTACCTACATATGCTTTGTATATATTTTATGTTGGTTAAACAAAAAGACAATTTGATAAATTCATTATATTAAAATAATGTCTCATAGATGCATATCTTTCTTAAAATATTTAATCTTATGGATATTTTGGATCTATATAATATATACCATCGAACTTTTTTTATTTTTTCTTTTTTATTTTTGGTAATTAAGTTGTTGTAGAATTTCCATTTGTCAATTATAATCCTGAAGAAACATTTCCCATTGGCTCTATTTTAATATTCCTTGATGTTTTTATTAATTAAGAATTCTATCTTGCTTATTTTGATGTTCTAAATGTTTCAGTCTCCATCTAAGTTGTGTGCTTTTCCATTTATAATCTTATCTTTTATACTATTTCCTTCTCTAACTTATTATCCATAGAATTATTCAAAAAGGAATCCTAAAATTTATTTCTTTCTATTATCTATTATTAATTTTACAAATTATATGAATTGGCTTTGATGAAATGTTCAATGTTGATATCCCATCTGTCTAAGGAAATATTTACATGAATCTTCCTTATTAATATTTTAAATGATTCGATTTCTTAGATTTTGGTGAGTTTCCTTAGTTATTTTCTATTATAATCAACCACAAATTCTTACACTTCTTCTTCTTTATATGCTGGATCTATTTAAGAACATGTATATTGTTCACTTTCTCAATTTTCGGTAAAATTTATTATGCTGGACTTTCAGATCTATCTAATTAATCATATTTGTATTAAGTAAATAGTTTAGGACTAAAATCTTTCTTTTTTATCACAGCTTTTATAGAATCTTTTATTAGTTCTTGAACTCCTGGTGATTTTAATAATTGCTCCATTGAACGATGTTTTGATGGAGTCAAATATTCTGTTGTAGATTATTATTATTATTATTATTTTTAAGTTGCTTAATTTATCATTTGACTTATGCTAAAGTTTAAATTAGGCATTGAGAACTGTTCTGTCTTATCCTAAATTAGCAAGTTCATAATAAAATAATTATTATTATATAAAATAACTACATCCAAATATACTATACTTAATCTTTATTTATAAATTCAAATCCACTCCACTTTTCCAATATCAAATCATTTTCGGCTCATTTCACTCAAATCATATATACTTCAACAAAATAATTAACTAAGAGCATAACAATTCTATGCTTTATTAGAGATTATAATTAAGCTTATATAATACATTTCTAATGAATCATTTGACATATTAAATAGTTAATCAATCTGATCTGTAAATAATTAAAGAAAAATATAATTTTATTAATAATTTATATGTTAATAAATTTGTTTTTTGTTTTTGATTTATTTTTATTACTTGTAAATACATCAAGGCAATTCAGAATTTCAAGGTTTCATAAATTACAAGTGAAATGTCAGAATGTATTCAACTATTATTAGGAATAAAAAAGCAAAATAATTTTGGAAAAGATAAGATAAAAAAAATAGATCAGATATCATTATCTGAAATTTAGTCAATATCAGAAAACAAACCAATACTATTTGAAAGTTTAATAAGATTAGCTACATTGTATAATAAATTTAGATTTGTTTAAACTTGGATAATTTCAAATCATGATTTTTTTGAGAATAGGAATTCTCTATGGTTGGATGGAATATTCCTCATAACGCTGATTATGAACATATAGGAATTCATTACACAGAAGTAGATAATTATCATTTCATATATTAAACGATTATTTATTTATGTAACTAATTGTAATATAAATATATCAAATCCAAAAAAAAAAATATATAAAAACAATCATAGTGTAGAATTAACTGAATATGGAGACGAGAATAGAAATAGCATCAATGTTATTAAGTGATAATAATATTGCATAGAAAAAAAGTATTTGAAGGTAAAATGACATAAGCAGATATCCAGTCTTATTTGGCTTCAGAATTTCTGTTTAATTTACTATGGAGCTTAAATCTTATTAATTTACTATATCATTTTATGTTGATCATAAAAGACATTTATGTGATGATAGTTTTTGGGTTGATGATATTATAGTTTATTATAAGTAATGAAAATTAATTTATGTAACAATTATTGAAACCTTCACTCAATTTTAATTTCAACGATGTTCTATTTGAAGATAAGCTTCCATTAAATTAATAAACAACTACTAATTAAAAGAATACTTTAATTAATCAGCTTATTGAAAAAGATGATAAAAATAAAAATTGTAAAACCATTCTCAGGCCATAAAGTTCTTCTGGATTGAAATCAGCTTCAAATTAAAGGGATTAAAATCTATAACATAAGGGAGTTAATAATAAATAAAATACCTATCAACAAATCTAATAATAGTTAAATTCTTCTAAATAAGTTAAATTTGATAAGAATTAACAATTTGAAATAACCCCTAAAATTCAATCTAATTGTTATTTTCCTCAGTAAAACACTAATCAAACAAATATGACAAATCCTGCTCAATAATTAGCAAATTAATAATAAGTCGATATTAAATACAAATAATAGTATTAGAAATAAAAATAAGAAATCATTTAAAATGCTGGCATTTTTGACTGGGATGATGATGATTTAGATAATTAATTTATTATTTCAGATAATCCTAAATTAAAAGGGCCAAATAAAAAATGTGAAACTATTGAAAAATAAAATTTAGAATAGTATTTATAAAAGTTACAAAAGTCTGATGTTATTGAATCATCTATTAAATAAAATCAAGAATTATTAAAGCAATAGTAGAAAGATATAAAATAAAAACTTGATAATATAGAATAATTAAGGATGAATGATATTCTTTAAAAAAACTTAGTGATTTCACAAGTACCACACTTAGAAGATGAAGAAGATTATGATGATTTTAAACAAGATGTATAAATTCAAAAAAGTGCTTAGAAAAATATTGAAAAATAAATTAATGAAGAATAAGAATATGATTAGGAAAAGTTTGAGATTGATGAAGAGAATTAAGAATAAGATAATAAAATGAAATTGGCAATGAAAAATAAAAAAGAGTTGGAAGATAAAAATAAATAATCTTAGATTAAACTTGAATAAGTTTAAGAAAATAGTAAAAAAGTTAATTCAAATGAAAGTTTGACAAAAACATAAAAAAAAAAAAAAAAAGTAGTATATAGAGCTAAAAATGCAAAAGAAAGAAAATAAGAATTAAATAATATGAGATCTGAATTAGAGAAGTATTTATTATAGAATAACCCAAAAATATCTCAGATGTTTCAAGAATTACAAGCAACTTAAGAAAAGGAAAGAATTATGGTGGAAGTTAATACTAAGAGATAAGAAGAATTGTCTTAAGCAAGATTGACATTAAAGTAATTGTAAGAAAAATACGCAAAATAATAATAAATTATTGGAGTAATTATATAATGATAATAAAAGGAATTAGACAAGAAAGAACATTATGCAAATTAAATTATTCAAAAGTTAACAGAGAACAAATAAAAGTATAATCAATAATGGGAGAGCTAAATGGAGAAATATATGGCATGTAAAGTTATAGCTAGATTTTTGAAAGGAAGAAAAGATAGAAAATTATTCACAGAATTTAGAAGATAAAGCTTCATTAATAGGTTAAAATAATGATTATAAATTTAATTAATAAATGGCATAATTTATCGAATATTTAATTGAAATAGGTATAATTACTAACAAATCAAAAATATCAACTAACAACATGATGTTTGAATTATCTGATTATTTAAAAAATCTCACTGCTTCAGATTCATTTGATATGGCCAACAGAATATATGATAGTTGGAAATTAAAATAAAATACAAAATAAAACCCCAAATCCTTAATAAGATTAATAACAAAAATGTTATATGCAAAGCCATTTAAAATATTGTATTCTCATTCAAATTCTTAAAAGATTTTGAACAATTTCTAATAATTAAGTATCTCATAAAAATCTCCCAGCAATCAACAAATATAATATTAATCTCCTGTAAATAAATAAACACTAAATTCAATGGGTTTAAATGATACATGTGAGAGATTATATTAAGATGGAATAGCTTAGAAAGTAAAAAAGTAAGTATTTTCCTAACTGACATAGAGAATATTTAGAGCAAGAGTAATGCAAATAAGAATTAAGAGATTGTACATTTAAGCCCTAAATAACATCAGATAATATAGGTTCTAATGAAACTGAAGTATTTGATCGTTTATATAAAACTTAACTTGCCAGCAAGAATGATTTTTCAGAAATTAAATAGAAACAAGAAGTTAGTTAATGTACATTCACTCCTTAAATTAATAAACAATCATCAATGTCTAATTATTAACCTTTAGAATAAATTTTTGATAGATTATTTTAAGAATCTATAAATAGAAACAATATGAAATTAAGTCTAGCGCCAACCAGTGAAGAAAGAGAGCTTTAATCATGTACTTTTAAACCTTAAATATCCTCAAGATAATTAGATCGAAGTGGAGATGATAGTAATCGATTATTATATTTTATTTAGTCTTTTTGAGATTGCATAACGAATCAGCTGAAAAATAGTAAATAAAAGCATTTTAAAAAATTGAATCAGAAGCAAAAGAACTAGAAAGCTGTACATTCAAACCTAAAATCAAGAATTATTCTAATTTTTCTCCTAGTTCTTAACCTGCTTTTGATCGATTATATATGTTATCTTCTAAATCTAGATAAATTGGGTTGGAGGAGAATCAAAAAAGATAAAAGACTAATCCTAAAACTAAAGAACATAGTGTTGGAAATAATGAATCTCTTTATGAAAGAATGAAAAACCATGTTAATAAAAGGAAGCGAACTTTAAATTTAATATAATAAGAATATGACAAAGAGTTAACATTCAAACCGAATTTAAATTTGAGACAAGGAAATCTATAAAGTAGGTTAGAAAGTAGAAATTAATCTATAATTTCTGTAAAATCAGAGACAAAATTAAAATAACACCTTAACACATCTTAAACATAGTAGACTAGATTGTACAATACAAGAAAATCATAATAAGATAAAGAGAATGACAATCAATCAATGTTTACTGAGACTGCACATTTTAAAAATGATTTTTAACAAAAGCAAAGTGTTTAAGATTTAAAAATATGAATATGAATTACTATTATACTTAGTATATAAAATTAAGGTATTAAAATAAATTATAATAATAAATCATAATATTTCTTAATACAATTTTAGAATACTCTTTAATAAACCATTATTAATTTTAATAAAAAAAATAAATGATATCTAGATTATAAGTGGCACACTTATTGATTGGATTTACAGCAGGATTTTATTTTGCAATTAACTTAGATCAAGCCTACTATTTTTCTTTACATCATAAGTTATTTACGCCTTTAAGAGAAGAACTAGATAAGGGTGATAAAACGATTTCAACATTATTTAATACATTTAAATAGGGAATCAAGAATGCCTACGATGATATTTGAGTTAATAAAAATATTAATGAATTTAAATTATATTGACAATTATTGTTAAGCAGTAGATGTTTCATAATAAAAACAAAAGCCATCTAGCATTCATTATTCAAATAGAGAATATACATTTGCTCCTTAGAATTATAATTAGGTAGGTAGTATGAGTATGAAATAATGTCAGCAAGATTCAAATTTTAGTAACAAATACCATAACAGTAGCTTACCACCTAATAATTACACCAAAAAGAAATCACCAAGTTAACCTACTTCATATTTGAATAAATTGAAATAGTAATATGCTCCATTATAATCAACTCAATCAACACATCATAGTAATCATAATCAATCAGTTGAAAGTGAATAATAGAGCTATGAGTAATTAGTTGTTTATAATAACTTATTAAAATTAGAGTTAGAAAGAAAGTTGTTTAATTGTGGGGTTTTTGTTATCAAATAAAATGAAGGAAAATGTGTTGATTTTTATTTAGAATTGAAAAAATAGAAAGATAATTATGAAAAATAGATATAAAATTTATAAGGAATTATATAAAACTATGAAAATAACCTTAATGAATTAGTTGATCTTTAAGAATATTAAAGATAGAATCAAGAATTAAGTACATCAATTGAATAAGCTATTTAAAAATTGACATTAGCCAATTAAACAATTAATCAATTAGAATAAGAAAAAGAATCTTTATTAGATTATATAGACAAATAGAAAGATATTGCAGAATAGTTGAAATAATAAAATGATTAACAAGATTTAAAATAAAAGGAAATGAAAATAATGATATTGCAGTTATAAAAATAAATTGAATAATATAACATTGAATTGATGGAAAAGGAGGATTTTATAAAAGAGATTAGTGAGATGTAAAATAAGAGTAAAAGTTTATTACAAGATGAAATTATGAAATATTAATCATAAATTACTATATTACAAAGATAACTATAAGATTAAGAATAGTAGAATAAAGAAATAAGTAGAAAATTTAATGATAGTGCATCTTAGATATAATTGATAGTTAGGCAATCTGATGATAAACATAGTCAATTTCAATTTACTTAGATCTAGGATAATTAAAGTGTTTGTGAATTTGATAGTAATTTAAAATCCTCAAGAAACACTAATCTTATTCAAAAATAATAATAAGGTTTAGATTAGATGATTCGAATTAATAAATAAACTCTATAGGATTTTCAATAATAATTGATATTGCATCAGAAATTAGGAGAGTATCAAGAGAAGTTGAGTAATTAAATAAATTAGATTGAATAATAGAATAAATAATTAATTACAATAACTTAATAGTATCAAGAATTATTCTAATAGAATTCAAGTCTCAAAGATAAGGAAGTTTAATTGAATTAATAAGTTAAGGATTTAAATTAGACTGTTGGAAAACTATCATAAGAAAGATAGGAATATGTTGAATAAATGGAATAGCTGTAATAATAGATAATAGATTAAAATTAAATAAATTAAGATTTGAATAACTAATACTTTAAATAAATTGATGAGTTGTAAAATGTAAATTTAATACAATAAAAATATAATACATTACAAATAAAAGTTTAAGCAGATGTAGAATATTATGAGAAGTATATACATTATTTATAGTAGTATAATTAAAGATTTTAATTCTTAATTAATTAAAATTTACAAGAAGATAGAAGAAATCTTAGGAAATTTATAAGTTTTTGATTTAAGCAAAATTTAAGTAGATGAGATTTCACCTAGTACAATATTGATATCTCTTGATCATATTGAGAGTTTTGTAAGCAGAAATCTTAACTTTAATAAATCTTAATTAAATACTTCTAATCAAATTCATAATAACTTGCTTAATTTCTCATCCAGCCAGACACCTACAAATATGATACAAAATAGCAAATATTTTTCAAATGAGTTTATTGACAGCAATTAATAAAATAGTATGTTGAGTAATTAAAGCAATCATAATAAACCATATTTAGTTAAAAGGAATTACTATTTATGAATTTTATTTATTTATATGTTGAAATCTAATAAATTGACTTCTGAGTCAGCTCTAACTACTAATAGACCTACAAGTCGTATCGATACATCTTACTTCAATAGAGCAATTTCTTAAAAAACTTAAAGATAAAGTATAAATAAGAAATTATGGATTAAAATTAACAAAGTCAATGAAGATGTTGCTGATACTAAACCTTATATTGCAATTGAAAAATAGAGAAAAACGAATTCATGTCATATCAGAGTAAGTTTAACATTAATCTTATTTAGCCATCTCTACATAGGAGAACAAGTTCTGATGTTAAAAATTAAATAGATTATAATGAGATTAAAAATTTCATTTAAGAAGTTGATTAAAACTATGAGGATGAACCTTTTAGCAAAAAAGTAAATCAAAAACAAACACTATAATATTAAAATGAAAAGAGACTCAATCATTTAAATTCAATCTTAACATCATATAGAGACAGAATAAAAAGTAGAAATATATCAAATGAAATAGAATAGTCTAATTAATAAAGTATTTATATAATTTGATGAATACAAGAATTTAACAATAAAATTAAGATCAGATCAAAATAGATTGCAATAATTAAGTATTTTTTAGTAATTAATCTAAGATAAAAATCAGACAATCTAATAGGTGTTAAGATAGCGAATTTGAAATTACAGAATTCAAAACATTAGTTAATATACAGTAACTATCTTAAAGTACAAAATAATATTAAATTTAATGAATGTAGTCCTTTAGAGCCTCTTCAGATTATATTTTGAATTAAATTCCACAAATTCCTAATTAATAAATATCTAAATTGGTTGATGAATTAGGGAATCTAGAAAACTATAAGTAAAAAAGTTACTATATTATTAGTTTGAAAAATGAAAAGCTTGAGAATTAAAAGGAAAATTATGGAAGGCCTTATAAATCAACTAAACGTATATTTAAAAGAAATAAGAAGTTTCCAAATGAATTAGATAATCAATTATTTATGGATGAATCATTAATTAGTGAGACTGAAGGTATGATAGTATTATAAATAAATTTAGCCAAATTAAATTCTCTATATGGGGAAACCATTTCTATTTAAAAGAATTTATTATAAAATTAGAAAAGCGGTCCAATAAAAGTTATAAATGCAATTAAAAAAATGGATGATATTAAATCCCTTATAAATAAAGTGACAGCAAATAAATTGATGAATAAGTTTATAATTTGAATAAAAATTTACACTCATTTTTTACAAATTTTACAACTATATTATTCCATTTAATTGGCTTGCTCTTATGTTAATCCCATACATGATAAATGAAACCATTTATTACATTGATCACATTAAATATATAATAAATCCTTGATAATAATAAAAATAAAATTTTTTACAGGATTTTAGGGCTATTCACAAATACAAACTTTTTTCCATTAAGAAATGGGAGGTTCTAATTGTTTAGTTAAAGTGTTGTATTTTGCCCTTGTAAAATAAGCATTTGAAGTTCCAGTGTTTTCAAATTCATCAATATTCATTACAAAGCATTTTGCTTAGATGCAATCGATAAATAAAATAGTACTTTGTTCAGTTAAGAACAATTCACATTCAGAAAAGGAATCTTTATCGATTGAATCTGCAAGATCTTAATAAGTACAATACCTTAAAATTAAACTATTTAAAATTACCATTAAACTTCAACCAAAGGAACTATTGTCTTATCATCTTATTGATAACCATAAAAGTTTAATATCAAACCAATCTATTCAATTTGATTAGTTGTTTTTATTAATACACTATCACCAATTTGATATCTCTTTTTATAAATCATTATGTCTTAATGTTTAGTGCATTTAAGCAGAAATTATTCTTTTTTTGATAATTGATGTTCTGTAGCATTTCCATTTCTGCACTCTTATTATGTAGTTGAAAAATCTGCACTATTTTCTTTTGCACTTATTTCTTGTTGTTAATTCATTAAATTAATTATTAGAATGATTGAAAGATCTTTTTTTTAAACTCTCCTACAATCACTCTTAATTTATGTTTGAATAAGATATTTGTAAATAATTATAAATATTCACAAGATTCATATAAATTATTTATTAATATTTCTTTTATAAGTCTTATGGGTCTTCAAACACTTTTCTCAACAGATTCCCTATCACTTGAATCATCTCAAAATAATAATATCCTCAAAATATCAATATTTTTTTCAGAAGATGCTAATTATAGTATATTTTCAATATCTAGAATATCTCCACTAGTTGAATCATTCTTATTTTTCTAATTAACTGGATTATTTAAATAAATATTTGTATTGTTCAAAGTCTAGACTTACTCCAAAAATCTTCATTCATAATTTGGAAATATATATTGTTGTCATTAAAATAAATAAAAAGATTATCCTAATTGTTTAATGTTTGTGAATGAATGATTCAAAAAAAGACATTAATAGAACTAGAAGAGATATCTTTTTAGATTCATCATCCTTATTTTTTCTTTGTTTTGATTATTCAAGTTTTAGAGAAAACAAAAAATCTGTCATGATATGTGATTCAGAATTATTTTTTAATTTTTGTCTTAAGTTATATGAATAGTTGAATTAATAAAAAATAGGAAATATTTATTTAAATTTAATAGTGATTATATATTACTTAATTCAGTCCATACGTATTATAGTCTCACAACTATCTTCATCTTTAGATTAATTAAACTCTTGTGAAAATTATTTTTAAAGGATTTATTAATTTTTTTCTTATTGGATTAGTATTTTATTAATATTTGATATTCGATTTTTAACACTTTAAGCTAAATCAACTATTCTATTAAATTTTTTATTTTCTATTTGAACATATTAGTTTTGATATAATTCTTTTATGGCTTTGTCATAAGTATCCACCATAGGTCTGTGAGTTTTTGCATATTCAAAAGGTAATTTATTATTATTTTTCGGTTAATCACCTTAACTTTAAGCCAATCTAAAGGGAGATGTTTAAGATACACTTCCTTAACTTCCTGATCTCATTAATTGGCTTTTAATTACACTTTGAGTAGATTAGAGCATATTAAAAAACTATTAAGGACTTCCACATAACTCAGGTGATTCTCTAAGATCAACAGATTTTTTATCTTGACTTTTATTATGTTAAATAGTATTTTATGAATGAGAACTTTTATCATTTACTTTAATTCGGATATCGATATCTAAAATAGAAATTAAAAAATTGATACTTGAATCTCCACGTTGTGTTTTACTTCCATTATTGCTTCTTTAGGCTAAATAGCTTTTGTATATTTCATTATGTGTTTTATTTAACTTTTCAATAATTTCAATATGTTAAGTAGGTCTCTTTTTTAAGGCTTTATTAAGTTACTAATTAACAGATGAAGTATGAGAACTGAGAGGTATATCTTTTGTTTTATCTCTTTAAGTAATAGATTTTTAATGCAAGAGATCTTTAACATTAATTTATAATTGTATCTTCTTTTGATCACTAAAATAATTATTTATTTCAATTTTTTTTTCATTATGCTCAATTTTATTTTGCCATTTTGGTTATTGATAATCACCCATTTCATTACCTATCTTTTTATATTATTAAATTTACTTTTTTTTTAATTTTTTAACTTAATAAACGAAAACTTTATTAATTTGATTTTTCATTATCTTTAGAATATTATTCTAAAATTTTATTGATTCTATCTGATTTAAGATGTGATCTACTAGAATATAAATTACCTTTATTATTTTTAGATACATTTTCTGCTTCCAAATTTTGAATTTTTGATTTAGTTAATATATAATAAGGTGATTTAGTATTAGATTGTAAAATATCAAGTACTTTTTTCCAAGCTTAAAGTGCATTATTAGATTATCCTAATTCATAAAATGTTAATCCACTATAAAAAAGTAAAATGGCTTCCAAAGATTACAAAGTCATAATAGAAGAATGATCACCCAAAAATAATCTAATTTTTGGATTGAGTTGTTGATCTTATAATTAATTTAATTCAGTAAAACTTTATTCTATATATCTACTAGCTTCTGAATATTTTTCATTTTTAATAAAGAGAATAACTAAATTAATTAAAGTAATAAGTAAAGTTTCATCTGGAATTGATAATTATAAATATTCAATAGATTACTTGAGATATTTTTCAGCAGCTTGAAATTTGTCAACCCTTATATTAATATGAATGAATGTTACATGTAATAAAAACAACCTATATTATTAGTAACTACAGAAAGAAGATGATTAATTTATGATAATGGAATAGTAGGAGCTTCCTTTTCTTACTTAAGAGTAGTTTCAATTCTTCTTAATATTTGATATCCTTAATTATATTTTTCTAAATTGTTTTTAATCTTCTTTACCTTCTTATAACAATTATGTAGCAGAAATGTTGGCATCCATTATACTTTAATATGCTTTTTGAGACATTTCACCAAGAGTCAATTTTGAAAATTAAACAATTAATTATGTATAATTTGCAAATCTATGTAATATTATTATTATTAGCATTTAAACACAAATATATTATCAATTTCTTTACTTCTTGTCTTCTGCCAATTATTTGAAAACACCAAATAAAATTAAACTTCCACCTATCAAACCATTTAAACTAAGTATTTTATTGAAGATTACATAATCTATAATAATAATATACAGAGTTTATGAGTAAGTATAATTACATAATTTATCATATGTGACTAATGTTTGTGCTCTAAATTAAAACAATTGGCCCAACATTGTAAAAATTGCAAATCCTGCTATGTAATTAAAATAACCATCAAAATATTCAAATCTGCAGATAAATTATTATTGTAGACTTGCTGTAATTATTATCATTATATGAAAATATGAGGTAGTAATTGTTGATGGAACTTCTGTACCAATCTTTTTCATTATAATAAATCCTAATGATTGAATAACACTGCAAATTAACATACTAATACAACCAATTATATGCATAACATGGTCTTCAACTGTAATTGTTGGATTAACAATTACTACTATTCCAATAATACATATAATCGAATTTAAAAATCGAGATTTTGTGATTCTTTCTCTATTCATGAAACTCACCATTAATTAACTCCAAATTGAATTTGTAGCAAATAAAATAGTTCCCTCTGAAAGAGAAATGAAATTTATTCCATAAAAATAAAATAGCGATCCGCAAGCAACTAACGTTTATGATTGTAATAAATATTTAGTTCTATTCTTTGGATAAAAGTTTTCTTTCCATTAGAAAAAAAATAATATGATTAATGAAAAAAATGATCTCAAAAATAAACTTTATGGTACAACAGTAAAATGTCCTGATTTGTAAAATGTTACTTGAACAGCATGAAAAAAGTAAGCAATCAAAATATAAGCAATTGCTATATGTAAGGATTTTTTTTTTTCTAAGCTTTTTATATATCCAAAAAAATGGGATAAGCCCATCTATCAATCTTTATTAAATTTATTTTTTATTTAAATTACATCCCCAATTTTATATTATAAATACTTCTTTTATCTAGGAATGTAAATTTTATTAATAAAATTCATCAAAAACTCATCATCTAATATATAAAAATGTTTTAATTTATATAATCCATCATTTTTTATGATTATAAAATCAATAAATTTACTGTTTATATTGATCCATCTAATTTTTCAAATGGAGATTTAATAATCATTAAAAAATCCATAAAGGGAAGAAATATCAAGTTTTTTACTTTATTGTACTAAGAATTCATTAAATTTAATAACTTATTATTTATATTTGTCAATTCATAATTTTCATTAAATGATTTTAGAATATTTTATTGATTAAGATTTAATTGCAGTTTTATATTGATCTGAAATTGAAAATTCATTTATTATGGATGTTTTTATTTATATAAAAACACATTAAAACTCTTTTTAATATGTGTGGTTGTCATAAAATGGAAAATCTATTATGGTCAATTCCTAGTTCCTGTTTGAAATGAATAGTATTACATAATTCCTTGATATTGGAAGAATTTTCGAGATTTATTCTATTTTATAGGTGCTTCTTTGAGAATACAAATATTCAATTATAAATTGTATAGAAAATTAAAATTTTGTACAATTAGAATCTTTTAAAAAAAAAATATTAATTTAAATTATCTAGTTGAAAAAATAATAAATAATTTTATAACGTAAGGAAATTTTAATGAGGCTCAAAGTAATTGAGACAGTATTATTCAGCTATTAAAAAAATATAATTAATTATTACTTCAAATTTATATTATACACAACTAATGATTTCTAAATTTATTAATTTTATTCATATATTTTTTAAAATATTGATCAATAGAAAAACTAATTTAAAATTTTTTCTATTAAATTTCAATAGGATTAATAATTTATATTTAGCTATTTATTGACCTAATCAAATTTGAATTCAGAAATATTAATCCAAAAATTATTCTTAACTATTCATATAAGATTAATGAAGTATTTCTTTTAATTATGCCAAAGTAGCAGCCTATTAATAATTCTACATAGTTAAATAAGAGGACATCTTTCTAATCATTCCATTAAATCTTAAAAAGTAAAGGTTTCTTTATATCTATCAAAAAAGTAAATAGTAAATATTTTTTTTATTTCAGAAAATAAACCACTTAAAATAATTAATTTAATATAGTTAAAGACATTAAGAGTGATATGTTATTTCTAATATTAAAAATGTTGTTTAAAAAACGAATTTTGCATAATATGCATCTTTAGATTATCTTAAATTTAATAAAATAAAATATAAAATCAATCAATAATTATTAGTTTCAATGGAAGAAATTTTGAGGTATAATTATACAATAAAATTCCTGATAAAAAATAAAATGTAGCTAAAAATTGAATATCTCACAAGTTATAATTTATAATTGTTTATAAAAATTCAAAAGATGAATGATATTTTTGATATAATTTTAAAGTTGTTAAATTTTCCAAAAAGTTCTCAAGTTTTGATTATCTATGTGATATAGATATTTATTTTCTCCTTTTTAAATCTAGAGTGTAGATATAAATAAAAGTACGAAAATCTTAAGAAAGATTTAAAAGATTCACAAAAATAGAAAAGGGATCCTTTAAAAAGTAAGAAATAAATGGGAATATTAATTCTATGAAGATTTATTTATATTGGGTTGATTATAAATAACGTTTTAATAGTTATGCTATGAATGATAAGAAAGGAAATAATTTTGATCCATTAATAAATTTTTTTGTTTTAAGAAGTGATTTTAAATGTTTATAAATAATTGAAAGAAAAAAAAATAAATAGAAATAGTATTAATATATAAAATCAATACAAAGCGATTTTAATGCTAGATTGAGTTTGTAGTATCATAAATATCAGTGATTAGAATAATTAATTTTAATATAAAATTAAAGCTTTAAGATCATATATGGACTTAAAATTCAAGGATGAAGGCTAAAAAATAATATTAAAAAAAAAGGCTGGTCTTAAATTGAAAAAAGGTGCTTAAATTCCTGGTATGATGATTTTTGTTAATTTTAGACAGAATATTGACAGATGCTTTAGTTACACCATCTACAAATGTTAGAGAATCTCGAGAGAATAATATACTTTAAGGGTTATTATCTCCATCAGATGATGAAAGAAGGAATCAATTGAATTTTTTCAACAGCAATTCCTAAAAATAATTAGTTACAGTTAAAAAAGTAGATCCTATTGAATAGATAAAGAGAATAATCTCAGAAAATGAAAGACTCCGTCTTACAATAAATTAAAAATAGAAAATAATTGATACAAGAATGAAATAACGAAAAGAAATGCCTGAACTTTTATTGTCTTTAAGAAATTCACGTAGTTTACTTTAACCTCATGAATAGTAGAATACAGCAGAGGAATATGGATATTTTTTGGATAAGCAATCAATATCTCAAAATTATAAACGTTCAATGTTGCCTTAGATTGAATCTAAATAAAGTTCACCAACAACAAGAGATGAATGTGCTTTTACATTTGCGAATAACTTCTTTATAAAAGAACAAAAAGTCTCACCGAAAAAAATTAATATGATGCAAGCTTTTCCTTAATTGCATTTGTAGAGAAAATTTTTTACTTGATTTAAGTATATAAATCAATATTACTATCATTTTTTTGACTTTAAGAACTCAAGGGCCTCTTAATACAAAGCTTTTCGTAAGGCTTATTCCTTAAGTTCGATATCATCGAAAGACCAATCAAAGGATTCTTTACAGATTTGAGGTGGATGATCTATGTATTACTATTTAAAGTAAGGGTGTTCAATACATTATTAAATAGTATATCTTTTGATAGGATTATAGACCTAATATAATTAAAATGAATTTACTAACATATTTTCTAATAAATCTAAAGCTAAAGGTGAAGCAAATGGAAAAAAGTCTGCCCATTTAATAGCTTCTCTTTCTGGTAATTACTAAAGAAATTCAGTTGATTATTAATCAATTTCATATGGTAAATCTTCTTATTTAGGTTTACCAAGGACAGCAACAATTTTTTCAATCTATTCTTGATGATGCATTCCTTTAAATAAAATAGTTCTTCCTAAAAGTTCACCTAGAATACAACCTAGAGACCATATGTCTATAGCTTTGGTATATTCACTTGAAGATAATAAAACTTCAGGTGCTCTATACCATCGTTAAACAACATAATCAGTTTAAATTGAAGCATTTTCTACTTCTTATTTTCTAGCTAAATTCAAATCCCCAATTTTTATATGGCAATTTGCATTTATAAATATATTATTCGGTTTTAAGTCTCTATGTATAATATTTGCTGAATGCATATAATACAAGCCACTTATGATTTAATACATACACCAATTGATTTTCTTATCTGTTAATGGTTAAGGAGATTAGATGACTTTTTCTAAATCTAAATGCATAAGTTGAAACACCAAATATAAATCCTTAAATGTATCCTATTCATCAGGAACAATGATATCTAATAATTTTACAATATTGGGATTATCAAAAAATTCTATGTTTAAATATTCATTTTACTCAATAGTTTTATTTCTCTTAGCACTTTTTTTGCATCAAGCAAATCTCTAAAAACCATTGCAATCTAATTATCATTTACAAATGTACTTTTTTAATGGCAACATCTATATTATTTAATTTGTCTTTTCCTGAACAAACAAAACCAAAAGCTCCATTTCCTATATTACGCTATAACTCATAATGAGTGTAGATTTCAAATGTGCCTCCACCACACTATACTCTATGTTTTAAAGGAATAGGTGATCTTATTTATGGAGGAAGCTTTTATATTGTAGTTTCTTCATTTTCTGCAATTTTCTTGAGAATTAAGTCTTTCTTAGAATCCATTATTATTTTATTAATGAATAATTAACAAACAATTTCAAATAACTCCAAGGAAGAACAACAACCAGAAGAAGAATCCTATGATGAAGAAGATGATGAAGACTTATAAGAGTATACTTAATCAACTAATCTAAAATAATTGTTCAATAACTCAGGTATTTCAAAAAAAGCTACAATTATTAGATTCTTTCATGCAATAAATTAATATTTTGAATGAATAGGCTACTACTAAAATTAAACAATAAAAACATAAAGAAGCATTGAAACTATTGTAATAATCAGAACAAATGCTTGAAGTATTACTTAATTTAATCTATTAGTTTGCTGCTAGTTGTGGAAGAGTAATTGATAGGAACTTAATAATTATTATCTTGTATAATTAAGCTTGTGCATATTAATGGTATAGTTTTAATAATCATTTCAGTTAATGGATTCTAGATAAATGTTCCAAATATTTAGATGGAGTTATTTACAATATGGAAATTGGTATTAAAGAAGATGAATAAGATTTATAAACTCTTGCAAATGTTTAAGAAACACAAGCATAATTAATCAAAAGATAGACATTTCTTGTTAAAGCTTATTTACAATATACTGCTATTTTAAGTTAATTAGGAAAGTAATTTAAAATTTATCTCTAGACATAAGTAAGCATTAATTAATTCACAAAAAGCAGCATAAACAATGAGGGAATTATTTAAAATTGCCAATTCTTTTTGTTAGTAATGGCTACAAATTAATGGTTCTTAAGGTACTGCTACAACATCATAGTCAAATGTTTCAGTAAAAAGTAAATTAATTTTTTTATATAATTTAGATGAATCTTCTCATAATCTTGAGAAAAAGAAAAAAGGATAAACTTATTAAGTCAAAGATGAGATTGAATTCGGTAGATTTGTAATTGATAGTGCCTAAGATGTTTTAAAAGATATGATTAAATAGGAAGATTTAAATACTGTTAGATTAGATCAAAAATAATTACTAAAAGAAACAAAACGTTAATTGTATAATTGGAGAAACAATCCAGAAAATAATGAAAAATAAATTAGAAAAGAATTCAAATTAATCTCTTAGAATGAAGAATATCGATCTTTATTAGGTATTCAAAATTTGGCTGATTGGATTAAGAATTTTAATATTGGATCAATTATGCATATGGCTCCTTAAATTTATGAAGAATTTACTTAATTTGGGGAAATTATATATGAATTAGCAAAACGATAGCTTTTAGAAAAAGTTATATATCTTTCTATATCATATTTTACTATTGCAACTGAATTAAGATTTGTTGAACTTGAGAAAGCCAAATAACATGGTATTAAGGATGATAAAATAGATACTGAAGAATTTAAGTTAAGTGAATTATATCATCTTAAATCTATTGAAATTGCATGTAGAAATATCACATATTAATCTCCATACATATCTCATCTAATTACAAGCTATCATAAACATTATAATATTAATTTAGATGTTATTAGAGAAGAATCCTTATAATCAAGTGCTTCTGAAAAGATAATAGAAGAATAAGAATTGCCAAAAGGTAAAGGAAAGCCTTTATAAATATAAATTAACAAGGAAATTCCAAGTTCTAAATTTGAAAAGCAAGATCAATCCCCAAAACTTACAGGTAATTTTATTAAGTCTTTTCTTAATTCCAGATCCCCTCCAAAATAGTCTCAATAATAGTAAGTAAAGAATCTTATTAGTGAAACTGTTAAAATTCAAACAAATTTATTAGAATAAATGATCAATAAAAAAAGAGGGTCTGATTCTTCTCCTTCTAATTAAAGGAATTCAACAAAATAGTAAAATTAAGCAGATTTTGATTTCAATGTCTATTTAAAAAAATAATCTAATCCATGCAATACAAGCAATTAAAATACTGATACTACATAAGACGTAATTAATAGTGTTATGACAATTTAATTATAGCCATATAAGAATAATAATGTCAAATATAATCTTAATAATATGATTAAATAATAAAGTCCTAATAATAATAATAATACTTAATTGAAAAGTTTACTTTCTGATGCCTGTAGAACAGAGAGACAAGTAATGACTGAATAATAAAATTCATATACTCCTATTAGTTATAGAGTTAATAATCGATCTCCTGATTCATCTTATCTAAATGCCTAAAAATAACGATAACAATAACTTCATCAAAATAAAACTCCATAAAATAGACCGAGAACAAATACTGAGTAATAGTATCCATAACCATGTATTTATTATTGATTATCTAGCTTAGCCTTTCCATTAAAATTGGAAACAATTTAGCAGTTATTAAGAAATAAAGTAATTAATAATCCAAAAATTAAATGAAGATTATTTATTTTTTTTTCTTTATTTTTTTTATTATTAAAATTACATTTCTTAAATATATAATTTATTTATAATTAATAATCAATTTTTTTTAAACTATTTCAAGAAATTTTGTGAAGATTTTGATCCTCCTTATTAATTTAAAAATTTTTATCTTATATTTTAATCTACTTAATAAGTAGGATCAAAATTTGTAGTATCTTCTTATGTTAAATGAGTATATTTAGAGTTTCCTTTTTTTCCAAATTCTCCTCTTCTTTTTTATAAGATTGAGGGTAGATTATCTTTTCTCTAAAAAAGAATATAAATAATAATAATACCCATAAATCTTCACCAACTGGTAAATTATAATCTCTTTAAAAGATAGGATCATCCATATCTTTATAATAAGCACCTGTATTGTAATATTTCTACATAAAAACATATTTTGTTTTATCCTCCATTTTTGTTTTATCAGAACCCAATTTAAAATCTTCTTAAATTCTTTACATATCTGTTAAATTTCTTCTTCTCTCTATTTCAGCCTTTTCTATTTCATATTTATTTTTTTCATCATTGAATTATTTAATTCTTTTTAATTCCCTTATTTTCCATAATGCATATTCAGTTTCATCTAATGTATCTTCATCATTTAATTTTTCTTAACCATCTTCACTATCTTCATTAACTGCTTTTGTTGCATCAGCTTTAACAGAATTTAAAATTAAAATTTTATTTTCTAATCTCATTCTTTCAAGATTTTTAGTTTTTTCTTCTTTTAATCTAATTTCTTCCTCCTCTATTTTATCTAATTAATCTCTTTATGTTCTTGAAACAAATACTGGTTTTAATAATTCAACTTCTTTTTATTATTCTTAAAAATCTTATGCTTCTTCCTCTTTTTCATTTTATTAAAAAGTTTCCTCCTTTTTCTTTTTATTTTTTTTTTCTTTCTTTTTATGTTTTTTCTCTTTTTTTTATTCTTTACTTAATTATTACTCTTATTATAATAATTATTATTCTTCTGCTAATCTTGATTAAATTACTCTTCTTCTTCTCATCATTGCTGCTTCTTCATCAATAATTTCTATTTCATAATTATCATTTTCAACTTTTTGAAATGTTTAAACATTTTCTTAAGGATCTCTTTAAACTTTTTATTCAACTTAAGATATTTCAATATTTTTTTCTACTTTTGGTAAATCAAATATATCATCGTCTGAATTATCTTATTATTTAGGTATAGGTTTTCCTGTCCAAAGTCTTTACTTTTTTTATTTGATTTATTCATCATAACTAATATCAAATTCATTTTTAGGCTTTTAATAAACTTAAAAATTATATTCTTACATCTAAAATAAAAATAATTTATTTAATACATAATTATTGAATATATGANCTTATGTTAAATGAGTATATTTAGAGTTTCCTTTTTTTCCAAATTCTCCTCTTCTTTTTTATAAGATTGAGGGTAGATTATCTTTTCTCTAAAAAAGAATATAAATAATAATAATACCCATAAATCTTCACCAACTGGTAAATTATAATCTCTTTAAAAGATAGGATCATCCATATCTTTATAATAAGCACCTGTATTGTAATATTTCTACATAAAAACATATTTTGTTTTATCCTCCATTTTTGTTTTATCAGAACCCAATTTAAAATCTTCTTAAATTCTTTACATATCTGTTAAATTTCTTCTTCTCTCTATTTCAGCCTTTTCTATTTCATATTTATTTTTTTCATCATTGAATTATTTAATTCTTTTTAATTCCCTTATTTTCCATAATGCATATTCAGTTTCATCTAATGTATCTTCATCATTTAATTTTTCTTAACCATCTTCACTATCTTCATTAACTGCTTTTGTTGCATCAGCTTTAACAGAATTTAAAATTAAAATTTTATTTTCTAATCTCATTCTTTCAAGATTTTTAGTTTTTTCTTCTTTTAATCTAATTTCTTCCTCCTCTATTTTATCTAATTAATCTCTTTATGTTCTTGAAACAAATACTGGTTTTAATAATTCAACTTCTTTTTATTATTCTTAAAAATCTTATGCTTCTTCCTCTTTTTCATTTTATTAAAAAGTTTCCTCCTTTTTCTTTTTATTTTTTTTTTCTTTCTTTTTATGTTTTTTCTCTTTTTTTTATTCTTTACTTAATTATTACTCTTATTATAATAATTATTATTCTTCTGCTAATCTTGATTAAATTACTCTTCTTCTTCTCATCATTGCTGCTTCTTCATCAATAATTTCTATTTCATAATTATCATTTTCAACTTTTTGAAATGTTTAAACATTTTCTTAAGGATCTCTTTAAACTTTTTATTCAACTTAAGATATTTCAATATTTTTTTCTACTTTTGGTAAATCAAATATATCATCGTCTGAATTATCTTATTATTTAGGTATAGGTTTTCCTGTCCAAAGTCTTTACTTTTTTTATTTGATTTATTCATCATAACTAATATCAAATTCATTTTTAGGCTTTTAATAAACTTAAAAATTATATTCTTACATCTAAAATAAAAATAATTTATTTAATACATAATTATTGAATATATGATTAATTTGTTTAAAAATATATTTAGAGACAACTTTATAATAACGATAAATCTATAATAAATGTAAGTTTAGTTTTATGTTTAAGAATTAATTTGAATCTTTTGAAACATAGAGATTTGAATGATTGAAATATAAAAATTAGATTGATTAATAAATTTAAAAAGAGAATAGAGAATTAATATTATTTACTTTGTAATTTTAATTAATAAATGAGAAAAAATAATAAAGTTTAACCAACCAACTAAATTTAGGTGGTTGGTTAAGTTACTATAAGTCCTGAGGTGTCACAAAAGGGTCTAACAACAATACCAGATCAATAGGGCAATAAAAAATAAATAGATCCTAGACTTATTGCTGGACCATTGACAGATAGAGGATGTACAGATATACTTTGTTTACTGCTTTTTATTGTAGGAATAGCTATTTTGGTGTATGAAATATATTTAAATTGATAGATTCATTTCTTAAGAAGCTTATTCTAAAGGAGAACCAAAGAGACTACTTGCAATGTATGATCCAAATGGTAAAGAATATATAATATTTAATTAAAAGGTGTTGCTTGTGGATTCGATACAAATGTTGATTATCCTTATTTATATTTTGCAATACCTTTTGGAGACTATTTCAATAGAACTGTATGTGTTAAAGAATGTCCATTATATCTCGATGAATATAAAAAACCAAATTCTTTAGTTTGTTAGCCGAATACTCTGGTTAAAAGTTGCGAAAAAAATTGTGATCCTGCCAATGCATTGAAATCATATGCCACATCAAACAGCACAGATATTTTTAAAGATTTTTTGTGTATCTTTAACTCATCAATTTGTAAATAAAATTGTAAATCTAAGTATTTGATCGTGTATGCTATCCAGATGCTTTACTAGCACTTTTTGATAATTATAAAGATTATGGATCTTAGTTTGCAATGGATGTTCTCACTGGTTATATAGAAGATTTAACTTAAACAAAAGAAGCTATATACTGTTCGTTTGCAGTAGCATTTTTAATGGGGTATATTATAAGTATATATATAAAATAGAATAATTTATTTATTTTTTACAAGATTACTTGCAGGAGTATTAGTTTGGACATCTATATTTCTGTTTTTACTAGGTTTAGGATTTGGAACATTTTGGTGTCATTAATAAGATTTATATTATTAAGATATTATGAATGATAAAACAGGATAGTATACAGTTGAATAAATCAGTAAAGCATCAGATAATTAAATAACTTTTTAATATTTAACATATGTAATGTATGGTATTTGTGCTTTTGCTGTTATTGGATTGATTTGCATTTTTAATAAAATTAGATTGGCTATAGCTGTTATCAAAACTGCAGCAATGTGTGTGAAGGATCATTTCTTATTAATATTTGTTCCTTAAGTTACTGCCATAGTTTTAGCAGGTTTATGGTTTTGGTGGATATATACAGCATCATATGTTTATGCAGTCGGAGAAATAAAAGGAACTGGTAGTAGTCCATTTGCTGAAGTAACACATACTCAATTATAAATACAATATATTTGGTATTTCATTTTTGGAGGATTGTGGGTCAATGCTTTTATTTAGGCTATTAATAATTTTGTTATTGCATCTACATGTTGTTTTTGGTATTTTGCATAACAAGGTGCTGGAGGTGATGAAAGAGCTATTTCATAATCTCTCTATAGAGCTTTTAGATATCATGCAGGTTCTTTAGCATTTGGCTCTTTAATTTTAGCTATTGTACAACTTATAAGAATTATCTTGGAATATGTTAGATATCAAACTGAAAAAGTTGCTGGATCTGAAAATAAAGTGGTCAAATGTTTATTAAAATGTTTGAGTTGTTGTATGGCATGTTTTGAAAGGTTCATTCGATTTTTGAATAATAATGCATATATTATGATTGCTCTAACTGGTAAAAACTTTTGTTCAGCTGCTAAAGCTGCTTTTGAAACTATATGGTCTAATAGTATGAGATTTGCTTTAGTAAATGGAATTGGTGGAGCATTTATTTTTGTTGGTAAATTTTGCATTTCTATTGTTACCTTAATGATCTTTTATTATGTAATTACAACTATGGATTACTTTAAAGAAAAGATTTTCTCACCAGTTTTCCCTTGCATAGTAATATATTGAATATATTTAGGTTGTTTTTATAATTGCATATGCATTAGCTGTTCTTTTTATGTCAATATATGGAATGGCATGTGATACAGTTCTATTATGTTTTATTTTTGATGAAGATTTAAATAAATAAAATGGTGGTATGAGTGCATCTAGATGTCCTGAAACTTTAAAGGAATTTCTAGAATAACCTGAGATGGCTAATCTTAAATAAGCATGATTTAATATAATAAATAATGATTTACAATTCTACAACAACTCCTCCAAATGAAGACTCTTAATGCAAACCTATTATTCAACTAATGTCAACAATGAATTAGTAATAAATGAGAGTACGTAAACCTACAAAAGAAAGTAGAAATATTCAATCTGAAACTTAATAAATTAAAATTACTCATCCAAAATCTCCCACTTTAACATAAGTTAGTGTATAAATTGCATCTGAAAGAGCATCACCTCATAATTAATAAGATTTACTACTTATAAATGAAGAACCTAGCAATAAAGAGGATTCTCAATAATTAAGTATGATAAAAAAATAGAATGATTCGGATTAATTATTTAGGAAATCTATTTTTAATAAGAATAGATGCTCTCATTCATCCTTTTCTTTACTATACAGAGAGAAAATTACACTTATTTCTTAATTAATTCTTTCAAAAAAGTAATTTAAGTTGATTAATGATATTTCAGCACAATACTTTTTCCCATTAAAACATTAAATACATAAATTCTTTAAAAGTGAATCTGTTTCAAAACTTTTTATATTCACTGTCTATATTATTTTTTTATTATTTTATCTCACAATCTTATTGATTGAAATTGGGTGTAATTAATTGTTAATATCTAATTTTTCTATATTCCAATACATTATGTTTGCTACTCAAATAGTGGAATTTTCATATTAAATTATGTTTTATAACGGAGAATTTTGGAATATCATTATTGATAATATTGGTCTAATACCATTTATTTCATATTAAATTGATAATTTAGAATCTTAGAAATTAATTTATTTATTATTTTTAATTAGAATTAGAAAAATTAATAATTTTATGTAGAATTTAAATTATTATTACTCAAATTAATAACAATATATCTTTATCATTTAGACAACTATTTAATTACATTTTTCAACATTTTTGGCTTAAACTATTATTTTCATGTTTGCATAAGATCAATAAGATTACATTTTATATATATAAAATATCTTTACAATTTTATTCACAACACCCTTAATTATTGGCAAATGCTACTTTCTCATATATATTATTAAAATACTATTGATAATATTTTATTTACACAAATTTAGACAAATTATTAGTTATAAATCCCTTAATTTTGATTGTTCTTTTTTTTATTAACCAAAAACATAAAAGCTAATTTATGAATATACATATACATAGTAAAAATAAAAAAAGTTTGATATAAATTTAATGCCAAACTTTTTGTAAAGAAAAATGAAAAGAGAGAAATATTTTAATATATTATCTGAAATTCCAATATTTAATAAATCCTTTAAAAGAAAGACTATATTAAATATTTGTGATATTATTTAAGAAAAAGTATTGCATCCTAATGAAACTTTAGAGTAAAAATAAGCTTTATTTATTCATTTATAAGGATTAATTTAATTGGTTTAAAAAGGTAATACATCATTATAAGAATTTAAATTAACAAAAATAAAAAATCCATTTTAAATCTTTAATAATGAAGCATTTTTTAAAAATTAAATATAAGGAATATAATTTGAAAGTATTGGATACTCAAAGGTTGCTTATTTAAATTCTTAATAATTTCATTAATTAATAAAATAATTTCCAAGAGAATTCTAAAAATACAGAATGTTAGTAGATACAATAATATTAGATAATGATCCATATTTAGCAAAGATTTCTTGTTTTGGATGTCAACAAGCTCATGATATAATAAATTGTCCTTTTGTAAGTTATAAGCCTAATAAATATTTGTTAATAAATAGTTCCAAGATTTCAAAAGAATAGAGTAGAGTGACTGATTTTAGAAGAGTATTATATTTATTATTATATAAATTAGGAAGTATGTAAAAAAAAGAGGAAAATAATAATAAGATCTGAAATCAATTAAAAAGTTTCAGAATCTTTTGAATCAGAAGAGAAAGATAAAGTTGAACCTTTTTAGAAAATTCTTCCTTCATAAAATTCTTTATTAAGTTTGAATAATAATAATAACAACAACCCAATGAATTAACTTGAAATAAGTTCAGTTCCATATGTTAGTTATACTCACAGTGGATAAACATTATATTCTAAAAAAATAGATTCAGATAATTTTATATCAGTTTAAGGGATAAGTAGTAGTAATAGTAGTAGAAAAATAATTTAGAATGAAGTCAAAGAAGTAGGTTAATCTAAATTTTAAAAATATGGATAATAGGAACAAATGAATGGATCTTCATTTTAATATAATCATTTATAAAAAGTATAGGATAGTTTTATCAAAACTAAAGTTAAATTGTAAAAAAATAGAGCTGAAAAGTAAGCTTAATATTAGAAATTTTAAACAGAGATTCCTTAAAAATAATAATAAAGAGATTCTAGGAAAAATTAAACAATGATAAATAATGACTATGAATTAGTAGATAATCAGAAAAAGAGAAGAATTTCAATTGAAGGTAATTTTTTACAATCATTTGAAAAAAATAGTTATTTTGATGACTATTTTCCAAATTACAATGTAGATTAATAAATAAATAATTATTATAGAATATAATCTATTAATAAAGATAGTAATTAATGAGAACAAAAGAATATGTTCATGTTTATTTATTTTCACTCTATTTATTTAACATCAATCTTATATTTTTTAGATTATCAATTTATGTCTAAAACATAATTTATTCCTCTTGGATTTAATGTAGTCCTCTAAAATTAAATTATAATATACTTGTTCTATTCAATAAACTTTTTCTTCCAAGTATTTATTTCATCCAGTAACAGTTTTTATTTATCATCAATTTATAAAGTCTGTTCTTCAAGTTAATTATGTAATTCTTAGATGTAATTATTTTAATCTTCTAACTCTTTATCTTTTGCAATTAATTATGAATCATAACCATCAATTATATTTTATTTTATGTTTAATTTGTCTTACAAAATTTAAATTTCTTCTTGCAATATTTTAATAGTATTCACTAACTGTTAGATTTGACTATACACTTAAGATAATTCACTTTCATTTTCATCAGACACTTTATTTTATTATTATTCTTCTAATCGTTACAGTTTTCTTTCTAATTATTAAACTTTTTATTTCCACGGTTCCTCTATGTGATTCAAATCTACTAATTATAATTGTTTAGCTTTTTTATTTTAACCATCATTAAAAATATTTCTATTAACATTACCTAAATTATTTTATTGAATTGGTTATCTTTATTATGAAAGAGATGGTTGTTATAATAAAGGTGATTAATATGGTGATTAATAAGGTGATTATTAATTTAGTTTTATATTAGGAGAAGATTAGATTTGTAAAGAGTGTCTTAATCCAAATTATCCTATAGGTGTAGCCATTTATTATTATCTCATTATTTTATATATCTAAAAAATATTATATAGAATCAGACATCATTTTTTAATTATTAATGAACATTTATTTTAATGTAATAAACTCAAAATATTCATTGATTACTAATTATTCTTTTTAAATACAACTCCTATCAAATTGTAATAATTTTATGTTTAAATTTTTGAATTCTCTTCAAATAACTTTAAATTGTTATCCTTTTATTTTATCACAAAAATAATTATCCTTTTTTATCTTTATTAGAAACAGAATTCATATCTAACATTTATAATTATTATTTAAATATCTATATATGCTTTTGATTCTGAAGAATCTAAATCTACTATTTTCAAAAAACTATATTCTGAAACATGTTTATCTAAATTAAATTTAATTTTTTATGTTTATTTTGTCTAAGTTTATAACCTTTCTCAAACTCCATTATTCTACAATATAAATCAGTATTCTCCTTTTTTCTAAAATATCAATATTATATATTTCTTCTTAACTCTTACTTTTGTTAATCAATTTTTTCTTAGATCTTTAATTATTAAATTTAAAAAGCTCCTTCTATAGTAGTAGATTTAAAAATTTTTTAAAATAACTAGAAATTAATTAAGATCAAAAACTATAGTTTAGATTTATTTAAATAATTTACCTAAAATGTAAATACCATTTTCCATTTATTATTGCATAAAACAATTAATTACTTACCTTTGTGGTTATTTTATTATTTAATCTCTCTTGCAAAGTTTTTTTAATAACTTTTCCATATTTATCTACTTTCCAATTTTTTTTCTAAAAAAGTCTTTTTACTGATTTTTATTTATCATACTTTTACTCAAAATTGGCTCATTTGATTTAGTTATTTTTTGATTATGTTTTATATTTACTTTTATTCTAATAATTATTCAATTGTAAAGAATTAAATTTATTTTATGGAGTAGTTTTTAGACAAATAATAATTTTAATGAAATAAAGAAAGAAAAATTATATTTTCATATTGATTGTTTTATTTATTTTCTAAAAACTATAATTGAAAGAAGAAAAAGATAGTGTTGATTAGATATAAAATATTAAAATGTAAATACAATCAAAAAATCATAAAGGCTGCAAATATGGTTGAAAAAGAACTTATAATTAAAGAATTTGAATGGTCTAATTAATAATAATCTAAGTTTATATTATTTTTTAAGTAGTAATCATTAAATGGTCTACAAATAAATAATAGTATGATAATGAAATTAAAAGGAATGAATAAAATGAAATCAATTATGATTAATTATGAAATAGCTATTATCTAAATAATAAATTTGATAGATTACTTGTATAATAAGAATTGCAAAGGTAAGTTACTTAACATAATTTTGTAATAAGTTAACCAAAAAACTGTTTAATAATAATAAAGCCAAAGCTATCACAATAGATCGATTTTAAAATTAATAAATTAAAAACAAGGTTCCAAAGAATATTAAATCAATAATAAGTTATCCTAAAATAAATAAATATTATGATTTAGACTAAATAATTAATGGTTATGTTTTTGATGTGGCAAGATTTGAATTATGATCAAATAAAAATAATCTAATTATTGAGGCACATATGAATGTAAATATTGAAATAGATTAATTTGAAATATTAGTGATAAGCAAATAATAAAGAAGGATTCCAAAATATTGACATTCTTATAAAAATTAAAATTACAATATTTGAGTAAACTAATTTTGAATATTAATGATTAATCCTAAACATAATCCAACTATTATAGCTTTTGTGTAAGTGTTTGATAGTAAAATTGAAAGTGATAAAAGAGATGAATAGATATATATTTGTAAATTCTAAAATTTGGAAAATATAGAACATTGACATATTCCAAGAATTGCAATAGCGATAGTACAAACAATGAATTGCATTTATGAAAATACTAAAGGTAAAATAAAATAGATTCCACTAGCCATAGATATTAAATGGTATGCAATAAAGCTTTTAGAATTATGTTAGTATGCAAAATTTTTCATTTGTTTTTAATAAATAATTATAAAGAAATTAAATAATGAATTACAATTAATTTTGAAAAAATAATAAAATATTTTTAGATTATCACATTAACAAAATCATTAAAAATTATATCAAAAAACAATGATTTAAAAGAAGTAGAGTATTAAAAGAAAAAGTTAGAAGGAGAAGCAATTAATAATCTTACTAGTTGCAAAACTGAACCATAAATTCCACCTTTTTAGTTATTATTTTTAATCATCTTTATTTGTAAATAGATATATTCCTGCTTTTAGATCAAGATCATTATATCAACATAATAGATTAAATTTAATAAATTCATTATTCAGTTCATTTTGATGGATATTTAAATTAATAAATACAAATATCTCTCTAAATTCATTTATACAATCTATCCATAAAAGAAGAATTCTAGAAAATCAATGAAAACTTGTAAGTTTTTGAAAGAATTCCAGCAATTTAATATTCAATTATTAAAGAGTTAGTCATCTTATGTTTTTCAATGATTTGCTAAAAATTCAGTCAATTTTTTAATTCTTATTTTGAATCAAATTTAAATATTATATAAACTTAAGGAATAGAGGTTATTTAAATAATTTGATTATAATTATAATAATATTCTCAAATGAAAACTATTAGGAAAGTTATTTAAAATAAAATACTTTATATTTCTTTGATATATAAGAGTTTAATTAATATAATCTATTCATTTTTCAATTAGATCATAATCATCTTATTCAAAAATTTATTGTTAACAACCAAAATAAAGAAAAAAAAATTTGAAAATAATTTAAATATGCCGAAAGCATAAAAATATTTGATTAATACAAAAAATATAATATATAAAATCAAGGAATTTAGCTTAAAGATCTGTGGGTAAATGAGATTTTGATAAATGATTTTAAATGATGAAAGAGTTGATAGAATGTGGATGTATAACTGGTATCCTTTAATTATTGAAATCCGATTAGAATCTGTTATAAGCTGGTAAATTAAAATTAACTACTTTAGCATTTAAACTATCAAACTATAATAGAAAATTAATGAATTATATATTTTATGTTTTACAATTCAACTATTGAATTAGTTATACTAGCTTTTTTCATTTTCCTCTCAATTATGATTCTAAAAACGATAAAATATTTAGAGATTTTTAGATAAACAAAATCTTCAACGACAGATGAAAAAAATAGAGATTTAGAATTTTAAAAACTAAAAAGCGAAGAGTTCAATAAAATTAAATAGGAATACTCATAATTAATCAATTAAGCAGATGAAAACCCATAATTAATCAATTAAGCAGATGAAAAATTTATAATATAACACCATAAAGATTTTTTGGTAATTTATTCAAACTAATACAATTAATAAGTGATGTTAAAAAATAATCAGATATTATATGCAACTTTTAATAATAATAACTTTAACTCTTATACAGGGAAAGGATATTTTTATAAGGAAACTTATGATCATGATTACAATCCAGAATATGAAATATATGATGGTGAATTTTTTAATGGATAAAAACATGGTTTCGGAAAGCTGTATTCATAAAAATCTGAAAATGTTATATATGAAGGGGAATGGAGAAACGATAAAAGATTTCCAGAAGTATCTTAAAACATGTTTTAAGATCATATAATTTGGATTTAACCAAATATTTAACAAGAAAAAAGAATAATAATTAGAGATGGAGATTAAATAATCAATAATAAACACATAAATTTTAGAAATCATAATAAAGTTAGTAATGAATGGATTAAGTTTAACTAATTAATTTCGTAAAATGATATTAAAATATTAATGAACCATAAAAAATGGTTCACAAGTTCAATTATAGATAGTTTTGTACTATATTTAAATATAAAAATGGATAAATAGTATTTTTAGATATAAGAAGAGTAAAGAAAACATCACTAAAGATAATTATTTATCCCAAGTTGGGTGTTTACATAAATGAATAAAGATTAAACTGATGTAAACAGATAGATTTTAAAAAATCATTTTTTAGAATATTAAAAAATAGATTATTAAATAGAAAAGATTTATAAAAGAATCAACTTTGTTATAAATAAGAATAATACACATTGGTTTCTAATATAATTAAACTTAGATAATAACGAGATGATAGTTATTGATTCCATAAAGTGTGATATTTAATCATACAATTATGTTAAAAATATAATGAATCCACTCTTTTCAAATAAAATATAGAAAATAACTATTTCTGATTAATTTAAATCTTAAAATAATCAATATGATTGTGGACCATATACATGTATAAACATGTTATAGATATCTGAGATAAAAAAATAATTAGAAACTCCTCATTAAATGAGACAATTTTTATTAAAAAAATTATAGAAAGACTGAATACTTTATTTTACATATCGAATATAATCTGATAACTTTTATTTTTTAATCAGTAAAAGAAGGCAGCATTTTTGTTATCTTAAGTAATAATATAATTAGCTTATTATCTTAATCCATAATTAATTTCTTAATTGGTTTTTACAAAAATGGGGTTTTATTGTATGTAGTAGATTTATTTCTGGATAAAGTTTTTAATTTTTTTAAGTATTAAAGTTTTCTAATTGACTTGAAGGTAAAATTGGGATTTAGAATTCAGCTTAATATTCCTATAGTATTATTAAATTTTTATATTATGCTAGAAATAAATATATTTATATATTAAGGTTTGAATGATTAAGTTTTTCTTAATTTTTCACAAAATCTATTCTTTTTAGATAATTAATTTTATTTTTGATATGAATATTAATTAATCATTTATAAAGAATATTTCGTAATATTTTATGATTAAGTCAGTTTTATAAGTGAGATTAGGGTTGAGGAATAATTAAATGAGGATTTTGAATGTTATTGAATTTTTGAATTGAAATGAGATTTTATTTGATTAATTATTATATAATAAATATTAAAGATGGATAATAAAAAACATAAGGTTATATTAAATATGTATGATTTGTCCTAAGGGATGGCTAAACAATTTTCGCCTATGTTTTTGGGTAAATAGATTGATGCAATTTGGCATACTGGAATTGTAGTGTATGGAAAAGAATATTATTTTGGAGGAGGTATATGTGCATCACTTCCAAAATAAACTTTATATGGAAATCCAATAGAGGTTTATAATTTATTTTAAGTATTAGGAAAGAGAATTGGGTGAAACAGAAATACCATAAGCCACATTTGAAGAATTCTTAAGAAGCATAAGTTCTTAATTTTCAATGGAGAAATATGACTTATTTAAGAATAATTGCAATAATTTTACAAATGAATGTGCTCAATTTTTAATAGGAAAAGGTATTCCTGAGAATATTACAGGTAATTTATAATTTTCTATTCACATTAGGATTGCCATAAGAATTTTTAAATACTCAATTAGGATAAATGTTGAAACCAATAATAGAGCAAATGACTAACTAGTAGGCCACAAATTAAACTGAGCATTTTTTTGAAACCTAGAGTTAACAATAATAACCACCAAACATTTTCTAAAATATAAATCCTATAATAGCCAATTAACCTCAACCTCAACCTCAACCTTAAGTATAATAGGCTGTTCAATAACCAGTTAATTAAGCTCAATAACAACAATAAATATAAAATACAAATGTAACACCAATAGAAGATTTAGAAACATATTTTTGCTTAATCGATAGTAGTCCAATATGTATAATTGATTTTTACACTGAATGGTGTGGGCCTTGTAAAACAATTAAGCCATTATTTCATAAATTATCTCTAGAAAATCCTAATATAAATTTTTATAATGTGAATATTGATAAGGTAAACAATCATCTATATAAAATTTATATTAGGTGAGAGATATTGCAGATTCTCTATAAGTAACAAGTATTCCAACATTTATTACCTATTAAAATGGATAATAAAAAGACAGATGGACAGGTGGAAATCAACAAACATTGATAAGTAATATATAAAAATTAAAATGAATTCAAAATAATTATATTTGCACAGATCTAATAATTTTTCAAAACATATCATTTAATACATCTTAATTGATTCCACTACTAGATGATATTCTTCTAACCAAATAAGCACTACCATTTTTATCTTCAATATTAGTTTTAATCTTTTTAACAATAAAGTCCTAATCATCATACATTCTTGGTGATAACTTTCCTCTTAACTAATCAATGTCTGTAACATTTGCTACATATATTTTCATATTAAATTCATCCTCATTTTTAAAATTCTAAGTCTTTCTTTAATTCAACTCCATTGCAAATTAAGTAATAGGCATTCTTAAAAATAAAGGCCAAGCATCTGGTTTCAATTTCTTAAGTCCTAAAAAGTATGTAAGAGATTTATTAAAATCTTTTTCAAGATTCTCTTCTCCATCAGGTGTAATTCTTAATTCAAAACTTTCTGAATCATAAGTTCCTTCATTATGTCCTATTAATTTTAATAATTTTGGTAATTAAGCTTCACAAAAACCAGTCCATTTATGAAAATTTTCAGAACTCTTTGAAACTATAGATATTGCTACAAAGTATTAAAAACAATCAAAAAAATCAAAAGGTCTTAAAACTTCATTCCAATCTCCTAACTTTTAAGCTCCTCTCTAAAATTCATGAAATATTGTTTAAAAAGTAATTTTATTTACTTTAAATGTTGTATTAAAGAATGGATAAGCAGGAGTTATTATTTACATTATTTTATCATTCCTTTTATCTTCATCTCTCTTCCAACAAAGTGTTTTAAATGTATCTATTTCAGGACTATTATAATAATTAATCTTACTCAGATTCATCAATAATAACTGGTACTTTCCAATTCCACTAAGAATAAATTTAAAAGAATAAACTAACAGTTTAACATACATCAACTTTAGGAAATAATTAACAAATCTTAGCCATTAAAATAGCCCAACTGATACCTCCTAAATAACCAATAATATTGCTAGACACTTTTCTTTTCTTTGCCCATTATTTTATAATCTTTAATGCCTAAACAAATTATTAATGATCAGGCATAGATTTGCTTATTAAAATACCATTCTTTCTTCCATTCAAAGCATACATTGATTTATCTTCACTTTATAATAAATTTCTGCGTAATTCATCTAAATTATCATCAATATTTTCAGGAACTCTATCTGAATTTAATTAAGCGAAATTGATATCTATGTGAAAACCTTTATAAATCATTTTTATAATTGGATTTGATGTACTTTCTATTTTGTTTATTTATTCCATTCCTTATTCATTTGACAATAGATAAAATAAACTTTTATTTATATATAATCATAAATACCCATTAAAAAATTATTCCCTTCTATCAATAAATTCTGGTGCTATACAAATTAAATCTATATCTGATTTACTATCTGCTACTCCTAATAATACTGATCCATATGGTAACAATACAGCCGAACAATATTTTAAATGATCCTCATTTATCCTTTTTTCTTTAGCACATTATTAAGACCAATTTTTTACTATATCACCCAAATATGCTTAAATTTCTTTGCTTTTTTATTAATATTCTTCAATTGATTGAAGAGATTCTGTTTCTATAAATCCAAGCAATTAATTTTTTTAACAATCATGATTCATCAAATTCACATCATAATCAATTCTACCATGAGCCTTCTTTAATTCATTATTAATCTCTTAATTACTCATTCTTGGGGCCAACTCCTTTATGAAGTTTATTAATTCATTACTAAAATCCATTTTTATAATTATTTTATATTTCTATAATCCTATTTTTTTAAATAGTAATCATCATTTAACAAAAAGACATATAATTAATTACCATCTTAAATTATATATCAAAATTATCATATTTACTATAATATTAATTATTACTATCTTTTTAAGCTTATCTCTAAATTAACTTTATTAATATTATAATTAATAATCTAATATGAGCTTCTAGGTACCTAATAAAACTATATTTCTTAGACAACAGATTCCAAAAAAGAAGAATTCAGAAAATATTTAGAAAAAGCTGGAGTTATTGATTAATTGACTAGAGTTCTAGTTGGATTATACGAAGAACCAGAAAAACCTAACAATGCAATCGAGTATTTTAATTATTTATTTTTTAATTATCAGCTACGTTAAAAAGTATTTAGGATCACCTGTTGACATTGATGTTGACAAACTTAAATTAGAATATGAAAAACTTAAAGATGAAAATATTAAATTGAAAAGGGAAATTGCTGATTTGAAAAAAGAGGTAAATAATTATCCCTATTTAAGTTATAAGCAGCCTAATAAGAATAGAATTGATATTAAAAATAAATCAATCAATTTACATTACTATATATAGATATATATATATATTAATTTTCAAATGGAAAGAATTATTAATTTTTTAGAATCTATGATTATTGATATTAGTCCTTTCTTACTTACTTATAAGTCTTTTATTGAATGACATTCAAATTTATTTTAAGTCTCCAAATCTTCTGAAGAAATATATGCTGTCAATTATTATTAATGTTAATTTTCTAATTAATTTGTGCTCAAAATTATTAGTTTTCCTTCAAAGTATTGAAGCTCCTTTATATATTTATTGTTTAATTAAATTTTACTTGATTAAAAGAAGCTTTTTTATTAATATGTATATTAAAAGATTGTATTATTTACTAAAACAGATACCATATATGAATTTTCTGATTGTTCAGAAAATCTAATTTTTGAATTAGAGAGATCAATTTTTATTGTGTGTAAAAGTTGAGGTTTCAAATTAATTGAAATTTTATCTAAATAATTTTATAATTGTCGAACTAAAGAGTTGACAGTTACAAAAGATTCTTCTTATTCAATTTTATTTTATTTTTCTTATATTTCCTAATAATTATCCTTAAAAACATTTTTTAAAATCTTAGTAATATTGTCTGATTATTTAAACTCAACATCTTTCTACATAACAACTTTTGTAAAAAATGATTTTGGGGCTATTTTTAAATAAAATTAATATCTTACCTATTTTTTCTTAGTAGAAACATTATAAATTTCTTAATTAAAACAAATGATTATCTTTTAAAAAATCAAATAATTTTGATAAATCTACTTCAATTTTATTGAGAGGTGAATTAACATTTTCACATTCTACTTCTTATTCATTTCCAGCCTTGATTGCACATAAATTTAACCAAACAAAAAAGTTTCTTAGATGTAATTTAGTCTAATGACATTCTATTTAAAATCTACTAAACACTTTTTATATTTTCTGAATTGTTTATTGAAGATCTTCAAAAGGAGTTTTGTGTAATCCTTAATAAAATGGCCTAGTATTAATTATCAATTAAATTCTTACATATTTTTTGATTAAATAAAAAAATTTAGAATAATTAAAATCCTAGATAAGACATTCATCAATGAATCTTACATTATTTCTTGAATATTATTAAAGCTATTAGTGATATTCTTAAATTATATTAATATTATATTACATCATCCATTTTTTATAAAATTTTTGTATTATAAAGTTCTTTTTGAAAGAATGAAACAAGTTCTTAAGGGCAATGTCCTTTTTAATAGAATTATAAAATATGAAAATTAATTGTTTCTTAAGGACCAAAAGCTAATAAAGGTCCAATGATATTTAATTGATAGCATTTAAAGATATCTTATAATTAAGAATTAATTAATAATATCGAGGTTTTCAAAAAGCAGAGTAATTCATTTAAATAGCTCAATTATTAAATGTATTTCTAGAGATAATATATATATTTTTTACTAAGATTTATTGATGCTTGAATAAGCTAATATCATAAATTTCAACAAGTTAATTAGAAAAGCAATGTAACTCATTTTCTAATTGAAATAATTAAGTTATGGTTTTATGTTCAATTTCTCCTAAATGTAGAATTCCATTAAAATTATAAGTTATTTATCTATTCGTTAGGGAGAATATAAGATTATTAATTTATTACTGTTTTAGAAAGCAGAGATTTTGCCAATTTTTCCTATTATTTAATAATATAATTAAATACAAGTTTGTAGTGGATAATGGAATAATAGCTGCTTATAATTCTTGTTCTTAAATGATTTTAGCATTCACTGATACAAGCAACATTTACTCTATTTTATCAGAACTCTTAATTAAAGTAGACTGGATGATTTTTTAATGAGAAGCCAAATGATAAAAATACAATTTATTTCCAACATTATAAGCCAGGAATGTACCTAATTAAAGTAGTTTAAATTACTTTCAACAATAATATTTGTTATGCAATCATCTTCTTGTATTATGAACATCCTTTGCAATTATTCACTAACTCTACATATTTCTAATTGATTGTTAGTGTATAGGATAGCACAAACATCCATTGTTTTACTCCAACTAACTGATTAGATTTCTTAAGCCATTACTCTATCTAACATAGGGGAAAATGATTATGTTTCCATTTCAAATTTAAAATTATATAATTAATTAATTAAACAATATGTTTATTCAAATTCTTTATTCATTTTATTATTTTACTAATATTAGACAACTTTTAATATTGTTCAAATCATATAAATTGAATATTTAGTATTTGAGAAATTCATTTATCAAATAATTTAGAAACATATTTTTTGAATCCATAGATGTTTTTTCAATAGTAAAAATTATGGCTGATTTGCCAATTAAACAAACAAAATTGATTTTATTCACAATTTCTAGGAATATATTGTTATTTTAAAACATCCATAAACACTTAGAAGATTATAATTTATTTAAAATGGTATTAATAGTATAAATAAATAGATTATGAATGAATAATTTGTTTATATAGAATAGAAGGAATAAAAAAAGAAGAAGAAGAAGTGATAATAATTATATCAGTCAATTGCTATATCATTAATAGACAAGCTAGTAACAGCTGACTTATGTCCTTTTAAAGTTCTCAACACAGCAGCACTATCTGTTTACCATATTTTAGTAGTTAAATCTGATGAAGCAGTAATGATATATTCTGAATCACATGAAAATGCACAATCCCAAACCCATTTACCATGTCCTATAAATAAATTTTGAAAAATGATTACCATATAGAGTTGAAAATAATTCCCATTTTGGATATTTTTCATTCCCTTAGTTTTTTTCATTCAATGTCCATAGTTTAACAGTTTTATCAGCACTACAAGTGGCTAAATATCTTATATCAGCAGAAATTGAAGCTTTTAATATATAATCTTAATGTGCTTCAAATTTATACAATTAACTTTATTCTGTGAGATCCATGTTATTCATCACATAAGTATGACATTGTCCTTGTGAATCAGCAGCTACAATCTAACTAGCATTATATGCAATTGTTATTGATCTGATGCCTACTTCAGGACAAGGAGATAATTTCAATCTTACCTTATTTTACTAAAAATCATATATCTTCACATTCCCCATTTAATCTCCTACTATTAATTCAGTTTCATTTGGATGTAAACAAATTGTATTTAATGGCTCTTTCTCTTAGTACTCCCTTGACAAATCTATATAATTATTCAATTATATACTATTTGATCTTAAGTCATGGATTCTTATAAATCCATCTTCAGAACACGTATAAAAGAAATTACTATCCTTCAAAAACCCTATTCCTGTTATATTATTCTTATATCCATCATATACATAAACAGGAGTATTCTTTTAAGAATTTAAATCATAATAAGAAGCAAAGAAATTCCCACCTGCAGCTAAATACTTCTTATCTTAAGATATATCAATTCTGTTCACTATCACTTTATCTCCTTGATTTATTTCTAGTTTTTATTAACCTGTTGTAGCATCCCAAAATATAAAAGTATGATCATACGATGATGTTACTAATATAACATCATTTTCAGACATTTGTTAAATATAATTATCAATATAAATTATAAAATTCCCTATAATTTATTACCAAAACTAATTTAACTTTATAAACATCTAACTTTTAATCAGTTTAATCAATCAATGATAATTTCTTAAATTTTCTTTCTTTTTAGATTCCTAAGATTCTATTGTTTTTTCCTCTCTTCTTATTATAATTCTTATTTTATCACTTTATGCAGGTATTATCTTTCGTTAATGAAATAACATATCTTTAAAATATTCATCGGCTCCATTTTAATTTAAGAGTTTTTTATTCAAAACATTCATTTTAATCTTTGGACATTTATTGTCTTTGATCGATTATTACTCTTTGATTCTTCTTATTAATTTACTCTCTTTTTCTTGATCAGGACTATTCATTTGTGTAACTAATGATAAATGTTTTTCTGGTGTCTATATCCAATGAGCTTTTCTTTATTAATGTTATGATAACTAGGGAACTAATAAAATCTATTCAAAAACTTATGAAATCCTTGATGTTTTTCTAATCCCTACAACAGTTAATTGAGACTCATCTAAAGTTATTTTTCTTAACCCATCACAACCAGCTTATATATTATCAAAATTTCCAATTTATTATATTTTAGTCCTACTTGGTTTATCAAATATCTATTTAAATTTATTACAAGCTTATCTATTTGACAATGACGATTTATCTTATAAAGAATTAGAAAAATGTTCTTTTGTTCGGCATAAAAAAAAAGATTAAAAAATTGCTTGTGATTTTGGAGTTAAATTCATAAAATTATAAAATAAATTTCTAATTAGGTGATATTATTTGATAAGTTCAAATGTGAAAACACTTTTGCATTCAAAAAAAAATTAGCTTGCTTAAATTCTAATTATTTCATTTATAAATAGATTAGTTCTTCAAATCGTATATTTACATAAAGGTAATTTGATTAAAATTTTAATTTGTAAATCAAACTAAAAAAAATATGATAAAATAATAGATTAAATTTATGCATTTAGAAGCAGAATATAATATTAAAATTTTGAAAAAAATGATTCTAATTTGAAATGGCGAATAAATGGTGATATTAAGAGATAAAATATTTTAATAAATAAGATCATTGACTCATTAAAGGAACAAAATAATAAATATTTGATTAAACATTTCAACAAGTAAAAAATAAATAATTTGAAAAATTGAAAAAACTAAATTGATTTGCAACAATTTATATCTATTTATATTAATAAAATTGTATAAAGATTATTTAAAAAGATTAATAGTTGCAAGTGGCATACTGATTACTAATTAGAAAAATATTAAAATATTTTGATTAAGAATGGATAATTTATCATTTCCATTTTTAAATTCATAACTACCCCTAAAATCTAATAATTTATTTGAAATGATCATCACTTTATGCCAAAAATCTAAAAGGATGCCATTAAGTATCAGTATTAGTCAAATAGAAAAAATGAAATGAAAAATGGATAGAGTTGTGAATGATTCATATAAATTGCAATTAGAGTTCATTAATCGATGATTGGGTATATCTATATTTTGTATATTAAATAAATCATTTAATAATTCTGTTTATAATGTGTTTTAAGAATTAATAATTGATATTAAATTATATTTAAAGAGTTTAATTCAATATAAATTGTTGTAGATTTTTGTTACGATAAATAAATGTCTTTTCTAAATTTTTTTTATTATTCCTTTAACGTAAAATTCTACAAAAAAAGTTAATAACACCAATATCTTTATCTAAAAAAATACATGATTAAAATTTTAGATAATTTTGAAAGGTGTGGTTAAGATTCATTTTAATATTCTTGTATTTTTAAATATATTGATTTATAGAAAAAGAATTTTAGAAGGCTTGAGAATTATGTTTAGGTTTGAATTTATTGTTAATAAATATTCAAATAAAAGTAAAAAATATGGGCTTCTAATTTAAAATGTAAGTATTTATGTATAATAAATAGATCGGATAATGTACATGCGATTATAGGTTTGATAAGTTCAAATGTAATAGAGATAGTGCTATTAGCTTATTATGCAAACATATAAGTGAATTAAATGTATAAAACACAAGTAAAGTTAGTATGGAATCTGACATTTAAGATGATTTTAAAGCATATAAAGGACTATCTGTAACAGGGAGTGTATTTATGATGATTACTTGGATTTTATAGATTTTACTAATCTACAAATATAATGAAAAAATCTTATATGTGATTTTTGGGATAAATACATTTTCTATATTCATTTTATTAATAGGGATGGGTATAGGTTAATAAGGGGTAAGATATAATAATAATAAATTAAAGATAAATAAGGTTAACGATTCTTATGGATAGTTTTTTTATATTGATTATAATTATCCTGTGGCACTTTGGTTCATACAATTATGTCTTTATTTGATGAGTTTAATAAATTTGCATAATTTTAAATAAAAAAAAGTTAGTGATAGTGGGTAAGATACAAAGAAGAAGCAAGATAATGATGATTCATAAAAATAAGTATAGTAGACACAAACTTAAGCAAATTAAAGTCAGGTTGTTATGATGGGGAATAATGAATCTTAATTCACATAATAGCAATAAATTGTATGAATTTATTAACAAATTATTTTATATAATATCATTTTATCATGGTTGAATTGTAATATATTCATATATTATAGTGATGCTAAAAAATAGTTGGCAATTAGCAATTTAGCACTTTTGATGATAGAAATAGTGCTTTTATCAGAATATTCATATATGAATGAACATCCACATCGTAATGAAAGTTTGACTTACGTAAGATTCGCAATTTCTGGATAAGTTTTTATGATGTTAGCATTTATGGGATTAATTGCAACCTACTTTTTTACACATAGATACATGAAAATTGGAATACTAGGTAGTCTTTGGCTAGGTTTTGTATTAGTATTTATTGGAATGATTGTTGGAGTGAAATACGTAATTATAAAATAAACTTATTTAGTATTAAGATGGTTATGATACAATTGCATCAACATGGTGGATTGAAGTAGGATTGACTATTCTTGGTTTTCTTAATTTAATAAAAGCATTTAGTAATGAACCTTAGTCTAGTGAAGATTATTAAAGATAAGTTTGAGTGTATATATGTAATCAATTCTACATATACTATTTATTCTATATTTTTTATTTATCCATTTATATATGATATTTATTACCATAATCAAGAATCAAGCACAATCTAAATTTAATCAAATTATCAAAAAGAAGACCCAATATGATATCAAAAAATGGTATTCAAAATTCTCAAGATAAATGAAGTAATTAGAGGACAAGAAATTTAATCGCATGAAAATAATATTGATTAACCTAGAAATGATGATTTATTCCAAACCCTTAAGATAAATCTAAACAAATACTATATCTTATATTAAAAAATAACTCAGCTTAGAATAATGTCACAGGAACCAATAACATTTATTACAAAAGTTCACACTATTTTGAATAAAATTACATTTTAACAAATAGATTGAATGCTCTAAAAATTGATCAATGAATTTCGAATTCTCTCAAATTAATGGAAATCAAAATCCCAATTATTGTTTAAAAAGTTATACACTGCTCCTGTTGCTTTAATTTTATCAAAGAACAAAAATATTTAATCTAATACGTTTCAAATTAAGAGTTCTTATTGATGAACTTACTATTACTTTATTAAAAAATCTGATAAAATTTAATAGCTTAAGTTTTTATATGAATTAAGATATTAGATATTTTATTCCTTATATCTAATTAATATAGAAATTTAAATTCTAATCCTATAATCAATAAGGGAATATTGTACCATATATAACATGAAATTGAATCATGAAGAATTACCATTACAATTATAGGAAGAGATATATATTGAAAAAACTTTGAAGGGTTGATTATTTATTATAATATTATAAATTTAAATAATGGGAGTTTATAATTTATGGAAATTATTGGCGGCAGCAGGGAGGAATGTAGATATAACATCTTTAAGAGGTTTAAGAGTAGCTATTGATGTGAGCATCTGGATGATTAAGTTATTACATGGAATGTCTAATGCAGGAGTTAATTACGAGAATGTTCATTTAATTGGCATTTTAAAAAGAATTATGTTTATTTTGGAAAATGGTATAAAGCCAATATTTGTATTTGATGGATAACCACCTGAATTGAAAAGATAAACTTTAATAAAGAGAGCTCAGTAAAGATAGCAATACAATATCAATTTATAAAAATTAGCAGAAAAGTATGTGGTAAAATTAATAGAAAAAGGCTATGATCTAACNCTAGGTAGTCTTTGGCTAGGTTTTGTATTAGTATTTATTGGAATGATTGTTGGAGTGAAATACGTAATTATAAAATAAACTTATTTAGTATTAAGATGGTTATGATACAATTGCATCAACATGGTGGATTGAAGTAGGATTGACTATTCTTGGTTTTCTTAATTTAATAAAAGCATTTAGTAATGAACCTTAGTCTAGTGAAGATTATTAAAGATAAGTTTGAGTGTATATATGTAATCAATTCTACATATACTATTTATTCTATATTTTTTATTTATCCATTTATATATGATATTTATTACCATAATCAAGAATCAAGCACAATCTAAATTTAATCAAATTATCAAAAAGAAGACCCAATATGATATCAAAAAATGGTATTCAAAATTCTCAAGATAAATGAAGTAATTAGAGGACAAGAAATTTAATCGCATGAAAATAATATTGATTAACCTAGAAATGATGATTTATTCCAAACCCTTAAGATAAATCTAAACAAATACTATATCTTATATTAAAAAATAACTCAGCTTAGAATAATGTCACAGGAACCAATAACATTTATTACAAAAGTTCACACTATTTTGAATAAAATTACATTTTAACAAATAGATTGAATGCTCTAAAAATTGATCAATGAATTTCGAATTCTCTCAAATTAATGGAAATCAAAATCCCAATTATTGTTTAAAAAGTTATACACTGCTCCTGTTGCTTTAATTTTATCAAAGAACAAAAATATTTAATCTAATACGTTTCAAATTAAGAGTTCTTATTGATGAACTTACTATTACTTTATTAAAAAATCTGATAAAATTTAATAGCTTAAGTTTTTATATGAATTAAGATATTAGATATTTTATTCCTTATATCTAATTAATATAGAAATTTAAATTCTAATCCTATAATCAATAAGGGAATATTGTACCATATATAACATGAAATTGAATCATGAAGAATTACCATTACAATTATAGGAAGAGATATATATTGAAAAAACTTTGAAGGGTTGATTATTTATTATAATATTATAAATTTAAATAATGGGAGTTTATAATTTATGGAAATTATTGGCGGCAGCAGGGAGGAATGTAGATATAACATCTTTAAGAGGTTTAAGAGTAGCTATTGATGTGAGCATCTGGATGATTAAGTTATTACATGGAATGTCTAATGCAGGAGTTAATTACGAGAATGTTCATTTAATTGGCATTTTAAAAAGAATTATGTTTATTTTGGAAAATGGTATAAAGCCAATATTTGTATTTGATGGATAACCACCTGAATTGAAAAGATAAACTTTAATAAAGAGAGCTCAGTAAAGATAGCAATACAATATCAATTTATAAAAATTAGCAGAAAAGTATGTGGTAAAATTAATAGAAAAAGGCTATGATCTAACTGAGAAAAATGAAGAATAACTTGAAGAGATCGTATTTGAAGATGAATCTGAGTCTCAATTACCACCTGAAGAATAAGAAATTGTTGATTAATAAAATCATTAGATTCTTAATTTGCAATTCTCATATTTGCAAGGAACCCATGAAGGATTTAATGAACTTGATTTATAAACAAAAGAAGAAATTATTGAATAATTAATTGAGGAAAGACAAGGCCAATATTAAGAAGATCAAAATATATCAATTAAAAGATTTCTAATTTAAGCTGATTAAAAGGAAAAAATTAAATAGATAAGAATTGAAGCTGTTAAATAAATACAAACATTGAGAATTGATAAAATCTTAGAATAATATAATGATAAAGATAGTTAATTATTGAGAGAATATTTAAATAACAATGAAGATCTAATAATAAAAATGGGTTAATTTGGTGTAAATAATATTTACGTTTATCTCTAAGATTAAGAGAAACGATAAGAATTAGTTTAAAAGTTATATGGATAGAATAAGAAGCCCAAAAGAAAACTAAAAGATTATGAAATAGAGAATGAGCATCTCAAAAATATTCGAGAAGCCTTAAGAAGAAGATATAAAGAAAAGCTTAATGAAGATATCACACCTGAAAAACCAATATAAATTGAAAACAATGAAGTTCCAGATTTGATAGATAAATATGATTGTTTTGATCTAGATTTAATTGAATAGAAAATGGATGAAGAGTACAGACAATTACAATCATTAAAAGAGAATTCCAGTATGTAATCCTTTTAAGAAAATTCTTCTTTATTGGAAAATTAAGAAAATATATAAATTGTAGATCAAAAAAATAATGATAAAAATTCTAAATAGGATAATTAAAATTATGAAAGTTAAGAAAGTTAGAAAGAGGATTCTATTTGTAGTCAAAGTGAAGAAGAAAATGAGAATTTGTTTGAAAATTAAATTTAGAAATCTCAATAATAATTCTAAAAGTAATAGGAGAGTAATTGCAATTTTAATGAAGAATCTAGAAATTCAAAAAGCATCAATATGTAATTCTGTTTATAAGAAGAACTTAAATATAGCAAAAAAATGCTTTCTTAAGATATTTAGTCATAATTTTTGGATGTAAAGCCAAAAGAAGAAAATGAGAAAAAATAAATCAAGGTAGTAAATTTATAAAATGATTTTGAAAATCCTTAACAAATAATAACAGATGAATAAATAGATTTATTATTTACATAAGGTGATAATAACGGTGAAGAATTGGATGCATAAGAAATGATTGATAATCTTCGAAGGAATAGAAATATACAATCACTTGATTCAACAACAATGAATGAAAAATTCGAAGATATTAGATAACTATTATCATTATTTGGAATTCCTTGGATAATGGCACCTGGTGAAGCTGAAGCATAATGTGCATATTTACAGTAGAATGGTTTAGTAGACTGTGTTATTACAGAAGATTCTGATGTATTTTTATTTGGAGCAACAAAGGTGTTAAAAGGTTTTTTTGAAAAGGGTAATTAATTGATTTATTATGATTCTAAAGTAAAATAAATTAAAATCATTTTTAGTATATAAAGGAAGACTTAGGATTAAATAGAGATTAGTTAATATATCTGGCTTTATTTTTGGGTAGTGATTATACTTTAGGTATAAAAGGTGTAGGTATTGTAAATGCTATGGAAATTGTAGAAGTTTTTGATAATGTAGATGCATTAAAAAGATTTAAACTTTGGGCTTCAAAAGCTGATGTGTTATTAGAGAATGCATCTTCTCATTATGAAAATATACCAGAGAAAGAAAGATTATATAAGGAATTTCACAAAAATTATAAAAAATATTGGGAATTACCTGATGATTTTCCAAATATAGAAGTGATAGATGGTTACAAAAAACCTAGAGTAGATGAATCTTTAGAATAATTTACTTGGGGAAAACCAGCTGTGTAAAAAATCATTGAATTTTGTAAGAATTAATTAAGATATTCTGATGAGAGAATAGAAGAAACAATAAGTAATTATTTTAATTAATGATAGATATACCTTTTTAGAAATTATTATAAAAAGAAGATTAGAAGAAAATAACAGATTTCTTTAGAGTGACAAGCAAAATAGCTA